TTCAATGCTTATCGCAGGAGCCTGTGGGCCGCCGCGGGCGACAGTAGTTGTCCGCGGCCCTTTAGGGCCGCGGGGAAGTGGTGGAGCCCGCGGCGGCCCGCAGGCTCCTGCGATAAGCTTTGAATGCGAATCCGGAAGCCTCCGATGACCCGGGATAGAAGTGGGGTTCTAATTAAAAAGAAATGGTGGTGGCAGCCGCGCGGCGAAAGCGCGGCTGGCTAGGCTTTCGCGCTGGTTAGATTTTCGCGCACGCATTTGGTTACCAATATCGCCCTCCGGGCGCGACATTCATAAAAGTAAAACCGAAATTTGTACTAGTACCGGCTTCATCATTTCACTAAGAAACCCGGAAACCGATCTTGTTCGTTTTTCATCGACCTAGTGCGTTGGATGCCACCATGACCATGTGCAGTATCGTGTGTGGTGTCCTCAGATGAGCTGGCAAGTACTTTGAAAATTGGTGATGTGCGACCACTATCATCAAATGCAACCACACCAGGTTCGCCATCCGTGTGTCCGAGAGCTCCTACCCGGTGATGGTCATAGACGAGCGATCGCGAAAAAGTGTCCTATCGGGTGGCAGGAGAACAAACCGGACCACTTTGCAGCGCGCCCAGTCCGCCGGAGCGATTCGAAAGGAGGAAGAAGTATCAAATGCAAAAATGTCTGGTGGATCTGGAAGAATGCAAGACTACTTGTCATAGTCATGCACATTCTGAATGGCCAATGAGGTTTGGAATGCAGGTCCTAGCATGACATATTCTGCGAGGTCTCCATCATGCCTATCCTGCGTCAGAAGCTGCGGACTCTCAGCTTGGTCGAAAGTGGATAGTGTTTGGTCATCATGCAACACAGATTTTTGCATGATTCTGATTTACCATGACAAGTTCCACTTTTCCAGACCTAGACACTTGTGTACTTGATAAGAAGCGAACAAGGACAAAACTAGAACACCGACTTCCACATCTGGCGGAATTGCAGCTCTGCACAGAACCTCTTCAGCGCAGCGCCCACGACCGCAGTCCGCATCAGCGCGGCCCGTCGCTGGGACGCGGGGATCCTCGCACCAACTAGCAGCTTCTGGGGATGGATTCGAACAAATGGAAACCAGACCACCTCCTGCGTTTTTCTACGATCCATCAGCGTTTTATTTGCCGGGACGAGACGACATGCTGGAGTATCTGGAGGAAGCGGATGAAATCATGAAGCAAGGTTCATCGGGTGTTGGACTTGGACGGGAAAGAGAAGATGCTTTCCGCTTTTTCGACGCATCAACGAGGAGCGACCAGATTCATCTTTCTCGGCAGCTTAAAACAAACAATAAAATCTCCTCCGAAGAAGTGCAACAGCTCACCCAGCAGGTTCTTGACGTGAGAAATTTTAACAAACGGGCAACTAGTACAGGATTCCAGAGTACTAACAGTGCGCTCCCGCGAGGAGGCGTTGCGTCAACTTTTCCGAGTTTTAGGGGTACAGGACACCAGCATGACACGAACGTCCCTCATGTTTCTTCGACAAATTATGCTGATGAAGATGAGGAAGTTTTGTCCGAGGCGGATCTGGGGATTTTCGAAGATGACGATCCGGACGGAGGGAACACTAACGCCTTCTCCCGCTCCGTCTCACAGTCGCCGGAAAAGATGTTTAATGCGCGACAGAAAATTGTGAACGCTTCATCTGCGGATGTAGTTCCTGCATCAAAGTCAACATTCGACGCAAGGTCAACTACACACGGACAAGACGCGACGACGATGATGACCCACGAGCACTACAATTTCATCGTTACAACCGGTGGTAGTGGTGCTTCTACGGCAGCAACGACGCTCCTGTCTTCAAACAACATTTCTACAGGGAATTCTGGCAAGTCATTTCAACGCCCCAGCAGTTCTTCGCGCATCAAACGGAGCTCCTGCAGACCGCAGAGTGCGAGTCTAACACCGATTGAGCACCAAGGCGCGCCTGCTGCAGTTCTTGAAGACCCCGGTAGTTGTAGTACTTCTTCGCTCAGAGAGAAAGACAAACAGTGTTCAGCTGTGCCTTCTTCAAATTGGGCGGCTCCCTACAACTCCGCAGAACAAGTCCGAAAACAGTACGTGCAATCGTCTGCACATCACAGTGACAGTGGTGCAACTTTGGAGCTAGATCTGCATAATTATGCGGGTCGTAGTGTACAACAACGACCGCAGGTGCAGAACCGAACTTCCTCTTCTGCTACAGCAGGCGCGGACGACTACGATCTTGCATTCGACGCAGTGGACGAGGAGCCAAACGAACTGCCCAGGAGAGCAACGACCAGCTCCGGCTGTGGCCCAGCTGAGTTGTACAAGGAAACAGGACTGTTTCAACAACATCCGGAATTGGATTTCCTCGACGCAGATGATCCAGCCTCCCCCTACTCCGTGAAATCACAGCAGAAAAGTACGAACCACGACATCGCGGGAGAAGTCGTCGCGGACTTGATGCTCCGTTCCTCGTCTGGAGGTCTTGTAGGCGAAAAGGTGTTGGAGGTGGGAGACCAAAAATCCTTCTTGGGCGGAGAACAAGGGGAGGTCGAGCAGGCGGAGATAGAAAAAATCGAAAAGAACATCGCGGAGCTGAAGAGGCAGATTGCGGAAAACGATGTTGCTGTAGGAAAGGCAGAGAGTGAAGAAGGAGATCTTCTTGCTGAGAAAGACAATAAACCACTGGAGAACTTCTACACCGACGCGGAAGCTGCAACGGCAGGTCCTGGTCCTCATCCTGCAGTCGGACAAGGAATAGCTTCTGGACAGATCTGTACCACTACCACTTCTCCTGAAGAACATGAAGAAGAGCCGGGCCGTTTTGCAACTCTGGCTCCTGAGAGCGAAACGTTGTCAGCGTCGGCCGCCGTGTTAGAAGTCACCACGCCAAAAGGTGGTAGCAGCCATAGTGACATTGCTGCCGCGGACGACGTAGCAACAACGGCCGGTATTCCCACCGCGTCGGATGAGTTTTGTCTGACGACCAGCAGGACGAGCAAAAGAAGTCATGTGGAAATACAAGAAACTGATGATCTGCAAACTGGGGCGGAGATAGTAATTCTAGCAGGCACAACATCAAATGGGCAGACGACGGATAAGAACATGGCAGCCGGAAAAATGGACCAAGAACGAGACGAAGCAGTCGACGGGGGACAAAAACGCGTCCTGGGTCCTCGTGAGGACCACCTGCAGGAACAACAACAAACCTCTTCAGTATACCACTATTCGGAAATCGACGACTTCGAAGACAATCGGTCCGACGAGGTGGCGGGACACGCGCCGCAGCAACCGTCGTCACCAGAAATCGAAATCGCATCCACTTCGGGCGTTCTTGTTTCAGCTTCAGTTTCAACATCTCCAAAACCAAAAACCACTGTCACTGCTTCCGAGGGAGCAGGAAATATGCTTCTGTGTCGAGGAGACGAGACGTTTTTGCAGGAAAAATTCGAGCAAGACATTTTACACATCCCGGAGCCGGCAGTTACCTCCCCTCTTTCGATCTACAGCTCGGAGGACATCGGGGAACAATCAGCCTGGTCAACATCGTATCAAATGCAAAAATGTCTGGGTCTGGAAGAATGCAAGATTTGTGATGCAGGCTTTCCATGACCCATGAGGTCTGGAATACGAGACCCAGCATGACAGATTCTCTGAGGTCTCTATCATGCCTTTCCTGCATGAGAAACTCCCTCACAACTTGGTCAAAACCGGACAGCTTTTGGCACTCACGCAACACAGATTTTTGAATCATTTAGATTTAGCATGACAAGTTCTAATCTTCCAGACCCAGACATTTTTACATTTGATACATCGTCGTCGTCGTCTCCGAGTCTAGTAGAGGAGGAGGAAACTCCAGGTCTTCCTCGTAAAGAAAAGGTTCAAAATGTCGACTCTGCTGCCCCTGGCGCTCACTTTTTGGAGAACATCAAGCAGCACCAGAGCAAGCGGGAGTTGGACCGAGGGAGAAAATTCGAAGACAACACCATGGGAAAAACGGGAAAAAAACCTTCTTCACGGCAAGAAGACTACATGACAGGAGCTCCTGCAGCATCTTCATTTATAGCGAGAGTTGCAGTGTTGCCGAATGCGGAAATTCTGGGTGAAGGGTCACCGCCAATAAAGATGACTTCTTCAACGTATCCTAGTTCTCTGTCGAAACAAACCGCAAAGCTCGGGGATGGAGCGCGACAAAGTAGTGGCACATCCTCTGCAGACATAACATCCAGTGTAACTATCGGGGCGATATCGATACAGAAGTCAGCAGATCTGGGAACGACTAACTACGACGGCGCCGGAGAAATAAGCGACGAGTATGAATCTGATTTCTTTGATGACGTCTCTGAAGTAGGAAAGGAAAAAGCCAGCTTTTTGACTTAAGCGTGGTTAATTGATTCCTGTGGGGTAAGAAGAGATCACTTTGTTGAATTCCGTGTATGTTCGCAAGTGCAGATGAAGATCCTGGAGCCTCAATTTTCTAAATCTAAATTATTGCAAGAACATTGCGAAAGCTCAAGTAGCGGAAAGATCAACTACTATCTATACAAGAACGTGCCACACGAGAATGTGGGCGGCCTCCGTTTGGATTCTGTTGACTAGAATGCAGATTGCCAACCCGTTTAGCCGCCCTAAAAAAACTCGCCTCTTCCTATCTCCAGCGTTTTTAAGTATACGCTGAGAGATGATGTAACGGTGATACATTTGCTGCATGACTCGTACCTTATTTTATCTAAATGTAGTTCTTTGCGATTCTTGTTCTTCTGTAGCTGCTACAAACATAAAGCGGCTGGAGTGGCTCAGAGGACTCACGTTGTAGCTGTAGAGGCTCAGAGGACCGCCCGAGAGTCCCGACTTCATTGGATCAGTATGCAACGAAACCACGATCATAATCTTCCTGGACACCGCACAAGAACTCGCGCAACAAGATTGAGAAGTGACTCTTCAAGTTGGCTTTTTCTTCCTTTCCATAGCCTATCGGTGAAGTGGTAGCCGCGAAGAAGAATCTCCACGGCACCGAAAAACAAGTGGAAGGGATCATGAAACAAGAAGCAGGACAACAGGGCGATGAAGATGAAGAAATCGAGGCCGCAGAGGCAGCGGAGCGCTCAACTCCTGGTGCTTTTGAAGTAGTCCCGAGTTGTGGCAAGACACAAGACGGAGAAAACAGCTCTGAGGAGAACTTGCCGCTGACTAAAATGAATGACGACTACCGCGAACACAAATTTCAGTATCTCAAGGAGAATCTGATGCAGGACTTTCACGGCACTTCTCTCGCGACGCGGTTGGACCTCCAGAAGAGCGCCTTGCGGCGCGATCGCGTGATGAAGAAGGGATCTCGTCCGGGGAGCGGTCAGCAAAATCTAAATCCACTGCCGCGGCTATTACAACAGCGGGGTGGACATAGAGCGACGTCCATTTTGAAGTGATAAGTATCTTGGGCGTATAATTGATAGAACCTTAGAGGCTGGCGCTGATTTATAGTTGCGCTATCACGCAGGACGGTCACTGTGTGCCTGCCATTTTATCGTAAGTAAGGCACGACGAAGAAGCACGAACTGAAGCTCTTTGTTGTGTATCTCCAGTAAATCTAAATGCAGCAACGCCCGGAACAACAAGTATTGCGATTATATTTTAGCTACTTCATCAACTGTGGGAGTTTCTAGTCGCGACAGTAATGTCATGTAAGTCTGTGCGAGACATGGACAACTAATCGAAAATGTTTGAGTTTCAGGATATTGTCTCCAAGGAGCATTTCGAATCAAATTTAAAATCCTCTTGAATTACAGGGCTGCTTTGGAATGTGTATGATTGCAATCTTCACGACGGAGAGGAGAGCTGAAAATGTTGTGCACGATCACGAGAGTGATTGATTTAGATCCGGTTTTTTCATTCGTGCGCGTGTCGTCAAAGACAAGACGCACCAGGTTGGAATATTACTCGGCGACCTGCTACTTCCTTGTTCACTTTGAAGTAGTGCCTATATCCAAGCTTAGAAGTGACGTTGTGTACTGACGCAGGCAGGTACTTATTTTGCAGTTGTCGCTTCGATCGATGGTAGCACTGCAGCCCGAGCATGAGAAAATTGTAGAACTGGATGTTGGTTTGCACAGGATCTCTACGGAAATAAAGATCGTTATCGAAACCTAAAGGTCAAGGGAAGTTCAAAAAAGACAAGATCACACATATTAAGGTTCTCCACGTTAACACAGACAAGATCCTTCCTTTTTTCAGGAGCGAAGGGTAACCTGAGTTCGATCTAAAGATCCAAATGTCGATTTATTTTGATTTTGCCGACTCTGCGCTCGATCCTCAAAATTTAAAGATCAGCACAAATTCATATTATCCGGTGCGGACGAAAAAGGCACAGATGAACTTTCAAAGATCAGAAGGCTTATTTCGTAGCCGACGAGCTCCTCCTCGGCCAGATCCTGTGAAAGAAGCGAAATGTAATTCAAAACCGAATGGCGATGGCCCTTCAAGTGATCTCCGTTTTAGATGTTGAGAAAAGGAAAGCGATAACCTCCACTACTTCTCAACCACTTCTTATCGAAAAACCACGCACACAGGGACCTCTTTTCGTAAGAAAAGTAGTAAGAGCATTATCTCTGATCTCATCTCATCAGCAGACCCTTCTCTCTCGCGAAAATGGCTCCGAAAGCTAAGAACAGCCAGGAATCCATCGGCCAGCGCCTGGGTCTGGTCATCAAGTCCGGTAAGTACACTTTGGGGTACAAGTCCACCCTGAAGACCCTCCGGTCGGGAAAATCCAAGTTGGTCATCATCGCCTCCAACTGCCCGGCCCTGACCAAGTCCGAGATCGAGTACTACGCCATGTTGGGCAAGACCGGCGTCTACCACTTTCCGGGTATAATAATTTATTTTTCTAAATTTTTGCCAATATTATCATATGTAGTGTACCGCCATCATATTCTAAATCTAAAGATTTCGGTCGTCCTCTCACAACTTGAGTGAATGCGATTCTATCCATGCGTCAGTGAAGGGATGACTTCTTGAGCTCTGTGCGACGACGAGGAGTAGAGACATGATTCTTATCCACTACGCCGATTCTACTGGCAAATTGTAAGTACAGAGTGAAAAGAGCAGATCTGATGTTCATGACGTGATTGGTGGAAGGGGAAGCTATCAAGAATTTTGCGAAACTTTACATCAACAGGAACCAACAACGACCTCGGAACCACCTGCGGTAAGTACTTCCGCTGCGGTGTTATGTCCATCATCGACCCGGGTGACAGTGACATCATCCGCACCCTGCCGGGAAACTAAATTACTGCTGATTTAGCAAAAATTATCGGGCCGCGGAGCATCACTTTCGGCCTGTTGTGCGACTTCTTTTGACGGCGCAATAACTCTTCGATACGACGAGAGACTCGGGCTGTTTCTAGCAGTTGGCCGACGCGTCGACTTTGTAGCGACGCAAGGCGGGATTATGATGATGTCGTGTGGAAAAACTGTTTTGATGGAATAGGCTTACTCACGACCACTCGGAGATTATTCGGTTAGATTGAGCGTAAAGTGATGAAAAGCTCTGTGCTGTCTTCAAGTGTCTGAGATGAATTGTCGCCAGAAAGTTGAAGTACGACAGTGCACGGAGAAAACGAAAACTATTGTAGAGATGACGATGAAAACTGAAAAATGAGATGAGGAGATAGTGAACATACTGACAGAGCAGCCCTGTAGTGCAGAGAAGCATGCCTCCGCAGCGTGGGCTTCGCGGATTGAAGATTTGTTGTTCTACGAAAACATTCGGGCTCGCTCCCTTTCTTGTGAAAATCATTTATTGCTCATGCCAAATTTACAGCTCGTCTCTGCCTGTGCATTTTCCATTGCCTCAAAGGTCGTCAATTTTTTGAGTCTTCCGTCTCCGTCAGTACTTTAAAATTCTAAACGCGCACTCCTGCTGAACAGAGCACTTGCAACGAAGATCACATGACGCGGTAGGGGCAAAAATCTCAGAATCATTGCCGCAAGATCGATCCAGAATCTATCACTAAAAGTATCTAAATCAATGCAAGGTCGATGAAATCAAGGGTGATCCATCTCTCATCTTTTCGAAGTCGGTTTTTTAGAGCATGTCTGTGTGATGAAATCCTCCGATCTAAATCGCTCTCGTTGTTAATGAAATTTGGTGGTTCACTCTTATGGCATGTTTTAAGTTTCTGTTGCTAGCAGAATTATGTTGCGTGGTCATCATATTCATCCTTTCCGTGCAGCTCTACACAGTGATTCTGTTTGGACCCCACCGTGTCCTGACTTTTTCGAGCACGAAAGTACTTAATCGGTGTTCTCTGAAGTAGTTTACTTCCTTCTAGTCATCTTCCTTCAACAGTTTTCACCACTCTACTTCGGAGGTGTATCATCACGACATGGCGCTCTCCGGCGGCGGGAGCGGCTATATGGACGCCGCGTTCCAACAATCCCGCCGCGGCGGCGAGACCATTACCCTCCAGCTCGGTCCGGCGGCAAATCACGCGGGTGTTCATTTCTGGAATCTGGAAGCTGCCACGTACCATGTGGAGGCGATGCGGAAGGTTGAGAACTCCAGCAATGGGACGACAACCCAGAGTGGACCAAATCTTTATCACGACCTCGACGAAAAGACAGATCTGTACTACCCCCGCGTCATCGCCGTAGACGACAAGGGCGCCTCGGGGGGTCTGAATTGCGAAGACGGCACGTCCAATTTCGTGTTGAAAGAGGATAGTAGGACGACTAGTGGTCTTCATGTTGCATCACAGATGGAAGTCGAGCAGGGCGAGTCTTTCTTGGCTCCTAATCACGACGACGAGGAGCCTTATTTCGAGCGTTTGCAGAAGTCCTTCCACTGCAAGAGGGTGGAGCAGGACGCGATCTACCGACACCCGTATAGTCGGCTGGGGCTCGCTCCTATCGGCGAAGAGGAAGATGCGTGGTCCTCGGGATCTGAGATATCCGACGGAGAGGAGCATCACAACATCGGAAAAAATTATCGCAGTGCGAACTATCAGGGAAATCCCAGCCCGCGGAAAGTTCGGAGGATGACTCCGCATAAAAATTCCAGTATTTCCTCTGGACGGACGCAGCCTGAGCATTCTGAGCTTCGCTACTGGTCGGACTACCTGCTGCTCGACTACCTACCGAAATACACCTTCTACGAGCGACAAAACCAGGTAGGCTGTACCAGCGGGGCTGCTGGCGCCGCTTCTTCAAGTACTAGTTCGAGCTCCACCTTCGAGAGGGCGGAACTGGATGCAATCGAGGATCGATACGTGCGGAAAGCGTTGGAGTCCTGCGACCGACTGGACACCGCGCACTTGTTCGCCGACACGGCGCGCCTCGACTACTCGGACTTGGCAGTGTACATCCTGCAGTACCTGCGCGAGGAGCAGCCGAAGCTGTGCACAGTGGGGGTCGAGCTGTTCGATCGAGGAGGCTCTACTTCTCCTTCGCAGCAGAGCAGTTCTGGGACGACAGCCAGCGGTACTAGTATGCACGAAGAGGCTGTTTTCCGCTACCAGGACCTGTCACGGGCGCGGTTTCTCAAGAGCGTCATGTCCAGCAGCGACGAACGGTTGCTGGACTGCTTCTTTCCCTGCGAGCTGGACAAGAGGAGCGCGTGTAGGTCCACAATCCAGCAACGAACCCCCCATCTCTTCCACGCGACGGCGGACATCGCACTGGCCGCACACTCAATGCTGACTTCCTTTTCCCCGTTTTTCCCAAGCAGCAGCACCTTTTGGCGGTCCTTCGAGTTCGTGACGAAGGAGCTGTTCGCGGGAAGTGTGAAACCGCCGGCTGGAGTAGACAATGTACTAGCGACCGAACAATATTCGATTTCGGACAAGAACTTCCGCCCCTCGGACTCGATGGGATTGTGGGACGTAAATAGATCGCTTGCGTATGCGAGAAGCGTCGGTAGCTACAGCACGTACGGAGACTACCAGCGGCAAAGACAAGAAAGCGGCACTGGTGTTGTTCGAAGTACAACGCAAAGTGGAAACAGAGCCAGTTCTACTTGCCCCCTTTTGCTGCCCGCAGACCGAGATGAGCGTATCCGACTTTTCAACCTCGTGCGACCGCAGTCGGCAGCTGTGTGGCAAGGAGTTTCGTCGTCGTTCTTGCCGTCGAACAAGCATTTTCACAACTACACGGGAAATTCTTCCGCCTTCGAGCAGCACAAATTCCCGTTCCTCCGCGAGGCTTTGCCTGCAGTGGTGTTGCCGAAATTTTACCCAATTCCGGACGAGACCGCGAGGACAAAACGGATTTTGATCGAAACCGAGGATATCCAAGGGCGAAGTAAATGCGTCGTCAGCAGTGGGCCGATGAAGCCTAATGTAGTGAGAACGCAGTACAAGCAGCTCGACAACCGGGTCACTCTGTTCCGGAGACCAGAGTCATGCTCATCATCTTCACAAGGCAACAGTTACAGCTCAAGAAGAAGCATATTCGGCAGCGTGGAGGAAAGTTTGGGAAAGATTATGCACCGTTTCGGCGGGGCTGCGAATGCTTCGGAGCAGATCCTGGAGCAGGACGAGCTGCGGGAGCTGCAGGCACATTTTTCGGCGGGTAACGAAGAGGGATATTTGTTTTGATTCAAGAAGGAGTCAACCAGTGAGTGCGAACGAAAAGGACGAGCGAGGATGAAACATACGATATGCAAGAAAACCAGTCCCATTGCTTTTCGTTGGAAAGTGCAAAGGCAAAAGTTCCCAATATAGCGACATTTCAACGCACCTACCGATGTAAGTAATTCGAGTGCACGCTCTACTTAGAGCAGCGACATGAAAGATGACAAGGTTGAAACTACGTCGGACAAAATAGATTTTATGAACATAGTACTGACCGTGATCATAGAGTTGAAAAACAAGAACGAGCACTGTCCTCTATCGAGGTGCTTATCAACAAGAATCCGCATGCTTTGTTTGTTGAACAGCATAGCTCAAACAAGGATGAACATTCTCACAGATGGTGTTCGTCGGGGTTCTTTGTCTTTGTTCTTCCCTAAATTCCCTCGGTTGACGAGTAAGGAAGTAGTACTTACCTCGTCGTTCTGGCAAAGCGTTGGAAAAGCAGCTGCTCAAGATTTTCATGAGCGCAGGCACGAACAAGTAGATGCAGGGGTACTCACTAGTAGACTGTTGTTGCGGCGCGCGGGACAACATGAGATATATCAATGTGAATGTTGGTCCTACATCACCTCGATAGACCGCTAAAGTAGTACAACCCGCCTCCGGAAGCACTATCTAGATCTAGTTGCGCTGGTTGTCAGCGACAATAGTTTACCTCCGTCTTAGTTGTGTACTTTTATACAAAAGAAACAGGCGGTTCTGCTTGATCCATAGTTTTTCTACGTGAGCGCAGCTGCAAGACACTTTTGAAATGGTGGCCTACTCCGAGCTGTGTAGCCGTCTCCCGTCGCTTCCCGCGATGGATGAGGAGGCAAATCTGAACTTCCAGCAACGCTTATGAGAGTGCACAGCTTCCTCTAGATAGTTCTTCTCATGCACGATTCCCTCGTGCAAAACACCAACTCCAATCGTCCTTGTGGCGCTGTTTGTGTTTGCATGACAAATTCCGGAAGCAGCCAAACTATTACTGATACATGCGTCGCATAATTAAGAACTTGTCATGCTGAGGCTCCATGTTGATGTTATTTGTAGGCGTTTCTATTGCTGTTCCCGCCTTTCAAGTCAGGAGCGAAGAGAGGCACCAGTTGTGTAGTCTCATACCGCTACGAAAGCCTCCACGCGAAGCAGAGGGCAATCGTCGCGGAGTACATCGACCTCGAGGTGGAGAAGAAGGAAAAACAGGGGGAAAGCTACGACCAGGAGAATATCCTGTGCAAAAGTATCGTACTGGTGGTAATTGCGATCATGCATGACAAATCCCACTCCTAAGCAAAATCAGCATTACAAACTCCATTTTCGCTCTTGGAAACATTTGTAGTGCAAGTTCGACTACTACGATACTTTTTGCACAGGATAGAGAAGGCAAAGGAGCGATTTGCGAAAATGGTGCACATGATGGAATATGAACTGCAAATATGTCTAGGTCTGGCAGATTGCCAGGTTTGTCATGCATATTTTGCACAGCCCATGATGTTTGTAATGCATGCCCCAGCATCACAGATTCTTAGAGGGCTTCGTAATGCCTATTCCGCATGAGAAATGCCCTTTCCGCGGAGCACAAACTGGAGTTCTCTTTCTGGTCATGCAATACAAATCTTTTTCGAATCCGGAGACAGCATCACAAGTTTAGAATCTTCCAGACCCAGACATATTTGCATTTGATATGGAAAAGCGAGCGAGCGAGGACTTGGAAAGTTGCACTATTTTGTAAATAGTAAAAGGAAAGAACGGAAAAGAATGCATTTCCACTGTTCCTTGCAATAAGGCTGCGAGCGCGACTCAGCATGATACCCTGTTTTTAACGTTCGCCAAGTACCCTGTTTTGAGGTTGTTCCTCAAAATTTACACTTTGCCACGCAACTGCAAGAAGAGGAATGACTTGCTCATTGCAACAAGAAGCATAGCAGCATTTTTACGGGATGTATCATTTTGTACCGCACAGCTCAGGACTGTGTTTTTGAGAAGCACCGCGGATTTCATTGATTAAACACAGCTGCTCAAGAAAAGAAGTTTTCTAATATTTGGCGTACACTTACAACAAGCAAACGCTAAGGCTTCGACTGCAAAAGCGGGCACCGAATAGCGTCGTGGTATCGCCATTGATGTTGGTTTTTTTTTTTGGTGCTGGATTACATCATTCGATTCGGTCGTCGTACTGGTGCTTCTTCTTTCGGCTTCAACATTGATTTGCAACAGTCTTAACTACGTCGACCCGTTTCACTGGCACGCCACATCTTTGTGCTGCATAAGTTTTTGATCCATGCTTTTTTTCATTTTCTTGTGAAGAATTTTTTTCATGCTTCAGTTTTTTTCGCAAAGAAATGTGCGCACGGAAAGTAACACGGCAGTGCTGACGCTGAGTGAGTATATGAAAAAAAGAGAAGTATTCATTGCTCAAAAAGAAAAACTGCATGCAACAGCAGATCCACAAAGATTTTATACGAGAGTGGGGCAGGCAACAGTTTTTGCTTTCGTCGTTTTTCTCGTGTCTACCAATCGTCTAAAGGAATAGAAAAGGACAAGAATAAGCAGTCATGTTTGCCTCTGCGAGCGCCACAATGGCGAGCCACTTGCTTCCGTTACAGGAATACGCGAAGGTATGGAAGCGTCAGGATTGAAATCGTCAAAGTTGAAATGATCTGTAATGCATAAAATGCTACGCAAAAAGCGACCCTATTGCAGAGGATGCAAGGAAGGCGGATTGTAGTCCTGGTAAGGGTTAAGTGTTGGGCTGCTGACTAGCATGACAGAAGGCAGCCCTTTTGCCCCAACCCGCATGACAGATTCGCCTCCAGGATGGGGAGAATTTGTCATGCGCCGACTACAAACTGTGGGTCTAACTGGCATCGATTTTGTGCATCACAACTTTTTCGATTTTGACGATTTCGATCCTGACACCCCCATAGAAGGATGTTCTGATGAAGGCCCAGCGGGACATCCTCGGCGCCCGGCCAACCGAGGAGCACGCGGCAGCGACGGTGGTGGTGCTGGTCATTGTCATGACCGCGGTTTTTGGATTTTGTATCCTGTTTATGAATTGCAACTGCAAAAGCACATTATGTACAGCTTCGCAATTCCGAGACGAAAGGGATAAAAAAGGCGAGACTTGTATTAATATTAGTGCGGCAGTAAGTATTGTGAAAGGTTGCATATACATAAAAGTGCAAAAGCGTACGAATAGCTTTTGCTTTTGCAGGTGATACCGTCCTGTGTGGTTTGCATCTCCACCTGTTGTGGGAAGCGGAGCGCCGACGAAGAAATCGGACTGCCCGTTCAGAAATTTGCCACTGCGAAAGAAACCAAGAAGGACAAATGAAAAGCGGGTGGGGCCGCCGCGGGAACCACTTGTAACAAGACAGGAACAAGAACCTGGAGGTACTACCAGAACCACGTCTATCTGTAGGACGCGAGCCAGCGCTACTTTCACCAACTTCTCACAGCCGTCGACGTGAAAGACATCAAATCATTTATGCGAAAAGCAGTGTGCAACTTGCACGACCATTGATTGTGTCCAGAAAGAAAAATAACTACTACCCGACGTTTACATGAAGATCGAGGAAGAACTAGTGCAGTCTTCTTAAAGTGAAAATGTGGGAGGCCTCCTCGACAAGAACCCTCGAAGCAGTGATCAGTTGCAAAAGTCGTCGTGCAGGGAAACAAGAGCAAGCTGAGTAATCTCGAAAGAAGTACGAAAAGCAACCAGTACTGAGGCGTCGGAGGGATGGACTCGTGTGATTTTTGGAACTTTACTACGAATGTTCTGTTCAACACTCGAAAGAAGATGGAAAAAGAAGTTCAGCTACGCGCTCGTCTCGTGGAGATGTCCAGCTCGAGATGAAATACCTTACTTTCGTGTCCTTTTAGAATCATCTTTGCCATGCCTTATTGTCCGCTGCCTTCGACCACGTGTGCAAAACTAGCCTAGGTTCTGGCTTTCGAGTTTTCGGTGTTTTGTAACGTACTGACAAACCGCAAACTGAAAAAAATCGAGTCCTCGTGGCGTACTGACAAGCTGCAAACTGAAAAAATTCGGGGCCTCGTAACGTGCTGACAAGCTGCGACCTGCGCAGCTGCACGAACTGACGGACTGCGAACTGCGCAGCGGCGCGAGCTGTCTCACGGACTGCGAACTGCGCAGCTGCGCGAACTGCTTCCGCGCCCGCGGGGCCCTGCGTAAATGAAACAACCAAGGCGCGGCGCGGCGCTGCGCTTTTTTCGTGTTTGGGAGCCATCGCCGAAGTGGCTGCCCGCGGTGGGGAGCTGGTGGACTGCGCTCACTGCCTGCGCATTTGCTTAGGCAGCCCGTGCCGATTGGAATAGCCAGAGGAAAAAAGGAGGCGGGGGGCGGTAGGGCGGCGGGCCATTGGATAGCATGAACGCGCAAAATGCGAAGCCGGACAACCTAAGCCATGACAAGGCTTTTCAATCTTGCCAAATTTCGGCAGTTTTTTTTTTGCCAAAAGTCCGGCAGAGATTTGGTTTTCGGCGCAATTTTCATTTGCAAAACCCGGCAGGGGAATGGGCTAAAGTAAAAACTTTTTTTTCCAGGGTGCCGCTTTGCGCTTCATGGCCTAGGTTGCCCGGTTTTCGTTGTCTTTTGTGCGTTCGCATTGAATAAACAACAAAACGCAGGAAAATGGGGGGGGGAGGGGGGGAGAACGGGGTAACACATAGCCTGGGCGCCCCGCGCTCTTTTGCCCGACCTCCTTTCTTTCTCCGTTTCTTTCGGAGTGAAACCGGCTTAGCAACTGGGTCTGGGTGGCTTCTGAAACGCGCGCAAAATTAATATACACTACCATGGCCATGGGAGGGGGGCCAGGCAGTGATCCGGAGTGGTGTTGTCGAGGTGTTTCTTTTGGTCCCAGAGCCCACAGCAAGAAACACAAAAAGAAGCGCAAACTGGATAAGTTCCCAGCTGCAAGCTGCCAGACGGATAAAGTTTTTGCCATGCCTTATTGTCCACTGCCTTCGACCATGTGTGCAAAACTAGTGTCCTTTGAGCTTTCAGTTACAACTTTGAGGGAGAGCGAGAGCGATCGCATGATTGCAGCAAAACTAGAAAAAAGCCCGGCTTTGTCATCATCTTCTGAACTCCAGTAAATGTAAACATCGCTTTAATTACAAAAAAGGAGAAAAAGGGGAACGACAAGATGAGGATCCAAATTTTGCCATTTCGATTGATGAAGGGAAGCGGAATCATCTGTGAGTATCAAATTGCAAATTGCTCATAGGGAACAGTACAACTAGAAGTCGAAGTATTTGATACAGCTACCTACTACATTCTAAGCTTGAATCTGCCTCGAGATTTTCTTTGGGGATGGTGCAACCTGAAATAGAATTGTAGGAAAAAACTATTGCAAATTTTTACACTAGCGACGAATTTGTTCACTTTTTATTCGATATCCTTGAGCTTTTCTTCGAGAAAGCGTCCGTGCGACTAGCTTTCTCGGTTATTCTACAAAATGTTGTTTACATTCACTTTTTTTTACCCTTCTTGCATACATACTGAACTTCCTTGACAACTCCGGTTTGATGTCGTGCCACTAAATATTGATGTTGTCTATCTGGACGTCGTGGTCTAGTACCGCAAATAAAGACAAATAGAAATAGCACCATTCCCCATTGATGACTTCCACGAGTATCGCCTCGCCGTAGCCCCCCCTCCGCACTAAATCTAGCGCGGCGAAGCGTGCCAAGCGGAGATCTTTCTGCACTACTCACACGACCACTACCCCACGCGGACTTGCTGCTCCACGACTAAGTGCTCAACAAGAAAAATCTTTCGTTTTAAAGTCCGCTTCTTCTTCTGAAGACACACAATCTCCACTGGTCCTCCTGCACTATCGTTTCTTGCTACTCCGTGATCATGTTCAGCCCACACGACTTGTTTCTCATGTGGCAGAAAAATATGCAGGAACTTCTACTAGGAAGTACAAGCACGCACAACGACCTCCACGACAACCAAAACAAGATCGCGGACATGATAGCAGGTCTTGACCCAGTGACTCTGATGGGCTACGCCGCGGTGCTGGTGTGGTTGTTTTTCCTGCCCTACGTGCTGGCCGAACTTGCAAAGTCGTGTAACAATTATAGTACCGGAGCTGGTTCTACTTCTTTCAACGGTAGTTCTTACACGGCCGCTGATAACGATCGTGTGCAAGCAGGCGGCGTGATGAACCACCCTCCAGCTGCAACAGTCGGGGGTGGTCGTGCTGGTGAAGACCAAATAATCGATGCTCATGATTTCATGTCTGAGTGGCGGAGTAGCGGTCCTGCTGGAACAAGAGCCGTCGTTCACGGGTTTTTTACCTCACTTGCTGGCGCGCGATCTTCCACCTCCGGCGGTGGTACTACACGAGGGACAGCCGCTGGCAGTTCTTCCGCAGAACAAGCTGCTCCTCACCGAACAACCGAGGTCGTCGTGACCGCAGCGGAAATCGATCAACGTCTCGAAGAGTTGCTGAACAAGCGGACGTCTTTACAGGAAGCCAGAAGAACAACTGCTGGCGGAATTACTTCTACAACGACAGGATCTACAACTTCTGTAATAACCACGTGCGGCGCAACATCGGGGAGAAATGCGACTGCAACTTCTAGCGCAGATGAAGCTGCGGTGACAACTCTAGTACCAGAAGGTATTGAAAATTATGATGACCACGAGTTAAATGACTCAGCGGCCCCCACAAGAAGTTGTACTGTGCCCTCGACTAGTACGACAACATCAAGCAGACCGACTACGACTTTAGCTCACACTAGTGCAAACAACGTCGTCGCTTTTCAAGAACCTTCTCGCCACTTAGCTGCAACAGCAAGCGGAGGAGAACTACCCTCCAGCTCGTCCACTACAGTGGCGACTAGTACCTTCACAGCGGTTACGAATGCCACCGTGAACAGTGTCAGCTCCAGCACGGCTCACACAGAAAATAATAGTACAATGGGGGCGACGTCGACGACGGCCGCGAATCCACATGTGGTGGTACCGGCATTGATCTCCACCGGCGGTGCTGTGTCTGCTTCTCCCGCCGCTCAGGATCCGAATCTTGCTCCTGGAGCTTCAAATTCAACTGCTACAGCCGCCATGCCCATGACCACCACTTCAACTGCTCCAGCGGAGGCGGAAGGAGTTCCTCCTGCGATCGCCCCACATTCCGCGGCTCAACATGATGAGCTCCAGGGCTCGTCTACTACTACTACGTCCCCGGAGGAACAGCCATCATCTCCTGCCGCTGCACCGCCAGTTGAATTACATCAAGAGCGACAGGGACAGCTGCAGCACGAGGACCTGAATAGTAGTACCACTACCACTGGAAATATTGATGAGCATAATAATTCATCGCTACAGGGGGCGGGCCTGCCACTGCAGCGTGGAGAAGAGCGCCAAGAAGATCTTCAACCACCGACGGCCACCACGACTACTTCCGGAGGAGTGGCTGTGGTTCCGCCCAATGGCATTGCAACTTCCTCTACGAAGTGCAAAAATGTCTAGGTCTGGAAAGATAAGACGCAGCGAATTTCTTGTGAAGATCCTCAGGCTTGCATGACACAGCATTAATATGCATCATAAATCCTCGCTGTCTTTCCAATTTCGCGTCACAAATCCAGACGCCGACATGTTTGCAATGCATATCTTCCAACCACTCCGGGAGCATCACCAGCTCACGGCGATCCACGCTCTCCGCCTGCAGCACCCTGAGCGCCCAGCAAGCCCAGCACCAGAAGAATTTGAGTTTCAATCGCAAAAAGCAAGTGGAGCGGCTAGAGGAGCTGTCGGAGCAATTCGAGGCGAAGATGTGTAATCGGGAGCTGGAGCGGAACTTTTACCACGATGCCTGTGAAGACGAGGAGGACCAGAAAGCGCTGCCAAGGGGACCACAACTGTGCGGCGGCGGCGCCGGGGGAAGCAGAAGCAGTAGGGCGAACAGGAACTACATCATGAACCCCGGGAGTGCTGGTAGTAGTCCTTTTTTTAACGCGGCCGCTGGTTACAATAGCAATAGTCTTAGTTCTACTGCTTTCGGAGCCTCGATCTCAGACGTGGTTGACGTCGACGGGTCTTATCCACCACTGACGTTGGCGGCCGCTAGCACCTACCAGTACAGCACCCGGCGTCGCAGCTTTCGGCAAAGTAGTTCGTCTGCGATGGCAGCTGTAGCCTCCGATGAACAAAATGGTGGGCGGAGATCTGGTGAAGACCGTGCACAGCCCTTATCTTATCCACAGCGAAATTCATACTTTTCCCGTGCACGACGTACAAGTTCTGCAGTTGAGTTTCTGCATGAAGTAACAACTTTGTAATTCCACAAGCTTATTCAACTCGGCAAGTTGTACTAGCCTGCTGTATGGCAAAGAACAATTTCTTGTGATGTTGCATTTTGTGGGTGCATCTAGCAATGGCTACGGTGTCGGTGTCGGTGAATTTTTGTTGCATACTATTGCCCAGCAAGATGAGAACAGCTCCTCCTCCTCCTCTTCCTGTCGGCATAATGGCCGAAATAAAAGCTCGTCTTCCACCAGAAACCGGCGGCGACGGGGAAGTACTAGTAACAGCTTCGGCGAAGCAGGAGCTGTAGATATAACAGGCTCAGATGTCGAATTCAAACATTTTTGAAAAAAATTTTTTAGCTAGCGAAAGCGCCTTCAAAAACTACCTAGTTTTTTAAATGATGTGATTTTAAACTAGCTAACTTAGACTCCGGTAGGTCCTTTGCGGATGCGCACGCATCCGCAAAGAACCTACCGGAACCTGAACTAACTAGCTTAGAATGCATAAGTAGCTATTTAAAGTTTAAGTATTTAGGCGCTTTAGCAAGCTAAAAAATTTTTTTCAAAATCCTTTGAATTCGACATCTGAGCCTGTTATAGTAGAGACCACGAACATAATAACGACAGACGACGAAGTTGTAACCCTAACCTCGAACGGGGCACTCGTCCGGGCATTTAATGGTAAAAACAATCGAGGTAAAAATATACCTAAGAACGGCAAGCGGGGGAATAAACGATCTGCAGGCCGGAAAAAGAAGAGCGGCAGCAAAAATACTACCCTCTTCTCCGCGAAAAATTACTACACGCGGTCGGACCTGAGCCACTACTTGGGGGAGCACACAGATAACGGCTTTAGGGACCCGATGCTGGACTACAACCATGCATACAAAACCACCGGCAGTGCGCTCGTTGCATCTACTTCCATCGGCGCGGTGGTTTCTGGAGCAGGAGGTGCCACGTCCACATCCGCAGCTTCTTCCGGAGGTTACGACATCGAAATGAAGAACGACACCGCGACTTCTCCAACTTCGGAAGTAGATACTAGTACCACGGGTGAAGAAGATGATGACAGTGAAGATAATTTTTGCGACGAGATTCACGATGACCAGCAGGCGCAAGAAAACAACAAAGCGGCGGTCGGCAAGTGCGTGATTTGCATGGATAGTATTGCGACGGAGCTATTCACCAACTGCCGTCACCTCGCACTCTGCAGCGAGTGCGCACTCGATCTCGACATTCACGATTTGCGCAAGGCAAAACAGCCCGGGAAGTCCTTGCAGCCCACGAAGTGCCCGGTTTGCCGCACCACGGGACCCAGGGTCCAGGTGTTTCATTGTTGATCTTACTGGGATGTAAGAATTCAAAATTGATGTCCACCCCCAGCCATAGTACAAAACGAGATGAACCACGTGAGCAGGAGGACCATTGCCACGTTGTCACTTTCGTTTATTTCGCGATGACCGCACAGTCTAAAAATCTTGTATTTCACGATAACCTTGCGTACTATCTGTAACTGTGTCGCTTTCACCTTGTGCAGCAGCAGAAACTACAGCTGCCGCTTCACCAGTCCTGCGACAGAAGAAGATTTTTTTGTCGCGGTCTTTTTTTGTAGCAGCAGCTACTTGCCGAGCAACTTTTTATCTCAGGGTTGGCTAGATTTTGATATCAGATTCGTTCTTGGGAAATACAAATATTCTTGAGTTTGTTTCATTCCACTACATCATTGTAATGCCAAAATGTACTTACAACCCTCCACGTCCTACTTTTATACTAGGGTAAGTGCATACTTGAAAAATGTACATAGAAAGATGAACTGACTTCCGTACAAAAAAGCGCTCTGGCATTCCTAATGTCGTCTATTCTGAGAACAGAGCGCAAAAGAAAATGGAATACGCATGCAGGAGTTCGCAGGTATCGAAAGGCTCGAGAAGTAATGGATGACTTCTTGAGCTTTCGTGTCTGCGAGACCAGTTCTTGTTCACTAGTAGCAAATTGGTTTCTGTGTTGCGATAGAATGATTTCATGCTCCTGTAGTTTGGGAGAGTAGAACTTTTTGGACTAGCATTGATAATGAAGTAGGAGAAGTAGCAACATCAAGCGTTAGCCAGTCGCTGCACTCGCAGTCTTCACGAAGAGGAGCCATTAGTTGCATGGTTGCAGTCTACTGGTTTCTTTCGTTTTGGCTTGCAAGCACTGTATGAATTTCAATTTCTTCTTTGATTTTTCTTGCAATACCGAGGAGAAAAATGTACCTGATTTTTTTTTCTCTGTTACCGTTGCCAAAACTCCCACAATCTGTCGCTGCCGGAAGAACACAAAAAAGCCAAAATTTTTCGGTACTTCCAGGCGGCCTATCAGATCCTATTGGCAAATTTCTGCCGCGTGCTGGGTGTAAGTGCTTTGGGGTATTTGGTTTTGGTAGCAAGACTACAACTTGATATGATTTTTTTCGTGCACAACATCATTTTTCAAAACGTTTTTTAACACCTGTACAAATTGGAACGACTTTTTTTTTCACGTGCAAAGAAAATGTGAAATAAACACAAGTTTTGATTTTTTTGTCGCCAGTCCAAAGAAGCTCGTTACATTTGAAGATTTTTTTGTCACCAGTCCCTGCAGAGCCGGCGCCTGCAAAGTACTAAAATAAACTCACGGATGAACAACAATAAGTGTAGCTAATCCATAAGAACAACCACCTCCTGCAAAAATGCTACATCGCAGAACCAGAAGCTCACAACAACTTCCGACGACCTTGGGGCATTATTGGCTTTCATGTCCACAAGGTCGGGAGAAGGAAGTGGGGCGATTGATAGCTTTTTTGGACCATGAGGCCGCTGCGGCCCCCAGAAGATTACGGCCTACCTCTAGCGACGTCAAGAACTGATGTATCCGAGAAGTTTTACAGTATCAGCTCCTGCTGATATTACACTGCCACTACTGACCTAGTATCACAGCTTGAATGTGATGAAACAGTCATGAGTAAAAGCTTTATAGTACCATTGTGTACGCGTACGCCGTCGAGATTGAGACTGACAGAGGCAGCGAAAGATGAAGGGAGCAAGGGCCGCCCGCATCAGAGCAACAAAATCACCGTGGTCTCGTATTTTTAGTGCGTGCAGGACCTGTCAGTGTGAGTGGTTGAAAATTGGAGGAATGCTTTTTATTTTTATGTCGGGAGAATCCGACCCGCAAATCGTTCGCATACATTTTTGTTCGTTGCGCGGATTGATATCCTGAAAAGGAGGGCAGTTAATGCTCGTAAATTTGTCTATGTTCAAAAATGTTTCAGTGCAGAGGGATTCCAGACACAATCCGCGAACATGGGTAGGTGGTTTCGTGAGGATGATCTCCAAAGAGGTACCGGTAGAAGGTCCTCGACAGCTATACAGTAAAGGAATTCTCGCGGCAAATATTTTTACGCTACAAAGAACTCTGTGACCACCGTGTCTGTACGAAAAGGCCGGTGAAGGAGTCGTGGTAGTTTGATCAAGCAGCGTCTTCTAACTCTGCGGAAAGATCTTCGATAGCGATCTTCGTGATGCGGTCTTCACTTCTACTTTATTTGCTGGCGTTAGAAGAAGTATTCAGAAACAGGACGAGACGACCAAAAGAGGATCATCAGACAGGAGTTGTGAACTTCAGACAGAGGATCTCCAGACAGTTGACGAGCTTGTGGACTTGTTCCCGACCGAAGTAAGTAGCTCCACGATGAAGGTTCTCTTCTGCGTGCATCAAAAGCTGTGATGATCCAAGGCTGGTGGTGGTGGAGGAACTGGTGCTCGTCGTGATCATGATTGTCGTGTTGAAAAAGGTTTTTCTGTTTACATACATTGCTCAATAACTACATCTTTTCGTGTGCTGGAGCGACGTAGCTCAAACAACATCAACATGTGACAAGGTAGGTAAACAAGACCAGACTGACAGCTGTTGTGCCATGTTTCCCTTCATCTGTAGCAAGATTCACTATTACCTCCCGGAGTTGCGCTTGCATATAATTGGCGTGGCATTGGCAGAGATTAAGTACTTACAGATCGACTTCTGTACGCAAGCGGCGGTTGAGTAGAAGCCCTTTACTAGGCAGGAAGACGAAGTGGGGTCATCAATCTCGATCAGGAATCGATATACTTACACGAAGTAGTTGTAAAGTAGTGCTTTATAATACGTTGTAGTACTAAAAAGTAGCACACACAGGAATATACAAGTTTTGACTTTGAGAGTTATAGACCAGTGTCTACTTCACGACGCGAATTCTTGACTACATTCAGTTCTGTTATGGGTCTTCGTCTATTTGAATTTTGTATTTGCTTCGTTATCGACGCCATGCAGTTTTGAGATCTGATATCGTTATCCGTCGCAGCAGATCACGAAAAAAAAATGGGAGATCGTTCTTACGACTCCTACGCTGGTGCCAAGTCTACCTCTTGGGGAACAGCAGGGGATCATGACTATGAAGAGTATAACCACACCTACGGGAAGATGAAACACAAACAAGGAGGAGCCATGACCGAGAGCGCCGACGCTCCTGGCGAAGCTACGGCACAACAAGGAGCCAACGACTATCACAAAGATTGGGTCGACTACAGCCAGTATAAGTCATGGGACGACAGCGCGGCTCATACCTGGAATAAAGATGCGGACATTACGTCGAAGATGAGTGGCAGCGCAAAGGCCACAAAGAGCGACTACACGACCAAAAACGAGTACCCCAGATCCGACCGGTGGAATCAAGGTAAAACCTGGGAAAACGAAAAATCAAACGAAAATGGCAAAGGTCCGCAGGAGGTGGACGTGACCGTCTGTCAGTCCTCCGGCAAAGATGAAAAAGATGACTATCAGTCCGCGTCCTACAACAATTTCGGGCGCAACTCGACCTCGTACGAAGATCCAGAGCTGCTGCACCAGGTCACTACTCCGGAGGATCCGGAAGCAGCGGCGCCGCAGTCGTCGAAGAGCTCGGGGAGCGCGAGTAGCATTTATGATGCGTTTAATGCTGCATCTTCGGGGGATAAAGCTAAAGGTGGACAAGAAAAGAACAACTTCTATGCAGGAGGGGACGAGGACCATGATAAGGCGGGGGCGAGATTTTCCGGTCGTGAAGATACTGGCATGGTCTTCGAGGTTTCTCCTTTGCCGATCATAACTTCTCAGGAGGTTTTGGACGAGTTCCAGGAAATCGAAAATCACGGTCAGAAGAACTACGGCCACTATGAAATGAACCCTGACAGGACAGCGAGCTCCTTTCACAACTACAATGACCGAAGTGCAGCTTGGAGGTCTCGTGACGACCAGCAGGAGGAGCAGAATTACGACCACAAGGCCAGTGGAAAGAAAGGCAAGGGGAAAAAGGGCAAGAAGGGCGGTAAAGGGAAGGATCGGTCGTACCACTACGGAGATACTTTTAATACCTGCGAAGATCGGGGACGGGGGAACTACGGACGGCAGAACTACAGTGAAACTTACGGTAGTCGTCATGGCGGACACGGTCCCGCAGAGGACTACGACGGGGGTGAGAGCGGTGTAGAAAAGCTAAGCTGGGAACAGCTGGAAGTGGGAAAAAAGCTCACTTCGCAACTCCGACACTATTCGGTACTACGTAGGCGTAGGTGGTGGCTTCGATAAGTAATCAACATGATTGGACCTGTTGCGTATAACGACCATGAGTGTGATCATGCGTCTTGTCTGTCGTGATGTCCTCGTGCGAAGATTTTCAGATTTTTCAACTCGACGACGCACTCGCGCACAAAGTAGAGACAGACCGCTGCTCGAAGCAGTAATTGTGTCTCTTTTGTTCTGACTCCGAGCCTAAAAAAGCCATTTTTCGAAGTTTCTAAATCCTATATGACCAATCCCAAAATCTTCCCAGCGACACGGCATGGACCGCTACGGTTTCGTCACACTGGAGTTTCTGCAGCAGAACGGCGGCCGACGGCTCAAGGACAACCTAGATCTGTCCTTGCTGTTGCTCCTGGAAAAGCTGGACTGCAAGGGAAACTGTCCGAGGATTGAGGTGTACGTTGGCGAGGGTGCACACGCGGGGGAAGTTTTTGTCCGCGCGCTTTCGAAACACACAGACGGAGATGTCGACTTGTCTGGAAAAGTGCCGGAAAAGATCCAGGGTGCTGGGGATAATGAAGATTGTGCTGCGAGTGAAACGACCTCTGGATGGGATGCAGCTGCAGCTGCTCCGAGCGAAGACGAAAGGGCTTCTAAAAATGCAAGTGCAGGAGCTGCAGCAGGTACTGCTACATTTGAGTGCTCTGGCGGATGAGTTGTGTAGTCCTTGATCTTGTCTTTCACTATCACTTCTAGCCGCAGATTTGCGGAGCTATGTCTTGCTGCCTGAACGCCGCCCTATCTGCCCATGTTGGCAGTTTTTCTCTGCAAGTCAAAACTTTTTGGCTGTTGCGCATGAGGACAAATTGAGTTATGAATGACAAATTGAGTATGATAGATAGATGCTCTACTATGTTTTTCGCCAATTAAGGTGCTGCTGCTGGCGCGGCTGCGGCGCAGGAAGAGGACCACGGATGGCGGGGGAACAAGAACTCTTACAAGACGACACAGATGGCATCATCATCAAAGCAGGAGACCACAGGCCCAGCTGAAAAAAATGCAGGATACGATTATACTACCAACGATTACAACAATTCCTACAAGAACTACTACAAAAACTACGAGGAAAAGAACAAAGACACGACGTCGAGCTACAAGAACAACTACAACAAGCACAATTACTACGACGGCGCTGCTCCAGGCACGAAGGACGACGACGACGATAAAGAGCTCCTGCAAAAAGAGAAAGAGAAGAAGCCTGCTGCTGAGCATTTTTCAATCTGTACGGAAGACGAGAAAGACGACTCCACTTTTATCGACGAGAAAGAAGACTCCACTTTTGCGACTGCGCCGCCGACAAAAATGTTGGAAAAATCCTCCTCAGTGCCAGACGCGGATGAAATTGAAAAGTATCCACTGCAAAAGTATCACACTCGTACTACTTCGAATTGCGATACTGGATGACAAATCTTAATCTCCTCTGTGATGGCCTGTGTCAGCACTGCAACTGCATTTTTGGGTTTCCTTTTTTATTTATTTTTGCTTCTGCAGGAAAAATTTGTGATGCAATTACAGCAATGAAATAGAAATGGAATGCGATACTTTTGCAATGCATACAAAGCAAAAAAAACCGGTATCCGCTGCACTGTACGCCAGCCCGGGCAGCACGCGCGCGGATGACGGGGAAAACGAGATATCATCTCCGGACGTACTCATATAATTTCATTCTACGAACAAGAAATGAGGCGCTTGCTGCCATAGATGCAGATTTTTCTACTTTCAAGGGGACACTGCATAGCCCGATGTACTTCTCCGTCGTGTCCTTTATTGTTAATGCGGCTCCTCCGTGTGCTGATCCATTTTGCGTGGGAGATTTGATCGCACATCAATCAAATCCAGGTAAACAAGACCGGAGCGTCGATTTCGTCCCTGGACAAAGGTAAAGCCGGAATGAGTGGATCGTCCCCGACGTTTGAGAAAAACGACAAGGGCGGCAAAGGCAAGGCTGAGGCGATGGCGCTGAAGGGCAAGGGGAAAGCGGACCCCTGTGCTGGAAAGGGAAGCAAGGGCAAGGTAAACTTATGCCCGTCACCGTCTTCCTTTTTTCTTTGTCATCCCCAGGTGGCTGTGTAAGTAGTCTTCGCTCGGACTTGTCAATGCCGGACGCCGTCAGTGCAGTGCTGAGTGACGTTGCTGTGGGTTGAAGAAAGTGCAAGTAAAGTGTACACAATCCAATACGGTGTAAGCATGTACTACTCTGAATTATTTGGAACCTGTAAAGCTACCAAATTACTAGGGCCCCCCACCGCCTGCCATTATTGTCCAAGATAAAAGGCTCTGGAACCAGAGATGCAGCCTCGGGCTCGAAATGCCAGTCAACACGCCTACCAACTGCGAATGTGTCTGGGTCTGGAAGCGTGGCGCTTGTTGTGCCGCATGTCTTGCATATCTGGAAAATCTGCACCGGGCGACAGAGAGGAGCCGCCCTTTTGTTTATGAATGAAAAAAGCGCCTTGTGCGCACGGGCCACCGTATCTATTGGGAGGCGTCCGCAAGAACGCTTTATGCTTGTAGTTCTCCCTGTCAGCATTTAGCATCGCAAGTTTCCAGGCCCAGACGGCACATTTGCAGTGCATCACGCAGCAGCCAGACCAAAGCCGTTTGCTTTGCCAAGCCTATTCGCTCTTCGAGTTATGCAGTGCAAAACTATCGCGCTAGCATTAGCCAGACCATCACATCAAATCCCTTGCACAGTATGAACTATGAGAAGTCTTGTCTTGCTGATTTACCTCAGGAAGGGGGTTTGTCTTGCATGTTTGCAATTTGTGCGAGTGCGATTCTTTTGCGCAGAATATGACTACCAGGAGTTCGATTTCCTTGTTCCGGAGGTGATCAAGAAGAAGGAGGAAGTTATGGCCTGCTCAAATGGAATGGTCTGAAATCGATCAAGTTTGCGACTCCATAGAGTGCTCTCGAGGATCAGTCCAGCTCCAGCCATCACGGAGCTGAGCAGTACAGCTATAGTATGAGGCTCCTCCAAACTCTGCATTGGAACTTGCACAGGTAAATTTGTCATGCACGACGACCCCTGGACGTCGAGCAGGTAGTAGTCTTGCCCGCTTTAATATGCAAGACAAGTTTAGGCTTTGCACTATTTTCATCCGGTTGAGATTTTTGTTCATCCAGTTGAGCAGGGCATAGCAGCCAACTTGAACTTCTTCCTGCACAATGTGACAGAGGCGGGAATGATCTTCAGATTGCAGGACCCGATGGATCTCCGGAGCTTAGAGGTTGCAGTGCGAAAGGAAGTACAACCGGATCCAAATGAGCGGCCCCGGGCCGGCGCGGAGAGCCAGATCAAACAGATCCAGGCGGTGTTACCGAAGCAGATGATGGTTTCTGAGGAGAGCTTACACACCCTACCGCCGCAAATTCGTGGGCTTGTGGAGCAGAAGCGTACAACTCATTATACATTCGTATTATTTTGCGCATGTCTCATCTTCATCCACTTACATTCTCTAGTAGATGCAGACTTCTTTTTCCTTGAGTTGAAGACTTGGCTAATTCTATCACGTTTATTTCTCTGCCATTTTCTCTCGAGCTACGACCACTCCCGCGATTCACTACCTGGTTTACTTGATTATGGCTTTTCCGATGAGGGTTCTTGTCTTCCGTGACAAAACATTTTTTCGAGACCGCAAATATTAACAACAGGGAACTTCATCGCGATCCAGCTTGGGGAGGTGTGGTATTACCTGTTGCACGCGGTGCCGGTCGGAGGTGGAGACCAGGAGAGCAAAACCCTTCTGACCGCTTGGATCGACCCCGTCGGCCCATCTGGGTTGAATCTGATCGGACGGGCGCCGAAAAACACCAAGAGAGTTGCGGAAATATTTGCGCAGGGGAAGGCGAAGGGCAAGGGGAAGTAGAAGGACTCTGGTGATAAGGGGGGGCGTCTCCTGTGATGGGTCGCGACGGGGTTGACCTCGTGGCAACTTGCTGCGCTTTTTGATCTTCGTTGGCCTGCCGTAGTAAACGGCTTCGATTTCGGGATAGAGTCGCCTTGGTCTACTTTGGGCAAGTCAATCATTTGAACAGGTGCTATGATCGAGATCGTTCCAATTCTTCACACGATAGCACTGCAGCTTCCCGAAAGAATTGCTCTCGTCCATGTTCATGGAAGTACAAGTACTATATGTAGCTAATGGAACAAAATGCAAAATGAAAACTGCGATGTCATCGTGTGGCGATATTAGTCAAAGAAAGACGAGTGAGAAGGATAAAGTGAAATTCAATTATTTTTGTGCGGTATCACACGGCTATACTTGTACACATGGACATGCTTCCATTCTTCACCTCTGGTCATCGAATCATAGCAACTTCATCTACGTTTGAACGTTATCTCTGGTCGATTGATGCGGGTGTAATTATTTCCAGCGCAATTGCGGTTGCTCCTGCTGTTCGCCTCGGTCAACAAGATTGTCACCAAACCGCAAGATTGTCGTTGATCTTCTACTCTTTGAAAAATGCGAGCAAGATTTATCGTAGTATCTTCGCTTATTTATTCTGCGTCGTTGAAGAACAGCGTCGCGGCATGCCTTTTTGAGTAGTCATTGCGTGGCGGAACATGGACAAAACCAATCCAATCCTTTTCATGTTAAGTAAATACTCTTGCAACTACTCCACCACGAAGATGGGCCGTAAGATGATCTTCACTGCAGCGATTATTTTCAGGACTCGGATGTAAAGGAGTTGCTGGTCCAGCTGCAGCCAGGCGCACTGATGATCACGCTTTATTTTATTTCTCCAACCCTGCTTAAAAACGCACCTCCGCACAAAGAAGATGATGATCACGATCCAGCAACCCAGATCCATTTATGTGACACAACTAACACCAGCATTTTCTATAGTCTTACACAGTAGTTAAGGCTGGTCGTGGCAGCCAACCGGGCGAAAAAACAGATAAAGATTTCTACTGCCAATTATATGGTCCAACGACAGATCTTCCCATGATGTCACCTGCTCCGACGATCTTGCGATTTTGATGTTAATTGCAGCACCACATCACAGCTTTGGCATGAAGATCCTGTTATACTACTATCTCCGGATATATTGATGTTGTTGCCCCACCTATAAGGTTTTTTTTTTGCGAGCTGCCAGATCGATGCACTCAGGGAGGAAGCCACGAAAACTTGGAATCTGCGATATGAGTATGACAAAAGTAAAAAAAAGCAGGAGGCTTGACGAAGTTGTGTTGGATACGATTTGACCACTTCATCTGTAGAGAAAGAGAAAGTGAGAACGCAAAACAATAAATATGCTGCCGGGCAATCCTGTGCCACTTTTGTTTTTTGTAAGTTGTCCCAGTAAGTTGCCATCATACGCTAGAAGTCAGTACAGCAGTAAATAAGAAGTAGATCGCTAATGCTAGAACTTAGTTCGGATCACGTCAAGATGGACGCTTGTTAGCCAACAAATGGTGTCCTCTATTCTGGCGTACTACTATTTCTATTTCATACACGACCAGCACCCGCCGTCTTGCAAATGACAGCAACTTCTACATGAAGCCACTGTTGTTTGCTAATTCTTTTTCTTGTTGAGCTGCAACGTGTCTGAAATACTCAAAGCGAAGCCTTCTGCTTCTACTCCCTCCCAAAGAACATAATTTTCCCCCTTCATCTACTTAGAAGTAGAAGAAGTGCCTGCAGCGCCGCCTAGTTAGAAGTAAACAAAACCTGAACTTCATATTCTTACTCCGAAGTTTTTCTTTTTTGTCACTTATTTTTAAAGGTGTCTCTAAAGATGGTACTCGAGTCATACTGTAGTGCTAGTGTCACTAGATCTACTAAGACACTACGTCGCTCGACATTTGTTGGAGCCCGCATGGCATAGGCATGCCTCTGTACTTCACGACGATTGCTAATCAATTTGAAAGCGACAGAAGCGCATTCTTGATGAGTTTAGAATTGTATTGCCACCTTGAACGCCTCGCGGTCGCGATAGCTGAAGAAGCCGTCGAAGTTGGCCGTTGATGACTGGATTTTTGACAGAAGGAAGCGGCATTTCTTTTCGGAATCGGCGAGGAACGGAGCAGTCGACAATCTCCTTCAGATGAAGCTGAGGACTTCGACTTACCACGGTGCTTCTTTCATCCGACGCGAACAACGAACGTCGGCGCCGCGTACACGACCCCACTGCCACGACGTAGTAGATCATCGCATCGAAACCAATAATACTATATGTTTCAGTGGAAAGTTAACGTCGCATCGCAGGCGTAAGTAGTCGATCTCTATACTAATCGACTTGCGGCCTTGCGTGCTTTGGTGAAGCCATCTTCTACCTGATTTACTATTGAGAAAAGAATAAGAAAGTAGATGAGCCTTTATCTTTTTTAGATTTTTTATCGAGTTTCGCGACGCTCGCGTTTACGGCATGCGAATACACGACTTCGAGACCGTGCGACGATAGCTGGTTCAATATTAAAAGTGCTTTGAAGTTTCTTTCATCGTGTAAGTTCATTGAATAGCTTTGTATTAGAGTAAGTAGGCAGAATAAACCCACATGATCACGACTTCTGAACGTAGTAGACGCGAGACTGCATAATTTTTCTCAACGAAGTAATTATAGATCCAAGGACGTCGTGTAGAGATATTTTGATTTTTCGTAAGTTTCCATTCCTTTTGTCGCCGCGCAGTGTTTGTTTCGAATAAACCTGAGTTCTTTGTAGAAAAATGTCGGAGCCGCAACTGAATCAGAACGCCCTACCTGCCGTTCCGGCACCAAAGCAAGCAGCAACGACCGGTGCTGGTACGCAGCAGGAAGAACCAGTGCCCGCGAGGACATCAAGTCGTGGCACGTCAACTACTGCAGCGAAGTATCATAACGGCCTCGCCGGTGCAACGGCCTCGGGCGGTGCAGCGAGTGCCCCCGACCAACAAGAAGATGCCAACTTGGCGTCGAACAAGGAACACCTCCCGGAGAGGGCGCAGCACAATCCCCTGCCCGACGGGTGGACGCGGGTGCACAAGTATCTGGCCATTGGGCCGGACGGGCAGGAGTACTCGATGCGGATCCCGAAGCCCTGGAGCCTGGGGAAAGCGAACTACGTAGACGGCAAGGGCCGGACGCGGTCGAAAAACGTGTTCCGGACCAACGACGGGCGGGAGTTCGGCACGCACGAGATGGACAAGCTCTTGTACGCAATCAAGGAGTTCAACGACAGAACGGAAGGTGCCTCGAAAAGTGGAGTAGATGTGGGAGGTGGTGGTGTAGTAAAAACAGGGACCCCGCCCGCGGCCCCTGCAGCTCCGGGTGGTCGTGTTGCAGCTCCGACTTCTGCTTCTGTTCCTGCAGGAGTGGGCACCACGACCACGAGCAAGGCAGTAGAACAGGGTCCTCGTGCAGAAGCCGCGACTCCGGGGCAGAACGTTGTCGGTGGATCCCTCCTCGTCCAGAGACCACAAGAAGGGCACCAGCTTCAACAGCAGCAACTGATTCCATCTCCAGAGCAGCGAGGAGGAGGAGTAGGTCAGCTGCAGCAGGAAGAAAATGTTCTTACAAAAGAAGCAAATTCGCAAGCGACCACGTCGAGGATCTCTACTACTAACGTACAGCTACAGGCCCCCGCAGCGACAGTGCGGGGACAAGAACACCAGCCACCGCCCAAGACGAGCGAAATGATTAGTCGAGCGGCCCAGCAGCTGGCCCAGAGTCAGCAGAGGGAGGAAGGAACGATGCGGCAGGAGGGGGGGAATCGGAATGATGTTGTGCAACAAGAGCAGCAGCAGAGCTATGTTGGTCTACCTCGTCGGGAAATGATAAACCAGCCGCAAAGCAGTACCTCTTTAAATGGTGCCGAGAACAATCGGTCGGTGGTCATAATTCCGGACGACCCAAAAATACAAGGAATACTAGACCCACGACCAGGTCCTCGCACGGAAAGAAGCCCGACGATGTTCGCCCCGTCTGCTCGTAATTCTCAGGAACAGCACCAGCACCAGCAGCACGAACCGCAGCAGCCGCAGCCCATCCCGATCCCACCGACAGCGAAGATAAAAATGGATGAACGCTCGCACAACAAGCAAAAATCCGTGACCGCCAAGAAGGCTCTAAGTAGTTTAGGACTACTGCAAGTCGACGACCATAGTGGAGGTTCCCACCCGAAGCGGCCAAGCGCTGTAGGTGGTAGCACTTCTCCAAATACCGGAGCAGGGACGACCTCATCCACTGGGGCAGGCGGGGGCATGAAACAGACTGGGGGTACTACCACCTCCTCGTCGAGAAGTACCACGAAGACGAAGAAACTGCTGACAAATTTTGTCGATGAGCACGGCAATCCGGAGCCGCCCCCGAGGTACGGCAGCACCACGCAAGCGATTCTGCGGCAGCGAGCGCCGACGGAGGAGGACTTTCTGCAGGCTTTGTACGTGAGCCAGGAGCAGCAACAGCGGCAGCAGCAGAGGCACAAGCAAGCTGGGGTTGGTGTACTAGCTCCTACTGCAGCAGCACCTGTTAGTGCTGGTGCTCCACATGAAGTTGATGCGCGGAGTCTTCATATCAATCCTGCGAACTACCAGCACGGTCAAGGCCAGAACCAGTCAGAATCTGGTGCTTTCCAAAATCCCCACTCTCCCGATTCCCAGATGATGAGCAGCCAGCAAATAAACCAGGATCCGCATTTCGTGCCGAAAGCCGCTTCCTTGCCTTTTGTAGCTGGTTTTGTAGCTGGTATGACAAAATCGAACTATGCACCAGGGGGAACAAACTCGAACAATGCATCTACAGCGCACCACCAGCAGAACTACTTCCTCGACCAGCAGAACTACAGCCGATCAGGTGCGCCGGTAGCTCCGGCCGCGCCCATGGCTATGGGTATGCCGCAACAGCCCAAGACAAGCGTGTATCATCACACCAATAAAGGAACGAGTAGAGCAGGGCACGAGCACGTCGATGCGGGACCACAACTACAACAAGCATCTTCATCTCCTGGACGACGGACACCAGCGGGCTCGAGCAATTTTGTTCCCAAAGCGGCCACCAGTTCGGCGGTCGTGCCAAAGGCTTTTATGGGTTTCGCGAATCCAAAGGACGAGGGATTGAAGCTGAAGCACCGGAAGGCCGTCATCGAAATGAACCGGTGGAAGGAAAAGTGTAACAGACCTCACCAGGGCCGTGCAGTAGATATAATTCAGCATGATAATATTTCTACCACTTCGGCTGCGGCGGGGCCTGCTTCTGTATTGTCCTCGAGTGCAGCGGCAGGAGTTGTAGCTCCTTCTTTTGGGGCGGCCACCGGAGCTCGAAGTCGCGGTCATGGTAGTAGTAAAAATCAGAATCACTCAACAGGAGCACAGGAGCAACACGACCAACAGCAACAAATTGGAATTGCAAATAACCTGCAGCAGCAAGGACCGGGAGGTGGACCGCATCAGCAGTACCAGCGGCAGCACGGCCTGCAGGAGCAGCAAAAGAACCAAAGCCAATTTTTACCTCAGCGGCAAGAACACCATGAGCACCAAAATCAGGAACATCACGAGCTGCTGCACCAAACTCATCTGCAAACAGGCCTTCAAGCAGGGGAAGTCCTCCACGCTCAACGGCAACAGCAGAGCAGCCAGCAAGTCCGCGGTCGAGAGCAGGACCTCCAAGGCCAGCAGTTAATACAACACCAGCAGCACCAGCGATCTTCGAGTCAGCAGCAGCAGCAGCAGCAGCAGCTAGGAACGGCGCAACAGTACGAAAGCGATTATGCTATTACCCACAAGCAGAAGCAGGGGCAAGAAGAAGCGGTGCAGCCGCAGCCTGGCTCTCGCTTGGGACATCAAAGTGCCGCTTCCGGCGCTCCCAGCGGCTCTCTCGAGAGCCAACACACCAGCACGGGGACGAGAGTCATTCCAGGGATCATGAACGACCGCGCAGACCAAAATCAACAAACTGCCGCTATTGGCAATGCTCCCGCCGGACCGCAAAGATCAGGTTCAGGTCGACGCTCGGGGCTATCTTCTGGGCAGCCATCTGAAATGCATATGCAAAAAATCTCCGGCGCGGCAGAACCAGAAGCCCCCCATCCGGTCGATGTACAAGGAGAAAGCAGCAGAGTAGCAGCTCCTGCTGTGGCTGGTACAGCGCGTGCTCGTGCGAATGCGTCGTATTTAGAACGAGACCACGACCACGTCGAAGATGAGAAAGACCGCACTGATATTGCAGCCTTGTCGAGCAGCAGCGGTCAACCTCATCAGCGCCGGGAGCAGGAGATAGATGGCGATAATGGGAGCACGATGTCCCGCAAGAATGTCAAAACTCTGAGTCTAGGCACCACCGAGCAGCGCCCCCTGGTGATAGAGCAGGACGACGTGACACAATTGCGATCCCCGAAGGCGCGGAGGACGGAGCCGTATCCAATACTGAAAAGTGATAGCATGAAGGAACTTAGGCTGCAGGGATATGTTTTTACCGATTGATGGTTGTATTTTTGTACATCTGGAGGTATAAGCATACTTCAACTTCTCAACTAAAGCAACTGCTCTTGTTGTGTCATGGACGTCGAGAACTCCAGGTTCGCTGGTTCAGGTGCGCACATGATTGAATGGCAGAGTTTTAGCGTTATCACTTTTTCGCTTGAATATGACCAGAAGCGGGACCACGCGGATTTCATGCAAGTTGACGCACCGCCGGGACCGAGACCGAAAGAAGAACAGCAGCAGCACCAAAAAGAGGCTCACGCTACCCGATCCGCCCGCCGTCGCGGCAGCACACCATCTGCATCACGGCAGGTCCTCGACGGGGCCGCGCCTGCAGGACTAGAAGCAGGAGCAAGAAAGGACCACCCGAAGGAAGTTTTAAAGTCAAATGAGAAGAAAGGAAAAGAAAAGGAACTGCAACTGGTAGACGAGGAAAGAGCTATTTTTATATCCGGCGCGACAAGTAGTAGGAACACATCAAGTAAAAGCGCCGGCGCTGTTTCGACCTCGAGCAACAAGCGGCGCACATCGAAGGAAAAGCTCAGCCCAAAGAGAAAAAAAGTTGATACTAACGAGGAGCATGAAACAAGAATTGCTTCGGACCTTCCAGCTGAGAATTTAAATTTTGCCGGTCAGAGGACTACAACACTGCCCGGGAAGATGAAGAGCAGCGTGAATTTGAATGCGTCCTCCAGCAGCTCTGCTGCCATCAGTAAAAATGACATTCAGCAGTCAGGTGGCAAGGTCGTGGGGGGCGCCGCTGCAGCCCAGACATCCTCCAAGGGCGGCGCGAGGCCGAACGCGAAGAGCGCTGGTAGTGAGGCGCAAAATGCAGCTCCTTTCGCAGCAGGCGGTCGTAGTAGAAGCACGAAGAGCACCAGTTTAGCTACAGCACCGAAAATAAAATCCACCAAATCGGCCGCCGCATACTAAAGGGAAAAGTCCGGGAACGGGAAAATCGGCAAAAAAATTGCCACTGGCCCCGGCGCGCTCCCCGACTCAGGTGCCCACTTTCAGGTTTGGGAGAAGGTGCGGCGGGAGGTCGAGAAACCCTGCACCGCAAAAGAGATGTCCGTCAGTCCAGGTACGGGCGGAGCATCCGGGCATGCCGGGTGCCCGGCAGTGTTAGGAAATAGTGTTAGCTCCTGGAGTTGGCGCGGGGGGCGATGTTAACGGGCAGAAAAATACACGGGCTAGAAGAAGCCAGGAAGAGGCTAAAGACACAGGCCAAAAAGGACCCGACCAAGCTCAAACACTACACCCAGCTCTTGAAGGAGTGCACAAACAAGAACACTGAGGCAGCTTCTGACACACGTACTATGGCACTTTCTAATGATTTTTGTTCACTTTTTCTGCCAGCTCGGGGCAAAATTTTCGAACTCCGGGAATACGACATGTGGGGGGGTCCCCAAGGGGTGTCCAAATCGGTATTCCCGGAGTTCGAAAATTTCGCCCCAATCGAGGGAGATAGCCCGGGGGGGCAAAAATTTCGAACTCCGGGAATACCATTTTGGACACCTCCGAAGACACCTCCCGGAGAGGGGCCTCAGGAGGGGACCACTCCTGGTATTCCCGGAGTTCGAAAATTTTGCCCCATCCCCCAATTTGAGATGGCAAGGACCGATGCTAGGGAGGCGCTTTGCGCCTCCACAAATGCCCGCAGGCCAGCCGTTCGCGCCTCAAAGTTGGCCTGTCGGCCTGGTGGCGTAACCCTTTTTCGGCTTGCGGGCCTCGTGGGCCCGCCTTCTTTCTCGGGAAAGAGGTAAGTCGGCAAGCGCCTGAAGGTGTTTTTTAGCTTTTGAGCGAAGATATCCTATCCGGGGCAACAAGCTCGCCGAATCGCCCAGATGCTCCCGTACCTGGACTGACGGACAGCTCTTTCGCGGCGCTGCGCTTCCGATCTCCTGCAGCGCCTTCTCCTCAACCTGAAAGCGGGCACCTGAGTCGGGGAGTGCGCCGGGGCCAGTGACAATTTTTTTGCAGATTTTCCCGTTCCCGGACTTTTCCCTTTAGTACCGCAGCGGCTGGTACTACAACTAGTATTAATCAAGATAAAAACGCCACTATGGACGACGTCAACCTGGATGTCGACATCGAGGACAATCATAACTTGAAGGTGAAAACGAAAAACGTATCGAAAAAGAAGCAAGACGCGAAAAAGCTCCAGGAGATCGTTGTCTTTGACTCCGGGGAGAAGTTTCTCGTTAAAGCGGAGATGAATCTGACGAAGGACAAAGCCTATGTGCAGACGCAAGCCCGGTATTTACGATTGCTGCCCAACCCTCTGTGGCAAGCCGCGCAGCAGGATAAGAAGTTGCAGGAGCAGGAGCACGAAAAGGTGGAAATAAGCGAGATGATGAACAGGGTCGAAACGACAACGGCCGCTCGGGAAGAACGGAAAGACTCCGCTTCCTCTTCGCACCCCCGTCGGAGCCGGGGTCTGAGTATCAGCAGCCGAAACCTGTTGAAACTCAACCTCGATAACGGTAATATTCTCGAGGACAAAAACGAAAACCACAGCGAGCACCGGGAGGTGAATCAGGACGATCATTCCAGCAGCGATAACGACACGGCCTCCTACCTCTCTGGCGCAACCGGAAAAACTTTTCACTCCGCCGGGGGGACCAAGTACCAAGGGAGTAGATCTTCGCGAGTCACACGGCAGGAGATTCAAATCAAGATGAACTCCCTGAAACAGGTGGAAGAGCAGTTCCCGCACTGCAAAGCGCTGCTGAGCGAGTGCTACAATAACCTGAAAGACCAGCTGGAGAAGAAATACGGCGCGGAAATGCGTGCCCAGGTGGTGGCCAAGCCGCCCAAGGGGGTACCAGCAGGAGCTGGGAAGATGAAAGCTACAAGTGCGAAAGCAGGAGGAGAGCCAAGAACGCACACTGTAGTTCGGGAAGACGATGATGATGAACGGCAGGATGAACATCTTCAAAGCAGACCTGTTTACGACCACCTCGGAGTAGACACGAGTTTGGGAGCACCAGCGGCATCGGATTCGTCATCCTCTCGTGTTGGTGGTACTTCTATGAATAAAAAATCGAATTCCTTTTCACAACCATCAGCTGCACGACCACCGGCCGCGAAGAACATCAAGCGAGCGCAGGGGAAGGGCGGAAAGCCGAAAGACGGGAGCACGAGTAGTGGCCGCGAGGAAAAAACAGGCATCCACCTCTTTGATAAAAAAGCGAAAACGGATCTTGAAAATGATGATGATGATGATGATGGCGATGTTCCTCTGGTGCTGAATGACATTGACTTCGGGGAAGATTTTCTTCAGGCAGATGACCCCGCAGCTGCCTCAGCGACAAGTGCGAGAACATCAAGAAATCTTCCGTTGTATACAACCAATGCGACCACGATGAAGAGGGACCAGCTTGCAGATATGGCTAGCAGAGCTGCTGGAAGTGTAGTTGTTGGCAACAAAAAAGGTGGTGCTCCTGGAGCAGCATCGGCCGATATTCATCAGTCGAAAGGCACGATGAAGCCGGCACAGCCGACACAGCTGTTGGCTGCGGGAGAAGATGAAGATGGTGACCACGTGGCCAACGTAGCGGATGAGCTACAAATAAATGGAGCAAAAGTAAACACAATGTCCTCGAAGGCGGACGGTGGTATATTACTGGGAACAAAAGCTGGTGCGTCGAGACAGCCACGCACCCGACAGACGACGAAGCTGCGGACGCAAGTGCCCAAAATTGTGCCGGAGTTGGCGGCGGACTTTGTTGTCAACAAGAGCCTGGTGATTGAGGAAAGTTACCCGTTTTGGGCACCGTATCCTGTGCAAAAGTATCGTGCTCGTATTGCAATCATGCATTACAAGTTTTTTTTCTCAAGGTAAATCCGCATTAGGAATTTTATTTCTCACGCTGAGGGAATTTGTCATGCATTTATACGAGTGCGATACTTTTGCAGTTCATACGCCGCCAGTTTCGTTTATGGAATTTGGTTCTGAGGAGGAGCTTCACGACGAGAATGTGGAGGACGAGGAACAGGGAGATGAAGATGATGAAAGCGGGGAGATGCTTGTTCAACCAGCTACGGACGAGCTGGAAGTACAGGTAGAGCACGGTGCAGGGGATTATGTTGAAAAGGCTGCTGCGGTGGACCAGGAACAGGAAGGCGATAGCGCGCAGGTATGAAAGAACATTATTTGAGCTTTTACGAAGTTTTATTTCGCTTTTCGATTTTTGATAGAAGACGATTATACATAAGCAGGTCTTCTATTACACACAGACATCACCTCTTGGCTCGACAAACCACTTCGTAGAAATAAGAACATGCATGAAGAAAATCGAAGAAGTAATCAAATTATGTAAAAATAAGCACAACTTGAAATCAGGACGCCCAAGTAGTAGAACTCCAGCCCCCTGCTCCTGTGATCCGCTCCTTCGTGCTGTCCAGCGAACTGGAGAAGAATTTAGACCTTCCAAGCCCGATTTCCAGTTCGGCCACGCCTAGTTGGGTCGACCAGAGTCCGGTGGAGTCTTCATCTTCCGTCGGGAGCTCTGTGGACGGCAGCGGTGCCGGCGCTCTGAAAATGATCGGCTCATCTTCGTCGTCGTCTAGTAGGCGAAAAAGTTTTACCAGTAACCAACTTTCATCAGGTGCGGCTCCTCGCGCCCCGAACAAGAACCTCTTCGCACCATTTGCTGACCAAGGAGGTGCGCCGGCCGGCGCAGGGACAGTTTCCACTTCTACCCCAACGCTGATGGTAGTGCCAGCAGAAGGAGGAGGAGGGGCCGCAGCTCCTGGTGCCGCGGCCTCGCTCCTGGTCGAGCACATCGCTGAAGAGTTTTATCGCGAACCCGTTGCACCAGTTGGTCCGCCCCCTGTTGTGGAAGGTCCTCGAGCAGGAGCCCCCCGAGGACAACTGAATCAGCAACAGAATGTCTGGATCCGGGAAAATCAGACTGCTTTGGGAAAGCAATGGAATTTTGAACAAATGCCAGGCGGGTTTTCATCAACAAAAGAAAGTCAAGAACATGTTGACGGCGACTACTCGCCAATGGACGTAGTGGAGCCTCGACGAGCTCCTGGAGGACAACAGCGAAGGACACCAAGCAGACAGCCGAAGCTGCTTCCCCCGAAGCAGGAGTTTGATATTTCCTTTCAGCAACAACATCAGAGCGGCTTTCATCTTCCAACGTCTGCAGGAAGTAATAATCAGGAGACATTCTTCAACATTGGCAATGTTGTGAACTGTTGTGCCATGTATGACTGCACGGCGCACTTGCGCAAAGACGGGAGCAGCAGTGGAAGTTCTGGGAGCTATAATTTCCTTCAAACAGGGTCTATGTCGGCTTCACCTGCTTCCTCTACTGGTGGAAAAAATCACAACATGAAGTTCGCCTCGTCCTCCGCTGCTGCGACCGGCAATTCCGGAACAAGGGGCCGACGCAGCACGACCAATCCAAACACTGCCGGCCGGGCCGCGACGCACCGGGGAGGAGCTGGCGGTAGTAGAGGACATCACCAGGAAGTAGACAAAAGACTTTTGAATTTATCGTCTTCTCCGAACCACAGAAATGATGCAGCAACCGCGTCGAACCACGCGCGGAGATCGAAGTCCTCCGTGACGGGAATGATGAATGGTGGGGGAACAACTAGTACGAACAGGGGAAGGTCGAAGTCCGGGGGAAAGAAGATGAACCAGAACAGGCAAAGTGGCCGAGGCAGCTACGATGATGAGCAAGGTAAATTGTTTCTCCCCGATGGAGAAGAGATCACTACGGAGGAAGAAACTCATCTGTATGCATTGCAAATATGTCTGGGTCTGGAAGAATGCAGGAGTTTGTCATGTAGATTTTGCATGACCCTGACCCATGAGGTCTGTGATGCATGCCCTAGCATGAGAGATTTTGCGAGGGCTTTCTGATGCTCGTTCTGCATGAGAAATGCCCTCTCCGCGTAGCACAAATTACAACTTTTTTGCTGTTCATGCAATACAGATTTTATGTAGAGTCCAAAGGTAGCATCACAAATTGCATCCTTCCAGACCCAGACACATTTGCAATGCATAATCTGGCCGCCATGGCGATTTTGAAGGAGAAGTTTGCGTCGCGGCGGTCACTGGACATCATGGTCTTCGACGAGTCCCAATTGGCAGAAATCGTTTTGGTCAAGCTGATCCAAACGAAACAAGTGCTTCTTTCACCGGGCCACCGCGACAAGAGCCCCTCGGCAGCGTCGAATTGTAGTTCAAAAAGCCTCAAAAGCAGTGGCACGCCGGCAGCTGGAAGGAATTCCAAGCGAGGAGAGATGAACTTCAACAAGCAACACGAAATAAGCCGCGACCTGTCGCTGACAAACACGACTTCCTACCGGTTCGAGAAGTGGTTTACCCTCTGCCACACGGGGGCTTTTACCAAGGATTTGAAGTTCATCAAGTACAATCCGGAGAGTAAGTTGGAGAGAACTTCCCAGGTGTACTCGGAACACCCACGACTAGGGCTCCTCTTGGTCCTGCGCGGCGACGGGCGACTGCAGATTTTTTCCTTACCGAAAAACCCACCAAAGGGGAGAAATCTGTCTCTGGACCAAGAGCAGAATAGAACGAGATCGAGGCGAACTCGCCGGACAAATAAGATCGATCGCGGAATGCCGCAGTTGTTTCTGCCGCCGGTGTGGGAAGCGCGCGTGGATATTCCGCACAACGGGCTGATGACGCGGGAGTTGGACAACCGGGACTACCGCTCGGGGGAGTACTTGAAGGGGAACTTCGCCACCGGGGAGTTTTTCTGCTTCGCGGTCTGGGATCACGTGGGGGTGGAAAATCAAAGCTCTGGCGACGACGTGGACCCCGGCGATCATGGCGCAGCTGCCCTAGTAAGCAACGCGACACCCGGCTGCGCGCCTGAGCCTGTTGGTCTTGGTGGTGGTGCTGTTGCAGGGAGCAATATTAATAAAGCGAAAGGGACGAGCAACATGTTGCTCAGTACTACTGCAGAACAACAAGGAGGCAGCAAGAAAAGCAATACTGGACCTCCAGCACGTGGAGCTGTTGACAACAAAGACAAGAAAGGAACCCAGTCCCCTACAGTGCGCACACGAGAAGCAGAGTCGACATCTCAACTGGCATCTCCAGTGGCGCGCAGAACGCTTCTAATCGCCGCTGGAGAACGGTACGGCGGGATCCGGGTTTACGCGCCGAAGGGCAAGGTGAATAACCCGACGTTGCTGGTGGAAGACGCGGGGAAAAATCCGCACTTCAGTCGCTTGCGACAGTTGGAGGCAGACTACATGGGCGGGCGGGAGGACTCAGCTCATGCACCAGTAGGAGGTCCTCGTGGGGGTCGTCCTGTTGGTCCTGCAGGTCGCGACGAGTCGAGGCACGGCAAAACCTCGGCATCAAAGATGAAAAATGTATCGTCCAGTAAGACGAGAAAGCAAGATGCACAACAAGATCGAGAGCTGCAGCATGAAGGACCACCAGGTCCAAGGCAGCTGCATTATCAAGGCGGACGAAATGAAAACAACAATCTAGTACAACCCTCGCCAATATTTACCGAAGACCGCGACCATCTCGTTGCTGTTCTTAAGCCGCAGCTGAAGCAGAAAGCCATCACGGCCGTGGCGTTTTCCCCGGACGGAACCTCTCTGATCAGCGGGGACGCGAGCGGGAAAATTTTCGTCTACATGCTGCCCACCGGGGCGATGGAGGATGTTGAAGGGTCTACTGCCTCCACGGCGAGTTTTTCCACCACAGGAGCCGGTGCTGCTCCTACTTCTCGCGACGACGACAACGACGACGAAAACAACGGCGACGCCACGGTTTCCGCTGGTAAAAATTCTTCCGCGAATAATATTAAGGCGAAGGCTGCAACTTCCGCCACCACGTCGCAGAAACGAAAAAGCAGCGGGGGTTCATCTCGCGGGGCTGGTGCGGCTTCGGCTTCTTCTTCGAAGCAGCAGGGCCGAAATATAATGGTGAAGAACATGAACGACGTTGACGTCTCTATGGAACAAGTTGGAACTACCGCCAAGGATAATTATCTTCTCCCCCGCACAGGTTCATCTCGTCCTGAAGGCGGCCCACGTCGCGCCGGCTTCCACAACATGATGAAACCGCTCGACGATAAAATCAGCAACGACGACATTTACCCCGAAAAGTTTTCCAGGATCAACAGGGCGACCTCCGCGCCGATCGCGGTCTTCCAAGCCCACCCGGTCCCGATCGATCAGCTCCAGTGGTCCATGACCAACATGTCCGAAGTGTTCGTGCGTCAGTGGCGCGAGTCGCAGGTTCTGAACCTGTTCGAGGGGCAGTTTCAGGGCCTGAGCTTTAAGGTGAAGGAACAAGAGCTAATAGTTGATGTACCAGCAGCGGAGAATAAACCTGGCAGCAGCTACTTAGCGATGAAACAGGAAGCTGCGAACTTGATGAAGCAGCAACCTAACCTCCAGGGGACCGGGGCGACCACCCCGGCTTCCTCATCCTCTGCGTTAGATTTTTTGGACGAGGTTGAGAATCCTTTGGGGCAGCTGAACCTCGGGACTGGTCCGTTTGAAGAAGACGATCTGATGGACGACAACGATAAGATGAAAAGCAGAGCGACTTCTTCGACACAAGCTGCACAACTCCAGCACGACCATCAAACCGGAAAGAAACAAAACAACAACAATAGCAAGCCATTCCAGCACCAGCCGACCAAACCCGACTCGTCCTCTACGATGAAGATTTGGTCTGCGGGCCTGCACGGCATTTCCTGCTTGTCTTGCTGTGACACAGTGCAGGGGGGATTTCTGACCGCGTGGGACACCGGGGACGTGTTGTGGTTACTGCCGAAATCCTTGAAAGCGCACACGAAAGTCACCATGCAGCAGTGGTTTGCCATCAGTTTTGAGCAGAAGAAGTTGGTGAGTAAAGGGGAGGACGATCACGGAACGGGGGAAGTAGCTCATGATGCTGATCCTTCTTCTTTGCCCCTGCTATCCTCGTCGAGAATGAACAAAAATGCCACGATTTACTCGTCTACCGCGCAGCAACAACCTTCTAGTGGTGCGCAACAATCTACTTCCACGACTTCGTTCTTACCGAGCAACAACCTCGGCAACGCGAATGAGCGGTGGAACCAGGCCATTCAAGAATCCTACGACAAAATCTCGGGCGGACAGGAACTGATCACGAGCAAAATCCGGGAGAGACACCGGAGTTATTTGGAACTAGTTTCACAGAATCAGGAGAACATGACGAGAAGTACCACGAGAACCAGCGACAAGACAGAATTACAACTAGCGACATCTTCACATGATAGTAAAGCGACATCTTCAACAAAGGCTCTCTCTTCCTCAATTATCGGGGTTATCGCGACAAATTACGGCTTCAACAGTCGCGGAATCGCGATGAACTTGCAGCCACTACTGCACCAGGTACGGAATTGCGAACAGAAGGTGAATCTGATGAGGGCCGCGAAAGAACCGAGCGTGATGACAACGGCAACAAAGCTTCAAAGCAAAAACTTTTCTCCTGGATCGTCCGGCGCGGGCGCAGGCAGCTCGAGCAGTAGTTTTCTGTTACAGGAAGACTTTAGAAGTCAGAAAAACGTGGACCAAGGTGGTGATGCGGAGCATGAAGTCACCGCAACATGGAAGCAGCTACCGATCACCGCTTGCAGTGTCTGTCCACGGGCTGGCGACAACGGAATGTTTGTTGTGACTGCGAGCGCCGCTGGAATCGTGCGATTTGCACCCCTGAAACTGCAGGAATAAGGAAAGCTACTTTCTTCACTCAGATTTTTCACAACTCAGTTTGTTGATGTGTCGGATTCTTTGACTTGACATAACAGCACGTGAGCCGTGTTTCTTCAGTGCACGCAATTCCTTACAGTTACAACTTTTCTTTTCAAAAAAATGACAAGCGAAGAATCCATTGCTTTTCTGTGTACTTGCATTTGTCAACAAAAAAAAAAACTGACCTCCGAAAATGCCTATGCCGCTGCTGTGCTCGCTTTCGTTGTTCCTCCTCATGCGCTTGATTTGTATTTATTTGATTTAGCAGGTTACTCTTGCCTCGAGGTCGAGTTCCCTGGCGAATCACTTGTCTTCACGTTGTCCACCTGAGGTACTTACAGCTTTAGACAGATGCTTTTGAGTGACACGAGCGACCCGCTGCGAGGACGTTCGTCGAGTAGTAAACAAAATAAATGGCGAAGAGAACTACAGTTGTAGAGCGTCTGCAAACGGCTTTTTACCTGTGGAGGAAATCCAAATCGGAGTATCTATATAATGCGCAATCAGTTGCACACCCACGCGCACGTGGTGATCGTACCATTTCCAGTTAACATTAAGAAGCGCTTTGTAAAATATTCATCTGTCACTACTCCTACTGCTAGGCCTAGCGTATATTACTAGAATTCAAAGTCGGCAGCTTCGGCACAAAGACCAACGACAACTCTAAAAATGAGTACCGCGAAGGCTTCCATGCAGGGCGGCCCAACGTCCACCGCCCCCACAAAGATTCCGAAAAAGCGGCCGCTGTCGTCCTCCAACGGCCACGCGGTGCAGTGGCGCACGAAGGAGGAACGCACGGCGGAGGAGGAGAACTATGGCGTGTTCAGCTGTTACATTCTGAACTGTTGCATGAATTTGTGATGCAAGAACGGAAAAGGTGGACGGGGTGACCTTGCGCGTCTTGCATGACAGATTTGGAACACTTTCTCAGCCTGATTGGCCCTTCAAGAATTTGTCATGCGAAGCAGCTTGACCATGTCGATTCTGATTGTAGTTTTGCAGGACAAATCATATACCTGTTGAGAATGTAACATTTGAGAACGTCATAAGATCCGAAAGCAGGTCCTGGCGAATTCAAACATGCGAAAACTGAACCAGACTAGTAGTACAGGGAATAACAACATAAGTACAACGACATCGAAGATGAATGCTCGTGCTGGAAATAATCTATGAACTTGAATTGCAAAAGTGCCGTACTCGTATAAATGCAGTACAAATTTCCTCAGCATGAGAAATGAAATCTGTAAATGCGGACTTACCTTGGGAAAAAAATTTGCAATGCATGACTGCAATTACTACGAGTGCGATACTTTTGCACAGGATGTAATCCAAATGCCAACGACATCACGATGTCCTTTGCCATGGACCCGGAGACAGCGGATTTGGTGGACTATCAACTGCAAATATGTCTGGGTCTGGAAACTTGTGATGCTGTTTGGCGAATCTTCATGTGGACGCCTTCATCGACAGCCAAGCATGACAGGTTTTGGAATTGCAATTGCTATAGTCTTGTCTATCTGCATGACAAACTACTGCGTTTCTGCATGACAGAGAAGTGTGGTTTTTGGTTGGCGCGCATGACAGACTTGAGAGCCATGCCAGACTAACATGACAAATCTCGCAATCTCCCAGACCCGGACATTTTTGCATTTGATATGGACATGGTGAACGCAAATTCCGCCACTTCGGTGGAGGAACAGCTGATCGAAGCATTGAAGACGAAAGTGAACATGCTGGAAAACGAGAACAAGATGCTTCTGACTAACGCAGGAAACAAAACTTCACCGGCTGGTCAAATTGCAGCAGGAGGTGTCGCTCCCACGTCCTCCAGTTCCGACGTTTATTTCAGCGGAGGACCAGCTGCAACAGCAGCCCCCGCGCAGAACTCAAATCCTGGCATCGCAGACCCGCTGAACCTGAAGTGGGCGCCGGCGCACACGGAGAAGTTGGTCCTGGCACTGCATGAGTCCGAACAGAAGAACAAGGAACTGCTGGACACTATTGAGACGCAGAAATTAGAGATCAAGAAGCACTCCAATGAGCTGGTCGATTGCAAGGATAACCAAATCCCCATGTTGAAGAAGCACCAAGAGGTGTTGAAAACGCGGATTGCGGAACTGGAAAAGCAGGCCGTGACGGACTTGAACCGCATCCAGGAGCTCGTCGATGCGAATATCCTGTGCAACAGATGATGAAATATCGCACTCGTATGGGTTGTCTACCTGAAAATGCATTATTTACAGATTCCGTCTTTCATTTTTGATGCGCTTTAGTATAAATATTAGTGCGATACTTTGATTTGGTTTTGCAGTGCATAACGAACCAGAAGCAGCAAAAGGAGATGAAGAAGCAAACCATCCTCTGTGACGAGCTGAAGATTGAGAATCGGGAGTCGACGAAGCGGATCACAGAACTGCAAACCGACGTGGACTCCAACGTGATGGGCCGTACGCATCACAAATTTCAATTCTCCAATTCATCACCGTGCATCGACGATAAAGAAACATGTACGATGACAATTTTTGCCACTGTCTGAATCTGAAACTACGCAGGTGAACTTGTACTGCTGAGTGAGCTAGTGCAGCTATGCTGGTCAGAACCCCTCTTGTCAAATCGCAATTGCACGCGCGCACGCCAGAACGGTTGAAATTTGCCATGCATAAGCCGCAACCGAGTGGAGCAGGAGTTAAACACGCAATTGTCGGCGAAGTCAGGAAAGTTGTCCGACTTGGAGTTGGAAAAGAAAGAGTTGGAGATCATAATATGCAAAACAAAATAAGTACTACAACTACTACCAATAGATACCGTACAACACTCCGGAACAGGAGCGGAGAATCAATAAAGTGGAAACAAATTCTTGTTCCGACAGGCTAGAGAAAAAAAGCGACTTTGTCATGCCGAATGAAATCGGTTCTGTCATGAATAAAACTGGCCGCCCTCTATACCCAGTATATAAACTTGTACGGTAAAAATTTTCTTCCAAAGTGGATACCTCATCGCGGAGAAGGACAAGCAATTGCAGAAGCTATCGAACAAAAAAGTGTTAGCGTTAACGGAAACGGTTTTCATACATTGCGAATACACATAGCAAATTTTGCCCAGGATGCATGCCATACATGACAAATTTGGGAACGTTTTGCGATGCATTACTGCGTGACAAATTCAAATTCCGTTAACGCTATACACTTTTTCTTCTGATAGAAGCTGGACAGTTACCAGAAAGCACTGCTAATGCCTGCCGGGGAGAATTTGCTGTTGAAGCAGCTGTATGCTCTGCAAAAGTATCGTACTCGTAGTACTTCTTGCACTTATGCATTACAAATTTTTTTGTTTTCTTACGGTAAATCCGCATTACAGATTTCATTTCTAATGCTGGGCTAATTTGTATTGCAATTACAACTACTAGTACGATGCTTTTGCACAGGATAAGCTGCAAGATTTGAGGAAGGAGCAGTCGCAGACCATGTCCGCCCTCCAAGCCAAAGTCTCGGACTTGGCGGAAATCAACGACAAGTGCATTCTATGCATTTTTGCAAAAGATCTATCGCATTAGGTTGTAATTGCATCACAAGTCATTTAAGTTTCCAAGAGAAAAAGAAATGATACTGAACAAAAACCGGATACATCATGCAGACTCAGGTATCAACGCACGCCCGTCATAAAACATACTTACGTGGCTGCAATTCGTCACATTAATGCGATAGTTCTTTTACACAGGATACACCAGGTACGAATCATACCAGAAAAATTTACTATCCGAGATCGCGTCGCTGAAACAGGAGCTGCAGACGAAAACGGAATTTTCGCAGTTACTGCAGCAGAAGAATCAGATGCTGGACCTGGACCAGATGGAGAAGAAGCAGCAAGGCCAGCTATCCGCAGTAAAGTTGATCCCGAAATTATCCCATCCGCATTGTAGTCTACTTGCATGACCACGATTTATTTTTGTCCGCATTGTAGTAGTGACATAAATGACATAGACATTGACAAGTCGTGCCGATCGTGAAGCTAGGAAAATTTGTCATGTATTTTGTGCGTGAGTGTGTAGTTCATCGGGAATAATTTGTATTGCATACCAGCTCATCGAACAGTACAAGGCAGAACTGTTGTCCAAACAAGCTTATGCATTGCAAAAGTAAAAGTATCGGACTAGTAGAATTCGCATGAAAATTTTGCCACAAGCACGATGAAAATAGGCGCAATCTGTAACAACATGCATGTAGTGTAGGTAGCAAAAGCCCAGATCTGTGTCTGTCAAGCGAGGCTGTACGAGACTGATACTTTTGCATCGGATAAATCCCTGCTGCAGAAGCAGTACGAGCTGAATGACGAATTGTCTGCTAGGCTGTACTCCGTCTACGAAACTGTACCGGCGGAAGCGGTCGAAGCTATCACGAGAAAACGTGTTAATAACGTCAACGGACTTTGTGATGCAAGGGCGCATGCGTAGACACAAGATAAAATTGAAATCTGTAGTGTGTAGCATCCATGGTAGGCAAAATATGTTATCCCTGCCTGCAATCTGTGAAGATCGTTGGTGGCGTTAGGAGCACGTTTTTGGTTGATAAACGCGTGGCTAGAGCCAGAAAGAAGGAAAAGAAAGGAGTCGGAAGCCGTGGCAGAAATGTACTTTTCCACCTACTGTCATATTGATCTAGTGATGTTTCTCTGGTGCTCATGCATTTATGTGGAGGACCACGTGTTATCCAACTTACCACACAAAATCAAGCAAGAACCAACACACAGCTACAAGGAGGAAGCCAAGCGGCTGCAGACCGATCAAGCGTCTCTCTCCATCGAGGTGGCGCATTTGCAGACGAAGCTGACGGCGGCTTCGGAACAGGAACAGCGGTTACAGAAGAAAGTGGTCGAGCAAACCATGCGGATCGAGGAGTTGTTGGGAACTGGGGCATGAGAACTGGTTAAAACGCAGGAAGAACGGAGGATTTCCTGTAATAAACAGGAACAACAGGAAAAGGAACGAGTCAACACCAGCACTGAAGCCTTATGCACAGCCTTGTGCCTGCTTGTTGATGTTAGTTTGTATTCTACCAGAACAGAGAGCTCCTTTTTCGTTCACGAAAGTAGAATGGTTTTGTCCTATTGATGTCACGTTACGACCTTGAAAAAACGAGTTGAAAATAAAAGTCAAATCCAGACTGGTGGCTCATTGGTCACTATGCCGTCGAACACTGATGAAAGGAATGCTCCCTCAACTGTGTGAACTCTTGACCGGGCAGAGGCACGATCTACTTACTTGAAGCTATTTTTTTTCCAACGAAAACCGGAACCGAACAAGGAAACGCAGCGGGCCTCTGTGAATTCAATCCAGACGTTCGTAACTATGTTGCTGTGTGTTTGGCTTTGGATTCCTGTGCAGCTTCAAGCGCAGACCTTGTAGTGGAACCGCAGCTGTTGAGAGACATGCGCATCACTGTGGTACTTGACTGATTAGAATGAAATACGAATTGGAAGAAGTAGTAGTTAATGGTTGAGTTTCTGCATTGAAGATGCATAGCCCAGCCTCCTCCTCCAATTACTTACTCTCGTTGAAACACAGTAGAGGTGAAGAGAGAGCCCGCGTCTGGTTATGTTGTTACCAGCTATGGAAGTAAGTAGGGGTAGTCTCGTTCTTGATGCCTGCTTTAACATCTTGTTTCGTCGTTCAGATGCACGTCGTAAGCATATTAAGATCGGCGACGCTTTGAGCATCTTATGCTTATCTGGGAGCGCTAGCCCACATTCCACTGCTTGTTGTCCAGTATACTAATTGCTAAAAAATGCTCTCCCCTCTGCAGCAGTCTCGTTGGCGCCTCGCCATCACTCTTCTCGCCCTGTACTACACCGCTGGTGTGATTGTTTTCCCCCTCGTGGAGCGTCAGGCTGAGTTGGACACTTACGAGCAAAACCGAGCGCTATACAAGGCCATGAAAAAACTCTACTCCATATCCTGTGCAAAAGTATCGTAGTACCGGCAGAAGTCGTATGACAATTTTTTTCAGCATGACGAGAACAGCAATTTGTGAAGATGCGGACTTATTTGCCTTTACGTTTAGGTAGAAAAAACACTTGTAACGCATGATTGCAATTACGATTGCCCCGCCGCCCGTGCGAAGATACTTTTACAATGCATACTAGTTCGAGTACTGCAACGACCCGGCCTTCGAAGGCTTGTCCTTCTGCAAGAATCATATGACAGTGCACATCTCCCCGTCTACTTTGTCCCCCAGTTGGCAGTCTGCATGAGCACTGCAACAGAAGCGCCAGCAAAGATGCAGTTTATCCATCGCATCGTTTGATATGCTGGTGCTGGAACCTGCCATGCAGGCAGTGCCAAAAAGCAAGAGCTGAGGTTGCTTCTTTGCACGACAAATGACGGCAGAACGAGCGGGAGCCGTTGTGCACTTTCATAAACCAAGAAAAATTTTCCGAAACCTTGCAAGACTACTTCAACAACGGAGCTGATTATGACTATGAGCTTCTGAAGTCGGAAGCAAAAGCGGTGAAAAGCAAGACGGATTTACTCAGCACCATCGCAACGCGGACAGCGGAGCTAAAGCTGTTTGGATTCGGGGGGCGGAAGCTACTATTTGGAAAGCAGCAAGGAGGCGATGAAGGTGAAGCTGCTACAACATCAGGCGACGATGCAACGGAAGCAGAACAGGAGGACGCACAGCAACGCATAATACCAGAATTCGCTTCATCTTTACCACCCTCCTCCTCGAGGATGCCGTCCGTACCCGCAACTGAAATAACACAAGAGCATTCAACTGAGAACAAACGTGCTATCAACACATCTTCAGAACAAGAGGACCACCAATCAGCAAAATCGCCTTCGCACCACGACGAGCGCCAGCCTGCGCGCCCAGGTCACGACTCTTATCATCATGATGGCTTCAATAACGTCGCTGTGAGAAAAATGAGTAAACAAAACGAAAATGGAAGCAACGTGCATGACATCTCCACACGCGGCTCCGCTTTGCAAACGGGCATAGAAACAAGAATTTCATCCTCCACCAAGACTAGCTCAAGCGATAAAAACCGGAGCAGCCGGCGAAACAGTCTGGTGGACCAAAACAACTGGTCCTTTTGCGGGACTTTGTTCTTCCTCACCAGTCTATCAACTGCAAAAATGTCTGGGTCTGGAAGTTGCAACCGGTGATGCGCATTTCAGATCACACGAAAATCTCTCATGCATGGAAAGCAGAAGTTGCCCATATCTTGTAACCAAAACAGCCGATCTGTCATGCGGACCAGGCATTGAGAAGCTGTCTCAAGTTTTGTGATGCTAGACCCGCATTCCAGACCTTTTGGGGCATCCAGAACCTGCATGACGAACTTCTGCACTCTTCCAGACCCAGGCACATCTGCATTTGATACAGTCTCGCAACCACAATCGGCTACGGGCACAGTCATCCGGTGACTTCCGGCGGACAAATGCTGACGATCGCCTTCGGGGTGGTGGTATGAGCTGCAAAAGTGTCTGGGTCTGGAAGATTGCAACTTGTCATGCTGTTTTTGGACTCTAAACGAAATTGCATTGCATGACCAGCAAGAGGGGTACAGTTTGTGCTACACGGACAGGGCATTTCTCATGCGGAAATTGCATGACCAGGAAGCCCTCTAAATGTCTGCGATGCTAGGTCATGCATTACAGGCATCATGGGTCATGAGAAATATGCATAACAAATCTTGCATTCTTCCAGACTCAGACACTTTTGCATTTGATAGGTGGGGTTGCCCATCATGGCCTTCAACCTGCTCCTGATCGCCGAAGCCTGGTTCTCGGTTGGTGCGAAGGCCAGAGTCGTCAACTTGCAGAGCAAAAACAGCAGGTACTATCGGGGTTGCTTGTTGTTCCACGAAGACTTCTTGCACAAAGGACTTAGGCCTTCATAGATGTCAAGTACTAAATGTCGTGAGCTTGACAAGTATTGAAACAAGAAGACTGTAGTAGAACGGGAAGATTATCCTCCAGGTGTTGGTGGCACTACAACCAGCAGGGGCTTATCATGACAGAAATGTCAAATCGAACATATTAATATCAATTTCTCTTCATCAATCATACCAATTCGTTTCTCAACAGGCTCCTCTTCCTGATTTCCCTTCTCGTCGCTTTCCTTCTTTTCGGCGCGTCGTTGTTTCACCGGTTGGAGCCGAGTTGGACGTTTTTGGAATCCCTGTATTTCTGCTTCGTGACCCTCTCTGCCGTCGGCTATCAAAAGGAAAAATCCCCCCTCCCCATGTCAAAACGAAACTTCTGATGCTGGATTTGGATACACAAATCACATTTGTCTTGCAGTAGAGCAGAACTGCAGGCATATGCCGAGCCTGGCATGGCAAACGCCTATGCTGTAGACCCAACAGCATCACAAACCGCCTACATAGTGCGGCGGACTCTCTAGATTTGCGCTCTTGCAAGACAAACAGGATTTGTGGCCACAAATCTGCATCACAAATTTTCAGGCGCATGCATTTTCAATATGGGGAGGGAGGATTTTTCCTATACGATATCGGCTTCGGCGACTACACGCCGAGCTCGAACCTGTCCCGCGTGGTCTATCACAGGAAAAAGTGGTAACGTTAACGGTTTTCACAGATTGCAAAAATGCATTGACAAATTTTGCCTAGCATGCATGCTATGCATGACAAATTTTGGCACGTTTTGGGATGCATTTCTGCATCACAAATTCCGTTGCCAAACGTTAAAACTTTTTTCTGTGATATGGTCGCCATTCTGTACATGATCTTCGGCCTGGGCGTGTGTGCGAGTCTGCTCGCAACGCTGACAGGGCTCGTCGAGGTCGTCAGTCGGAATAATTTTGGTGACGGGAAAACAAATCAGGCGACACCGAAAGCTGAAGGAACAGGAGCACCAGAGTCCGCATTTGCAGCAACAGGAACAAATCCGGGACAAGATGATCTTGAAGCGGAAGTAGAGAGTGATTCTGCAGCGCCACAACTTGCATGGGCGTGGGACGCAGAGACACCACAGGTCTTGTTTCAGGAGCAGCAGGACGAGGAGGGCAAGGCGCGGAGAGCAGGATAAAGACAAGGAGTGGCGTTGACGTTTTTCGGAACTGTGTACTATTTTTTACGAAGACAAGTGATCTAAGTAATTGAGTGGCGTTCAGACAATTTTACAGCTACCTAGAAAAGCTTCTGTGTGTTTTTACTTTTTTACATTTACTTCATTGATTCTCTTGGTTTTGTATAGAGCTGCTATCACAGCATCTATCCCCGCCCCCGGGGGGGCGGCCCGCCGTTCCTGCACCAGGGAGCCGCATGGTAGGCATTCACATGGGTCCGATCGTCTTGTCGTACTATAGTATTTTCTTTTCCGTTTCGCAAGCGCACGAAGTTACGCAGCTACGCTAGTACTGGAATATGGTCGTGCTCGCGGTCGAAGTTGAAGTACACTATCAGGCACTCCGACAAAAAGTCAGCATGGAAAGAAAGAGACCCGGGAAACCGATGAGATAGAAACTGGTGAAATCATGTTAGAGACGAGAGGAACACGCCTCCTCTGCTGGTTTGGCGTAACCACTATTTACATAGGACTACAGTCACAAAGATTGCGGGTGCTCGGCTTCGCGCGGCCGTAATCATCAACAACTTTCTCTCATCGGCATGTGCTGTTGTGGCATCTTCTATGCAGACAGAGCAACATTCGAGTTCGACCGGTGTCATTGCGCCGCGCAGGAGGCGTAGTAGTTCATCTGATAGCTTCGTCTATTTTCATCAACGTTGCTATGCCGATCTGTGGAATCGTTACCACACGATCCATTTCGAGAAGTATAACTAGAGGGACACAGAGATGAGTCTTCATCCATGCTATTCTTGGAGAGTCGTGTTTAGTACGCTTCTCATCGTGGTTGAGAGATGAATGTTTGAGCGAACATTTCGACTTCGTCAATTATATCCTGGTCGTTGATGTTCCACTCGGCTCGCCACCATAGCAACAGCCGTTCGCTCGTACGACGCGACAGCGTAGCAATAGCTTTATTTCTGTCCTCCTTTTCCTTTGATGATGTGCATATGGTGTACATGCACTAGTCGTTCGAAGGCTGTTCCTGACGCAACATCATCACTAGACCCTGCAGACCGAAGAAAACGTAGACACAATCATCAAGAAGTAAAGCTACAGTATTATTAAAGACACCATCATCATTCAATTTTTGACTCTTAAAAAGAAACGAACACCATGGCCGGCGGGGACCCGGCGGTTGGGTCGGACCCGGCTATGGATTGCAAAAATGTCTGGGTCTGGAAGATTGCGACTTGTAATGCTGTCTTTGGATTCCAAAAAAATCTGTATTTTTGCATGACCAGCATCAGGATTCCAGTCTGTGTTACGCGGAGAGGGCATTTCTCATGTGGAATAAGCATTAGGAAGCCCTCTAAAAATCTGTGTTGCTAGATCATGCATTAGAGGCATCAATCATCATACAAAATATGCATGACAAGAAGTCTGCACTCTTCCCGACCCAGACACTTTTGCACTTGATACCGGCCCAGGAAGTGCAAGAGCTCTCTGCTGCGTCGAGCGGCCCGGGTGCGGAGCCCGAGTTTGCCTCGCAGCAGACGGCCGTCGTCGGGACCGAGTCGCCTGCGTTGAGCCTGCAGTGGATCTTATGAACCGCAAAAGTATCGTACTAGTACAAATTGCATTACAAATTTCCTCAGCATGAGAAATGAAATTTGTAATGCGGATTTTCCTCAAAAAAAGATTTGTATATGCATGATTGCAATACGAGTGCGATGGATACTTTTGCACGGGATAGATCTGCGGCTTCAGCAAGGACGTCGTAAATGGCGTACACCATTTATCAAATGCAAATATGTCTGGGTCTGGGAGGTTGCGAGATTTGTCATGCTAATCTGGCATGACTCCGAAGTCTGTATTGCGTGTCCGCGAAGAGCTCCTCGCGCCTGTCATGCAGACACGCAGTTTCTCATGCGGAGCACGCAACTCAGGACCACGGAAAAACTTGTCATGCTTGGCAGCGCATTACACAGTAGTCACTATTCCCTTGTTCCTTGCATCACAAGTTTCCAGACCCAGACATATTTGCTATCCATACCATTTGGGCGGAAACGAAATCTTCTACCCCAGCGCGAACAGTGGGGTCATTTACGACACGCAATCGGGGGTGCAGAAGCTACTGCAGGGACACGTGAATCCCATCACCGCAAGCTACCTCTCGACGGACAAAAAATGGATCGTCACCGCCGATACCGGACCGGATTCCATGTGATAGTTCTTTTTATGTTGATGTTGCTGTTTTTCTTCCATGCAGTACGAAGTAAAACGATTTGAGGATGAACTTCTACGTAGCGGGGTCCTGCAAAGTAAAAAGTAGTATTTGTGTTTTTCCCCCAACTCACCTCCGCGTGAAGAGATGAAAATACTCTGTCCTAGAAGATGAATATCAGTTATTCGACCAAACAGGCTCACCGTGTGGGACCGGTCAACGGGGAAGCCCATAAAGATCATGTTCAACATATGGAGCTCTCAAACGTGACACTGTCAGGTCTTGCATGAGTCTGCGATGCAGGAAGAGGAAGAGCAAAAGTGAATAAAGAAAGGGGGGCCCTGAAGATGTAGATGCACCTCTGGTGTTTGAAATTCGGCACAAGGGTAGACTCCCATACTGTTTAGCCATTCCTGCTCGAAATGAACTTGTCATGCGAACAAGTAGCTTGATCGTGTGGAAGATGCATGTTGCAGGCAAATCCACGCGAGAACAAATCTTTATGTAGCAACTAGCAATGTAGTGCTTGAGAATCGTTCCATACAGCGTTTACAAAAACGGGATCGTGGCCCTGGACATGACAGCGGATAGCAAGTACTTAGCGACTTTATCCAGTCCGGAGTACGACGGGGAGGAGATGCGCCAGTATCTAAGCGTGTGGGACTGGACCTCAGAGTCAAGTGCGCCACTCGCAACAGCGCTCATCGGCACGCAGGACGTGCAGACGTGCGTGGTAAGGTTGTGATTTATTTTATCGTTTTTTGTTACTTGTCAGTACGGTTATGACACGTTGTGGCGACGGGAAGCAATAATTTCGCACAGTGCAGTAGTTCTCGTTTATTTTTTCAGAAGGCTTTTGTGTTTGTCATCCTACGCGGAAGCGGCCGACGCAAACTTCATTTGTGCACTGACTTCCATATTGACATTAGTATTTAAAAAATCTCTATCCATCAGATTTTCAACCGGTGGGACATCCACGAAATTGCCACGAACGGCCGAAGGCGGGTGTTTTTCTGGCAGTGGGGAAAAAACGACACGAGCCTGAAAGACAAGATGACTTTCCAATTCTACTCCCCGGCGCTCGCCGCAAAGGACTTCAAGCAGAAAGTCGGCGACTTCACGCAGACCATCTTCCTGCCCGAATCGACCCAGGCCGCGACCGCCACACTTGACGGGGACGTTGTCATCTGGGACTTGTCGTTGATCGTGGACGATTTGTCACGGCCGGACGAGCGACGAGCTGTGAAAATTTTGCGCTTGTGTCCGCCAGAAGTTTCCCTGCATGTTTTGAAAGTCCTTGGCAACTTCGTCGTGGCCGGTTCCTCCGACGGCGCAGTCAGGTTCTACGATTACCATACGCATTGCAAATGTAGTCGAACTGCGTCTGGAAGAGCGGTGGTGCGTCAACTTATCATGCCAAGTCTGGATGATAGATCGGATCGCACAAAAATCTGGGTTTAACCAATGCAGAGTGCCAAAACTTGTTTCATTTTTGATACTATCTACAGATGGCGAATCCGAATCTGTCATGCGGAATGACAGGCATTAAGAAGTGATCCACCCAAGATCTGTGATGCTCATCTACTTCACTGATGGCGCAATGCATTCCAGACCGAGCGCCTGTGTGGTTCATGACGAAAAAAATGCAAGACAAACACGCGCATGCTTGCCCGTCCAGACCTAGATCGATATTTGTAGTGGATATCCCAATTCCGTCTGCAAGCGTGGTTCGAGGATTTGTCTGCGGGAAGTGTCACCTCCGTCAGTTTTGACTTCGCGAACTCCACCTCGGTTCAAATGGACAGCAACAATGGATTTTCCTCCAGCTCGATGGAATATCAAATGCAAGAAATATTATATCTGGGTCTAGATGAACAATGCAAATGCTGACGCTCTTTATTGTCGTGCAGATTTTGTATCATGGCCCACGCCTGCATATGCAATCCCGTTTTAATGGATGCGTATCTTTTTACCGCATGAGATGCCATTGACATTCCCACTCGGTTTCCGTGTAGCAAAAACTGACCGGTTTATTATTTTGCTCCATGTGTAAGTACGTGTTGTGTTGAACTAGTACAGAGGACTTCCTGTAGTTGTAATGTCAATGTGTCCTGTGGATAAGGATAATCACATCACAAAGACAAAATTTGATTGTGTGATCCATAGTGTGCAGTTTGCACCTCTAGAATTTCAGGCCCAGACGTGTAATTTTTAATGCATACAGAACAGAGCGGGTCCACGGACTTCCAGTTCTCATGCCCAAATTTCATTGTCGCCACCGCGAGCGCGCTGGTAGTAGCCTGCAAGTCGGATTTGTTTTTCGAGCTGGAGCCGCAGCAAAGGAGGGGACGATTGGTGCTGCAAGGTAGGATTTTTTAAGTACTTAGCCACTGATGTAAGTACCTTATTCGTTTTCGTATTGATGCACGAGGATGTAAGTGTAACTTTGTACTTGGGCTTGGCACGTACAAGTACATCAAGCCCAAGAAGGTCTCCACGATCGACGGCCAGACCACACGGAGAAGTTGTACTATTTATCAATACAGGTCTCGACTCTCCCGTCCATGGGCTTTGTTGCCACCCGTCCGAGCCCTTAGTTGCGGTTTCGGGTCTTTCGGGGTTTATTCACCTCTGGAACTACCACTCGAGAACACTCCAGACCGTGAAAATCTTCGAAAAGATTCTTCCGCAAATTCTGGAATACAGCGCCAGCGGACTCTTAGCCGTGGGGTTCACGAACGGGCAGATCCGATATGAAAGTGCACAAGTCCCCCTCCCCCTCATTTGTGATGCAAGATACGTAACTTACGCTTTGGCTCTTAGGACTGTTTGCATCACAAGTTCTGGCAGCCCAAATAACACTGCACTCCTGTCCAAATTTGTCATGCAAAACCCGTACTCTTGCTGACGCTTGTATTGCGGTTCATGCAATACAAATGAGGGGGAGGGGGAGTTGTGCACTTTCATATCCGAATTTTGAACGCCGAACTCACCGAAATCGCGCAGTTTAGGGAAAATCGAGAGCCCGTCACGCATATGCAGTTGCAGAAGTTGTATCGCATTCTGTCTTGGTGGAAAGCGGAACACAGATTTCATTTTCAGAAGGAAAAATGAAATGTTTTTGCTTGCTCATAATTCTAAGACCTGGCCACCTTTGATGTCACGCATGATTCCAATTTGCACGGACCGGAGCGAGTGCGATACTACTTTTGCACAGGATAATGCACCTGGCATTCTCGAAATGCTCGAATTACCTGGCCGTGGCCCACGCAGATAAGTCGGTACAGAGTTTTCACTATACTTAAAAGCTGTACTTGTCGTGCTGAAGAGGTTATTGCCGCTTATGCTATCAAGCAAAAGTTTTTGAGTAAGCTACTTTCGTGTACTACTTTCGTGTGTTAGTTGCACATGCACCAGCATTTTTGCAAAACAAATATCAAGTTCATGCATGATCTTCATGAATGCAGCGCTGCTGCACAAAAATTGCCACGCATTTTTACCTTTCGTTACGAGCTGTAGATGAACATGTATGAAGTAGAAGTTGTACAACTACATCTACAGCATAAACAGAAACATTAAGACATTTTATCAGGTATGGCTGTACCGGTACGACCTGACTCGCTCGGGCGAGTCCAAGGCGTGGATCTCGGCGGGCAAGCACCGCAGCCACTGGAAGCAGGTTGTTGGCCTGGTCTTCTCCGCCACTGCCTCCGACCACGAGAGGCCACGACTCTACTCCCTGGCGGAGGACCGGAAGCTGGTCGAGTACGAGTGCCCGCTCGCAGCTGATTACCCCGAGGAAGAGCACGTCGGATTTCCGATACTCTCCAACACGATGGTCGAGCAAGAGGCGGTGCCGACCGGGTTGACCTATTTGGTGAACGACATCGAACAACAGTCCTCGAGCGCAACCCCCGCAACCAGTAGCGGCGCGACGTCCAAGAAGGGAGGAGCAGCAGCGGCAGCCGCGAGCTCAGATATGGGATTCTCAAACCTTACATTCTCAGCTGTTACATGATTTGTCATGCAAAATGACCATGAGCCGCAAGACAATCAAGCTGCTTCGCATGACAAATTATCGAAGGGCTAAACAGCATCTAAATCCGTGCCAAATTTGTGATGCAACACGTGCAATCTTTCCCCTTTCCATATTCCTGTTCTTGCATGACAAATTCATGTAACCGTTGAGAATGTAACAGTTGAGAACGCCATATCAGTAGGGGGCGGGTTGGTCGTGTCGACCTCGGAGTACAAGTTTAAGACGTGGTTCAAGAACCGCAGTTGCCGGAGAACGAGTCTCGCGCCGACCTACGGCGGTCCAGTCAGCAAAATGATCGCGATTCCAGGGGAGTCTACACCAGAAGAATTCCTACTGTACGCGACAAAGGAGAAGGTGTAGTTTCTTCTTTTTGCACGACTAAATGCCATGTAGAAAGAATTATGGCAAGGTAAAAAAGTATAAGTAGTAGTAGCCTTTGCTGCGGGTGCGGGAATATGTGCTGTATGAAAGGCAACAAAATTCTTCTTGTACAAGTCCTATAGAACATGAACAAACCCTAAACCGGGCAGTTGGGAGATAAATGTAAGTCATTCACTAGCACAAAAAAATCCTGTCTTAAAGGTAATCGGCCTGCTGCAGCAACCACTCGACGGGAACCCTTTCCGACAGATGGGGGTGATAGCGCACCCCGGCCTGATTTCTGCGATTTCCGTGGACCCACAGGGCAAATACGCGTTTTCTCTCGGGGGGGAGGACCTGACGCTGAACATGTGGAAAATCGACACAGAGGCGGTAAGTCTGGCGGTGCTGCGCGGCAGCAGTGTGAGCCAGTCCTCAAGCAGCAGCTCGGTGACCAATTCCGCAAAGATACAGCCGTATCTGAACTTGCTGGAAGAAGATCTTCTGGCGGAAATCCGGGACTATTTTTACTACTGCCAAATTCGGTCGCACGGTGAGAAAACGACGGAAAGGTATCAGCTGGACGGGACAATACCCCTCTCGGAAATCCCCTATCTGATGTGTGCACTCGGGTGCTTTCCCACACAGACCGAGATCGCGAACATGATATCCGAAGTAAAGGGCAAGCATCTGTACACGGAAAAGAACCTCACCCACATAAATTTCGAGGACTTTGTGCAGCTCTACGTGAATCACAGGCCTGTTTTTCAGGTAAAATATTTCCTTAAAGATGAGATGTTGGTGCAAAAGATAAAAAAAGCTCGAGCAGTGACCACCTAGACCTACACCTAGAGACGAGATGAGGATGACTAATTCCACTTCTTCAACGATTAACGAACTAGTTCTTGCGGGTGTGCTAAAAATTTGTTTGCAAGAGCGCGGGATAATGGAAGAATATGAATATCTATGCGTGAAATTAGATGATGACGAATAAACCAGGTTGATAACGCGAGTCTCGAGCACGCGGTGATGCTGGCTTCGAACGGGGGCAGCAAGAAACAGCTGATGCACCACCTGGTGGGTATACATTGCAAATATGTCCTCTTGGTCCGGAAAAATACTAGATACACCGGTTTGCCATGCTTTTCTAACATGACTGTCAAGCCTGTCATGCACGGCAACCAAAAGCCGTGCCATCTTTCTGTCCTGCAAAAACTACCCAGGAGCTTCTCATGCAGAATAGAGATTGACCACACCTAGCAAGTGAAAAATCTGTCATGCTGAGCCGTTGTTTGTGGCGTCCTCTTGATTCGTCAACCAGCATCACAAGTTTCCAGACGTGGCCCAGGGATATTTGCATTTGATAGTGGGCGCGTGCGAGCACTTCTCCGACGAGGAATTGCAGCAGTGCCTTCACGCACTCACCGGGGACCAGGACTTTCTCAATTCTGCTATTGCAAGGAAAATTCCCCCCTGCCCATATTGAAACGTATCCTCTGAAAATTTGTGATGCAGATTTGTGACCACATATCCTGTCTGTCTTGCTAGAAGGCACATCCAGGCTCTCTGCCAGCACGCCACGCAGGCGATTTGTAATGCTGTAAGAACTACAGGGCAGCCGTCTATCATGCTAGGCGCCTACACCAAAAGGCCCCTATCTAGGCTTGCGATCTGCGTGCAGTCCTCTACCGCAAGACAAATCAATGCGTGCGCAAATCCGGCGTCTGCGTCACAGATTTCATTTTCGAGATGGGGAGGGGGGATTTTTCATTTTGATATCCGCTGCGGATGAGGTCCTGGAGCCGGGAGTGTTCGTGCAAGACGTGCTATCAAAAGGAAAAATCCCCCCTTCCCATATCAAAGCGGAAATCTGTGATGCAGATTTGTCTTCACAAATCAGCTTTGTCATGCTACACGGGAAAAGATGCGGACTGTAGTGCTGGGTGGCTTGGGGAAGCCTTGCACCTTCAGCATGATAGGAGGCAGCTGAGAGCGGGAAACAGCATTACAAATTGCCTGCAAACGAGGCCACGACTGCGGCTCTTGGCCTTCTAGCATGACAAAAATACAGCATCACAAATTTCGTTTTCGATATGGGGAGGGGGGATTTTTCCTTTCGATACGTGCTCGGTTTCGGCACGGAATAGGGACTACAGACAAGTGGTCAAAAGAAGAATATACAAAAATGAAATTATGGAACCTCGAATGATATATAGAATCGACAGGCATCTTCAAGCTGAACAAACCGATTCTGATGCATCTGAGACGCAGTGTTTAATATCCTCATATAGACAAAATCCGAACCAATCGCAATAGTTTACCAATCTTCAATAGCAAAGACGCAAAGAAAAGCAACGCTTGGTGTTGTGCAAAATCTGTTATACTAATCTATCGATAGCAGCGAGCAGTAGACCGAATCCGAACGAGATAGTGGAGGCGGTCATATAGGGTTAAAGTAACACAACAAAGTATAAATACAGCAAGGTGAAGTAGACCTTGCTCGAGGCTCCTGCCCTAGAACGAAATGGAGGACAACATTTCAGATGAAAATTTACTCTTGCAGCTGCAGTCCTCGTATCGCCGGACTCACAACCTCCGCTACTGCAACTACTACATTGATTGAACCACTTCTACTTGCTTTTACGATTTATGTCCTGTATACCTGTACCAAAATGAAAAACTCGTTGAGATGAATTGCAGTTGACAGAAGATGGAGAAGCTGACCAAAAACCCGTGGTCGCGATTTCAGCAAAGGCCATCTGCAATCGCTAGTTCTGACCTATGCACAGTCGATTTTGGAGGTGATCGAAGACAGAGCTCTTGAAGGACCTTCTCCGTGACCTAGTTGTTTTTGACACAACAGAACGGAAGACGATGAAACATGAAATTTGTCTCGACCTACTGACTTCTACTAGGTGACAAGATCAGCGGCAGCATGCGCAATCCCAGCAGAGTCTTTGATTTTCGTTCATCTTCCTCGCCGTTCTTCGCTATTATAATCCCATGAGCTGGAGTCTCGATCACTTTGTTAATTACAGCGCTCCATGGCAGAAGATCCTCGTTTCCATGATTTCTACTACTGGAAGTGGAGATCCATTTTGCGTCGATATTGGTGCAATGAGGAAGCAAGCCGGCGAAAGACAAAGGTGAAGATCACGATCCCATTCTTGCTAATATTGGCGGTTTTTCTCTCTTTACTGGCATCATGAACTTTGTGAAGATCATTATATTCGTTTTTCGTGTTGTTTTTCTAAGCGCTACCTGGTAGCAAGCGCGAGAAGCATGATCGATCCTCCGACCCTTCCTTGCGACAAACTTAAATAAAAAGTATACACTTTATTCCGATGAAAATTGTCTTAGGTGTCTCCGACTCGGATTCGTGAGGTGGTCGGAGATAAATAACGTGCCCTTCGTCTTTTGGAAATTTTTACATGTACCGATAGCAACATTTGATTGCTAGAAATTGAAATAAGTATCAAAGAACCGTAGTAGACTGCTCTGTTGAGCAGGCGAAAAATTCCTGTATCACATCTTCATCCACGAGGACCTTGGGTAGCTTGGAGCGCCAGGGTGGCCGAACAAAAAATATACGGGTGGGACATCAAAAATGGCGACTACCTCCTCGCCCAGCCGTGTATTGTTCTCGGACGCGCGGCAGATTGACGTCGGGCGCGTACAGTCTTCTGGTGCGTCGAAGAAAACATCATATCCTCGTCGAGAAACAGACGGTCGAGCAGCTCCGAGGATTCGAAGATCGCGACGATCCGCCGCGGCGTCCCTGTTACTCCTGTCAGCATCAACGACTTGCCATCAAAGCAGTTTATTCGCCGAGGCCGTGGACCACAGCAAATTTCGCACGTGTGAGCAGGGCAGCTTTTGCCGGCGCTACCGAAAATGGGTGGAGTTGGTAAAAAATACGCCGGCAACGTTCCACTGGAGTATAGCAGACACAAAGGAACAAAGTAGTAGTGGTGGAGCTGCATTGTCCCCGACCGAGTTTGACTTGCATTCCACAGCAACTTCTCCTAGTGCAGTCGAAGCAGGAACATCATCAGAGGACCAAGCAGGAGCGTCCAATAGTCCTCCGTTGACCCTGAAGCTTGATTTTTATAAATTTGGCGGGGTTCGGTTTTTTGTCACGGAAAAAGACCCACTGTACCCGCGCTACAAGATCCCCGACGGGGATGTCGTTGTCGCAACAGAACGAGAGCTGGTGCCGATGAGTGACGTCTCGGTGTCAAAAATCAAGGACGACGCGACCGGGGCGGTGGCAGCCACCGTTTTCGAGTACAGTACGAGTTCGGCGCCGGGGGGCGGGGAAGCTGTTGCAGAGGAGACGACTAAGGTCAAAGTGGAGCTACGACACAGTCCGGTACTAGAATCTGATTTGGCCGTGTATTGAATTCAAGCTGCGGTCGTAAATGTATATGTAAATCATCCTCGTCCCATGTAAAAGCTACCACAGCATGCGCATGCGCCAACAGGTGGCCGATTTAAAAAGGTCCCTTTTGCATGATATCTTTGAAGATTCACGAAGAAGTAAATCGGTCGTGCAAAGTAAGACTTGTAGGTGTAGCAACGACGTGAGGAAACTCTCGACCGTCGTGGTGAAATTCATCTTCTAAAACCTCTTATTACAGCTCCTGCTGATCGCATCGGCTAACATATCACAGGAGCAAAAAAGTGCGTTAGTGTAACTTTTTTTGGGCAACAGCAGCTCGACAAACGCGTCTGGCATGTTGACATCAAAAATAACGGCAGCTTCTTGAATGGACCAGCTTACGATTATGCATGACCTGTATGGGACAGACGCAGCCCTCTTACATGGTCCTCCTCCGCTGCACACTAACAGACTTCCACTAGCGCAGTTTTTTTCCCCTTGCATAGGGCAATGTCCCCTTCGCCGTCGTGAACAAGCGGAATCTACTCAATTTCGAGATCTACCGACCGCAGAACACGGTGAAAAAGGACAAAATCTACGACGCGGCCAACCACCCTACCGTGGACACGCACGGTTTGCACGCGGAGAGCTTCGGCTCCCACCACGACCCCAAGCCTCGGGGTCCGGCCTCGCTGGGTGTGGATGTCACTTTCGTGGGCGATATCCAGGAGAAAACACCCATCCCCATCCATTTTTTGCATGACAAACGCAGGACTTTCTGCATGTTTTGCATCACAAATAGCATCGGGATGGATGTTTTTTCCTGGATCGGCGACGTGGGGCACGTGTCGGGGTTGCCGGAGCACGCCGCGGCGCTTTTGCTAAAACCTTTCGAGGAGCCCTATCGGCTCTACAACTTGGACGTGTTCGAGTACGAACTGAACAGCCCGATGGCGCTATCCTCAGTAAAAAACCGTCTCCACATTCCGCCGATATTTGCCATGCAAAAGCGAATTTTCTAGTCGTGGTTTTAGTCATCATGCTGTAATCAGGCTAAGGCGGTCAATTACAGTTCGTGTATGCGATTTTTAAGCACATTAGCCGAGCACGACGAGGCTACGTGGCCACCAGCTGTCTAATTATCTTCTGCGAAGTTCGCAAAGCAAAGGCTTCCGGATATGCATTTGTCGGGCAGCTGAGTTTCCGTTTTGGGTATGAGGTCGTGAAGACATTTTTCTTTGGGATAGGCACTGTACGGTGCCGTGCCGATGCTGTGGGGTTACGAGCGATCGCTGCACACGGTGAGTGGGGTTCTGTGGAATAACCCCTCCGAGACCTTTGTAAAGGTCGAAGGCTTCGCAGACAACACCTCGTGGTTCGGCGGGGGTGGTTCGGGCGACGCGGCACGCTTGTCAAAGGGCTACGACACATGGTACGGAAAGTAGATTTTCCGGATTTTGAAGATTTCCATTTTTTTTTTTTGACAGTCTCAGTCGGTCCTTGGTGATGAACAAGTTCTACTACAGATGATATTGATAGACGAATAGAGGTGGAGACTGGAGAGGACGAACGGATGCTGCACTGCCAGTTGTTGTGCATCGCAAACGCAAAAGCAAATTTTTCTCAACACCACGTATGAGTCGTTAATTTGTCAGGTGGGTCTCGGAGTCGGGTGTTCTGGATCTGTTTCTTTTCCCCGGCCCCCACGCCCCCGCTGTGTCCAAGCAGTTCCACTCGCTGACGGGCTTCGCCCCGATGCCGCCGGTGTTCGCCATCGGCAAGCACCAGTGTAGATGGAACTACGTTTCCGAAAAGGACTTGCTGGAGGTGCATGACAAGTTCGAATCCTACGACATCCCCTATGACGTCCTTTGGTTGGACATTGAGCACACGGACGGGAAGCGGTACTTTACCTGGGACAAAAGGCACTTTCCCAACCCGGATAGCATGACCAAGCGCCTGTCCGGCCACGGCAGAAAGCTCGTGACGATTGTGGACCCGCACATCAAGGCGACCGGGGACTACAGTGTGTACACGAATTTGAAGGACATGGATTTGCTGACGAAAAAAAAAACGCTATCCTGGTGTGTGAAAACGTCGTCCCTACTTTTTGTCATGCCAATCTGCATGGCCATGGAGGTTATTGAAATACTTACCATGCGCAGCTTCCCCAAGAAGAGCAGCATTGTCTAGAGGTGTTGTGGAATTTGTCCTGCTCAAACCAGGATGAGAAGATGATTTATTTTTGATGCGGCTGAACTTGCTTAACACGACGACAATTGTACCCTGTGGGGCCAAATCCGTCAACATGCGCCGCAACAAGCGAAACAATTTGCTTTGTGTACTCCATCAAAGTGCCCATGATCTTGATGACTTTGGGGCGGGGATGAAGTTTTTAACCATGATACACTTGGCAATACAAAGACCTCGCGCCGGCGCTCAGCCCCGGGGAAGAGGAGCAGTTGCCGATGATCAAGGTAGACCTAGAGAAATCGATTTTTGCGTAAAAAATGAAAAAAATATTTTTTTTTTCTTTCTCATGCGAACCACAACGACGAAACAGCGTAGCTGTATAGATACAATCGCATGACAAACTATGCGATCATCTCACACCATAAACAGGACCCTTCCGTCACCGGCCCACCGGCAGATTGGGTTACGGTCAAAGACTATCCCTTGCAAAGAAATCACCAAGATGCTGAATCTCGTCGGCGTGATGAAATTATTGATGAAATCTGTCTTGCAGAAACAGAAGCAGAGCGAAAGAATGTTTACTGTGCTGGGTTTGCATGACGGTTCTATATCTATTCGTTGAACAGAATCTTCACATGTGTGTGTCTAAAGATGAAACTAAAACTATCGGTGAAGTTCTTTTCCAGACTCCTCTATAACCTTGGCATCTGGGAGCACCCCATGATTCCCAACCCGAACTACAAGCCGCAGGAAACAATCCGCGCTATGTCTTGGAAAAGCATAATTGGAGTTGTACGAATTCACAAGAACTGTGCACGACTTCTGCAAATCTTCATCGACACTTAGGTATAACAGGTCGACTTAGATGAATATCTAGGAATTTCTTGTGATGTTGGTTGAGATGCTGGTCCTTGAGCTTGACAGTAGTTGTACGGAGAATCTGTGTTGCAGGAGGGCTGCAAGAAGGATCTCCCGCATTACTTTTCCAAGGCATACGCTTTCTGGACTACCAAAACTCACCCGCGACGAATTTCGAGGGCTTATCCTGTGTAGAAAGGTACCTAGCTGGTGTACTCTAGAGTTTATTCGCTGCAGATCTTGCATGAGCATAAGATGTAGTTGTGTCATGCTGCTGCACGTGCTCTCCATCTTCAGAGGCATTTGCATCTTCACAAAATGGTGTTTGAAGAGAACATTTGATGCTTTAATATGCAGGACAAGCATAGGACTTGACGACTATGCAGCTGCGCCACCCGACAAGGGCCACTCCGCTGCGGGTCCGAGATTGTATGAAAACGCGGCTTATTCCAGAAAATCAAAATTATCTGGGCTTCTAAGTATAGCGACACACGTCCCATCATCTCGCCTATGGGGAGAAGATCATCATAAGTGCGTTTTTTACACAGGATAGGGGTGGTGCTGGCCGGGGCAGTCGGTATACCCAGATTTCTCCAACCCGGACATGCGAAAATTTTGGGCGGCGAGGTTCATATCCAGAGAAAAAAACCCATCCACATCCATTTTTTGCATGACAAACACAGGATTTTATGTATGTTTTGCATGACAAATTGGATGTGGATGGGTTTTTTTCTGCGGATAGTTCAACACAGAACTCTACACGGGATCTACGCTGGACACATACTATGCAACACAAATAATCCTCTTGTAGTTCCGTACACGTACAAAATATTTTTGCGTCACAAATTTTATTGTCGATGTACAGCATGCGCATGCCACTTGTGGTCATCCGCAGAAAGGGTTGAGGATGAAAAGGTTTGTCATGCAAAATCCGCATCTTTACGAACGAGTACGGCAAATTTCCTTACTCTGGATACCTACACGTGGAACGATATGAACGAACCCTCGGTCTTCAACGGTCCCGAAGTTTCCGCCCCGAGGGATGCGGTTCATGTGCACGACGTCGAGCTATGCGAGTGCACAAGCACAATCGCCTACCCTCCAAAATTTGTCATGTTGCAGACAGCGCTTGAAGCATGGAGGCAAGCTGTTGCAGCGGTCCGTTTGATGATTTGCATTTCAAACGAGGGGCGGGAAGAATTGTGCACTCTGATACGAGCACCGGGACAACCACAACCTGTACGGTATGTACGTCCAGCGGGCGACGTTTGAGGGACACTTGGAGCACAAACAGGGGCGGAGACCCTTCGTGTTGAGTCGGTCCTTTTTCACCGGGTCGCACCGCTACGGCGCCATCTGGACGGGGGACAACATGGCACAATGGGCGCATTTGAAAGACTCTGTGGCCATGGTCCTCAGTCACGCGCTGGGCGGAATCAGCTTTATCGGTACATAATGGATTTGTTTTCACGTGTATATTTTTATGATTTGAAGACAGTGCTGTACCTGTTGCTGCACCACAAAAGTTCTCGTGCAGCACACGCTCTTCGTTATTTCCCGGCGGCCCGACAGATTGTGTCACGGTAGCGATACCCACTGGATATGCGGAACCTGCTTCAATCAGGCGAATTGATCCAACACGCCCTCTGTGTGGCGTAGACAATATATCGAACAAGCTTTTGTCAAAATGGAAGGAACAGAAAGCATAAAAGTGGAAGAGGACCTTCACGATTTCTACTTACTAAGTCTAACGATTTACTTCCGGTAAAGTGCAGCTAGCATTTCTGCAGGCACGCTCCTTGACTGAATCCCAACAGGTGCAGATGTTGGTGGGTTTTTCAAGAATCCGGAGCAGGAGCTGATGGTCCGTTGGTATCAGTTTGGCGCCATTGCCTACCCCTTCTTCCGGAATCACGCGCACATCGAAACGGCACGCCGGGTATCAACTGCAAAAGTGTCTGGGTCTGGAAGGTCACAACTTGTGATGCTGTCTGTGTACTCTCAAAGAATTTGTATTGCATGACCAGCAAGAGGGGTCGGGTTTGTCCTACGCGGAGAAGGCATTTCTCATGCGGTAGAGGTATCGCAAAGCCCTCTAAAAATCTGTGATGCTACGGCATGTATTACAGACATAGTGGCTCATGGAAAATATGCATGACAAGTCTAGAAATCTTCCAGACCCAGGCGCTTTTGCATTTGATACCGGGAGCCCTGGACCCTGAACAAGGACAATCTGTCCTTCGTGAAGGCGGCCGTGCTATGAACTGCAAAAGTATCGTACTCGTATCAATGCATTACAAATTTCCTCAGCATGAAAAATAAAATTTGTAATGCTGATTCGTCTGCAGAGAAAAAATTGCTGCAAGACTTGCACTTATACGAATGCGATACTTTTGCACAGGATACGTGCGGCTGCGGTACCAACTCTTGCCGTATTACTACACGCTCTTCAAGGACTACACGGTGACCGGGAAACCCGTAATCCAGCCTCTGTGGTACTCGTTCGGAAAGGACCCCAAGGTGTGGGAAGCGGACAAGGCGGAGTTCCAAATTTTGGTTGGCGACTATGCATTGCAAAAGTATCGCACTAGTATAAGCTGCATGACAAATTTGCTCAAGATCAAAAATGCAATTTGTAAATGCTGATGTTTGCCCTTAGACAATAGATCTGTCATGCATGGCTGCAATTAGTACGGCTGCGATACTTTTGCACTGGATAGCGACGCACTGATGACGAGAGTGGTGGCGGAACCGAACATGGTCGAGTCAACGGTCTACCTGCCAAACGAAACCCCCGACAAAGTCACAACCTGGTAAAGCAGTAGGTGGTGCACTGGCTCTTTCATTCATTCGTTCCTGTTCCAGCACAAAAACGATGGCAGAATAGCTATGCACACTCGTCGACATCATTGTCTAGATTCAATGTGGCAGACGCAAATTGATTCATGGATATGCACAGGAGAAACGATACCCAAAAAATACGTCCACGTAGTACTACAATATCTCCAGGTACTGCTGGTACACAAAGGAGCCCTTGCGTGGCGGCGGTTCCTACGCTTTCGACGTGCGCGGCAATGCCGCCTTGGTCGCGAAAGGCGGCAGCGTGGTACCCACGAAGTTTCGGCAGCGTCGGTCGGCGGCGCTCATGAAGCAGGACCCCTTCACACTGAACGTCTTCTTTTATGAGAGTGCATAAGTACATCTTCTTCCCTGCGTCCTCCTTTGATGTCATGCAGTAAATTTTAATCCTGGCTTACTTAGCCGTTGCCTTGTACTTGTAGGCCTGACTCGTCGATGACAAGCTACACCGACGCCCAAAAGAATCGCACGGCGCGATTGACTCCGTGTCCTCTGTTGAGTTTGTCATAGAGAAGCCACATTTGTGCTTTTTTTTCTGTTGCTTTTCGAGCCATGGTGCAAATAAGGGGGAGCAGGGGGAGTTGTGCACTGGGATATCTTGGACCCCAACACGCACACCGCAACCGGTAAAGTCTACGTGGACGACTATGTGCACGTGGAGACCCCCTCTTATGCAGTGCAGAAGTTGAAGTGGAGTCATGTCATATAGAAGTAGTAGTACTTTATTGCATCTCAGTATGAGAAATGGAATCTCTTATGCGTAGTAAAAACCCGATTTTTTGTGTTTGTGATGCATTATTGCAAGTCGTATCACACGTACGACTCCGATCATGCAACTTTTGCAACGCATACCATCGTTCTGCAGACAATCACCATCGAACCGAAGCAGACCAAGAACGGCGCTGTGGTAATGTCGATTTACGGAAAGACCGAAATCGCGCCCGCTAGTTCCACCACCCAAGGCACGACGACCGCAGACTCTGCCACGATCTTGCAGGGTTTAGAGAATGCCCTGGCGGTAACGCCGGAAGTAGACCAGGCGGAGAAAGAACATCAAAACACGGCGATGAAGAAGAATGCTGGGTTGCTGATAGAGAGAATTGTGATTTCAGGTCTCGGGGAGCAATTGGCGCACAACATCAAGCAAGTGCAACGAATGATCACGCAGCCAGCTACTGCACCAGGGACTGATGGCCAGCCAGCGTTTGAAAACGTCCAGTTCCGCATGGATCTCACCGAGTATCAAATGCAAAAATGTCTGGGTCTGGAAGGTTGGAACTTGCGACGCTAACTTTATAATTCTAAAAAAAATTGTATTGCATGACCAGCAAGAGGAGTCTAGTTTGTGCTACGCAGGGATGGCCGCGTTTGTCATGCGGAGTAGGCATCACGAAGCCCTCTAAAAATCTGTGATGCTAGGTCTTGCATTACAGACATGCTGGGTCATGCAAAATATGCGTGACAAGTCTCAGAATCTCCCAGACCCAGAGATTTTTGCATTTGATACCGACACGCTGCTGATCAAACTGCCACAGGTTTCGGTCGGCCAGGACTGGGAATTGTTGCTGACCACCGAATATGAATTGCAAAAGACTCGTACTAGTAGTAATTGCATTACAAATTACCTCAGCATGACAAATGGAATTTGCCATGGTGTTTTACCTTGGGATGTAGATTTGTAATGCATAATTGCAATTACTACGAGTGCGATACTTTTGCACAGGATACGGAAGTGGACGTCGCGGGCAAATGGGAGGAGTTTTTCATCTGAGGATGAGTTACTTGTTTTTCCTCTTCTTTGCATCGTGTACTTAGAAGTAGATTCTCTACTTCGCGGCCCTCCGATCGAAGTGGAGACGCAGGAGCCCGAGCCACCTACATTTACTATACAACAATAAACTGCGGCCGCACACGCCCGCTGCCTGTAGTTCATCCTCTGAGGAGGTGGGCAAGAACGCAGTGGGCACCAGAAAATCGTATACAGCATCAAACTAACAGGTTGGTGTAATATTTTCAGACGTTTTATTTCGCGAGGCAGACGCAAATAAAGATGATCAATTGATCAATTATCCAAGAATATAGGTTAAAAAGTCGAGTACATGTGGGTACGTAGCAATTACCTCTGTCGTCGAGATGTCAACAGGAAAAAGAACGAATTCGAATTCGTGGTGCTGCTTGACAACGGTCGAATGGAAATGGTTCGCCTTACGAATTCCAATGCTGTAGCATCGTCTCGTGGGTGGATACTTGAGATCTTCCAAACGACGCTGGATCATTTTTTTTCTTTTCAGAGGCGAGCTTTTTGATATTTTTCATCCAGGACCTTTTCCGGTCATTTTTGTCGCGGTTCTCGTACTGATTGATGCTTATCGCAATCGATATGGAGGACTCCAGCATGGGCCCTCGTCCGCTCCTTTCGGGTCTTCAGTGTACCCGCCATGTGACATCCAAGTTGGCACCATTCGGCTTTAATCGATAAATCCCCGCAGTTTTGCCTCACAATATTACTTAAAAATTTCATCTTTCGCTACTTTAAGATGATCTGAAGTGTTGTAACTACGTTCTCAAGTGCCTATTTGCTCAACTTCACCACAAAGAATAATAGCCACTCTCACCGCCGGCTTTTCTACCGGGCCGCAGGAGGCCTATCTCCTCTCGATGAAAGAGCAGGCTTTCCGCCTCGAGGTTTGCAACGCCTTGTCTGGGGAACCTCTTACCGAACCCGTGCGGCCTGGTCGTTCCTGTTTATTTGGTAGCGATACCTCCGCGGACAGTCACGAGTGGAGCTGGAGTGCAAGCCGAACCAGGGTCATTGACGTGAAGGAGGCGATTGCGTGCGCGGTAGGGGAGATTTTTGTGGTCGACAACCATGATGAAGACGATGACCTCATCAACAATTGCGACATGCTTGGCGGGGCTCTTAGCGAGCACTCGAAAGAGAAGCAGATGAAGGATATCACCTGTGGTGACGAGGACCGGGGGGACACATCAGCGTTAGACATTATAAACGACGACGGTGCAGCCGACAGTCTGTGTCTAGTATTGGACCCTTTCACATTCGATCCGTCGCAGCCGCGCGTAACGTTTTCTGCAGCTCGAAAAAGCGAAGGCGAACGCAGTGAGCGCCGCAGGTCGTGGCGACGACGGCATCACCATCAGCAGACTGGACCTGGACGCAAACGGAGGTGCTTTCGCGAGAATATCATGCTTCTCTGCGGGGACAAAAACCAGCTGCCCCTGCTGCTGGAAGAAGAAGAAGAAGAAGAAGCCGATCTTTACGAGCAAGAGTCTAGAAAAGACCGCTGCTTGCCGTCCGACTTTAACGAGGTAAATTTTCTGGACACTCTCGAGCGGGTGCTGTCGCAGAACCGGTTTCACGCTGTTGATGAAACAACGTCAGGTATCCTGAGTAAAAACGCACCCACACCAGAGTCAGGATGGGGATTTTGCAACACAAACCTAGAAGTTTTGTGAGCCACGCATGACAAGTTGCACTCTGCAGTGTAGTGCAGGTTAGCAAGTGCAGCCGCATCACAGATTCATCTGCTCACCCTGTTTACAGCATCACAAATTCCAAAACACGATTGGAAATAGCTCTCATGGGGATGCGCATTCCAAGTCTTCCTGTCTTTGCAAATCTGCATTACAACTCTGGTGTGGGTACGTTTTTACTCAGGATATCAGGGACTGCGAGAGGTTCAGCGCCACCTACTGGCGCAGATGTCAGCTGCCCATCTTCGTCTGGAGCAGACGTGGTGGTGGTGAAAATCGGGTTTGTTGTGCGTACCTACACGCTATCAAGTGCAAAAGTGTCTGGGTCTGGAAGGGTTGGAGCTTGTGCTGCAAACTCTGGAACACACAAAAATTTGTGTTGCATGAGCGCCAAAAGCTGTCCATTTCTTGGCGCGCAAGTAGGAAGTTTCTCATGCGGGAGAGGCATCATGAGGCGTGCTCAAAACCTGTGATGCTTTTGCCTGCATCAGACGCCACTTGCGTGATCCGAAATATGCATGACAAATCTCAGAATCTTCCAGACCCAGACATTTTTACATTTGATACACGCCCTTTCGAAACCGCAAGGAGCTGGAAGACGCGCTAGCTCCCTATTGGCAGATCGCGCTATCAAATGTAAAAATGTCTGGGTCTGGAAGATTGCCAGGTTTGTCATGCACATGTTGCATGACTCCTGATGTCTGTGATGCGTGCCCATGCATCACAGATTTTGTGAGGGCTTCCTGATGCCTATACCGCATGACAAATGCTCTTTCCGTGTAGCAAAAATTGGGCTGTCTTTGCTGCTCATGCAATACAGATTTTTTTAGAATCCAAAATCAGCATGACAAGCTGGATTCTCCCAGACCCAGACATTTTTACATTTGATACGCGCGGCGCGCGGACCACTCTACAGTTGGTTCTGGTCAAGGTGGTGGTTCTTTTCGCCGTCGATACAAGATGAACAAGGGAAAAGGACTCGGCACAACTGAACCCCAGGAGCAGATTTTGAAAACGGAGGAGAAATACGGCCCGATATGAATTTGGGACGTGAGCAGTATCGCGGATTTGAGCTATCTCTTCGAGCGCCCGAGCGCCGACGAAGGCGAAGGCCGGCGCGAGCGAGGTAATGCGAATTATGTCGACCAACAACTCGAAAATAAGCCGTACGCTTTCGAGCACGACATTTCTGGGTGGAATGTATCAGGCGCGAAGACGATGCGCGGCATGTTCCGGAACCACACCGATTTCGACGGAATGATTGGCGATTGGGATGTCTCGAGCGTGCGCGACATGTCTCTCATGTTTGAGGGCGCGCTTAGCTTCGACCAATACCTGGGAGGCTGGGACGTGAGTAGGGTCACCAACATGAAGCGGATGTTTGCAAGAACGCAAGCGTTTACGGGATGCGGGATTGAATATTGAGAGGAAAAATCCCCCCTCCCCATATTGAAAAGGCATGTTTCCGAAAATTTGCGTTGCTGATTTGAGGCCACAAATCACATTTGTTTTGCAAGAAGGCAAGGGCAGAAGCTTCCGCCCCATTATGGAAGCGACTTGTCATGCTGTTGGGCCTAAAGCGGAGCCGCTTGCCATGCTGAACAACTAGACGCGTACGCCCCTACCTAGCCTGGGGACCTGACTGCAATGCTTTCCTGCAATACAAAGCTGATTTGTGTACTCAAATCCAGCATCAGAAGTTTCGTCTTGATATGGGGAGGGGGCATTCTTCCTTTTGATATTGAAATGTGGGACGTCTCGAGAGTGGTCACGATGCGGAGGATGTTTTTTCAAGCGACCGGCTTTGACGGGTTGGAGATTGGCCAACGCTGGGACGTGTCGCGGGTCGAGGACATGCGAGAAATGTTTCGCGGCACGATGAAATTCAATCAATATATCGGAGATTGGGATCTCGGGAGTGCACGTCTTGCGAAGGGCATGCTGTTTGAGGCAATCGGGTTTACGAAGGTGAGAATGCTGAAGAAGAAGTGGGGCGACTTCACGCCGGCGAAGTATGTTCCGGACGCGGACCAAGGAGGAATACCCACTATCAAATGTAAAAATGTCTGGGTCTGGAAGAATGCAACTTGTGATGCTATGTGTGGAATCCAAAAAAATCTGTACTGCATGAGCAGCAAGAGGCGTCCAGTTTTTCCTCCGCGGAGAGGGGATTTCTCATGCGGGATAGGGATCAAGATGCCCACAAAAAATTTATGATGCTGGGGCATACATCACAGACGTCACGGGTCATGCAAAATGTGCATGACAAACCTTGCAATCTTCCAGACCCAGAATCTTTTACATTTGATACCCACACCCTGGGTAAAAACCTTGTTCACGGGACCGCCAGCACCGCGTCCATTCGGAACGCTATCAAATGTAAAAATGTCTGGGTCTGGAAGATTCTGAGACTTGTGATGCACGTCTTGCATGAGCCGTGATGTCTGTGATGCACGCCCTAGCATCACATATTTTTTGAGGGCATCTTGATGCCTATTTCGCATGACAAATGCCCTATCCTTGTAGCAAGAATTATACTCCTTTATTTTGCTACTCATGCAATACAGATTTTTTTGGAATCCAAGTGCAGCATCACAAGTTGCAACCTTCCAGACCCAGACATATTTGCAATGCATAAACGCCGCGTTGGAGCGAATTAATGGAAAATCGTGGGAGGTTCAGTCGGGATACGTGGGACGCGGACGCGGAGAGCTGGGCTCGGGACGTTATCGCGGGGCGCGTCGGGTTATATGACAGACTCGACGCCTGTTATCGTGCTCTTGAGCGGCTGATGCAAGAAGCAAGGGCAAGACCGAAATTATACCAATGGCTGCGTTCAAAAAATTAAGATCGTCCATCATCGGGACGAAAAAACCTTTATTTTTGCCGCCGTTTTGCTGATAGTACCGATTTTGGTCGGTTTTGCTTCAGAATAAGATGGTACGTATAATTTTGGGGAGGTTTTCTTTGGAGCGAGGATGATGCGAATATGTCGTGAGCGTGCTGGCATCGCCGGTAGCAATTTACCTTTGGCGTCGAGATGTCAAGAGGAAAAAGAACGCATTCAAAATTTTATTCGTGGTGCTGCTTTACAAGAACGGTCGAATGGAAACGGTTCGCCTTCTGAATTCCAAGGCTTACGCTTGCCGGTCGACGCTGAGATCACTCGAGGAAGGCGATCGCATCGGTACAGCGATCATAACTTGTTTGTTCCCGACCACATTTGTCAGAAGATCCATGGTGCTGTAGCATCGTCTCGGCTCCTGTTGAGGGTGGATACTTAACAAGATCTGCCAAACTACGCAGGATCATTTTTTTTCTTTTGAGAGGCGAGCTTTTTGATTTTTTTCATTGATCCAGGACCTTCCGCTTTCTTTTGTCGTGGTTCTCGTAATATTGATTTATGTTTATCGCAATCGAGGACAGCACACGTTCCCCTCTCTGGTCGTGAAGGCCGGCGCAGCTGCGCACATAGACCACCTTCACATCTTACAATAGATGATCCTGCTCGCTGGGTCGTCGATTTTCTAGGGAATATGGAACGTAAATGTATACTTTATTGAGAAAGACCTGGTATTGCTGCACTGGTGCTCAAGAGTTGTGCTGAGTGGCGCTCGTCTAGTTTCGTACCGTTCTTTTTTTGTGTGGAATTTCCTCTTCTGACGTCGACAAAGAAAAAGATGTCCAGGTCTGCTCGGAGTACCCGAGTCCCTCCTGGTGGTCCTTCTGCGTTGCAGAGGCAACCGCAATCACCCACGGCCCATGGAAATAAATGTAGAAGTTGTACCTTGTCCGCCGTACCAAGTAGACACGTGCTTTCATTTTTGCCCAGGTCGATTTTGAAATCGAGTGGAACAATCCGAACGAGCACAGCGAAAGTTCTGAAACTGCATGACAGCACAACACCGGCCCAGCGCTCTTTGATGCTGTTCCTTCTTTTCAGATTACTTCTACTCCCGGCCTCCCTCTACAACTTCTTCGTGGCTGCCGTCCGGTACCAAGGCTGGGTGAACCCGCTGAAGTATGCCTCGCTGAACGAAGATGGACAAATGGTTTTCACCGTTTTCATATGCATCGCAAAGAAATATATCGGTCTCTGGAAACTTGTAAAAATACTGAACTAGTACGGATACTTTTTCAATCACTTCCACATGCAGCCGACCATGACAAGTTTTTATGACGCTTCGCCATAAATGAATAGGTACTACTACTATACGTAGTACAAACTTGATGCATGACAAGAAAGGTTTCGCCCCTGGTTATGCAACACAGGAGGCCGTGTAGGAAGGCGCAGCACGCATGAGAAGTTCCGCTTTTAAATACCCAGACAGAATTACAATGCATAGTGAAACAACCTGAAAGACGGCGCCATGGGCGACGACCTGGTGGACGCCGTCCAGCACCACCTAGCGTTGACCAACGAAGGCAGCGTCAACATCCCGATGACGACGCTGCGGCGGAACCGGCAGCGATTTCTGGTGGGCACGAGCGATTGCAACATCAATTCGCAGTCGTTCACCCGTGCGGCGACCAACGAGACGCTCCAGCTGAATGTGTCGTCCTTCCTCCCTCACGCGTATCTGCTGGAAGAAAGCGGGTTCGGCTTGACAAAAACGTTTTTGAACATTGGCGCAAAGGACGGCATGGTGGAGGATCCCTATCCTGTGTAAAAACGCCCCCACCCCTAGTCAAGATGGGAATTCTGCTAGACAAGTCAACAAGCTTTGGCTGTTGCGCAAGACAAGTCTGGCCTCGTGTGTGTAGTCCTGTTTGGCTAGTTCAGCAGCATCACAGATCAAGCGCGTCGTGCTAGTTGGAGCATTGCAAATTACGAAACACGACTAGAAATAAGCGCTTCTCTAGATGGGGACCCGCGTGAGAAATATTTTTAGCATGCAGATTTGCACTACAGCTATGGGACGGGGACGTTTTTACATAGGATAGTCCCTGCGTGGACTTTGCCAAGTCCTTCGCCGCGAAGGGGATTCACTTTGAAAAGGACGAAAAGGAGTGCAGAATTGCCCGAAAGAATTTCAAGAAGAACCTCCCCGCGGCGCAAAGCGTGATTTGCGCGGAAGTCACCCCTATCCTGTGCAAAATTATCGTGCTATTCGTGCTGTAATGAATCGTAGTGGTCGCAATCACTTGCATAACAAATCATCTAGGCCCTCCTACCTGAATCTGCATGGCGATTTCTTGTTTCTTCTTCATATAAAAAGTTTGTGATGCAATTTCCACACGTAGTACAATGCTTTTGCAACATTGCATAACCTCCATGAACATCGTGGACCTGATCTTGGAAAACTCCGAGATCGCCAACCAGCAGCGGCACTTTGATTTGATAAAATTAGATATTGACAGTTACGACAGCACGGTGTTGACGGCCTTACTGGAAAATCATTTCACCGCGAAATTTTTCTTCCTGGAGATCAATCCCACGATACTATGCATTACATGCAAAGATATCTGGGTCCTCGCATGACAAGTTTTCGAGTGAATGGATTTTGCGTATTAAAGTGCATGAGAAACTTCTGCGTTTTTGCATCACAACAAAACTACAGCGTGGTAGTGCATTATGCATGACACATTTTTTTGTCCTGGTCCTATCAGCAGAGCATTACAACCGTTGCAATCCGAATCTCGTCCCAGACCCAGACATACTTTTGCATTCTATAGATACCGCCGCCCTACCAGTACGCGACACTGTACCATCCCAAATTGTGGCCCGCGATGCTGAATGCCAGCATGGAACACTGGCCAGTACTACGCCTGATGTAAAATCTTATCTCACTTCTTGTCGTAATCGTGTCAAGTTCTTCAAGAACTAACCGCATTTTTGCTATACCGCATTTTTGCTATACCGCATTTTTGTGGTCGTGTAGATAAGATTTCTATAGCGTACATGCGTGTAATCTTGGTTCGAAAGCGGTGGAGATGTTGACAAGGATTTTACACAGGATAGCTCCGGGGCATGAGCCTGAGTTACGCAGTGAACTTCATGAAGAAATGGGACTACGAGCTGGTAAGAGTATTTTTGTTCGTTCTAAGATCAGTACGTGGTTGTTGCAGCCGTGGTAACAGGACAAGAAACAGGTCAAGAGGGTAGTTTTCTTTTGCATCAAATGCGGCCACACAGCACAGAGCTGACCTTTTTGATGGAGGTCATACAGACTCTATACAAAACCCACTTTAAGGTACTTTTCGAATACCACGACGCTATCTTTGTGCACAAACGATACAAGCTATCAGATCTGGAAAAAGACTAGCCGCGCAGGCCTAGGCTGATTTCCTTTCCTGCAAGATAGAAAGCAGGCATGGCACGAAATTTTCTGTCAACATGTTGATCTCGTCATCTTGATGATAGAATGTCGCTATTATGGGCTGCTACGTTAGGGAAAATTTTCCACCGGCCCCAGTTTTCCACAAAATGCAAAATTTTTTTTAGCATATGCATCGCATAGCAGGGGACTCGCTGGGCGGCATTCGGTTCCGGCAACCCAGGCCGACCCCCATTCCGCGGCCTCGGAGTTGTTTTATGGAAGACAAAATCTGAACTAGCTAGTGGCGCACAATAGATGCGCTAACTTTAAGGCTTTAGAGCTACGACACCGTAGCACCTCCGGCCCCGGATCCACTCCACCCTTCCGGTTTCGGCTCCCAGGTTTTCCGGCGGGATGGAGGCTGCCGGCTTCGTCTGCTGCAGTACGTCGTCGCGAGGTCGTTTCGATGCCGCGTCTCGAAACAGCAAACATGCTCGCAGATCTGCTGCCAATGGCTCGCCGTTGGTTGTGGGTAGATAAGTATCTCAGCACTGTCGCCATAATTGTAGATCTCCCTGCACCCAATGACGGCGATGAACTTGAAAGGCCCAAACCACTAGTGCCTGTGTTGCTCGATTCGTAGCATGCTCCTCACGGTGGCAACAGGCAACAGGACGCACCTAGAACCAACAAAGAAAAAGCCCCTGTCCTGCTTGGGCATATTTGGGACCTATGTCCTCGGACTGCAGGACAAGATCTCTTGCGAGGCCTCCCCGGGTGCGCCACTCTGTGGCCCAAAGAGTGGCCGCTGAATTTGTGTCGGCCTGACGGGCCAGAACAGTTCCGAATGGAAACACACTCTGGAGGTGACCGGAATCGCGCGGGCGTTTCCGCAGCTCGTGCGGATGCAGCGCAGCAACAGCCGCTGCAGAAAGAGCTCGAAGGTGTCGCGCTATGCTTTGCAAAGATGCTGCACAGGTATAGGGAGCGACTCCGCACGGTGGGCCAGCCATAGGAGAACGCACGCTGTAGCACAGAGCTGGCTCCTGAGCCGCAGAGCGTTAACCAGGCCGCCTTATCTGCGCAGCACCTTTGCACAGCATACGACGCTACACGCCGCCGCGAGAAAAATGCGAAAGGGGGACTTCAGCAATGGGGTGACCTACCAGTACTGGAAAAACGCGCGCAAAAGAGTCGGGAAGCGACTCGAGAAGAGGACGGCAACAGTGTCTGTTGCTAGAAAATTGGCCACACCTGACGCCGAATGACCCCACCCCCGAGGGCCCCCCGCCCGACGAGAATCCCTGTGCCACCCCGGTACCGCGCTACCGCCCCAGATGGGCCGACTTTGTGCTCTCCGGGGGATGTGCCTCTCCGAAAGACATGCATGGCAGATTTTTCCGCAATGCAGACTGTGCATGACATGCCTAAAAAGAGCTCCCCAGCGGCAGACACTTTTGCGCAGTATAAAGGGTGGGAATTCTCCCACACAGGCGCCAGGACATAACGCGGGAGGGAGGGTGGCAAGACTTAAAAGACGCACTCAAGACAGGCACGCGCCCCACTTTTCCAAAATTGCCACGCTGGACCTAGGCACCATAGAAAACACAAAACCCTCAGGCAGCCCCGCGCCACATGATTTCGCCGGCCCACCACCCCGGGCGCCTTTTTTTGGGCGCCTTGCCCGAGACCCCAGTGGCCTTTGCCTGACCACGCGGGCACCGAAGTCGTGCGAAAGGCGCGCAGAAAACGACTCGGCGGGGCCTCAAGTTCTTGGCAACGTTGGTCGCCGGCGACCCCGGAGACCTCCCCTGGACACTCACGAGGAAATTGGGCAAATTCGACCCGGTTCGGGGCGTCCAAAATGGCCACAAAATCGACCGACTCAGGTCCTTATTCCAAAACGTCCACAAGAAACGAAAAAAATCGCGAGACCCCCGGGTGAGGCTGGCGAGGCGGGGGCCCTCCGGCTCCTCTCGGTTTTTCGCTTTGGGCACCTTCGGCGCCGGCCCCTCCGGCGCCGAAATGCCGCGCGCCGGCTTCTGGCTACCCTGGCGCGGCAGATTGTTGCGCCCCCCGCCCGGCCCGGGCCGGCCGGGGTCTGCGCCCCCTACGCCCGCCGCCCTGTCGCATTTTCGCGCCGCAGTCATACTCCTCTTCATTTTCATGCGCCCGCACACAGCCGCCCCCATCTTGTGCGGCGGCGCGGAGGCTGGGCGATGGGGTGGCTGCCGCGCAATAAGGTGGCAGAAAAAAAGCCGGGCGCTGTGTTTGGCAATCATAGCGAAGGCCATTGTGGGTTCGACTCGCATCGGGGACGCAATCGGCGTCGACGGGAACGACACGCAGCGGCAGCAGGTGGCGCAACCAGGAGGGCAGGCTGCGCAACAGGATGCGGCCGGGCTTGCTCAGGATGACGATCCCGATGGGCCGCTGAGCCCAATTTCATCCCACCAGCCAGCTACAGCGCGATCGGCGGTCTTCGGAAGGTCGTCGCCAACTCGAACGACGAGCCGGCCGGGGCAAAAGAGAAGGGGGCCCCGACCTGCTTCAGGGACGCCAGAACGCTGATCCCCGGGCCCAAAATGTGCGCGAATTGCTTCCGTCTCTCCGCCTCAATTTGTCGCGGCCGCGCCCCCGTTTTATATGGCGTGCAAGAAGTTTCATGCTGCTACGAACCTAGACAAGTGCAAAGCAGTGCTTCCAAGGAGACTATCTTCTAGCAGGCCGGTGGCTTCTTTGGTGATTCCCAGGGGGGCACCTGGCACGGCCTGAAGGTGCTTCTTGTAAATGCGCAACATTTGACGCCTCTGGCCTGTTGGTGTTGCAGCTCGTGCTGTGGTTGGTGTTGAGCCTTGTATCGGCCCCGGCCAAAAGGGCCTCACTTTGGCGGACCGCGTTCCGGGTTTTTGTAGCTACTATTGCCGGAGACCTGTCGCTCTGTGATTTCAAGCGAGGCGATTCTATTTCCTGAAGGCTGCGAGATCGTGATCGCTATTGCAGGGCCCTGGTTTGCTATCGTGCCCACTACGATCTTCCTGCCGCTCCATTCTGCTGATTTTTGGGCTTTGGGGTGTAAGTAGCTGCTGCTGACATGCAACGAAGTGGCCGCGCATTGGCCGGAGAAGGAAGGCCATGGCGCCAGTCGTCGCTGTTTCTTCGTTTGTTCTTGCTTGCTAGCTGCCTCCCGACCGCCACCAGATCCGGATGCGGAGATCTTGCCGCACAAGGTCCCACAGAGGCCCGTCCAGAACCTCGGCGAAGAATACCTGCTGCGCTTCGGGGCGAGATATCCGCACTACAACGTCTACGCCGCTGGCCGCTGCTCGGAGCGTCCGCCTTGCTGACCTCCATGACGGTTCATCCTGCCGGGCTACAGAGAATTGTCTTAGAAAATAGGACAAACCTAAACGCATTTTCAAAGTGTTAGTCTTAATCTAGTTACTATTGTGCGCCGCTAGCTAGTTCAGATTTTGCATTGCATGCCATTGAATCCGGATGCGCGGCCACGAGGAACTTGGGAAAGTGGACCAAGGTGGCGCACAACGTCAGCCACCACCGGAGGAGACGGAGCGAATTTTTTTTTTTTCAATTTGTGGAAAACTGGGGCCGGTGGAACATTTTCCCTTACGTAGCTGCAGTGCAAATTTCTAAGTCCGCCAACTACAGGACAAGTTTGCGGCGTCTTTTTAAGTACACGACACAATGCGCGTTGTAGTCTTTTTCCACATGATGCGAGCAAATCTACGGTTTCACCACGCCGACCGATGAGTTCGACTGCTTTCACAAAGCCTTCGTGTTTTCGAATGGAATAAGCATGAAGCAGACGCGCAAGTGGTTCTACGAGGTGGGGGTTGAGCAGGGCCTCGCCGAGATATTCCAGCAGCTGATTAAACACACCCTGAAAAACGGGAAGTTCATTTTCCCTTTCACCCTGCAGGTATGACGACGGCATGGAATTCATTTTGTTACTTGCTGGAGTACTTATTCTGCTGATTTCGCATTCACCAGAATGTGCCGGTTTTCTCTGAGAATAGAAATTTTCTTCCCTGAGCAGGCTCGCTCTTCCACTTCCTCGTCCTACACGAGAACATCGAAATAGGAATCGCTCCTGCAAGCTTGATGTTGATAGGCAAAGAAGATAGTGAGTTGCTTAAATGCGAATACAGTCAGGCGTCCTGTTCTTGAAGATGCACCAAAGCAGTACCGAGCACGCAATCTGAACAAGAACAAAATTTCTTCACCGGTGGCACGAGAACGTCGTGCAGGATCGTAGTGGATCACGTTAGCGTTCAAAAATCTGGAAGAGAATCGATCACGATCAAGTTCAAGAAATTCTAGCACTGGTGCTGCAATATCGAACACAAAAATCAGTGGCAAAGATAGTTCCGGAACATGACGCATTTGGAAGATCGTGCCAAAGTAATGAAACAACCGCGCGCATGCTCCCGTGGTCCGTTAATCGTAGTCATGATCAGGTGTAGGCGCAACTGGAAGTGCAACGGCGACCCGCCGAATAAGTACAAGTAGTATTCATCATGCTGACCGCTACGAACCCCAAAAAACTGGCGCTGAGCGCTAAGTCATTGATGTGTGAAAATGAATCACCATTGACCAATACTTTTTGAAACAGGGTGAAAACATTGTACGAATTTTATGGAAGACACCATACAAATAAGCGCACAACTTCCTTTACCAAAATTCTACCCCTCGTGTTGTACCTTGTGCTTCATCCATTTCTTGTTTTGCACATGCACAGAGCTAGTGCATATATATATTACTGAAAATCATGCTCCGGTCTGTGGTTTCGCAGGTTCGTGCGAAAAGCGGACCTGCGGCCGGAAAAATCACAGCACAAGGCGGTGCAAGAACATCAATAGCGAAGAAGAAGAAACACAATGCAGAGAATAAAGCTACTAGCCCCACAAGAAACGGGCAGTCGACGTCGTGTAGCGCACCAGAAGCTGGGCAGTCTGTTTCATCCGTAGAGGGGATGACGCAAAGCCAAAAGAAGAGAAAGAAGATAAAAAAAGGACACAACATCAATGGCGTTGATGCGGTGCCGATGTCAAAGAAGTGTGACGAGGATTTAGCGACAAGCAGCAACACTATCTCTATCACGACTGCAGAAACTACTTCACGAGAAAAGGGTCTGGTTGCCTGCTCCCAGAAACGACAAGCAAGCGGGGTTCTCGACGTGGAACTGGAATCAAAAAGCAAGAAGAAAAAACAGAAGCGAAAAAAGCTAAGCGATGGCTCAGTCGCAGGCAAGCAGCACCTTTCAGGAACACCAGGAGGGTCAACATCTTCTACAAGTACAAGAGGAACTACTCCACGATTGTCGGGTCATCAACATCGTGACGGTCAAGAAGAACCAGTGCCTGCAGGCGCAGAAAATAAACCCTCGAATCTTATCATTGACGACATTTTTGCGAGTGCGAACAAGAGGAGAAAACTGGACGACGGGTCGACGAGGAACCCAGCAACATCCAATTCAGGGAGCACGATAACGACGACGACAACGAAAAAGAGCAAAAGACAAGCTAGAACGGCTGCTCCACCTACTACTTCTACTCCGGGCAGCGCCACCGACCTGTTCGGGTACGAAGCGGAAAGCAGGTCTTGGAAGAACGACGGGCTAGGCGGGATCTACGACCAGAATGGCTGGACCAATCGACGGCTGAACGACAACACGAAGATTTACAAGGCCCACCTGATCGGGGAGCGGGACAAGCCCGGTGCGGGGACAACGAAGCTGTGTCCGTTTGACTGCGACTGCTGTTTCGGCTTCGCGGAAACCGAAATGGAGGGTTTCTTGAAGAAGGAAAGCGCAAAAGTAAAAGAGGCAGCGATCATGTCGTGAAAAAACGTGCGCGTGATTGAAGTTCGTTGTTGAAAATGTGAAACAAGCGAAGATCTCGACATCTCTACCATTATTTTCGCCTATGCAGCGAAGCCAGAGGACACGAGATGAAATCTGTCCTGGTACTAGATCATCATGTTCGACGTCGTGCTGTTCATGTCGACGTGACCAGCGCGCCCGTCTGTAGTGCGGCTCTGCTTCTCCTCTGCGACAGTAAGGTTCGTCAAACGCGAACAAAAGGCGAGAAGGGGCATTGGTTGCAACTAGCTTTTTTTGTGGTCGTCGTTTTAAAGCTTCGCTTTCATTTATCTTTGCCGGTGTTAACGAAATAGAAGCGCTTGGTCTTTTGAGTTTGTCATTGTCGTGCAAGCTGCATGTACCAACAATCTGTGACAACAAGTCAAAGCCAAAAAATCATAAGTCACGATTCTGTCCTTACTGTATCTTCACCGCAGATGAAATTATTGACGTGGAGGTGCAGCATCGTAGTGAGAGAGCCTAGTAAATGACTCGACATTTTATTTGTGTTGATGTTGCTGGTGCGAACATTTTATTCATCATAGAGAATTTACAAGGTTCATGAGCTTGATCTTGAACATGGTTTATAGAATACGAAACTTCCTGGTGTTAAGGAGAGCATGACTCTTCTATGACCCGCGTGCAACCGAGAATGAGGAGAAGGAGCAGCCTCTCTAGCCTTTTCGATGATCCCAAGCTTATGTAAATGATGTCACGTCGGCGCCGGCGCCCCCGTTGTGGTACTTCGAGAGGGGCCCCCGCAATAAAAGCGCCACGTCTTTCCAATGACCTCGTTAAGAAGGCCAAATCGAAAGCGGAGGCTTCTCCAGCAGACCACCGACAGCCAGCAGCGCAGCATGGTGCGAAAAATGTCAAGGGAGCGGCCACTGCACGACACACGACCTTGGAAAAAAATCAGACATTTCCTCTTGCTCCTGCGCCGGCGGCCAAGACCCGCAAGACGGCACCTAAAAGAAAAGGATATAGCAGTGCTCCTGTAGCCTCTGTGTCTCGATTGGTGACATTTATGGCGTTCTCAAATGTTACATTCTGATTCTCAACTGTTACACGGATTTGTAATGCAAGAAGGGCAAAAGTGAAAGGAGGAAGATTGCGCCTTTTGCATTACAGATCATAATCATTTGGGAAGGATTATATGTAGTGAGGTCACGAACGTTCTATCCTAGCGGTTTTTTTGCCACCTCTTATCCAAAACGACCGGTAGTTTTCAAGCGGCCGGAACTGTTTTTGCACATAAACAATTTCCAATTATCAAGCGGCCGGGGCTTTGATAGCAAACAAGCCCGGTCGAAAACTATCGATTCGCACTGGATAAAACGACGCAGGGGAGCCGGCAAAAGGGGCGCCCTTCCGAGGCGCCCACCGCCTTGGTTTCTGGTGGTTTGGGGCGCCCAAAAAGGGACGCCCAAAAAGCAGCAGTCCGAAAAAAACAGCGAATCCGCATGGTATGGGCCTCATTTAGGCCCGCACTCGGGCCCCGCAAAAGACGCAACCAAAATCCGCCATTTCAGAGGCGGACTGAAGGCCAGAAGATGCGGCATTGTGACAAAAAAAACAAAAAAAATCCAAAGTCCGCCAAAAGCAAAAAGCCAATCCGCATGCTATCGGCCCGATTTGGGGCTCCCAAGGGGCCGACCCTGGCGGGGGCACCGCCCTGGCGGGGCTATAGCACGCGGGGAAGGTTTTTCGATTCGAAACCAAATGGAGGCCAGCTCTGGAGCGAGATTTTTAGGGACCGTCGATCGTGCCGTCGTGCATAACATTACTCACGACGGCATGGCGGGCAGGAAATAAGTCGCGTCTTTTTTTGGCGTGAAAACAAAAAAACCGCCACGACCTCACTACCCCCGCTGAGGCGGCTATTATTGGTAGTGCTATTTAGCCCTCCGCAGATTTGTCATGCCGAGCAGCTTGATCGTGAGGATGATAATGGTGCTTTTGCATGACAAATCCATGCAACAGTTGAGAGTGTAACAGTTGAGAACGCCATAACATTACACGATTATTTGCGGTTTCAGCTCCAGACGCATGAGGCAAGAGAGAAGGTATTTGGCGCCGGAGTCAACACAGGTCGTGCACCTCCTGGTGACTGTTCGACCACGTTTTCTAGTTGTACAAAGGCATCCAGCTGCAAGACCGGTGGAGTCCCCATCCCCTCCACGTCCACAATAAAGAACCCGGTTGAACAAGAAAACATAAAAATTTCTGCCAGGAGCCACACCGGTGTCTCCGGCAAGACGAAACCCATCGTGCGGCCCAAGAACGACGACCTGGAATGGTTGCACAAGGTCTGGATTCTGTTGGTTTACCCGGGACGGAAAGACAAAAAGCCAACGAGTCAGATGAAAGCAGCCGCTGTGGCGAAGAAGAACGCTGATCATGCAGTGCCGGAACGAGTAGAAGATTCCTCCAAGACCAAGACCGAACCGAAAAATAAACCCACGACGACCTACACCGGTTGCAGTCCTGGGATCCCAAAAAACTACTTGCTTCCCCCACCGCTGCACCTGCACCGCACGACCAAATCCTTCGGAGCTATCTTACGCGTCGCCAAGGAAAGGCTGGGAAAGCAGCACAATTTCGGGAGGCTGCACGAAGAGGATGCCGTCATGCGGACGGAGTCACTGTTTTCCGCTCGACCGGACAAGGGTAAAAATAAAGTAGTGACAAAAGAAAAGCCTGAGGGAGTGCTGGCGCAGGGCGTTCTTGGAACGAACACCACCGAACGCAGAACGACAAGGGATGAAGACCAGCCACATCAGGCCGTAACCACGGCCACGGGCGGAAGCAGAAACAGCGTGAACGGCGGGCCGCAAGGCGGTTCTGGTTCTGGTGCTTGTGGCAGTACGTCCGCAAAACATCTGGCCTCCGACGAGGACACAAAAACTATGGCTCATTCCAAACGGATATGCCAGTATGTTTTCAATGCAGACATATCAGAGTGCACAAACTTTAACTTCTGAAGAACAGGAAGGCGTTATCGTTGTCCCCCCCAGCACGTCTCATCGGTATGTAATCGTGATAGGCAGCGCGAGTATGTTGAGAAATGACTGGCGCCTGAACAATTTAGAAGTGCAACGTCGCCGTCAGTGTGTGTGTGTGTGTGTGTGTGTGCCATGTTTACGAAATTGAAATACTGCTGCCGAAATGAGATGCGTTCTCGCAGAGAGAGCTTGACACCAATTGCAATTTTTTTTTTGTGTGAGGGGCGGTCACCGTCACGACTTCCAATGCGTAGTACAACCGGTGCACAAGAACTGTCTTAAATCTTCATAAGCCAACTTCGCGGAAGGTGACAAGTGGAAAAGGTTGCTAAATCTGATCGGCGATCGCCTCTTCCTGCACCTGCTGGTTGATTGCCGGATGTTTCACTCCGTCGGAGAGAGGGGGCGTGGCGGGGTGCAAAACTACCTGCAGATCAGCGGCCGGCCGGTACAAGGGAAAGACACAAGCTGTTTGTCCGGAATGAAAATGGCGGTCGATCTGGTGTGGGGCGGGACGGAAGGAAAAGCAAATTCGAAGAAGAAGAAGAAGAAGGAGTCTTGCTCTTCCTGTTTGGGTCCTTGCACAGCCGACCGACGCAGGACCATGGCGAGCAACCAACTTGGTGAGGAAACAACTTCAACTAAGAAGGCGGACGCGGAAGGTGTTCCAAAAGACTGTGCTGCAGGTTCCGCATCTGCTCCCGGACGAGCAAAGACAAGGAGTGAGAGCGCGCAAAAGCCACCACGACCTTCAGTCGGCGCTACCGCACATGATGAATCATCGAACATTATTCCAGTGCTATTTTCGAAGTCGAACCGGCAGCAGCGCAATCGATTTCGGCTGCAACGGTTGAAGCAGAGGCTCGCAGGTGAAAAGGAAATTTGTTCCATGGCTACTTCTTCTAGAAATGCCTATCGGGGGCCGGCGATATTAGAAGGCGTGAGCAAAAGCAGTCAGCAGGTGGACAGTCGCGGTTTTACCATGGAGGATGTGGATCCAGCGGACCGTTTTCCTACGAGACCCGGCGGCGATTCAGCTTCACCTTTCCGGGGCTGTGAGGAAATTGCTCCTCAACTTTCCGAGCAGAAACGGAATGCCGATACTACTAGTAGTGCTTTCGAACAACCGTGCTCCACCGCTGTTGAAACTCGCATTGTTCTTTTTCAACATGATCCCTCCCACGACGAACTACAGTGTCGTCGTGCAGTGCCGTTTCTACAACATCAAAGTAGAAGATTTAGATTTACACCGGTTACCCATACCGCTCAGGAGACAACAACAGCACACCCCCGAAAGAAGCCACGGAGGTTGGCTCGATCCTCTTCCTCGCTGAGTGAAGTTCTTTCCCGAGGAGTGAAGCCTCAGGCTGTACTCGTGGCACGGCATCTCCCACCGTCGAGCACTGAGGCCCTTTCTTGGTCGCAGCGCAAAGTAGGACGACCACTAGATGATGGCAGTGCAGCCGGAACAGCTCCTCGCCCAGCTCCACAGCGAAACCTCCAGAATGCTGCGGGAGCCCGCCAACATGGCAGTACTACAGCCGCGGCAAAGGGAAGCAGGACCCAGCCCCATTTTCAACAGTTCCAAGAACAGCGCCGTCCTCCTCCCCGTGCCGTGTCAGGTGCCGGATCAACATCTTCGGGTTGTGCTACTGCGTCGTTCTACCCGCTGCTAGAAGAATGTTGTCCGCGACGCATCACCAGGGAAATTAGAACTTCGAACAAGCGACAGCTGCTAAAACTGAATGACTTCAAGGCGACAAGCTTTTGCCAGCCGGCCAGCGCGGTGATTCAGTTTCTGTTTCGGGCGGTGTTCGGCGTGATCAGGGAAAGAACCCGCAGCTGCCCCTGGAAGTGGTCCCGCAGGAGCGGTAAAAGTAGTTCTACTGATCATGCTGATGCTCTTTGTAGTTTCTTCTCTGCAACTATGCAGGAGAATCTCCGTGCCCTGATTCGAAGTTTTGTCACCATCCAGAAGGACGAGGCCTTGACGGCACATGCGTTGTTGCACAATTTTAATGCGAAGAAGAAGGAGCAGAACATCAAACGGGGGATGAAGAGCAAAGACGGAGGCCGGCACACCAAAGGAGGTTCTACTTCTAGCTCTGTCTCAACCAAGGTCACTACTGTGCGAGTTGCTACACTAGGAAAAGGAAAAGCGAAGACGGTACTAAAGAAGCGTAGGCGCAGCTCCAGCAGCGGGAACGACCTTGTCAACGACCAAGAGCGAGCGTTGCCGTTGTCGGCCAAACCTCCAAATAAACGGCGAAACACGAACCGCAGTGACGATCGTGCTGCTATTCGGTCTCCTGAGATGACCCAGAGCATCCCGGAGATGACAGAGTCTCTGCCACCATCGACGCCAGAGCGACATGTTGAGCAACGACCTATGGAAGAAGTTGAAGCTGTAGAAGAAGCAGTAACTATGATCTCGTCGGCCTGTAACAATATTTCCGCTCCAGTCGTCGCCCCATCCGCTGTCGAACTGGCGGAGCGGAACAGAGCTAAAATGTTGTCGCAAGATGAACCTGCACATGATAAACTGCTTCTCGAAGGTCTCGAGCTCGACGCAAGTAAAGATGAGCAAAAAATTAACAAAAACCACGAAGAGTCGTGTCAACATCCGACAGAAGTTGTACGTCGGCAAGCTAAAGCTTTGACCGCGGCCTCTCCGACGCCCGGAAGGAGCATCACCGCACGAGCAGGTGCAGGGGAGCGAGACCACACAGACCAAGAACCAAAAGAAAGAAAGCGCCGCAAGCACTGTCGGCGCGGCCGCGGTCGCGGAGGTCGGGAAAAAAATATTGTTAAAAAACCGCAGCCACCAGTCACTCCTGTCGAGAGAGCTGCCACCAGGAGTCAATCACAACATTCGCGGCGTGGTCCGGAAGTTGAAGTTGTGCATTATTTGCAACCGTCAGAGGGCCACCTCAACGCGCCGATGTTCGTACAACCTGCTCGCCCCTCCCCAACTTCGCGGAAGAACAACAAAAAGAAGCGCCGGGGAAGAGTTTCACTACGTGGCTGCTCAGATGAAAAGAACGCAAATACTACCACAATCAGGCAAACGCACCAAGCGTCCTGCCGTCGAAAAAATCTTGCCTCGAGGCCCCACCACAAGCAGATGCGACAAGTGCGCGACTTTCACCAACTCAAACTGTTTCAGTTCCTTCTTCAAGACGTGGTGGGAACCATGCTGAAGCAGAATTTCTTTCTCGTCTATGGGGAAATGACGGGCAAGACGCCCTTGTACTTTCGGAAGGAGGACTGGCAGATTCTGCAGGTGCATATGCACTACAAATTTCTCGTACATGTACAAGATGCATCACAAATTTCCCCAATCCACCGGAGTGTGAAACTTGTCATGCCGAACTAGCATCGAAGCCATCAACTTTTGCCATGCAGAGACCGCATTTGTACGTGTGCAGGAAATTTACTGTGGATAGTGCAGGCAGAGAGGGCGTACCTGGCGGAGTCAAGAAATAAGAGACAAGATGTGCAGCTGGGGGGTGATGATCCTCGACGTCCTGCGAAGGAAGCTGCTGCTGGCGCCGTGCTTTATAATAATGCAAGTGAAGACCACGGCAGGGCCATGATATCTGGTTCATCTACTGTCTCGTCCGATTCCAAAAGAAAAGGCTTAGCTCAAGCTGTGCCAGGAACAACGGAGGAGGTTGTCAACGCAGCAGGAGCGGTACCAATACCAGCAAAAAGCGGACTTCTCTCGACGAACAGCGCTGGTGCGCAAAAAAAGGGAGTAGCAGGAAAGAGATCTTCCGGAGGACTGACTTCCGTTCCATCATCGAATCATGATTGGGCACCGTCGCAACGAAAAGTGCGCCCACAAGCAGCACTGCACGATTCGTCGTCCACGAAGATTCTTGGAAAAACAATTTCATTAACTAACCCGACGAACCGAATCCGGTGGGTTCCGAAGGGGTCCAAGGGCCTGCGCCCGATTGTGGATCTGCGATTTCAGAACCGAAACTGGCAGCTACGCGACTCGGTTGCGGTTTTGAAACACCAGCTCGTGCACAATAGAGCAACGGTTTTGATGAAGATGATGCAGGAGAAGAAGCCCTCTACGAAGATGTTGAACACAGTGCATAGAGCCGCAGTTTCTACTTCTTGCAAGACAAAGAACACCCGAGCTACTCCTGCTCTCGGAATCTCGGTTTTTCACCGGTTCGCAATTGCGGCGAAGCTGAAGAAATGCGTGCGGAAATTCGTTAGCCAGCGGAGGAAAATATTGAAAACGACGAGGAAAGCCTCGAAGGCCCTGGTGGAGGCATCTGGCTCAGCAGATGATAGCCGACAAAGTGATGCGCATCGATGTAGTAGGACTACCAGGAGCATAAAAATTGCGCGGCTTCGCCGGAGCTGCGCGGGCCCTGCAACCAATTTCGCCATCGCCGACCTGCCAAAGTGTTACGATAACATCAATCGCGAAGAGCTGAAAGATATCATCGGTAAATAATCATCAAAACCACGAACATCGTTCATCGATATATATAAGTACAAGTTTTGTGTTTGTATTTGCTCGCTGCAAGGAAGATGAATCACGTGTCCGATTTGTATTGCATCGTGCGTAACTTGTCGCGCGAGGGTATACTCGACGCACAATTTTCTGTGTGTCATAGCGTCGTGCGTAACATTACCCAGCACGTTCTTGCTCTAGCCCCGTAGAAGAAGTATCGCGTTCGCGGTGACGTCGGTGCAGCAAAGCGTACGAGAGTGAAAATACACGATACGACGGGCTGCCAGACATCGTTGTTGGGCAGCACGACCGCGTCCCCGTCAAGAAGATTTGATGATGATCATGTTGCAGTTGGTTTTTTTTTCATCGGATGCACCGGCTCATCAAAACGCACGAGCCGGAAACGGATTGCCGAGTATCCTTTCCTTTGCTGCTCAAGATGCAGCAGGCGCAGGCAAAAGCTGCACGTGGGGCGAGTCAAGCGAAAGACACGACCAAGAAAACGCGTGTTTGTCCAGGCAAGGACAAAAAAACTACTTCGACCACCAGCAGTCGTGGTGCTGCTGAAGCTCAGGAGTCCAACATCTCGGATAGTGACAGCAAGGCCGCCGCCGCCGCTATGCCTATGCTTATGCAGGATAACGACAAGGTCTGGACCCGCGCCGCGTTCCAGGAAAAAGGCAAGAGAACGTTAGCGGCAAGTAAAAAGGGCCCACAGAATTCCTTCTTGCGGCGGAAGCCGTATGTGCTGTTTGCGCGGAAACAAGAACAGCTGCAGGTGGCACCACGCGGTGGTCGAGGAGGACATCATCATCTCCAGAAGCGCGAAGTTCCTTGTGGTGCGAGCGAGAAGAATAAAATTGTGAACGTGCTTCCTCCACCGAAGATTATGCACCTGCTTGCCCCAGTCGGCCCGATGCGCACAATTGCGCATGCTAAGGTGACCGACTGCCTGCAAGCTTCCATCGATTCGTTTGCCGTGGAGCTAAGGGTGTGTGAATCGCCATTAGGTGGTTGTTGTGGTTGCTAATCACGACCCTGATTTTGCATCTGGTTCTGGGCCATGCTGAAATTATTGGGCATGATAATTGGTGAATGAAGGTTGTATCGTGCACGAATATAAAGACGAGCAATCCGCACTAGCTGCACTGAGATTAGAAATGAAACTGAAGAACAAGCTACTGTCAAAAAAAAAAAGACAACTTCCACCTTCCATGTGCATAACGCCTGAAAAACCTGCAGAAGGTGGTATCGCGAGAGAAGTCCTCGCTTGGTATAGCGCAGGGCGCCCGGGCCAGCCCGCTGTTTAACGCGTTGGTGCTTGGAGCAAAAGACGGGGCCTGGTTGGAGAGAGGGAAGAACATTAGAAGCAACACAAAAGGAGCGACTTCTTGTTCATCAACACAGAAGGCTCAGAGTCACAGACACCAGGAGCCGCAACTTTATGTACGGGAAATAAACAAGATCATGCCAGCTGCCAACGGCAATACGAGAAGAAATCTGAAAAGGCCAGCATGCGACCAGCAGCGCGCCGTAGTTTCCACAGCCGAGTCCGCGTTACCGTTATCCTCCTCCTCCGGCGGGAAGCGTCACAAGGCAACCTCTGGTCCTCCTCTCGAGACCACTACGACGTCCTCTCGTCAGGAACGACCATTCTCATTGTCACGATCATCTCCGCAAGGCCGTCAAACATCAAGAGGATCATGCAAGATGAATCGTGGTAATGGTATTGCTACTACCTCCGGACGAGCAGCCAATAGGTTGGTGACCATGGCCATGCCAGTTCTGCAAACCATTCCAGAGGAACATGTCCTCGACGCGGCCGAGGACATCACAGGACGCAGTTTGCTACCCCCAGCTCCAAGCACCACCACGTCTGCACCGGGTGGAATGGCAAGGCCTGCTCCAAGACCTCCAGGAGCCGGCCCACGGAATAAAGATGAACTAAGCACACCTACGAGAGAAAGGCAACAGCTCGCAAGTACTACTGCAGCGGATAGTTTTCCTGTTCGCAAGCCGGATTTTGTAGTTGCTAGTTTGCACGGAAAAGCAAAAGGAATAGGAGAAGAAACTAAGATCCACCGTTTGCGTTGTCGTCCGGTGAAGCTCGCGGCGCGCCTGGTCGATGACTTCTTCTACATCGGGCCAGAAAAGTATGTAATCTGTCAGGTTGGAAATGATCTTCTGAGGGCGTTTGTTTTAATTTTTGTTTGCAATGATGTACGAATTGATGCTCGTTTGCAACGATTTGCTGTGGCGAAATTTTCAGTCTCTGTAAGCGCAGACACAAAAGCAGTACTTTGTGGAAACAGCAACTTCAGGCGCGCATCATAGCATCCGGGGTAATATCACTCCGGACGGTATGATAGACGTTGCGCGCCTCGTCGACAATACCATCGTGCGTGATGTTACTCCGCATGCTTTGATGCGTGGCGGAAGCTTCCGCGCTTGTAGGCGTGACAGCGCGCCGTGCGTGCAGCGGGAAGTGGATTTCGATCATGTGGGGTGTGCGACTGCATGATCCGATTTGCTTTGAGTGGGCCGCGCGTCAGCGAGCCCGAGATCGCACATGGTTCGGATAGTTTCTTGCATACATCCAGGCTCATTATAAATACTTGTTTGATGACAACTTGCTCTTGCATTGTTTATGCAATTTGGCCCGCGGCCCGGCCGGGTCTTTCTTTTGCACTATCTTGCGGTAGCCGCGTATATGATTGGACAAAATAACAAATATCCAACAGCTCCTCCGACTTCGCGCAAACGGCTAAGTCGGGAAAATCCACGAAATTCATGCGTATCTGTCACATGTGTACTGCAAAGCTTTCAAATTCCGCCCAAAATTGAAAGCATTTGCAGCAGGCATGTGCGTTTTTGGCTTTAATTTGCAGCCTCTACAGTACACATGTGCCGAATTTCTTGCGTTTTCCCGACTTAGCCGTTTGCGCGAAGTCGGAGGAGCTGTTGGATATTTGTTACTTTGTCCAATCATACCCGCGTAGTTGTATGCATAGGTAGTATTCCGTGCTGCGTAAGGTTATCCCGCATGGTATCGTGTAAGCTCTCTTTCTGCCACGTCATACCCTCGCGCAGAACTTTCTACACGATGGTATGCAAATAAATATGCTTTTCGTAACGTTTCACTATCACAGCGTCCCATAGCATACATCTACGAGTCACATCCTTAGCCAAATCCTGATGTCAACTGCTACTCTATTGACGATTTCCTACCTGCCGCTTTCATAAAACACCTCACAAGATATTTTCGAAGTGGGAAAAGGTCTTCGGACGGCTGCACAAGAAGCGAGCTCTGACAGGCGTGCGCAGGCCGGTAAAAAAAACCTTTCGGATAACTGGGCTTCAGACACGACCCTCTGACGAAAAACATCGCGACACACTTCCTCCGGCGAACGTGGTGCGGCAGCCACCTTCTGCCGCAACCATCACTTGGGCGGGTATCCGCTTCGCGCCGGAGTACTGCAGTGAAAACGGCTCTACAGGAGCGGCTTCCTCGCGCCGCCTTATCCTCCCAGGCATCCGGCGTCTGAACTATGGCGTTCTCAACTGTTACATTCTCAATTGTTGCATGAATTTGTAATGCAAAAATGGCAAAAGTGAAAGCAAAGGAAAGGCCTTGCGCGTCGTGCATGACAGATTTGGCGCAGATTCTCCGCCTGTTTGGCCGTCTGAGAATTTGTCATGCGAAGCAGCTTGATGGCGTAAGTAGTAAAGGCAATTTTGCATGACAAATCATGTAACAGTTGAGAGTGTAACGCTTGAGAGCTCCATATGAGCATCTCTGTTGTTTTGAAACAGACACCGCTGACCCTCGGAGCGCCGGGGCGGCCAGGGAAAAAGAAGGGTCGAGGACGAGGACCTTTCGTTCACAGCAAAAAGAATTCCATCATTAAAAACGGTCGTCCAACTGCAAGCACAAAAATCCTCGAGAAGCTCAGTGCCACCTGTCTCTATCCGATGTAAAGACTTCACCACCTCCCCATAGTCAAGAAGGGGGTTTATTTGCATACACAAATCCAGAAACTTTGGGAGACACGCACGACAAGCTCCTTCTCTCGGTAGTGTAGCGCAGTTTAGCGGGGACAGCCGCATCACTAATCCATCGGCTTATCCTGCAGCTTACAGCATTACAAGTGCCAAAGGCGCGTTTGTGGTTTGGTCGGTTTAAGCATAACAAATGCCAAAACGCGACAACTAGAACAAACTGCACCTTTTGCGGATGCGCATTACAAACGTTCCTGCATATGCAAATCTGCATGACAGCTATGGGCTGGGACGTTTTTACACCGGATATCCTCCGGGTTTTACACAGCCACTGCTTTCCGCTTCCCGATCTGGTGTTGGATAAGCGATTGAACAGCGCAGCGCACGTGGAGAGGTTTTTGCTGGAGGCGTTGACAAAGGTTGCGCAACGGCTGAAGGACGCAGTGAAGCGGCTGAGAAAAAAGTTTGGGGTCCACGTCAACTTAGCGGATTTGCGGGAAGGTGTGTGGAAAAAACGCATCCTGGACTACGTCGAACGACGGTGTGCGCAAAGCGGGCAGCGGGCACGCTGGGCCGCGATCTGTGACCGGGCGGAGAAAATCATGGGTCGTGGTGGGCCTTGATGCTGGAGGGATCTTCGAGGTCTTCGTGAAAAGTCACCGCTACCTTTCCCTACTTAACAATTACACACGGAGTCCAAGATAAGAGTGGGTCCAGTGTCACTATCGTTTCTTTCGGACACTTGGTTTCCTTTTCCGAATTTCGGCAACGCCAATCACCAAGCAGTTCCTGTCCTGTCCGCGCCTCCTCAATGCCCATGTATCGACGGAACAAAGCAAAAAACGAGCGACAGGATATTGTGTCGGCAGCCGCAGCACGCTTGTCTGATGTAGATGTTCGTAGATGATGCTGCTCCTGCGTTGGGTCAGGCAGCCTTCCACGCAGTTTTTCATCTGGTGTCAAAGTGGGAAATCGTACCGGTATAGTGCGTCGACGTAGAAGTGCGACTGTCAGCTATTAAGACAGAAGCAAGCCGTGTATTTCGTGTTGAGCTCGACGCTTGCATTTGCTTGTATTTCGTATAGAAGTGAGTCTCCTGCAAACTACAGCAGGCCCAAGAAGGAAAAGGAGAGAGCAAAAACCTTCGACCAGCATCAAATAGGCACATCAAAAAAAGGGTCGTCAAGATCGTGAGTGCTGAGGTGCTGCTCTCAGCTGAGTGGCTTCGATGAGAGACGTTAGCGAATCTATTTCGGGAGCGCATTTATTTTCCACTGCTCGAGTGCAGATACAGTGTAGCTTTGCGGTGCTCCCGCGCGAGGCATCAACGACTCTATGCTAATATAGCCTGATCCACAACATCCTTTGATATCACGACGTCACTGCCGCAGCTTTTTTGTGTTTGCGCTACTCCTATTCCAAAGATGCCCTACCCATAATTTATTTTTTACCCAGTACAAGAAGTATGAAGTCCCTCATTTTTTAAGACCCCGCGCTATGACCTGCTACGCAAGAATCTCGCATGCGCGCGATCTAGTAACAACTCAACTAAGTAAATACCTATTGTAACGTGTCTGAGCCCCTAAGAAATACCTCATTTTTTCTTTACTCTTATTTCACACGCGGCCCCGTCCGCTTTTTTGAATTCAGAAAACCCAAAATGAATGACGTTCGTTGCAAGCATGACTATGGATCCTCGATCTTTCATGCGCCCCCTTCATCGATGTATTTCTCGTTCTTACGCGGCTTTTGTTTCTCATGGGGCATCCTCTACTTGAGCGGAAAGACCCCATAAAGGGAGAGCGCTACTCATCATGCTGAACATCATCAACTTTTTCGTGGGAACAACGACCGACCGTCACCGTTCCTCCGTGCGGCGTCGTGTTGTTGATCCTTGACGACCTCCCGTCGGCGTCTCATGCTGTGAACTGATCCACGACACTCAGAAGCGTTAGTCTACATAAGAAGCGCCGGCAAGAAACTACACGCCAAGCCCACCGCAGCGTCGGTACGATTGCGGACCTCGTCCTCGCGCAAGGACCAACGGCAAATAAGTAGAACTACTTACATCAGATGGGTAACACCATCCGCGGGAAAGGCAAGAAAAAGACCGGTCGGGGCGATGACGCCGGTGACATGGACCCGCTGGGGCTCAACGACCCAAGCAGCCGCAGAGCCTCGGGGCCCGGCGGATCGACCAACCCCAGTGGTACTTCGCGGAACTCCGCGGCGGAACCCTACAAGATCCGCAGTACCGGATTGAAGAACAAAGATTTGGACGGAGCCCCGAACTCCACTTCGTCCGGCTACAACCCTTTGAATCGAAACTCTACCACCGGTGGTACTACAACTAACGCCAATACAACCGCGGGAGGTGGCAGGAAAAGCAGCAACGCCACGGCGTCCTCCAGTTCTAGCCGCGCCGGTGGGAACAATAAAACTTCCAAGCGGAGTGGCAGTCAGGAGGACGAGTTGAACGACCCCTACGAGAAATTTTCCCAGCTTTTTAGCGAGGAGTTGAAATCCGGGACCAGCCACCTCGGGCCGAGCAGCAGTAAGTCCTGGAACTGGAAAAACGAGGACCAGCAGCCGCCACCGTCCCGCCCCTCCCGGCAGGGATCGTCAACAAGTGCTGGACCCGGCGGGGACAAGAAAGGGCCCTATGAAAGCGAGTTTTGGGCGGAGGACCCAAGGTTTAACTCTGCGTTTTCGAACATCGTCCTGTGTCCCGGGTTATGCATTGCAAATATTATGTCTGGGCGGTCTGGAATTGGAAAAGTGGAACCTGTATTGCATGTCTTGTATTCTTGTATATGAATCTGTCTCGCATGACCAAGAAAACAAACTCAGTCTCGTCATGCAAATGCACAGTTTGCCTTTGCCATGCGCACAACGCGTCAGGAAGCGTCCTCACAAATTTGTCATGCTCGTCTGCATTCAGCAGTGTGCCCAACAATCGCCACTTAGCATCACAAGTGCCGTCCAGACCCGGACATATTTGCAATGCATACGGATGCAAGACGCCCAATCGAGTCCCGTACGCGTCGAAGTTCAAGTGCTACCACTGTGTTATGCAATGGAAGCTGGTGAAGAGGTCATAAAAATCGGAGCCAAAAAATAAGTAAAGCTCTATTCTGGAATGAAAGAAAGGAGGAAAGATGACAGGAGAATGACCATTAGATTGTTTGTTTTCTCTATCAGAAGTGCCTTGTTTTGATCCACCGCAAGACCATTTTTCTTTTCGCAGCTTGATGTATTTCTATTTTTGTATGTCCTTGACCAGTTGTACGCATGGTCTTCGAGGTATGGTACTAAATTTGTTTCCAAAAGCTGCTCCTGCTCCTGTAGAATCAATGCAGCGCAGCAGAACGTTATAAACGGATTTCCTTTTTGAAGACTCACCGGCCTTTCGTCGCTTGGATACGCTGCTCGCTGGTGGACCCAGGGACCTTCAACACGCGGACCCAAGATGAGGCAGGGTATGTTGATGAATGAGAGTGTTTTTGTTCTACTGATGTTGCATGAAGACGTGGTGATTTATTTGCACCCGACCGACCTCAAGAACGCGAGCTCGCTGCAGCGATTTTGTTGTACCAAAGAGAAAAACGCAAGTCACAGTCGCTCACAAACGCAAGTTGTTCTGCTACTAAGTATATTGCCCGCGCCGGGGGCTGCAACTTCAGCTTGACAAGATCAAGATGAAAATAGCTGGCACATCAACCACAATTTCCAGGTACTTCCAAGAAGCCGTACAGGAGTGCGAAATCGGTGTCGCAGTCATGGATCAGAAACGGAAGGAGATTCTGGTATGACAGTGCACAACTCCCCCTCCCCCTCATTTGTATGGGATGAGCAGCAACACAAGCAACGCCAGAAATGTGGCTTTTGCATGACAAATCTCCTGCACACGGATTGTAGTACTGTTTGGGGGTCCAAAATTGGCCATGCAAACTGTGCCTAGACCACGGCGCAAGTGCTGCGTTTGGTATTTTGCATTTTACAAAGGAGGCGGGGGAGGGGTAGTTGTGCACTCTCATATCTGGAAGAGATCGAACAGGAGCGGCAGGTGCAGGTTGCCATGGCGAGGTCCGGCATCGGCGAAGACAACTGGCGCGCCGAGGAGCTTTTCAAGGACCTCCAGGCCTGTCGCTACACCATTGTCCAGCTTGACCGGCAGAAGGGCCGGAAATTGTTCGAAATCAGCGACAAGCTGGTGGATCTCATCAACTTGTATGACCACGCAGAGGACATGATGTTGATATGACAGTGCACAAAAACAAGCCCTCTCCCTCATTTGTATAGCATAGCACAAGCATCAGCAAGCGTGCGGGTTTTGCATGACAAATTTGCACTGGAGTGTAGTTCATCTCTTTGTGCTGCCAGAACAAGAACTTGTCATGCAAACAGTGCCAAGAGCAGGCAAAGGGTGGACTCGGTACCTTGCATGACAAATGACGGGGCGGGGGAACTGTGCACGGTCATAGCTGAACTGGCGTATGTTGAAGGACGCGATCTCAAACGACGACAGGGTGTATGATAATGCACAACTACTAAGTACTCGCCCTACCTCTCGCTCTCAACTGTGTTGCATCAACAGAAACAGAAGCAAGGAACAGAATATGCAATTTTTTATGGCGCAGCTTCGAGACACGGATTGTAGTGCGGTTTTGGATGGTCCTGTAGCTTTTCATGCAAGTCAGGCTCACGGTGTCGAGGCTCGCAAGAACGGCCGCTGGGTTTGTAATTTTGCAAGGCAAAAAGCGAGGAGAGCAAGTAGCTATTTTGCACTCTCATAGCGTAAACATGGAGATCTTCCTGTCCGAACTTGATCCCGCGTTTAGCGGGAAGTGCAAAAGGTCTGTACAACTACGATGACTATCTTTCTTCCGCGGGACATGTTACCCTTAAGAATGCCGCGGATTGATTTCCGTCGCATCAGCAGCATAATATATAAGCAGAACACGATAAACAGAGCATGATCAATCTGTGCTGCATGATAAACATGTAGGGATGATGTCACTGTTCCCGTTACCCATGACAAATTCAGGTACGTCGTCTGGCTGATGGAGAAAGAACGGGAGATTCTTTCCAACCTCGCCTTCGGTATCCTTGAAATGCAACTACACACCCTCTGCTTGGCAACGCGAGTCAATGTCAAATGATTTTGAATTTGTACAATGCAAGAAGTACGTACTACTTCTGAAAAATCTGAACGTCCTCAACAAGGTGGACAACGATAGAAGGCTGTGTACTCCGTTGTGCCTGAAAAGTACTGCATGAACCGAAACGCACGTTTTTGAATTTGCAATTATACGGCTATAGAACATGGAAATGTAACCTTTTGACTTTTTTCAATTGCTCCTGTTGTGAGAAGTAGAGGATTCTCCCACCTTTGGATACTCGACGCTGCGCTTTCCCACGCCCTGAAAGACGAAGATGAGGACCAACTGCAGATGCTTATTGAGTATGCGTTGCAGAAGTATAATCAGTACTATCGTACTGTTCGTAGAACCACTCGCAGGACATTTTTTCTTCAGAAGAATAAATTAAAGGTGAAGTTTGTCATGCGTTATTTTAGCCAGGTACTAGGAAACATACCAAATCTGTCACGCATGATTGCGATTTCGTACGTGTACCACGAGTGCGATTCATATACTTTTGCGATCCATATCAACGAGGTGCGGGAGTACGAGCTCAATTACGACGTCGAGTTTCTTTTGCAACAAATGAAGCACATCCAGAACAAAAAACGGCTGCAGCGCGAGGAGGAGCGCGACCGGAACATATCAAATGCAAAAGTGTCTGGGTCTGGAAGAGGAGAAGTCTGTCATGCACATTTTCGATGATCCATGATGTCTCTGATTATTGCCATAGCATCACAGATTTTTTGAGCGCTTATCGATGCGCATCCTGCATGACAAATGCCCTCTCCGCGTAGCCAAATTTGACTCCTCTTGCTGCTCATGCAATACAGATTTTTTATAGCATCCAAATGCAGCATCACAAGTTTGGCTCTTCCAGACCCAGACATATTTGCAATCCATAGAACAGCCAGGCGGGCAACATGAGCGGGTACAACCGGAACAACAGTGGTAATGCCTCGCAGCAAGATATGCAATACAAATTTCCCGTACATGTACAAGATGCATCACAAATTTTACCAATTTGGCGCGTAAAACTTGTCATGCTAAACTAGGATCGAGGCCAAGTTTTGTCATGCGGAGACCGCATTTGTACGTGTACGGGAAATTTACTGTGGATACAAGACAGCAAAGCGAAAAACCGGCGGTCGTTCAACACTGCGGGAGACGAGGACGATGCGTCTGGCGTCAGAAAACCGAAAGCCGCGGGAAAGACGCCAACTTTTGCCCAGAGGGAAAAGGAAGAGCCGAAGAAGGCAGAGCAGAGCTCAGGCGGACAGCAAGGAGGAACTACAAGTTCCTCGTCCGCAACAAATAACCATGGCAGGGCTTCCACCACCTCCACCGACTCTGGCGGGTACGCCAAGGGCCAGGACCCGAAGCAGCAAGCGAAAAGTGCGGCCGCAAAACCTCCGGGGGCCGCGAAAAAGTCCTCTTCATCTTACGAACTGCAAAAGTATCGCACCAGGAGTAATTTATAACTTTTGCAACAGTTGCTTCTTCACAAATTTACTACGGCATGATGTGTGGAGTTTGTCATTCTAAATATGCCTTAGGAGCCACGAGATTTGTCTTGCATGATTGCAAGAACTACTGCAAGTATCACGATATAATTACTTCTTTTGCAGTGCATACATCTTCTTCGTCGGCCAAACCCGACCGGCACCCGGATGTTCCGCCAGACTTGGATTTTGACGAGCCGATTTCCAGTCAGAAGATGGCGTGCGAGATCCTCGGTTTGGAAGTCGGGGGCTACGACGAAGCCGCTATGAAAAAAGCTTACCGGATATTGAAAGGAAAAACTCCCCCTTCCCATATCGAAAAGGTATGTTTCCGAAAATTTGCGTTGCTGATTTGAGGTCAAATCACATTTGTCTTGCAAGAAGACAAGGGCAGAAGCTTCCGCCCCAGTATGGAAGCGATTTGCCATGCTGTTGGGCCTAAAAGTGAGCCGCTTGCCGTGCTGCGCAACTAGACTAAGACGCCCCTACCCAGCCTGGGGATCTGGCCGCAATGCCTCTCTGCAATACAAACCTGATTTGTGTACACAGATCCAGCATCAGAAATTCCGTTTGGCGCTTGGTCATGTGGTTACTTTCTCTCTGGGTTTGAGGTTGATTCCCACCTCCGGGCCCTGTAATGCTTGTCCCTGTGTGATGCGAATATCTGTGGGTTCTGGCCGTTTGCATGCAAGCCCCCGATGTGGTTAGCCCGGTGACTGCACCACTCTGGATGGAGGGGTTTTTCAAAGCTACAATAGAACGTGACACATCTTTTAGGGTGTTTCTTTTACAGTAGGACTTCTAGTTTTCGTTTTTCACACACTTACTTTTCTTTTTGGTCCCCTCGGTGTTTTTGAACGAAATTTGTACAACGCTATTTCTACCTAGATAACAACACAACTCACGTCGCAGCCGTCCCAGGAGTTGATGCTGTTGTCTCTCGGTAGCAATCGCGCTGTCCAAAATTCCTTCATGACGTTTACCGGGTACGCGGTTCAAAGTTTGTACTGGATTTCGTTAAAGGGACGCCCTGCCCTTAGCCTTCCAAAATCAGAAATTCCGTTTGGATATGGGGAGGGGGGATTTTTCCTTTCGATACCGGAAGAAGGCGCTCGAGTGGCATCCGGACCGCCAGCAAAACCATGGCTACACGGAGGACGCGGTATGACAGTGGCGCAGAACTACTAATACCCCTCTGCTTGGTCATTTGCATGTTGGAGGCATGATGAGCTGCAATACAAACACCAGCCCAACATGTGGTGCCTGTGCATGACAAGTTCCCCATGCGCGGATCGTAGTACTGTTGACCCCGCTCCTTCCGGAATGTGTCATCGCGCACAGTAGTGAAGACACAAGGCAGGAGCAACTGAATATGGATATGGATTGTGAATTTTGCATGAAGAAATACAAACGAGAACGAGGGGTTGCAGTTGTGCACGCTCATACGCGACGCGAATGTTCCAGAAGATCAAGGACGCACTGGACTATCTGCAGGCCTACCAGAAAAAATCCGCGGCCGTTAACCGGCGGCCCCCACCTAGCTCTGGCAACGCGAAAAGGGCCTCGACCGGAGGTGCGGGCGGGGGGAGACGGTAGGAGGTCGCGATATGGCGCTCTCAACTGTTACATTCTCAACTGTTGCATGAATTTGCGAAGCAAGAATGGCAAAAGTGAAAGGGGTGACCTTGCACGTCTTGCGTGACAGATCTGGCACAGATTCTCATCCTGTTTGGCTCTTCGATAATTTGTCACGCGAAGCAGCTTGATCGTGTCGATTTTGCTTGTGCTTTTGCATTGCAAATCATGTAGCAGCTGAGAATGTAACATTTGAGAACGCCATACGTGAAGGCAGTGGTGCGTTGGAGCAGAGCGGGGACGAGTTTTGGTGGATGTGGGAAAGACTTATGAGACGGCCCGAAACTACTACAACGTCGCGTGCAATTTACTCACGACAAGATCTTGATGTCGGTCTAAGTACTTCCTAAATCGCTCTCGTTCTACTTGCGCCGCGACGAGGACTGGGATCTTTAAGATCATCCTTGTGGTGATCTAAGTCCTAGCGGGTCGAGCGCTTTCTAAAGTACCACTGACACCACGACCTCATCTGGTCCATTCAACTCGCAAAAACGACAGGAGATAAGTCGCACTCGGATGTGGTTATTTTTTGCTTGGTTTCTAATTCTCCTTTTCCCTGTTTTTCGGCGCCGCAGTCTCTTTGTTGAAAATAGCACTGCGCAGCAGGGCACGGCTGCTACTGACAGCGCGGCCTGTTCCACCCTCGGTCAGCCTGCCTTTTGAAGTTGCCCTCTGAGAAGTCCAACAGTACTTCCAGGGGCTTGTCTCTTTTTGTTCAGCGAAAAAAGCCATCATCGATCGCTTCTGTTTGCAGACACGAAACGTTTTAGCGTTGTTCTTTCGGAATAAATGTGTTTTTGTTGATCATCTTCATCTGTGTGAGGTTGCTAGCAAGGAATCAAGTGTTTGTGATTTTTTTACTTTCAAGCAGGTCTTGTTCGAGAAACCATCTGCGTCTGTTTGACTGCCACTAGCTATTCACAGGTAAGGACCAACGAGAAAGAGGTCTCAAAATCTACTTCTACAAAAGACCAAGATTCATCCACGGCTCCTCGTGTGGATCTTTAATTAGGTTTCAACAGAGTGCAAGTCCATCAATTTCAGATCGGTTGTTTAACCCCCAGCTCAGTGAGGATTACAGTGTTTCACGCCACTTACTGTACCAACTGCTGACTACTTCGTAAAAGTATTTGCGTCATTTGACGAAGAAGGACAAACACAAGGTCGGGCTCGCACGTCAGAAAAAACGTAAACCTAAACTACTAAACCGCTTTATGAATAGAGCTAGTGAAAAAAGAGAAGCAAACGCTTGCCGTCTTACACTACAATCTACAACCACCCTGGAGGACAATTTGATTTTAATGTTGAAGAGTTTTTACATTGATGCGTGAGTACTTGCCGAGATCATGTCCCGAACGATCTGTAAACTTTTGTACAAACTAACAAACAGACGATAAAAGAATACTCACGGGCCTTCGTGGAGGAAATTTCTTGCAAGCTCAGTTTCCGCTAGGATGGAAATCATCTGCGCACATATTACTGTGGGTGGTAGGTACTTACTTCTGGGCCGACAAAAGATTTTCAGACCACGATGATGTTAGAACATTTCTGTGAAGATCGTCAGGACATCCTAGGGGACGTTGTTTGTTCTGAGAGTTATGCGACTATATTACTACTTCGATTTCCTTTTATTTTAAAAACAATTTTGCATTTTTCTTGTTGCTATCGGTATCGTGCGTCAGCGGCAGAACAAGCCTACTACGTGCTACTTGTCTATAAAAAAACAATATCCACTTTGAGAAGTGCAGCTTCCCAACGCAACGGCGTCATCAACGACAACGCAGAAGGAAGCGGAGTTCCCTTCCTATGGTTCCCCTCCCCGTCGTAGCCGCGTCCAGCGAAGTCGACGTGGGCGATTACTCGGCAATGATCTCCTATCATGGAGGTGTCTGGTTCGAAATCGTCGAAGTTGAAATAGTAATAGTTTGTGGTCATGCATAAAATGCAACGCAAAAATTGCCTTGTCTAGTGCAGAAGACGCAGTGGAGGCAGATCTTAGTGCTGGTAAGGGTTGATAATTAGGCTGCTGACTAGCATGACAGAGGGGAGCCCGCCCTGTGCCCTAAACAGCGCGACAAAGTGGCTTCCGGCACGGAAAAGAATGGTCATGCGCCGACTAGAAACTGTGGGTCCGATTGGTATCGACTTCATAATTATGCGTTACAGGTTATTTCAACTTTGTCCATTTCAATCCTGACACTCCCATATCTACTCCAGTCGTGGAAGCGGAAGAGAAATAGCGAGCGAGGAGGACAAGGATCTTTGCGTTTGTGCACCCGAGATGAATCAAGCGTGCGTGAAGGAGGAGCGCCTCTACGTCAGGGAGGAGAACCAGGAGGCTCTTGCTCTTGGTCTTGATGCGATGAAAGACGCAGAAATAAATGACTCTTCTGAGAGCACACTTCTTATCGAAGACACAGGAGATCATGCTCATGGAAACACCGGAGACGTGGCGGATGAGGTAGAAGATGTTGTTGCAAAAGGATTCACAATATCGGCCCTGACTGCGTTAAGCGGAGATCCCCCGGTGGAGCCGGGCTACATTGGGACCACGTCGGCCCAGGAGAAGAACACAAGCACGAAGAACTACAAAAAGGGCCGGCGCAAGAAGGCGAAGATGCATGTCCATGTCGTGGGCACCTGCAGCAGCGACGGCGTTCGTGATTATATCCTGTGCAGAAACTTTTACGATGTCCCCAGCACCAGCCCAGGCTTGTTACGTCGAAAATCAAGCATGACGATGATGATGATGATGATGATGATGATGATGATGATGCGAAGGCCGGACGGCTCCGGCGGAGTCGGGACTTTTTTTGGCGATGAGATTTTGACCGTTTCACTTTCTTGATGGTGGAGTTGTGCTAGAAGCAGTAGACAACTCTGTCATGATGATTTTATACAGTCCTGCATCAAAAAGAAGAAACAAAAGAAAAAGGTCGTCCCTGCGCACAAGCGCTAGTAGCCACAGAAGATGTTGTGGATTGATAGATTATCAACAAGATGTAGTTGATGCGTAAGTCACTGTATCATAAAATAAAGATCAAAATGAAAGCGCGCGCGCCAGAACTACTAGAGGAGTAAGTTGTAATTGTGGGCGGGGCGGAAGAGTAGAAGATTTGCACAGGAGCCGGATCATACCCGGCACAGCCGAAGAGGCGGAAGATTCATCCACATCCCAGCAAAGGATGGATTACAAGAAGAAGAAGCAGCCCAAGAAGAAAAACAAAAACGACCGAGCTGCAACTGAGGATAAAGAAGATGATCACCGAAGACCAGCACCGCAAAAGTACAGCAGGACGTGCTGCGGCGCCAAGAATGACGATGTTGACACACAGAAGGTGAAAGACTGCTGCTGCCAATTTCTGACTATCTTCCTCATCATCTGTTGGGTGGTGGGGGTAGTGTGCCAAATTGTGGGACTCGTTTTGCAGATCAAGAACGATGAGGAAAGCTCAACAACGAGTGCAAGAACTCCCAGCGGAGGAACCACGGTCCTTGCTCCTGGTGGCAGCAGCGGAACTACGAATGCCGCAGCTCATGCGCGACTGACTGTCCCCCTAACGCAAATCGATGCCGACAGGTACTATGCCGACAGCACGCATGGAGCCGAAAACCGGCACAGTGGCACTCTCGTCAGCCAGATCGCGAAAAATTTGCGGCATGGGAAAGGTATCGGCGGCGAGAGGTTCCGCGTCGATGCGCTGATTTTCCTGGTGGGGGATGGGTTTCTCGACAATAGTGGGTATCTAGGACGAAGTGATTATTATAGAAGCAGTGCTGCAAGTGCAAGTGCATCAAGTATACAAGTACGAGGGCCATCGTCATCGATGAAACAAAGCACGACCACGGCGCTCGGAGAGACCTATGGCCTGTTCATGGAGTACCAGCTGCCTGATATTGCGTACTATGCAGATGCAATACAAATTTACCCATTGATGATACATCTGGTGCAAAATCATGCACCGTCACATCAAATTTCGTCAATTTATTTAAGTGCAGCACTTGTCATGCTAAAGCTAAACCAGTATGGAAGCTGAGTTTTGTCATGCAGAGATCGCATTTGTACACGTATGGGAAATTTACTGTGGATACGTACTGGATCAACTTCTTCCTGCTGGACGACGAGGTTCCCACTAGATCTGCACCCGGTCGAGGCGACACTGTATGGAAGTAGTGCCAGGTTTAAAATTCACAAAAGTGAAACATGTTGTAATGCACAAAATTATTCCAAGACCAAGCCGCGCCACCAGTCTCTTAGGCTGCCAATTTTACTTTCTAAGCGACGCATGGCAAATTTTGGAAGCACCGAAATCCAATGAGCCAGGCTGTTTCGCGGGGAAAGAAGACGCCGTCTGTCGTACTACTTTTAGCAGCTCTATCTCCAAGAGCCCCGATCCCGAAGAGGCTTGCAATCGCTCTCATTCACGTGTCTTGCTATGCAGGCAGTTCGTGTATGAGCAAAAGCATGGCAATATTTTATGCATTTTTTGCAACTTTCTTTGTCGATTTCAGTTCTGACGCTTCCATCGGCTGCGAAAGTGGGCACGAAGCAGGTCGTGATGGCAGCGGAGGCCGGGAGTTCTTTACAAGACCGAATTTATTTTATGGAAGGAGGCACATCAGTTCACCAAAGTCGGAGCAGCTCAGCGGCGGGCTTTTTGTCTGCAGCTGCCAGGGCTGGTGATACATCTCAGGACGCAGCTTCCAGCTCTACCAGAAAGCTCACGTCGAAAGTGAAAAACGACGTTGCTGTGCGCCAAAATATACAAAGGGGCGACGCTATCGTCTTGCACCTCGGTTGGAGCGAATTGGTGTATCCTGACATCTTGAAAACGTTCATCAGCAGGCATTTCCCCGAACTGGACGAGGAACAGAGTCGTGCTGGAGCTGCTGACCAGCAGGACGCTTTGAAGCGCAAAATCTTGCAAACGTCATTGACCTGGCCGGAAAAGTTGGAAGAGCTTTATAGAGAATTGATGCAAAGACACTTGCGGAAATACCTGAAGTTTTTGACGGGTCAAGCCTGTAGCTGTACTAGCGAGGAGCCACAAGAAGAACTCGGCGAGCGGAAGACGAACGGCCAAGGTCGAGGAGCTCCGAGCGTAGCACAGATCATGGGTCAGCAGCTTGCGGAAGTAGAACAGATACAGAATCATAGCCGAGAGCTCGTCCCCGCTGCAGGGGGCAAGAACGCAAGGATCACGATCCACCTACTCGCACTCGCGCTCGGACCACCCGAGGGACCCTTCTTCAAATCGGTCCTACGCCGTGCTTTCTCCAAGGATGCGAACAAAAACAAAAGCGTTGACATTGACCTAGCAACAATTTTGTCAGAGGACCACTGGGCGCGAATGGTGACGCTTTTCCGAGCCAAAGCAGGGACAGAGCGCAGCGACTTTCTCCGGGGATTGAATTTAGTAGCGGCACCTCGTGGCCACGCTTCTGGTCTTGCAGCTGCTGGTAGAAGTGCTAGCGCGGATCATGACACAGAAGATTCCATGCTGGACGAAGGTTGTGTTGTTGTGAAAATACGGGAAATCAGTCGACGCAAAGTGCTAGGCATATAAAATGCAAATGTGTTTGGGCGGTCCGGAAAAGTGGATGAACTTGTGATGCTGCATTTGGATTCCAAAAAAAATCTGTATTGCATGAGCAGCAAAGGGAATGCTATTTTTGCTACGCGGGGAGGGCGGAATAGGCATCAAGAAGCCCTCAAAAAATCTGTGATGCTAGGGCATGCATCACAGAGGACATGATGGCTCGTGCAAAACGTGCGTGACAAGTCTCAGAATCTTGCTCCAGACCGAGACATATTTGCAATTCATAAGGCAAGCGGCGAAACAACCACGCAGCTCCACCCGGCGTCGGCAGCTCTTCTTCAATGCAACTCCATGCTCTCGATCACGTGCATTTGAACGAAGCAGGCTCACGGGTTTTGGGCGAGGCTTTAGCCAAGAGGTTAATAAAGTATAACGTGCTCAAAAATTAAATCTTATTTATTTTCAAAAACGGTATGCTGCTTATCGATTTAACATTAAAATAGGTATGTTAATATGCATGCTATAGCTAGTTAATTAGCTAGTAGGATCGACCCTTGTGGATGTGTGTCGTAACGCGGGAGCGACTGCATGACGATGCTGGGAAGAAGGCCATTTTTTGTCATGAAATTGCATGTGCTGTTGCTAAGTCTGTATGCGATGCTACTTCTCCTGTAGGTCCTGCAGCTGGTCGGTTATGAATTGATTTGATACACCAAAAAAACAATGTCACGAAGTCGGTCTATGGAGAGGAAAGATTATTTCGGGTTGATGCATTTGCGAGGAACTGGCTGGTTGCATTTATGATTGGACTGTGATGGTTTCAAATACAAAAAAGCGTCAGAGTCCCCGACGTGATTTAAGACCCCTCGCGAGCAGTTGTATTGCGTTACTTTCTCAGCATCGTACTCATTGCAGCGATTGGAGCGAGGTGGTGGCTTTGCGCGAGACAATGGGAACACAACCGAAAGAAATCGAGAAGGCCTCTGTGCGCGAGTTCACTGCAGTGCTCAGCAATACTTTCGAAGTGCACGCCGTTTTTGAAAGTGCAAGCGATTTATTTATTCGCCCGGTAACCCGTGCACCGACGGTTGACAACCTGGACGATGAATATTTCATGTCGGTGCAACTCAAGTCCACCGAGTGCTGGGATGATGCTTTTGACCGTCGGCTGCGTTTCATTTTAAATAATGAACAAGAGCGGCTACATGGAAGCATCCTGATCGGAGTCGATGTATTGGACACGACAAAACTATTTATCGAAGCAGTTCATAGGGTCAAGGACTACGAGAAGTTCAACATCAATTCCGGCATCGTTTCCAGCGACCAGGCACCGCAAAAGTTGAAGCAGTTGTGGAAGGGGCCCTTCGTTACCCATCACACGGGCACTAGTGCCATCCTGTGCGCATACAGTCAGCAGACACTGATGGAAAAGTCCGCCCGTGATTTGTTCCTCGATGAAATTCGAGGCTCGAACCTCATCTATGCTCCGCCGCCGAAGGAATTTGGTGTAGCTGATGGCGTCTTGTATGATCGGACGAATCCCGACCTTCGGCACCTGGTGCAAGAGAAGCTGATGTACCCGCGGACCGGACGTGGCGAACAGTTGAGCCTCCGCTGCTCGCTGAAGCGGTATAGTTACGTTGCTACCATTCGTGACGATAGTTTTGCCAACCTGATGCTCGCTGCATGCGAAAAAGCCAAATTGCCAATCTGCAAACACGACAGGTCGGGCGGCAAAACCTATAAGCACGACGACGCCGAGTTTTTGCTTCTCCACTGCCGCGACATTCCGAAGCCCAAACAGTGCAAATCGTTGCACGGATGCGCCTTGGTGCCGTTTGAAGTTCTGCGGCAGACTGGACACGTGGCAGACGACAATCAGTAACGACATGAGAGAAGCATATTTGTTTTTGATGTGATGCAATTAGGACATTACAACTAGCATCTTCATGAAGTAAATTTATAGAAACGAAAGCGCACACTTTAGGTCCGGAAAAAAAACCCTGGATCTGTTTCCGAATGCACCTGGTGTAAAGCGACCACGGTTGAGCGGAACCTTGGAAAAATACTACATCAAAGCAGGAACGGAAATGAACATTGCCAACGAGATGCTGAAGCTTCTGAACCAGAACAGCTCGGACTCTCAAGCTTCGTCTTCATCTTCGACCCAGACAGAACAGTAAATAGAAGAAAAACAATAGACGAAGACGACGGACGCAGTTTTTGAATTGGAACATCGCTGGGACGCACTCCGCCACAGCCGCAATGCAGTTTTGTAGTTTTGATATAAAGAAGTAAAAATGTACAAGAGGGGCATTGTTGTGTTGGGAGTTCCAGTGTTGTGTTTTAAAATTATTTTTTTCGCTTCGAAGAACCTCGTGTACAAAATGTATCATCGTAAAACTGCATTACAAATATAGTCCTCATCTAATCAGATATAAAACATATTTTGAAGTAGTGGTCTTTTCTACGTTGTCGTGATGCAATGCTGCGGAAGTTATATGAAGCGGAAACGAGAGAACAGCTGCCTCCTGGCCTGCATGCATTAGCCACATACTGCACGTACCACACAAGATACAAATATGATGCATAACAACAGAGTCAGCTTCTCTCGTTTCCGCTTGATATAATTTCGCAGTAGTAGGTGAAATTGTTGCTCAGGTATATACTCGCTCGCTCTAAAATAATTCAAATGCAACAAGTAATAATTTTTGTCTGTGATACTCTTTCGCGGTGCTGTAAAAGTGCCAATAAGACATCACAAATAGTTTTTGAATTGCCGTAGCAAGAGTTTTAGCTTGCGGGACTTTCTCAGTCTCGATGCGAAGAATACGACTAAGGTTTATCTTTCTAAAAATAAAGAATCCATCAGCTGTAGCCTTCTATTTTTTTGAACTTTAAAATTGATGTATGTTAGTTTCACCGTTTCTGCTGTTTCGCATTACTAGACGAGGCGGCAGAGGAGTTGTTGTTGGTGGTCTGATTGAGGAGATTCTGGGGACGCTTATTACCTTTGCTGTCAGCTGTCGGCTTCTCATCCTCATCAGCATCCATCATATCCTCCTGGAGAAAAAAACCATCTTCCAACGACTCCCCTTCGTCCAGCATCATCAGGCTCTGTGCGTTCACCTGCAGCATTTCGACCTGTCTTTCTTCTTGTGGTTCAGCTGCTTTCTTCTTGTTCATGATGCCAGACTCTTTTGCGAGGTCAAATACTGCTTCTGGCACTGGGATCGGACTATTACGCAGGTGACCGGCCCCCTCGTCCACGCGCATGATGTAGAACTCCTCGGGCTCTAAGGAAAACTCGGCGATTACTGCTGGTAATAACTCGCGCAGGACATTGTGCTGGACGGACCCGGTAGCTTTAGTAGAAGGAGCGAATTTGACATACTCCGGAACGCGATCATTCGCCCACCGGATTCGCAGACGATCACTCGCATCACCCTGGTCCATCCGGTGACTGGCGAACGTAGCTAAATCCCTCCAAGGGTCCGTGACGATGGAGACGACTTTATGCCGGTACTTTGCCGGCAGCCGCTTCAGCCCCGGCCGCATGGGACTACTGACGGACTTCGGCACGGGGATCAGTTCTTGTTTTTTCAAAACCCGTGCGACCTTCTTCTTCGGTTGTGGTTGCAGAAGCCCGGCTCCGGTCATGGGGGTATCCTCGTACGACGACGTCACCGAGATGATGCAGTCGCAAAACTCCTGGTCCATTGCGACGTGGCGTATCAATATGAAAAAACGTCATATCTGCGTAGCTACTAGCAGTTTGCTTTGCTGTTTCTTGACAGCACGAAATTTGTCACGCAGAAGCTACAGCCACGAAATGCAAAACAAAAAACCAAAACGTCCCTAGAGCTGCAGATATGAAAACTAGATTTCCATACTGGCAAGGAGCACTTCAAACAGCGTGGCTTTGTTTTCGATGGAGAGCAAGCCGAGGTGCTCGTCTGTAATCGCTGGAAAAGTGTCTTGGACTTTGGACAGCACAGCAGCCTGCATTTCGTCCGAAATCGACGGCAAGAGCTGTGGGAGATAATCAATCGGATCGGCCCAGCAGTTGGACGGAGTGTGGATGTAGGTGGGTTCGTTTTTGCTGGTGGAGCGGCGGTTGACGACACCTTCGTAGAGGACCAGCTCGCTGGCTAAAAACCCACACTTCTTGATTTCGGAATCGCGGATCGGCAGCCGGAAAAGTTTCTTTCCACACCGCGACAGCTCGAGTCCCATCAGCAGTCCTTCCATCCAGTTGGAGAACCTGTAGTGGGTTGTTTCCTCTTCCTTCTCGCCCCGCTTGTGGCCGATCACCACGAGATTCTTCGACTCCTGGAACTTGGCGCCGTAGTTACGATCTTCACCAAACCTGTAGCTCATGGTCTTGTGCGCTTTGTACTCCATCTTCGAGTGGAACTTGTTGCGCATGATGACCTCCGCCTCGACACCACGAAGCCCGAGTTTGTTCGGCTGGTACGCGACAAATTCTTTGTCGGTGCACTTCTCCAACATCTTCCGCACGACCTTCGGGAAATTCTTCTCGTTGTTCCAGTTGGTGTGCGCCATCAGCTTCATGTCCTTGTAGCAGGCAGAGATGCTTTCGTGGCGCTTCGTACCGCCAGTACGCTCCAGGCTGTTGTCGTGGAAAAGGCACTGCAAGTCGGCAGCGGTCGGAGGCGGTTTCTTCCGCTTCACCAGAAGCTTCAAAATCTCCGACACTTCCCGGGGATTCAGGATGTACAGTTTGGTGGGTGTGAACACACGCATCGGGCCGTATAAGCGGGGCTGTTCGGAAACATGGCGATGCTTGTCTACCTGTTTGCTGATGAGATTGATGATTATCGGCGCGTTGGCGTTTCGCTTGACGCTGGTTTTGTTCGCGGAATTGGTTTTCTTGGATGTATTCGGTAATTGACATGCTCCGGACAACACGAATACACCACTTCGCCAGCAGCGCCTTCACATCCGCCTGCGGCAACGCGGAGATCGCCATGATGTTGGTTTTGCCGCTAACGGACAGCTCGTACAGGACGTATTCTCCCACATCGTGTGCCTGCTCCGGGGTGACATTGACGACGTTGTTGGCGTAGGATTCCCACAGCCCGAATTGTGGATCCATCGTATGGAAATGCCACGCGTTTATCGTGCCCGCAATGCAGTGCCACGCTGCAGCTTCGTGGTCGGCGGTTTTATGGTACGCCCTGCAGAAGTCCCCCGTCAAGGCTCTCCACGTCCCGTCCCGGTTTGCAGACCGCTGTTTCTGGATCTTCGCAGTACTCAACCGCTCTCCCATCTGCACCTGGGGACTGATGTACCGCTGGTACGTAGTCAGGAGGGGGGCGGAGTCGACATTCGGCCGCGACTTACCGTGCTTTTCCAGGTGAAACAGCAGCTGAAAGAAACTGAACATCCCCTGCGCCACGTCCTGCTGGATCTTCAACCACTTCCACTCCAGATCGACCAGAACTCGCAGCATTTCGGGATGATAACCGAGCCACTTCTTCTGCAGTTTTGACCGCTTTTCTGCGATTTCCACGGACTGCAGCGGCACCTCCTGACTCTCCTCCAAAATCCGCGTAATTTCTTCCTTCGTGTAGTCTTGGGCTATGCCAATGAAATGTAACGAAACAGCACTAATCTGTCATGCGCAAGAAGCTTAAATGTATATAGCGAGCAAAGCAAAGCAACCACGTGGCCCTCCTATGTGATGATGCTGCTTCGTTACATTTCAAATGCATATTGCGACCGGTTATTTTTTGTTTCTGCGCCATCGCGTGGAGGACAAACAGCAGCTGCCAGTACGAAATCATCATCATCGACGTCCAGTACCAGTCGCCGAAGAAGCGGTTCTGGGAAGCATGGAAGATGTTGAAACCTGAAATATTGCAGCTTGTAATGCGGAATAGAGAAAATTGATGCATTATGAGGAGGGGGTCTGAGGGGGGGCCGAGACCCCCCCCCTAAACGGGACCACTTTTTTCAGTAAGCAAAAGCTAGCCTGCATGGTGTGACGCACTTTGAGGGGGTACCTAGACCCCCCCCCGAAACGGGTACTTTTTACCTAGGAAAACACAAGAATTTTCCCAATAGTTGAGCAGTATTGTTCTACTCAGCATTACAAACACGTAATACGCTTCTCCAGAGCCTGCGAAACGCTGACTGCTCCGGCCTCCTTCAGCAGCTGGCTCTTGTACTTCCTTTTGTTCGCGGTGTCCGGATCATCCTTGGTTTCCTGTTTCAGCTCCGTCTTCGCGAAGAAGTAATCAGACTGATTTTGCCCGCGATGGCACGGGCCCTGGATCCAATCGTCGAAAAGCTCCCTCGGGTCGACCAGCTGCCACACGCAGCCTTTGCAGATGTTGCTCAGCTGATGCAACTCGCCCGGACTGAAGACGCCCGGCAAGAACAGCTGCTGGATTTGCGACCACCTGGCTTCGGGCGAACCCTGGTCGCTTTTAGTGTGGAATTCCATCGCGGTCCGGTGGTTTTTCATGTCGCCCTGGAGCCACGTAGTATCCATGTCGGACCAGTCGGCTTCCATGTCGACAAACCGCTCTATCACCGCTTGTTCTCCGAACTGGGTCACGAGTATGAATGCAAAACACAATACAGCTGCAGCAAAGTCATGATGAGGAGGTAGTTTGGCATTACAGTTATGCTTTTTGTCGGAATATGAAGACGGTCTTTCCGTAGCTGTATTGTGTTTTACATTCACATAACCCACATCGTCATGCACAGGCAGCCGATGTACTTCGTCTTGGTTCCGACGACGTTTGATTTCAACTGCGAAATGCCGCCAACTTGGAAGGCATTCCCTTGGAGTATCGTATCTTGGAAGGGCTCGGTTCCCGGTGGGAGACCTTGCAGCGGATCACCGGGGTCTACGTCGTCATAGTAGGTAAACTGATAGTATGTTTTATTTGGTGACTCCATGATGCGTAGTCTCATGCAGTATAATGTTCTCCACGATGCTATGATGATGCAAAAAAAAACACTAGTAGTTCCATGCAGTATAACATTATCCACGACCTGAAACAGCGTATAAATACATGCGATCCCCATGCTCCATTCTTCCTCAAGGTAGATCCATCGCCGATCAGACAAGCATGTCCATCGTACGCGCCGAACCTCAAGTCCCCGTACAATCCGGCCAAAAGCTCGCATTCCTTGTCAGCGGTTGCCTGGCAGGCAAAGGCGCGGCTCATTATCACCTGCTCCATATACTTCCGCATCGCCGCAGCCTAGAATGTGATTGCTTATCATGCCGTGGTGGATAATCTTCTCCGCGATGGTATGAATAACGTCGAAATTGCATAAGGTGGCACCATGCAGCGGAACATTATGCGCGACCTGCTTGTGATGCATTAAATCTACATCTACTACTCCGTCGTGGAGAACATTATCCACGACGGCATGATTTGCAATCATTTCTACCTGTTCTCTTAGCTTCGACACATCTGCACCCATTCTCCCGAGCTGCTCCACTCCTTTCTTGCGGATTGCTTCGGCCGTCGCGTGCAAGTTGTTTGGATCCAACGCAAAGAACTCGTCGCGGTAGTTGCAGTTGCCAAACTTGTCCAGGACGCGAATGTGCCCGCAGAAGATGCGCCACCACAAGTAGCAGAACACCTGATAGAAGAAGGTAAAGGAGATTATCACATTTCTCATCATGCTGATGCGCATTCATGCATGCTCTTCGCTCAAATGAAAACTCATATTTCTGTACGATATCCCACTGGTCTCCTTCCTTCCTAGGTTTGTAGATGATGTTGCAGTGCTTGCTCAACCACTCCGGAACGGTTACATCCAGCCAGTGGGCGTACGCGGCAGGAGTGGGTGCCATGGATTTCAATTTCCATCGCGGGTTCCCATCAAACTCGGAACGGATGGGAATGCCCCACCTCGTTTGCCGCGACTTCCGCTCCTTCTTGAAAACGTCCACTGCGACTTCATCCTCGGAGGACGACGGATCTTCCTCATCTTCGCTGGTATTGAGATCTTGGACAACAAGCGGTGGTGGTACGTAGCCGGCTTGTGGTCTTCCCAGTGCTGGCGGCAGCTCGAGAGATCCACTCAGAGCTGGCATCGCGTTGAAGCCAATTTCCTGGCCATTAAAGCGCGGTTTGTTCGCCCGCATCGGAAGCCCCTGCGGGACAGGAGCCTCCGCCATCTCGTCCCCAAGTTTCAACATCTCATCTCGGTGTAAGCGACTCAGCAGTTCTGTGTTTTCTTTTGAAGAAGACATCAGCTGTGGGTCCTGGCGGAGTAGCAGTTGTAAAAAGCAGCATCAACTACTGCTGGACTCGACGAAGCAGTAGCTTCTCTCGGTGGCGATCTTTTTTCACGAAACCGACGATCGATACTCACAACAGCCGACGCTTTATCCCATCCAGAACAAACAGATACCAGCTTGCTCGCAGGCAGCAATCGTTCACTGTCGACCACGTGTTTTTTTTCAACATCACATTCAGAAGCAGATAAGCACAATACATCTTCAGTCCGACGCGAGGCTTGTTCAGATTGGCCATCTACAACTGGAGAAATAGTAGCTCACTCGCCTCACAATTCGACATGATTTTGGCGCAAGCCACCAACGAAACGCAGGGAATCGCGGCAGCTCACTAACAGGTACGCTCGGTGGTTGTTACAAGTAGTCTCGTGTATTGTAATATACTATAATATATCTTTATTTTTCTGTGCAAATCTGACAAAGAACGCCGGCAGTTCTATACCAGTAACTACCGACGTTTAAATATGGAATTATTTTTAATTCAATTCAAATAAATTTATATTTTTTGGTGAAGCTTCATCATTAAGTGGCCCACCATTTCTAGATGTAAAATAACACGAAGTATAAAGGGAAAGAGGTTGCGTGTAATCACGTATCGGTCTTTGCGGTGGCGGCATACAAAACAACCTCACACAAGCAACGCATACAAATAGATACGCGCCTCTGCTTTTCGACACTGCAAAGACGCGTTCCGCGATGGCACGAGATCTACATGTGGTAACTTGGTGGAGCCACTGAAAATAAACACTTTCTGAATCACAAACGCGGAGATAAGCACTCACTTCTTTTTCATCACAGTCTTCTTGCCGGAGTTGCTCTTCTTCGCCAGCTCCTTCTCCTTCTTGAGCTTGTCAGCGGCTTTTTGCTTTTTCTCTTTCTCCTTGTCAGCGGCTTTCTTGACCTTCTCCGCCGCCTTCGCGGCCTTGGCCAAATCGTCGTCGATCTTCTTGTTCTCCTTGGCGATCGCGGCAGCGGCCTTGCGGTCAGCGGAGGCGACCTCGTTCGCGTTCTGGGTCTCGTCCGAGTCAGAGTTCTTCATCAGGGTAGACAGCAGGTGGGCGAACTTGTCCTTCGGGGTCATCCGCGGCGAAGACAGCGGCTTCTGCACCACGTACGAGAGGCGGATCTTCGGGTCCTGGGGGTCGGCGAAGTCCAAGGTCTTGGGCGCGGGCTTCGGGGACTTCGCCCTGGCCGCCGGGGACTTCTTGGTCTGCTCCGGGATCTTCGGGGGCGCCATCTTGGTCACGAAGTCCTTGGTGGAGCAGGCACCGTTGTTGTTCTCATTCGCCATGCCCGGGGGGGCGAAAAACATCTGTGTGTTGTGTGAAATAAACGTTAGGGTTGGAATCTAGAAATAAGTATTGACAACAAAACCCACCAGCCTACATCAACAGCGCATCATCACTCGTCGCTCTATCATTTTGTCCTACGAATATCATGATCAAGCCATGATTATAACTTACAGATCCGTTCGGCCCGGGGGTCATCTGCGTGAGGCCTCCTCCAGCAGCACCAGAACCCGGCATCCCCTGCATCCCCGACATGGGCATCTGCATTCCGAACGGGGTCATGCCGAAGGGGGTCATTCCGAACGGGCTCATCATCGGGGTGCCACCCATCATGCCACCACCCATCATGCCGCCACCCATCATGTTGCCCATGGCGAAACTGGACGGAGTCTTCGAGCCCTGGTGTTCGGCCAGACCGACGTTCTTGGCGACATCGGTGGCGATGCATTTGGTCGGCTCGGGGCAGTTCTGAGCCAGCACCTGGAACTCCAGCTTGCTCGCGGCCTTGGACAAGTTCTTGCAGGTCTGACGCAGGTTGCGGAACTTGCACGACTTGTCTTTCGCGATCGGCTGGTTTGTATTTTGATTGTGGAATAAGATACATTTGTCATGCAATGTGTATTTGAGTGTTTGTTGTGTAGGTTGGTACTATATCACGACAAAAACAATTGTTGCATGACGAAATAGCATCCACTATCAAGTCTATGCAGCCAAGTAGCTATACCAATTCCGGCGGGATCTTCAACTTGACCAACAAGAACACCCACTGGCGGTTGTCGTACACGTACTTGCAGATCCACATGACGTTCTTGTGGCACAAGGTGGCGAGCAAGGTCTGGGCCATCTCGATGGGGACTTGATTGCAACCTGTTTCAGTTTTCAAGTTGTGGCTCACATTGCATGAGAAAGCAATACTCATTCTGTGATGCCATGTCGTGCTTTGTTTTTCTTGCGGTTCAAATACAACAGCGTGCACATCGCACAAGCCGTGTTCAACATGGGAAGTAGTGCGTCACATGATCGCCTGCAGATAGAACTCCACTAGTTGTTGATGCTTTTACATGAAAACGTCGGAACCGCTAGAAGTCATGCACACAACACGACATGGCATGGCAGTTAATCTAGAAAAAGCAACACATTGCTGAAGCATGGTTTTCATAAGTATAAAAATCTGTGCGCTCAATCGTGCCGGGAAAGGCCTGCTTCGACAATTCGTACATGGGCGTGAAGTTCTCCTCATCGGCATCAAGCTCTTCGTCCAACTCGTCGAAAGCCTCGCGGAACAACTTAATGTCCTGACGAGAGGGCTCTCCCAATTTATGACGGACAAAGTCCATCGCAGACATCTCCTGTTTCTTCTTCGCCATCTTGTTGGATTTGTGGAGCTGATGCTCGAGGTAAAAAAGCGTTTGTGTTAGACAGAAATTTTTCCCTACGGTTTTTGATTGATTCACAAGTTTACTCGCGTTCAAGACGACAACCAAGAACTCGGAAATACGAAACCCACAAATGATGAAGTAGTGGTGCAGCAACGTGATAGAATTGAAAGCGTTCAAGTTATTGTGATGATCCCACTGATATCTTTTTCAATGTACAGAACACACAAGACCTATCGCACTTGCCGCTTCTCCAACTCACACATTTTATACGTTCGCTTTTGTTGTTGTATTGCTACGCAGATCTCTTATTTCGTTTGTGTTTGAATGACCTTCGAGTACGCACAAATATTCCCATCAAACAATACAGGTGTTAGGGTTTCAAGCACAGACATTTCGGCACTGCTGACCTCTCACAACCACCTGCTCCACCACCCGCTCGGACATCCACAGCTGCTACCGGATTCGGAGGGTTTAGCGTTATGACACACATCCACAAGGGTCGACCCTACTAGCTAATTAACCGATCTAGATAATGATTAAACTACAGTAGTACAGTAGCTATTTTGAGAAGCAGCATACCATTTTTGAAAATAATTATGATTTAATTTTTGAGCACGTTATATAAAGTGAAAGTAAACTACGAAACAAGCACGTACTCAGGCCGAGTTTTCGATGGGGCTGAGCTTGCCGTACAATGTTTTTGTTTAGTACCGATACTACTTTTGTAATCGCATGCCTTTAATATCTCAAGAGCAGGAGTAGATCTTCTTAGGAGCCACTGGCCGCATATATTTATTGATCGCGTAATTCTTCGCAGAATAGAATTTTGCACGAAGATTCAATATCCATGGTTTGTAGTTGCGCTTGCCTCCTCCTACTCCAGGAAGATCCTTGTTCACCTCGTGCGTTGTTCGTCCAAATCATGAATTCAGAGGGTTGCTTCACACTCTTGCTCGTCCGTACAACGTTGAGCGGATCGCTTTCCCGGGGACAGGATCAAATTAGATGGAGCCCCACAAACCCCTCGAAGGAGCGGGGCGTACCCAAGCGCAAGCAAGCACGCTACGTGGATCCTGTGTGTATGTATTTTCGCCGCAGATCATTCTACGTCTAGTGTAGTATGATGTCATCAAAAATGAAATTCTCCGAAGAAAGAACATTTATTTTTTTGTGAAGATCCTTGTCCTTCTAGCCTTGCTTTCTTTTAGCAAGTCTTCTTTGAGAAAGCACCAGTGTACTTATCTGCTTGATTTGTTGTCGGCCCTCGTCTCGTTCCTAGGTCAACTAGAAGATTTGCGCTCTTGCCTTAACATCCGGCGATTTTATGATCAAACAAAGGCAGAAATAAAGTCGAAGGCGCGACATTCCGAAGCTGCTTTTGATTTATTTATACAAAATAGAGGACCTCTTTCTATTGGAAAATACTTACTAAAAAATTGCATTTCGCGACGAGGGAGAATCGATTGCCTTCTGCTCTTTCTTACCTCCGTTGGTTTGATCTTCGCGTTTGTTTTGTGTCTTTGTTCCTCGTAGGTGGTCATGGTCCTCGTAGATGTTGCGGTCCTCGCTTCCTTTCGTGGTTCCTGCTGTCGTTAAGTAGCACTTGTATCATGACCTCCCTGCGCTACACCCACGGAGTTGCATCAGCGAGAGAAATGGAAATAAACGGAATTATGACATCAACATCGACTACCGGAACAACAGTTGCGAAATATGGGGCCACGAGCAGTGGGGCGGCTGATTTCATCCCCAAGCGTGTGCTTTTCACGGGCGGCTGCGGGTTCATCGGGTCGAATGTCCTGCGATGGCTCGTGACTACGTACCCCCGCACGAAATTTGTCAACCTGGACAAGCTGGACTACTGTGGAAACCCGAAAAATATAAAGGACCTAGCAGACGAGTGCGCGAACTACTGGTTCGTTCGCGGGGACATTTGCGACCGAAATCTGGTCCGCTCCTTGTTCGAGCAGCACCGGTTCGACTGCGTGTTCCACTTCGCCGCGCTGTCCCACGTGGATCGATCTTTCACGGCGTCCGACGAGTTTGTGCGGACCAACGTGAATGGGACCCACGTCTTGTATGCATTGCAAAAGTATCGTACTAGTATAAATTGCATCACGCATTTTTTCAAGAAGAAAAATGCAATTTGTAATGCTATTTTTCCTAAAAAGCGAGATTTGTCATGCACGACAGCAATTACTACGAGTACGATACTTTTGCAATGCATATCTTGCTGGAAGCCGCGATTCGCTGCCCGACGCTGGAAAGGTTCATTCACGTGTCGACTGACGAGGTCTATGGCGACCTCAGCTTCGAGGAAAACCGACGGGTGAGCGAGAACGACCAGATGCTCCCAACCAACCCCTACTCGGCGAGCAAAGCCGCCGCAGAGTGCCTGGTGCGCGGGTTCAGTTTCAGCTTTCGCCTCCCCAGCATCGTCGTCAGGTATACTGAGTTTTATTTGCCTGCGGGGGCTCTACTAGAAATTTATGACTGTTCTTTATCAAATTGATAAACCACTATGGGGTGACACAATTATGAGTAATGCATATAATGGCAGAAGGTCGCTCCAATCATGTTGTGGCGCTGATGAGTTTTTTCCGCCCCATTCTTACCGTGAATGGAGCAGGGCGATGCTTGAAATTTGAAAAGGAACAAACCGAATCAGGCCTAACAATGTTTTCGGTCCTCGGCAGTGGCCCGAAAAGTTGATCCCAAAATCCATCGCGCTGTTTAACCGAAATATGCCTTTCCCGGTGCATATGCAATACAAAAGTCTAAATCGCGATTATCCACATCGTGTGAATCATAGCAACGCCAACGTTGCTGTTCGTTGCATTTGCATTCTAATTCTGTACACAACAGAAATGAAATTTGCCGCAAGTTGCTTATGCTTAGTGGTAGCCCATGGAAGAAATAATTGCGGTTATGCTTATAAGATATGTCAGCATCAAGCTGGGGGATAAAGTGAGGAAAAGGACGGCATTAAAAAAAAAAAACTTTGTGCTCTGGTGGGATATAATCCGATAATTGCTTTTGCGGTGCATAGTCCACGGGGATGGGACGAACACGCGGAGCTTCCTGTTCATCGACGACGTTGTCTCCGCTTTTGATGTGATCATGCGCAAGGGCACAACGTTCGAGACCTACAACATCTCGCAACCGCAGGAACGAAGCAACTATGGATTGCAAATATGTCTGGGTCCGGAAGAAGAACCACTTGTGATGCGCATTTCAGAACACAGATAAATCTGTCATGCATAGGTAGCAAAAGCTCAAGCTACCCACTATTTCTCACCAAAGTGGGGGATTTGTCATGCGGATTCGGCATTGCAGAAGCTTCTCAAGACCTGTGACGCTAGAGCTTCCATGCCAGACCTTCTGTGTCATGCAAAAACAGCACGAGTCTTCCAAACCCAGACATTTTTCGACTTGATAGCAACCTGGAAGTGCTGAAAAGCGTCCTGGTCGCTCTCGGAAAGGAGCAGGGCGACATCGCGAACGTTGACAGTCAAGACATATGACGGTGCACAACTCCTTCCCCCCCTCATTTGTATAGCATGGACGGCAGTACAAGCGTCAGAAAGAATGCTGGTTTTGCATGAGAACTTTGCGCAGGAGTGTAGTACTGTTTGGGCTCCTTCCGGAGTTTGTCATGCAAGCAGTGCCAAGAGGCACAGCCTGGAACTGGATTTGGTATTTTGCATGACAAACGAGGGGGAGTGGAGTTGTGCACTGTCATAAGACAAGCGGTACTTTCAGTACGTCAAAGACCGGGCTTTCAACGACTATCCTGAGTAAAAACCGTCCCCACACCAGAGTTGTAATGCAGATTTGCAAAGACAGCAAGACTTGTAATGCGCAGCCCCATGAGAGCCATTTCCAATTGTCTTTTGGAATTTGTGATGCTGTGAACAGGATGAGCAGATGAATCTTTGATGCGGCTGCACTTGCTAACCTGCACTACACTGCGGAGTGCAGCTTGTCATGCGTGACTCACAAAACTCCTCGGCTCGTGTTGCAAAATCTCCATCCTGACTCTGGTGTGGGGACGTTTTTACTCAGGATAACGACAAGAGCTACCTCACCACCAGTGTGAAGCTGGAAGCGCTGGGCTGGAAAGTAAACACCACGTGGGAAGAGGGGCTGCAAAGAACGGTGGACTGGTACGATTTGTAGATTTTTAGGATTAGGCTGTTGTTGTAGAAGTAGCACATGCACAGCTCAGCGACAGCAACTTCTAGGGCTGATACTGATTAAAGAGGATGTATGGACGAGTTGTAATTTCTTCAATCGCACAGAACTTCATCACTCGTAGCACTGTAGCTGCGGCGTTCTTTTCTTTGCACGCAACAACGTCGCTGGGGGCATGCATATAAAACATACAGACTTGATGATCTTTTTCGACATGAGTAACAGAATGAGATGAGTCCCCTGGTCACCTAGAGCGAGAACAACTACCCGAGCAGGACAGAAATAAACCTGAAACAACCGCATCTCCAGGTACCTCGAGAACCCGAACCACTTCGGCGACGTTTCTGATGCACTGCAAGCCCACTACGGTGTGCTGACAAAGCAATTGCACAGCTCGAGTCCATCCAATTCGAAAAGCGGGGCCGGGGGAACAACGGATCTGCAAGCAGACCAGGCGTTTCAGCTCACGCCAAGCAGCTCCAAATCCAAACGACCTGCACCGGAGTATGAAAGGGAAAGTCACGATTTACAGATTGAGGAGGTGTGAACATGTGCGAGGAGACGACACTTTTTTCTGTAGCTTCAAGAAATGGATCGACTCTCGTCCTTCCGTTGATGGTACTGCTTCTAGATGACCTAGTAGCGCTGCTTTCACCATCACTCTTCTAGCGGACTACTGGTCTTTATTGAGCAAAAATTCGCTGTACTTGATAGGTTCCACTCAGCAAGCTTTTGCGCTATGTTGACATCAAGAAAGCCAAAAAGGAGTTTTGTCCACAAGAACAAACGGCGCAAGCAGAACTTCCACTCTCCGATCTTGTTTCGATTTTTCCTTGCATACCGCCGAGCTGGACCATGTGGAGGAGCTGCCGCACTTTTCGCAATTCGCGCAGGGCAAGAAGTTTTAGAAGTGGTAGTGGTACCTACGCCGAAATAAGTCAAGAGCGGCGCCACCTACTTCTTGCTTCAAGAATTCGTGCTGACCTTTATTTTCTGGTGCCGATCAGATCAGGAAGGTCGTGTAAAAAGTAGTGTGTTGGCGGCCAGGATCATGCTCAGTCAAGAATACTAAACTTCTGAAACAAAGTGAGCGTCGATCATTCTTCCGTGTGTGAAACGTACACCACTACAGAAGCACTGGAACAAGCAAGAGGTGACTGCATTGTCAGTGCAATATCGAGCGGACGAACACATTGCTGCTGATGCTCATCTCCTTTCTTCGCCCTGTAGTACAATACAGGTTTGCCAAGAAGCGGGACGAGCCGCACGGGAAAACAACTTTGCTTCCTGAGCAAGAAGTGTCGCAAACGCGTTGCACCTGCGTTCTTTGCTCGCAGCAATTGCAAGGTGCTGTGGTCATGTTTTTTCATGTGTAAGAGATCAAAACAAGATGAAATATTAGCTACTATAACTCTAGTTGCTGAACAAACCTCAAATTAACCGATATTTGAGAAACGACAAACCGGTTTGGACATTTCACATTTCACACATCAGACCTGGAATCTCAAATCTGGAATCTCAGATCTGGAATCTCAAATCTCAAATCTGGAATCTCAAATCTGGAATCTCAAATCTGGAATCTCAAATCTGGAATCTCAAATCTGGAATCTCAGATCTGGAATCTCAGATCTGGAATCTCAAATCTGGAATCTCGAGTCTCGATTCTCGCGATATTTCAGATTTGAGGTCTCAGATTTGAGACATTCAGATTTGAGATATTCAGATTTGAGATATTCAGATTTGAGATCATTTTCAGACTCGAGACATTCAGATTTGAGATATTCAGACTCGAGACATTCAGATTTGAAATATTCAGACTCGGGGCATTCAGATTCGAGAGATTCAGATTTGGGGACTCGAATTCGTTTCAAATATGAGAAGCCAGATCTGAGCCGTCAGATCTGACGCCCCTTCATGTCTCAGATCTTTTTCAGTCGGGTTTGACATTGAGATTGCAGGCGTCCAGCTTCGCAGCTTCTTTCGGGCTCTTGGCCTCTTTCGGGAAACCCATCCAGTCCCGAGACCGAAACTCAAGCCCGAAAGCAAAAACCAGGCCCAGGCGATCGGAAGTGAGAGAGAGCCAGGCCCGAACGCGACAACCAAGCCGGCCCGGGAAAGAAAGTCAGGCGAGGAAGCAAGAACCACACGAGCCCGGAAGCTAGTGAAAACCAAGCCCGAACAAAGCGAAGGCCAAACCCGAAAGCGGAAGCCAAGCCCGGAAGCGAAGGGCGCCAAGCCTAGCCAAGCCCGAAAGCGAAAGCCAAGCCCGAAAGCGAAAGCCAAGCCCGAAAGTAAGCGGAAGCCAGCCAGGCCCGAAAGCGAAAGCCACGCCCGAAAATAAGCGAAAGCCAAGCCCGGAAACGGAAAGAAACCAAGCCCGCAAACGAAAGCCAGGCTCGAAAGCGAAGACCAAGCCCGAGCCGACAACGAAGGCCAGGCCCGGAAGCAAAAACAAGGCCCCGAAGCGTAAATAAGACGGGCCCGGGAGCGCAAACCAAGCCCGAGAGCGAAACTAACAAGGGAGCCAGGGCCGAAAGCGAGAGGAAATCGAAAGCCGGGCCCGAAAGCTAAAGGAAAGCCGGGCCCGAAATCGGAAGCCGAGCCCGAAATCGGAAGCCGAGCCCGAAATCGAAAGCCGGACCCGATCCGAAAGCGAAACCGGGCCCGCAAGCGAAAGAAACAAAGCCAGGCCCGAAAACAAAACAAAGCCAGGCAGGGTCGAAAGCGAAAGCGAAGCCCGAAAGTGGAGGCCAAGCCGGAAAAGATCAGCCCGGCCAAAAAGCGCGAGCCATGCCCGAAAGCGAAGCTCAGCTCGAAAGCGGAACCCCAGCCCGAAAGAAAAAATCCAAGCCCGAAAGCGGAAGGAAACCGGGCCCAAGGGCAGGGGGGTGCGCCCCTTCCATGGGCCCTCCTTCGCATTACCGTCGCGCCTGATGCTTGGGACCGGGAGTGTGTTGCAGCGCGCGGCCGCCCGGCGTGGCATGCCTGGATGCCCCTCGCCGTCGCTTCCGGCTAAGTCGGCCCCTGCCTTCGCGGCCTTCACGCCTGCAGGGCACGGGCCGAAACGGCGGGCCTGGCGACGGCTCGGCAATGTTCGTCCCCAGGGCCTTTGCCGCCGCGGGGTCGCGGGGCCGGCGTACGCCGTGGCGGCGGGCGCGAATCTCCCGGCAATGCGCGTGCAACCACGGGCGCCCCCCACTCCCCCGCCGCCCTGCCCCTTCTGCCGCGGCCCCGCCGCCCTTTGCCTGGATGTTTGTCGGAAGCCGTCATAGCTCGCTCCGGGGGGCGCGCCCCCGGCGGTGTATGTGCATGGCGCCTTGCTTTGGCCAGTGCGGCACCTGCCTCCACGGCCGCCAAGCCAGCCGGGAGAGCAGGGGCCTTGGCGGCCGGACTTTCGGAGGCGCCCGCCGTCTTGGCTTCCGCCGCGCCGGCCTTCCTCGCGTCGTGGGGCGTTCGCCAGGGGGGCGCGCGAGCGTGCATCTGCTCGCCATTGCCGTGCTGCTAAGGGCGCCTCCCCTACTGCCCTGCACCTTCTGCCACTGCCCCCATGTTCTTTGCCTGGATGCGTGGGGGCCGCCGTCGTGGCTCGGCGGGGTGCGTCTTCTACGGTCTCCGTGGAGCTCTTTGCCGGTTCGACCCCTGTGTCTGTGCCCTTCTCAGCCTGCCGGGCTGAAACCAGACCGGCCCGACTATCGTTATTGATGGATCTACTCCCCTCATGCGTTTCTCTGTTTCTCGTTTCTCAAAGATCGGTGGCGACAGGACTTGCGCTACTTGTAGTTCCGACGCGTTGAAGATCTTGAAACCTCTATTGTCTGGAGGACGTACGCGTAGTCCTAGTCGTAGAAGTAAGTTTTCTTCCCAAGAACATGATGGTGCTGCCGGTAATATTCTTGTCTGCAAATTTTCATTTTTTTTTTTCGCTGGCGGCTGTCGTGTGACTCACTTTTGCTCCTCTATTTATTGCAGCTCTTTTTCAGCGCAGACGTCCTCGCAGTGGTGCTTCCACCCAATCTGACGATCAATTTGCGTTTTCTTCTTAGAGTAGGGTTCTTCTACAGCCATTTCAATCGCTTAGCTGCAACTGCAAATCTCATTGCTCAAGAATTTTTTTTTCGTAAGGCTGAAGTTAAGTAATTATATCTTTCTGATGCATTGGACGAGGTGCATTCTTCGTTTTCTAGTCTTCAAAATCTTTTTCCATCACGAATACAATAACAAATTCATTTTTTAGCGGGCACCACGAGTTCTTCCTTTCCGCCCAGGGTATAATGCCAAAGAGCATTGTTCCATGGGGGGCACTGCTAGTACTAAATTTGGTCGAAGATCGCCTCTCCTTTACTTCTTCCGATAGTGATAAATAAAAAGTAAAAGCATATAAAAAGAAATATGTTGTAGTCACGCCTGTTTCATCGCCTAGACTGCCCGTCTAAAATTCTTGACGCAGCAGGCGACATCGACCGCCGGGACCGGAAGAAGTCTGCGAGTTGCGCTTTTTAATACCGTCGCAGAATTTCTATCCTGCAAAGAGGCCGCCCCAGCAGCGCTCCTGCACCAACGTCGGGAGGCTCTACTTCCCGCACCCGTACTACAGGAGAAGAACAACCGATCTAAATGGCCTGCATGCGCTGTATGGATGTGTCAGAGTTGAAATCGACAAAGTTGAAATAATTTGTCACGCATAAAATGGATGCCAGTTGGAACCCAGTTCCCAAGTGGCGCATGACAAATTTTCCTGGCCTCGTCTGAAGCAAGTCTGTTATGCTGTTTAGGGCAAGATGGCTGCTCCCTGTCATGCTAGTCAGCAGCCCAATTCTTGACCCTTACCAGCACTAGAATCTGCCTCCCTTGCGCCTTCAGCAATAGAGTCAGTCTTTGTGTCGCATTTTATGCATGACAAATTACTATTTCAACTTTGTCGATTTCAACTCTGACACATCCATACGCTGCCTTCTATCCACCCTGTGTTGTACCACCACGACCTCTGCCGGGGTTGTTCTCGTGCAGCTGCTTATCAAATGTAAAAATTTCTGGGCCTGGAAGCTTGCAAGGTTCGTCATGCATATTTTGAAAGACTCATGATGTCTGTGATGCATGCTCTAGCATGACAGATTTTTAGAGGCCTGTGTGATGCCTCTACCGCATGGATGAGAAATGCCCTCTCCGGGTAGCACAAACTGGAGTTCTGTTGCTGGTCATGCAATGCAAATTTTTTTTAGAATCCAGAGACAGCATCACAAGTTCCAACCTTCCAGACCCAGACACTTTTACATTCGATACTGCTGCTTCTAGTACAACTCGCTACCACGACAAATGGCATCAGTTTACAGCTGCACCGGGCCGCAGGTGGTAATCATGGTGGCCCGCCCCCAACGACCACAAGCAGTTCGGCTTCCGGCGCTGCCTCTTCCAATCCCGGCGGTGGATGTGGAAGTGGTAGTAACATCGACAATCCTGCTCCACCAATGTTGCCGGGAGCACCAGCTGAAACGAACGCGCCGCCGCCGAGCACGGCGAGCGCGAGCGGTCCACCACCTCCACCGCCGGGTAGTACTGTAGGCACAACACAGCAGACCCGGCCGAAAGCGCGACAAGGGAGTCGGGGGCTTAGTATTCTGGCGGAGCGCGGAATGATCTCCTCCACCTTGAGCGCAGCTGGTATAGCAGTTATTTCATCATCTTTGTACTACCTTGAGCCATTTCTACCACTTTTCCAGCGAGGCAGCATTTATTTTCTGTGTTGTTGTTTTTGAATGTAGATTTGTAGCTTTCATGTTCATCGACGGACAAGAATGAAAGTAAACCGAAATAACATGCTTGTTCCAGGTCGGAGCCTCACCCTTGGGACGACGAGTGCCACCGGGTCACCGCCCTCCGGCACCATGACGCCGGACACGCCCACGCAGCTCGCCCGGTCTAGCACGGCGACCCCGCCACCGGCGCTGTTTGTCGTGAATAACTCCGTACTGGTCGGAGGGGGCAGCTGCGCCACTGCTGCTGTACTAGTTTCAGCCGGAACTAGTTCCAGCACCGGGCAATCGCTGCCTGCCATGCAGCCCAGTTCTACAACTTTGCAGGACCACATCTCCCGACAGGTAAGTGCGAGCAACCCAGCGCGGAGCACACCGGGGTCGGTCACGTCGGGCGAATTTGGGATGATGATCCCAGTGGGTGGAAGTAGCGGGCCTCCGGGGGTGGGTGGACCGTGCGGCAGCGGCGGAGGCTCTTCAGTCCGGGTGGTTGCCGGAGGGGCTGGGGCCGCCAATTCGGCCGCTCAACAACACCACCATGAGCAGGAGCAGCATTGTTCGCGACCCGGCGGGCGGGACTCGTCGCACAGTCATATGATGTTGAGAGTACACAACTCCTCGTCCTCCCGCCCCTCTATTCTGGTCACGTCATGCAAAGTACCAAATCCAAACTCGCTACTGGATGCTTTTCCTTTAGCGCCGCTCGCATGACAAGTTCCGGGACGACTGCTCCAAACTACAGTGCTAGAAGTACTCACTCTCTGCGGAAAATAAATTTGGCACGTGGCAGGTGCAGTATTAGTGTTTCTGTTCATCTTATAGAAGATGTCGGCAAGATGTAGATGTTCAGGGAACTAGAACTACATCCAAGGGGTAGTAGGTACTAGTAGTAGTTGTGCACCACAACTTCCATAAGTCAGCAAGCCCACGCTTGGTCGGAGATTTTGGATCGGCTGCGGGACCCGGACCAGGAACTCCTTGTTCCGGGCACAGCAGTTGGGGCTGCAGGCTCGCAGGCGGTGGTCGGCAGCTCGGCCGACAGCATGTTTCATGTTTCAACATCTTCAGTAGGAGCACAGCAGTACCGAAGTGCTGCTGCTCCTCCTGCTGCTGGTGGCAGGCAGGATCTCGTCTGTGTGCCGCCCATACCGATTTCCACCACGACAGACCAAACTCATCTTTCATCCGAGGACAGCTCCTCCGTGCCGACGACCTGTCGACTGACGCCCGTGCCGGGACTCAACGCCAGCATACAGCCGGAAGACTTGATTCCTGGGGCTACTGCAGGCCGCCGTGGCGCCGCCGGGCTGGCAGCGTTACAGTCACCGGTGGTGCCGTCACCGTATGAAGACCTCAGCCAGACGCCACACCCCGTCGACCACATTCCCGCCCCGGAGGGGGAAGGTAGTGAGGCTGCTGCTTCCGCAGGTCTTCCGGCGCATCGGGGAACCTACTTCGCCGGCGGCGGGGCAACGACCGGTAGCAGACACACGGTAGCGTTGCAAGCCGGCGGCGGTGGTGGTGGACCTGGAACTACCCGGGGAGCTGGACCTGCTGCACAGCATAATCTTCACGACCTCAACAGTACTAGAGAAATAAAAACCAAGGAGCCCTGCGGCTACTTTCCTTCCTTTGGCGCACCTCCGTCTTCATCTTCCACTCTAGACGGCGGCGGTGCTGCAGCTGGTGGAGGTGACGCAAGTAGTTGTACTTCTAGTAGGGTCGTACTCGATAGACCCTCCTTTTCGACGTCGCGGCCGCATGGCAGGCCCGGCGGCGCCAGTGCGGCCGGCGCACACAGTGCCAGCAGTACTACGGGAGGTCAGCAACAGGCAGGTAGTGCGAGTAGCAGTTCTAGACCGAGCTTCAGCAGTCTTAATCAACGTAGTGAGCGTGGGGGCGGGACCAGGCAAGGCGCAGCGGGTGCGACGGTACATTCTGGTGCCGGGGCTTTACCTGCTGCACCTCGAGGTGGACGACTATCTTCTCACGAGCCGCAAGCACAACTGGAATCACAACCACATTCACAGTACGGAAACAAGCAACGTATTATTATCTCTGCGCGAAGAACACGCGCGGAGTCGCCTGCCTCGGAGTTTTCTCGGTCGCATACGCTGGAAGTGCTGGAGCAGCCGGTAGACCTGTTGCAATCGCAAGAACAGGACGACCACGACGAAATGGACCGTGGCTGTGCAATCAGCATCAGCCCCGCGCCCGCCGGAGGAGGTGGAGGCGCAGCTGCTACTTTCGGAGCGGCTTATAGAGAATCAGGAGAAGAATTAATAGACCACTTTCCCCGGCAGCCGGCGTGTAACGACTCGAACGACGAGGACGAGCATACGCGGGAAGACGAGCAGCATAGCGATCATGCATCTCGACTCCCGGATGAAAATTACGCTCGCGACGGACCGCTGCGGCAATCCTTCCCTCCCCTGTGCATCAATACGACCCTGGGCATCCCGCTGGGCGACATTCCCATACTGGGGATGGGGACCAGCCGGGCGAGCAACAGTGTGTATCCACTGCATCAAAAGTCTCGTACTACTTGTAGTAATTCTCGCACTTCTACGGCATATGCGGATCAGCCTTCTTAAGCTGAATGGCAAGCTCCGCTCTTCATTTTGCAAGATTTTGTCATCCAATTTCTACGTATCGCAATGAATACTTTTGCAATGGTGCATAGATTCCAGCCGACGCCGATAGGCGTGAGCTCCTCCTTCGCGAGACAGCATCGGCAGAGCCGGCGGCGCAGTAGCCCGGGCGCACGCGGCCGACACGTCGCTAGTGAAGACGAAAAGCAAGGGAGCAGCTGCGCGAGCGGCAGTCCAAGGAGAGTAGACCATCTTGCCACAGAAGGAGTTCTTCCCGCCTCGAAAGACCACCATTTCGCTCAACACCTGGACCACGACCAGAACCCGGAGCATCATCATTTCGACCGGCGAGGACCAGGAGCGGCGGGCGCTACAGTAGAGTCTCCCGCCCCAGCAGGGACCACAGGGAGGTCTTATTGCAAGAACCGCTGTGGGCGGCGATCTCAAGAAGTAGAGGAGCACTTGCAACGTTCCCCACCTGCACCGCACCCGCTCGTGCATCAGCTTGGCGCGGCCTACCAGAAGTTCCGCAGCACCACCCCGCCCCGCGCGGTTGGGGCTATCAAAATGAAAAGTGTCGTCCCGCCACTCTCAGAACGCCGCAGCCAGGGTTTTTATAGGAGTGCAATTTTTGGATTTCTTGGACATTCTCATTCATCATGAAAGTTTTTCACATACATCAAACACGCCAAAAATCATCTCTGGAAGAGTAATATGGGCACTTTTCATTTTGATAGGGGCAGCCAGTTCTTCATCTTCATGTGGGGGAACCACGAGGACTACGTCCGACCACCGGCGCGGCAGCACCCGGCTGTTGCGACGCAGCAACACAAGTCCCCTGGATGCCGCGGGAAATCAGGATCACAGTACGTCGTCGACTGCGGGGCCTGCGGAACAAGCTGCGTCGTGGGAACAAGGAATACTGGAATTAATTCGAGCAGAAGCGGAGGACCACAACAGTTACAACGCGCCGCGGGCGACGTCGCACCCCCATGGCCATGGTGGGGAACCAGAGCCGACAGATCATGATCATGTTCTCGCAAGAACAGGAAGAAGGACCACGTCGCCACAGCGGTCTTTAACCTTCGACAGCCGAAGAAAGCTCCGCAGAGATGACCGCACTGACCGTGCGCAACATTATCTTCCAGAGCTGCAGATTAGGGATCCCAGCATGGGACGACGACCACGTCAACAAACACAAGCAATTTCGTGTCCTCCGGAGGAGACGCCGGAACGAGAAGAGACAGAGAGCAGCCACTCAGTCCTGCAGCAACCGCAAGAAAGCGCCCTTCCCCTGATCGCGCCCGTTCCCCGGCCCGGTATCGTTCACCTGGGGGAGCTGAGAAGCCTGTCTGCGGGCACAAACTACCTCTACGGGTTCGGCAGTTCGCCGGACGACCACGTCGAGGGCTCCTACACCGCCCCCGTAGACCAGTTTCTCGCGGCAAACCAGGGGGCTGTGACTCCAGACCACCTCGTCGGCGCCGGAGGTGCTTCTATATTAAGTGCGCCGGGAGGTGTTGTAGGTGATGGTGTCTCAGGAGGCGCTGGAGGCCAAGTGCATCTACTTTCGCCCCAGCAGTACTACAGTTGCCACGAGGTAGATCTGAACTACCCGCACGAGGACAGCCGGCCCACGCCCGGACCCAATTGGAACAGCACGCTCGCGAGTCTCGCAGCCCTCAGCGTCGCCGGTCCAGCAGAGCAAAATGTCCCATCATCAACATCTTCCGGGCCGCAGCAGCACCGGGGCCACCAGCCTGCATCTTCCTCGTACCACGAACTTGTTCCTGCTGGCGCTGGAATGCTGCCGCTGCACGTGAACCCCTGGGGCTTGGGTTTATCTGCTACTTCGCCGGCAGGAGCCCGCGGTTTTGTTCCAAGCGGCGGTCAGCAAGAAGCCCCCGCGAGTCGAATTAATCGGAGGAGAAATTCATCTTGCTCGAGACCCCCGTTTGAAGATCTTCCGCCGCACAAGCCGGTGGCACGACAGGCCGAAGTCGATGCCGCGCACCAGCCCCCCAGCACACGAGGGCCTGGAGGACCGGTAGAACATGAGGCAGGAAGCATGTTGCTTGCAGCCCACGAGGACCAGCATGCGGCACCTCTCGCGCTTGCACCGGGCGACACGAGCAGCGGCGCGCCGTCGTGCGAGCCTGAGCCGCGAAGCTGGCCGGGATCCGTGGCGGTTTCGTCCGCGGCCGGGGATAGCAACTAGCATAGGTAGGAGGCGCAGGATCATATCGGAGTTGCTGTGGCTATCCATCGGAGCAGGCGGCGGTAAAAATCGACAACTACTGCGAGCTTGCATCTGAGGCTGTTGGTCTTGATGGTAAACCAAGTTTGTAGTTCTACAAACACTGTTTTTTCTTGTACCTTTTCCTTGTCAAGAACAACTGCTGAAAACTAAACTTCAGACGACATATCCATTGTTACAAGTTTGCAGATTTTACTCGTCATGAACTCATATCTGATTCACTTACTAACGCAGGATCCGATCAGGAACATATTGGCAGGCACAGGAGCTGCAGCTCTCATTACTCTCTCTCCTGCTCTTCTTGCTAATCTGTCGCTCTCTTCGTGCATATGATGAAAATGAAAATGGCATAAAAGAGTTGGAGTATACAGTTTAAAGATATGCTTCGTAAAATAAAAAGAACTGCAAAATAACCACGACGGGCATTTTTCTATTCTTTCACGTCATCAAATCACCTAGAGAACACAACGCGAGCAGCTCACTGTCACTCACAGTTTTTACGTACATTGCTTGTTGTCCTCACAGTCACTTGCAATTCAAGAGGACGTGCATGCTTTTCTTACTTATGCATGGTTTGCATAACTTTTTACATACTTAGAGTGATCCTCATCTCAACCGACGTACGTTGATATCAAACAACAAGACTGACGAGCACTGTGCATCTTCATCTTCTTCTGAAAAAACTCGTTTAAATAAGAACGATGACAATGATTCTTTTAGGCTGTGGTCGGTGCCGACGCCGAGATGGAGAATGCCAACGCGCAAAAGAAAAAGCATGCAAACAACTACTTGTACCATAGTACGCCAAAAATAAGAATAAAGTTGATGCTGAATCGCCGAAAGATGAACAAAATGTGGCCGTTCTCAACAGCGAGCACGTGGAATGTGTCGAATCGTGAAGATCTACCTCATCTGTCATTTTTGGTACTAGCGACGTAAAGAAACGTAGTGCATTAGTGCCCTGACGATCGTGACAAATGAACTGGCGCTCTTCAACCTCTGTGCTGTGGTAATTAATTTTTGTCACCCATTAATATTTACTGTCTAAATTAATAAACCTGCTGCACGTATTGATCGTGTCGACTCCGTGACCCGCAATGAAAATCGCAAGAAAATTTTCCGGCTAGGTTAAGTAGAAAGCTGACTTGTGGTGGAGCTTGCTACATTCATTATCGCTCGAGTTGTATTTGTCCTTATTTGCTTCTTCCCGCGAACGAACAGGGCTTCGTGATCGCAATTGTCTTCTTTGCTTTTTGATAATAAAAATCACACCTACTGCTCTACTTTGCCACCTCGCGTGATTTGTGATTTTTACGTATAATTTATTCATCCTGCTCGGTTTTTTTTATATAATAAGTTCGCTGTACCAATGCCCCTAGTATCTACTTCAACGAACATGATATACAACATGTTGATGGCCTCAAATTGGTGATACCAGGACGACATCAACGCTCTCCGTTGATCGACATGTTGACGATGCCCGTTGAGCAGCCCCCGCCGCGTCTCGCGGCCGCTGACGCCGTCATCAACTACGAGGCAGTAGAACATTCGACGTCATGTCCGAGCGACATGCAAAATACGACAACCCCTGCACCAGAGCAGGTGCTGGCACAAGTTGTACAAGAAGAAATAGGAGACCACATAAGAACTACCGCTTTTTCCCCGGGTCAGCCGATTTTCAAGCCGAATCATTTTGGGAATCATCAAGATGAATATGGCACGAAAAAAAACGCCGCCAATCTTGTCCAACTGAAGCAGCAGTACTGGGAGTTTTTTGAGGTTTTTTGGCGTCACCTGGTGCCGATCATGCGGAGCGACCTGCGGCTGCCGCAGAAGGTGCTGCGGCAAGCCGTCCTGCCGTTTTTTGAGCGACGGGCAGCGGAGAAACAAGTGTGGACGCGGAGGCAGCGGAGCACGATGGGGCAGTGGGCGGAACTGATTCGAAGTGGGTTGTTGGAAGAAGTAGAGGCCGAGGAGGCGGAGGGGGAGGGGCCCAAGGTGGAAATGGATACGGATACTAGCGCGCGATCTCCACTACAAAGGCGGGGTGAAGTCGATACCGAAAATAAAAAAGCCATGACGAGGACCTCCGAGAGGACCACGACAATGATAGCACAGCCGGCCAGCACAAAAACCCCTAGCTCCTCACCTGCTAGCTGTACTACCACGACACCAGCGCGACGACCATCCGCCCTGGGATCTTCGGGGCCAAGAACAGGAACGCCCAGAAAAGGTAGGTCAAACGAGCAAGAGGAGGCGCGGCCTCCTCCTCCATGGTGCCCCTGCAGTCCTTCTGTGGGAAAAATAAAAGCGACGGAGCGCGAGCGGTCCTCGTCTAGCAGGACGACCACAGAGGCCCCCGCAACATCGGGTTCGTCAGCTGACAGCCCCGGAAACACAAGATCACCGTCTCCGCCCTCGTCGGCTGTTGCGCAGGAGAAGACCTCGGCGGTGGGGTCTTCATCTATCTGGCGGGAGAGTTGTCATGGCGACACGAGTGACAGAACTCCGGTTCATCTTGCAAAGAGCCACGACGTCCCGCCCATAATACTTGATCATGCGCAGGAAGATCGAAAAACTTCTACGCATAGGAACAAGCTACGTGCCACACGAGGACCCTCCTACAGCTCGCCGCCTGAGGGGGGCGATGCCATTCCTGAGGAACATGAAAGCGACATTAGTATTGAGATTGATGATAGGACAGCACCAGCGGAAGAAAATGAAAAGAACGGATTGGTGCCGTGTGGTCGTGGGACTGGGACGACACGAGGTCCACCTACAACTTGTATGCAGCCGCGAGGACGATCTGCGTCCGCTTCCGTCGAAGAATTAAAAACCCAAAATCCTCCTGATTTGGTTCTGGTCCTGGAAAACTTACGAAATTTCGAAAACATCAAGCTGATCGAGCGTACGGCAGAGGTCTTCGGCGTGAAAAAGATCTGGATTCTGCAACACGGCGTGCAAAAGCTGCGAGTGGACTCCATTTCCAAGAATAAACCTGCCGCTGCCAAAAACCACTCGAATAATATTACCGGTTATCAATCTTTGACGTCGGAAATAACCACGATCGAGAAGAAAAACAGCGTCGCTTTCGATGATCGGACGAATAAATCAAATTCAAAATCGTCTTGTTCCGGAGGAAGTAATAAAAACAACCTCTCTGCCGGCGTGTCCAAGGAAAGCTTTGTCGAGGTCAGACGGTTTTCGGAGTTCGCGACGTTTGCGAGAAGAATGGAAGTGGAGAAGCGAGAATGCTGGGCCACGGTGGTGCCGAGTTCTGGAGAGCAGGACAACGACGTAGTTGCCCGGAGTTCTTCTTGTCGGCACGGAATGAGGCCGGATTTTGCATGCCGAAGAGATGATGAAGAAGGAATAGAACACGACGACGACCTAGAACCGCAGCCACTTCCAGGTAAAAACGGAAGTGAGGAAGCTGAAGCGATTACAGGTGTAGAAGTTGACACTATAGTCAGTGAAAGAACTGATGTAAGCAGTAGCTTTGCCCCACCAGATGCTAAAGTGCGAAGACAAAGAACCGGTGAGAAACTGCCTTCAAGTAGGATATCAAGCAACTACGCCACCCGCGACACAAAAGCAAACCGGCCAGGACACAAAAGCAAACCCAAGAAGAGCATCGCCCTCGTTCTCGGTTCCGAGTCGAGTGGGATCTCGGCGGAAATGCGAGCCTTTGCGCACAGACACGTGTGGTATCCGGTGGCGGGGAAGTGCGAGTCTTTCAACGTGGCAGTCTGCAGCGGTGTCATGCTCGCGGAGTTACGGGCGCAGCGCCCTGAGTTCTTTCCCGTATGATATCAAAGTAAAAAAAGATGAGGAAGAGAAGTCTATCCACTTCTTGTGGTGCAAATTATTGTTCCCGATTTTCCAAATGCGAATGCGAATGCCTCAGGACGATAAGTAGACATCTGCTCTATGTTACATGTCCACCGGTACTATCGCCGATTCGCAGAATCACGCTGCGCACCCTGCTCCCCAGCGACAATGACAAAGCTGATGTAGACAAAGTTGTAAAAAAAAGAAAAAGAATGTGACGAATTCCGATAAAGTATTTTTTTCTTGTGCCGGCAATGAGATATCACCGCCGGCGTGCGCTGTTCGATACGGTAGGAAATCCAAGAGCGACGCTCTTGTTGATTACATGTTCCTCACACATCATTCGCATTTTGCAATTGTCTGCAGCCCCATCCCACTTTTTCGTTGATGCACCACGATCTTTCTTTCGGCATTCTGGCACCGACGAGCACGAGCTGCGAGATCTATTCATTTTCTGCAGCGGTTCTTGAAGCTGTTTTCTTGAACAATCCTGGATAGTGGCAGATCAGCTTATTTTCTGTGTGTGTTTATAATTCGTGTTCATTTTCATGTCGAGAAGTTTCCGACTCAAAGTCAAAGCGACCACTACCTCATTTTAGTTTAGTCTTCTGTGCAAATAAGCGACAACGAATGCACTTGATTTTCATGTCATAATTCAACAGGAAATAAAGCTTTTCGACGCAAGAACGCTTGCGCTTTGCAGCCGTTCGAAGTGACATCTTTACGTTAAGCGTGGTAATCTGCCGTTTGTAACTTCTTGCACCTGCGATTTACAACGAATTTTCCAACTCTTTACACCTAGGCTCGCAGTTTTGATTCTTGCAACTGCAAACCGTAACCGTAAGGCGTAAGAGTTTAAGTTTCCAAAAGAGGACGATCTTGCTTCCCTCAATTTTTGCAAAGTTGCTAGACTACAGCCGTCGCTGCGACAAGTGTGGTTCACAGCACACAAAAAATGTCATCATTCTCACCTCTGCGTGATAAAACGGGCTGGTCTACTTCCCGTAAGGCCTCCCCCTCGGCAGCACGCTTTCCAAAAAATGAAGCAGCTGGAACCTCCCGTTTACTCACATTGGCAGCCTTGTGCACCACGATACCAGGATCTGAAGACTTCTTTCAGTTGCAGACAGCACAAGGCGTGAAACTGAATAAAGTCGGAACCCTACTTTCGACGAAGGCTACGTCGAGAAAGGATCAAGAAGTCGAACGGGACCGCATTACTACAGCTCCTGGCACCATACCATCCGCATCAAGTTCAACCTCGCGGTGGTGTAGTACCTCCCCAGCACCAGTGCAGCTCGAAAGAAATGATCAGCAGCAGCACGACATCAACGAGCGCCTGCTTCCTAAACGACGGGTGGACCACGACGTTTCAGAGCACCACCAGCCCTGGTTTTACTGTTTCACCCCCAACCAGGGAACCTACGACATGCAGGCGATGCATGACGAAGTGGAGGCTTTGAAGCGACAAAGTTTGGTCGAGGAACAACAAGCGGAAGCAGACAACGTGGCGCGACAAATAGATCACGGCGTGCAGCTGGACCACCAGGAGCCGGGGTCGACGTCGGCGGACGATCTAGATCACGGTGACCTTCTCGACGTTCAGCGGCAGCAGCAACAAACAAGCCTGGACCTCCGGGAGGTACAACCGCTGAGAGCACCGAGAGCTCCCACCTGCAGTGACTTTTTAGCAGAACAGCACACACTGGTGAGTCTGGCTCTACTCTCTGCGACGTCATCGGCGTGTGGCGAAAGCCAGGCTGAGAATGGTAGGAGCAATGGTCGTGGTCCTCGTGAGGCAGGACTAAGGACTCGAGGACAAGATGCAGCTCTGCCTGCTGTGTCGTCGTGGTTCACGCCCAACAACATGATGAACAAGAACGGCGAGCAGGCGTATGACAAGAACATGCAGGCGATGCACGAAGAGGTCGAAAGGCTGAAGCGACAAACTCGCTTGGAAGCGGAAGCGGATCTGGCTCAGCTGTTGTATCAGGGGACAACTAGTACTTCGTCTGCATCTCCTCGGCACCAGATGGAATTAGCTGAAGCGCAGCAGCGGGAGGGAGAGGAATGAATTTCGCAGTAGGTGAAGTTGATGAGGCCGCGGCCTCCGAGGTCTTGTTCGTGAGAAATGCTACGTACAGCTGCTGCACGCAGGGATAAGTATATAGAAGCTCCCCGACTTTAACCCGGAGGTGGAGACTTTGAAAAAAAAAACGTAAAAAGATTCTGCGGAGCAACCAAATTGGGCTCTTCGGTGCAGGTATTTGTGCGGTGCGAAATGTGACGTCGAATATGGTGCTCTTGAGAGTGAAATGCAGTGCTAGTGGGTTCTAAAAGTAGCTGGTAGCAGGAGGCCTACCGCCTACGCATAAAAAAACCGGATAGAGTTTATAGTTTTTGCACCAGATGAAAAAACTGCGCAATAAACACCTGCAGAGCGTGCTATGATGAACTAAATGCACCTGGACCTATACACGGTTCTCTTGGACCTAATCGCAAATCAACTTTTTCGACGGACAACAAAAACTGAGACAATCTTTCTCATATATTTGCCTATTGAGAATCTGCACGAAAAAAGAGCGTGATGTGGTTGTGCACTGCTCCTTCAGGAGTCACGCGTCACTCACTCTCTTCAGGAACTGAAGAAGAAGCTGTTGATAGATTTATATTTTGCTCTCGAATATGATTTAGCTTTGTTTTGGAGGTTGAACATGAAGTGAAGACGTGTTGTCCTCGTTGATGGGGCCGCGAGTTTTTGGTCGTCGGTTACGGTTATAGTAGCACCATGAGCTAAAAACGCTATTGCTGGAATTGTATAGACTTCCTTCGCTAGCACTCTATCTTCTCGTGTGTCCTCGGCTCCTGTCTTGCAGTTATTGCGGTCATCGTTTCTTGGCACCTTTTTTCAAGACCAATGAAATTCAAATTATCGTCGTCGCGATGAAGCATGAATTTCAATTTTCGGTCTGGTACATCGGGGACATTACAACAAGAGCTACCATGGTGCGTTCGTGGAACTTCGTCAGTAAGAAATCGTGGCACTCGCACTTCATCGTCAAAAAGAAAACGTGGCCGCAATATTGAAAATTAATATTCGTGGAAAAAATATTTATAAGTAGCATGGTCTTCGTGCTGTATGTGTATGGTTGGAGGAATTTCCCCTTCACCCTTCTCTTTTACTCTGCATGATGGAGGAGATAGGTCGCCGATGCCGCTAACCGGTAGCCTCCTCGGTACTAGAGGTAGTAAAATCAGTTTTTTCTTCCATCCAACATCGTGTCCTCGGCCTCTGTTCCCATCCGGCACGGAAGTCTGTCGATGTTGAAATGAACGTTGCACTTGTAGTTGTAAAACTGTAGCTGCCTCAGCCTCTAAAACAGCCCAGTTTCTTACTACCACTGCATCCAAACCAAGTCTGTTCGTCTTCAAGATGGTCGCGGTGGGGCGAGGGCCGGCGGGAGTAGGCGGCAGGCATCGACGACGGCTGTTCGGCGCAGGAGTGAGTTTAGTTACTACATGGGGTGCCGTGCTAGTCGACGTGACGAAGGCGAGGATGGCAGATCTTCAGACACCACAGGAGCTGAGCGACGGCATCGACGCCGACGGCCATCCTGTTCTGGACCATGATGTTGACTACGATTATATCAACATCAACAACGACGAGGAGGAAGATTTTGATATGCCTGGGGAGAACAGTAAGCAGCAACCCCAGGCCCAGCCCGCCCTCCTGCTCAACCAACAAGAGCCCAGCATGTTGCAGTCACACGGAAGGTTCTACACGAAAAATAGCCGATCGTTTCAAACGTTGTCAGCAGTGAGCAGGGTCACAGCTTCACCGAGTCAGCTGCTCGAGCTGGACGACACGCACACGAGGGTCGTTAAAATGACGTTGTCAACCACCGACCAACACAGCCACGGCCAGCAGATGAACTCCGGACATCATAAAGCTCAAGTACAAGTTGCAAAGAAGAACGCAATAGAAATGAATTATGCGAAGGCCGGACACGTGTTGGCGGTCGACCAACACCAGGCTCTTAACGGAGGACAACACGCGACGTCCCAGCCCGTTCAGGGCGGTGTGATCGCAAGTTACGAGGAGCAAAAAGCCAACCCCTGTCACGAGCAGTTGCTCGCCATGGTGGTCGGTTTCTTCATTTTCTTCCTCGCGTTCCCCACGCTCTTCGCCAACGAGCATCGGCAGGCCAAGATGTGGGAGCTGTTCTCCCGGGCGGAAAACATCCTTCACAGCAATTGTTCCGCCGACGACGATATCCATTTACGCGATCGGCAATTCGTCCACATGCAGGGGAACACTACGACCAACGATGTGTTGAAGGACGATCTCTTTGGCGTTGAGGTGACGAATTGCGCGATGCTGAAGAGGCAAATTCAGATGTTGCAGTGGGTGATTACCGAGCGGACGGTGCAAAACCGCGACACGGGGCGGGACGAAGTGACGGTTCATGCGAATCTCGAGTGGAGAAGCGAGCCGGTGTATTACATGGAAAGGTCTGTGCGCCCCAGAAAAAATGATGCAAAGTTTCCTCCCATTTCCAAGGGAACGAACATTTGCCACCTTGCATGGATCAGCATGATAATTTTGTAACCAAGATAGCAAAAATTTGTGTTGCAAAAAGGCCCAGCACAAGTAAAAGCTGCTTTGCGCACCGACTTAATCGAATCGGAAGCAGGGTCACGGTCCGTCTTCGTCCAAGCCTGCAAGACAAAAAGTTCCCAGTCGGAGAGTTCTTATGCATCGAAATTTTTGGCAATCTTCCGGATTCGTGGGGGCGCTTTTCATTGTAATACGGTGGACAACGCCGGGAAGCGGGGTGCTGCGGATCATTTAAACCCGTCGTGGCCCGAGGGCTTGCCTCCTGGGGAAAACGTCGAATACGCGGCCGTGTTTTTTGGGAAAAGCTACATTCTCCCGAAGGGTCTCGTGAAGCAGATGGGAAGAATGGAAGCAGTCGACTTGGGTGGAATTGGAAATAAAATGGAGGATAAAGATAATGCTCTTTCCCTTCCAACGAACAAGCCTGTAATTACCGTCGCCGGCAAAACCTTCACTCTGAACCCCTTGCTGCAGGGCCGCAGCTACTACGCATGCGGCTCGGGCTCCGCCGCCGGTGATTTCCGTGTCTTTTTCGAGAAATGTCCCTGCACTGAGGTCACCATCATGGCCGTCGCCGACGCCGCCGGATTCGTCCCTCTTCTCCCAGTATGAACTGCAAAAGTATCGTACTCGTATAAATGCATTACAAATTTACTCAGCATGAGAAATGAAATTTGTAATGGGGATTTGCCTTAAGAAAAAGATTTGTAGTGCATGATTGCAATACGAGTACGATACTTTTGCACAGGATACCCAGGGTTCTACACCAGGAAATCCGAAGTAAACGGGATCGTCGAAACGGTGGTCGATCTCGATTCTCCCGACGGGTGTTGCAGCTCGAATCCCTACAAGGATGAATTTACCGGGCAAGCTATCCTGAGTAAAAACCTACCCACACCAGAGACAGAGTCAGGATGGGGATTTTGCAACACAAACCTAGGAGTTTTGTGAGTCACGCATGACAAGTTGCACTCTGCAGTGTAGTGCAGGTTAGCAAGTGCAGCCGCATCACAGATTCATCTGCTCATCCTGTTCACAGCATCACAAATTCCAAAACACGACTGGAAATGGCTCTCATGCGGATGCGCATTAAAAGTCTTCCTGTCTTTGCAAATCTGCACTAGTGTGGGTACGTTTTTACTCAGGACACAAGCGAAACGCGAGTCCAGGATCCTGAACCCGGTGCTCTACAATCCGACCCTGCGTGGCGATGAAGAAGAAGACGGAGCAGATGGTACTACTTCTAGGTCGATTGCCGCCCACCTCGGCTGCTGCAGCATCCTGTGCTGCTGCTGCAACTGCATCTTCGCGTGCATCGCCCAGAAGAGCGCTTACATCTACGAGCTGAAACAGTCCAAAACCAGCGCCGAGCAAATGCTGAACAACTTGAAGGACAAGCAGCAGACGATTGCGCTCTGCCTGCGCTGGGTGGGGCTGATCATGTTCTTCGTGGGGGCGCGAATGATGCTGAGCGTGTTCCCCTTCCTCATGAGCTACGTGCCGCTGGTGGGGGGCTGTTTCAAGTGTCTGGCGGACGTCATCGTGACGATCGCGGCGATTTGTATTGCTGTCATGCTGTGGATGCTCACTGTGGCGATGGCGTGGCTCTGGTATTATATCAGTGCTTTGGTGCGTTATTTTGTGGCTTTTGTATTTGTAGTAGTAGCAGTGTTCGCTAAACATATACCAAAAATAAGATTAGGTCAAGACTCAGTACAACTCTTGCATCGTGTTCGTGGTCCTCCAGAATATGTAAATACGTAGAGGTACAACTACCACGTCGCCGCATTTCAGGCATACAAATGATCGCGAACCAGAAGTGTACGATATCGATACATAGCGGAAATGTTGTTACTCGCTCTGCGTCGAGGCTTTCGAAACGAATATGATTGTTAGCGCATCGGCACCCTAAGTAAATCAATTCCTAATGTTCAGGTACCACCCGATGTACGCGACGGCGATGTTTTGCATCGTTGGAACTTTGATCGCCATCGCAATCACCAACCACACGGCGGCAGACGGTGGCGCGGCGGCGGGAAATAAGGCATTCTCTTTCTGAGGAAACTTCGTCTGGAGGTTTTGGTTTCTTTGAAGAGGAGGTGGAGGAGGAAGCTAAGTACGTTATTATGGAGGTCGGAAGCGATTTCCATTTCCTCGATGAAGGTCGAGAAGACAAAGCTTGCTTTGAAAGCATTCTTCTATCTAAGTGAGTGCAAAAATGTGGATGTGGATGTGTACACAGCCGATTTCTTCTGTCGCTTTTGCAGGAGGGTGTAGATGGAATAGTAGGCAGCACTTCCTTGCAGACACTTATGTATCGACCGATGAGCGTTCTTTTGAACTTACACTTGTGTACATCTCTCTGAGGTGCTGCTAGATATTTTTCGACCGACATATTTTGCTTTTTCGTTTGTTGTCCCTGCCAAGATTGTTGCTGCTCGCGATGGCCCATGAGATTGACGTGTATCATCAAGACCTGTATGAAAAAATGACATTGGAAGATGAAAAAACTGCGCCGCAGTAGACAATTTCAGAGCGTTTGAGGACCTACTTTTACACGCGATTCTCTACTTGAACATAATCGCAAATTAACCTTTTTTTTGGCGGACAAGCTTTATTTGTACTTTCGAGAAGTGCAAATGTGTACGATAAAAACTAGTATAAACGATGTTCACTGTGGTCGCGAGCAGAGTAGTGTTTGGAAGATGATGTGGTTTTAAAAAAAATGGTGAAAGTTTTTGCAGCGTCCTCTTATCATCGTTGTTAGCATGATTTTTTTCGTCACATATATGATGTGTAGACTCGTCGAAAAATGCATGTTGCCCATCGTTGTTGTATTTCCTAAATGATCGAATTCGTACTATCGATATCGTAAACGATAAACCATCCTCGTGGTACTACCTCCCAATCGTTGGCATCAGCATCGATCTCGGAATCGTCGATCGCTTTCGTTCTGTTGTCCTTGCAGAAAGAACTCGCCTTCGCTTGATCATGATTAACGACTGCAACAACTTCAAGGTTTATGTTCATGCATCAACGCTCTTTTCATCTTTTTGTCTACGCCTTCTGACTCTTATGTGTCGGCCTGCAGGTGGTTGTGGCCTGCCGAGTGATCTAGCAAAAAGCTCAGTGACACGGGTTGGCAGAAAGACCAAACTCGCCGATTTCTCACGAAGAAGATGTAAATGAGAATAAATTGAACAACACTCGTAACTTCATGCCGCTTCACCAGAAGTCCTCCATCGATGACCCGGACATCCTCGCGCTCGTGCACGCGTATAACAGCGCACTGCCGCCGGCGCGTCGCAAAAGTCCGCCGGTATTGTCTTCAAAAGCGCCAGCGGGAAATCTTGGAAGTGGTCATAGCAGCAGCTCCGGTGGATTGATTCTGCCGTCGAGACAGGGTGCTGCGCACGGAGGCCCAGCAAGCTCTTCTATCCGGCGCAAGAAATTGTCCACTGCCGAGAAGCGAATCCTGGCAAGCACGGAGATCCAACTACTCGAGTTCCGCGAGCTGCAGCGCAACGGCGCCGCGGTCAGTATCCAGGCGGTGTGGCGCGGGTGTGTGGGGCGGAATTTTGTGCGGAAAAAACGTTTGAAAGTGTTCGAGAACACCGCCCGGGCGCAGCGGCAAGCGGACCGGCAGGCGTTGCGAGTGGTGGAGGGGGCGATCGCGAAACTGGGCGGCGGAGGGGAACAAGAAGGGGAGCAGGTTCCTAGAAACATCAGCGGACGAACTCCAACTCGTGTGCGGCCGGGTACTGCTGGGATGAAGACGTTGCAAGGCTTGTCACCATCAACACAATCTTCCTCATCTTTTGTTCCCTCCCGTCGGGAAGGCCTTGCTTCCGCACAGAGCAAGTACAACGGGAGCAGACGAGTTGTAGATGCTGCCGTAGAGGAGGGGGCAAAGTTGTCGCAGGACCCCTCGTCGGGACTGCGCCGACCTATGACAGTGGCGAGGAGTCCACCCCAAACTACTGGCCTTTCGGCATCTTCCGCCTCCGCCCCCGCGCAAAGAAGCAGGATTGGGCGGGTAGGAGATGAGAATGGGAAAGAGAAAGTTCTTGCGAAAATAAATGATTCGACAGCACGACTACACACCGAGTCCGCGTTCGACAAGGCGCTGGCAGCGAGAAACAATCTGGGAGTTGGTGCAGAAGTGGTTCTCACAGGAGGTCGAGGTGGTCCTCGTGCAAATCGATCAGTAGATGAAGAAAAAAACAATGCAGCACACATAGCAGAAGCTGTTGACGAAGACGATGAAGACGCAGAGGATCATGGGGTTGACGTCACGGCTCTTGGACGAAAAGCTGTGCAGAAGCAGAACCTGCAAACGAGGACCGTCGACGAAGATAATATGAACGACGAAGTCGACGCTGTTCTCCTTCTCATTTTTCGTCAAAAAGGCGACATGAATATTTATAGTAAAGCTGTTTTTCACTAGGCATCAAAAACGAAAACTTCCACTGCAGGAGAATTTCTTATATGGTGTTGCACCTAATAGGCATGATCTTCTTGCAATTTTGGATACACGGATCTAGTATGGAGGACAAAATGGGAACGCGCAAACACTTTTTGGCTATCATACTGCTGCGTCCGGCGGGCCGGCAGCAACGGACCACCAGGGACCGGGAGCAGGAGGAGGGCTCTTATGGCTTGGATGACGATCTTCAGGTCGCGGAGGGACAACCGGACGAGCGAATGAAAAATGCTCTGAATAGGACCACCGCAGCAGGCCGCCTCGCAGCACAGCAGCAGCGATCGAATAACGTAGCGACGGCGGGAGTAGTAGTAGACTCTACCTCTCGCTCTCGGTCATCTCGACTGCCACCCAGCGGAACAATCTCCACGACCCCTGCCGCGCGGTCAGCACCTGGGACGACAGGACCTCCAGCAGGATCTTCCGGTGCTATGGCTAGGCTCGATGATGAAGACGCGGGAAGTAGAAATAAACGAAAACTGCAAATCTGGCAGGCCAGTGGTGGTACCGACGAAAGGTCTGTTCGGAGGGTCAAAGCTGCGGAGACGGGAACAACGAGGGGAAAAATGATGAATCAAAGCGATCTTCTCGACGTCCAGAAGCAGCAACTTACGACCGGCGCAGAGGATGGCGAGGAAGACGACGACGACAACGACCTGGATTTCGGTGATGTTTCGTCGCCTACAAGAAAGAACCTCTTGAAGCGTCCTCTGCGGGCTGTGCTTGCTGGTGCGGGTGGAAAAGAACAAGGAAAACAACAGGCCAACGGGCCCCAAGCTCAAGATGAAAGCGCTCAGTGGTCGGCCACTGCCCGTCCGGTCGGCCCCAATGGTACACCGGTTGATATTGTAGCTGAACCCGGTCCCGGGCGGGTCGTCACGATGAACAACACAACTGCCACGACAGCGTCGACGTCAACGAAAATTTTACAGAAGAAAAAAGCTCCAAACAGTTCCGGGGGGCGAGAAGAACAATTATCCATTTCAGCCCAACCCCAAAGATTATCAGCAGAACTAGCCATGAAAGAACAGCAGGCACTTGCGGGTATCCGCAGACGGGCGGTGGCAGGCTTTGAGGAGGAGGTGGGCGATGAGGAGGAAGAAGAGGAGGAGGACCTGGACGAGCACGCCTTACACGACGGCTTTTCACCACTGCTAGCCGCTGGATCACGTAGCACCAGCAGCAAAGGCAAACAAGGGAACGCAAAAGCAAATGTCGCGCGAATAAAAGTGCTTGGTAAAAAAGGTGACGACCGAGCACAGCAAGAGCAGCTTGGGACCAGTGTCGCGGCGAAAGCGGGAAAAACCAGAACCGATGTGGGTGCTGTGAAATTCAACAGCAATGTGGTGGATGAGACGGCACAGGCGGGGGACTACGAGGAGGAGGAGGAGGAAGTTATCCTTGCAATAAAATTTTGAGTCAAATACAAACGTGGCACACGACGACCCTGTGTTTTTTTAAGTATGAGTGTGCGCAAAATCAATCAATGCATCGTGACAGAGACAGACACAGACCCTGTGTCAAGGAACATACTTGTCAGCGGAGCACACGCACAGCTCCTGCTCGCACTCAATGAATGATAATGCCTCATGGGCATGCGGTTTTTTTCTTCGCAAAGCGGTATAAAAGAAGGTGCGTAGCAGTTGCTAAAGAACAAGAAAGCCACCACTTTCTACAGAACTATGTTGTGTTGCGTCTTCAAGCTCTATTAATGCAGACCGTTTGGTGCAGTTGACTCAAGATTTTCCCAGGATACAGTAGGAAGAGGACATTGACGAAGAGGAGGAGCAGGCGTTCTCTCTGGGAACGAATCCTCTCCTCACGGGCAAGCGTAAGCGAACAAGACAAGGCCCTTTGGCTGTAGCCGACGAGAACGATGAAAGCCCACTCGAAGAACAAACCGCACACCAGATAAAGAACGCGGCTTCTGGAGCAGAGAAACGTCAAGCCAGAACCAAGAAAAGCAAAGTCAGCAACTTTTTCCAGGGCGCCGAGGAGGAGGTGCTGGAGTACCTGAATCAAATCAGACAAAACGAGGACGACCACCATCGAGAAGCAAATCTGAACAGCGTGGCGCTGAGCGCAATCTTGATGAAACAGAACAAGGGGAAGATGAACAAGAAGAAAGCGCAAGAACAGTACAACACTGACTCAGTGGATGTTGAACAAGAAGTAGGGACTTCTATGACACCCACCACCGCGACGATCAGATCAAACGCTCCTGGAGAAGCAAATACAACGAGCAGTTTTTTCGAACAGAAGCTCCTCCAGATGGACCAGGCGATGCGTGAGAGGGAGGAAGAACAGCGGCAGAAGTGGGTCGAAGCAATGTCGGAAACCTTGACGAGGCACGCGAAGGGATTGCAGCACCCTGGTAATGTTTTTTCAGAAGATCATCCGCGCGACGGGGCTGAGGGCGATCCAGCAGCGGGCAAGAACTACAGAGATGAGGAATCAATGTCGGGAGTAGCTGCAGCAAGCAGGAAAAGTCGTAGCAACAGTAAAAACAAGCCAATCCAGATCAACATCAATTTGACGGGGCAACAATTGGTGAACTCCGGAAGTGCTAGTGCAGCTGCCGCTCAGGAGAATATCGAGGACTTCGATGATCAAGATGAACAGTACGACGAGCGTGGCGAAGATCATGTGGCGGTTGAAAATAGTCCGCAGTTTGTCGATCTACCCAATGCAGCCGGGCGTTTGCAAATCAACGACAAGCGGGGCGAGCTCCTGCGGAACAAAGTTTTTGGAGCAGCAAAAAGTGCAACGCGAAACACGACGAATGACAAGCACTATCACCCGCCGCCCAACCGTATTCTGGGTAGCAGTTCCACTTCCGGCGGTGGCGGAGCAGGGGGAAAAAATATCATGAAGCCACCGTCGCACAACTTCCGACACGGAGCAGCGGCCATGATGCACGCCGCACACGCGTTGTCTTCGCCCTCGGGCCGTGGGCCGCTGTTTGGGCGGTCGACGGTGGACACTGCGACCCCAGGAGCTCCTGCTGACGTCGGAGATGCACAGCGGTTGAAAACGAAAAGCAAATCGAAGTCCAATTCTGCTAACACTAACACGAGTCCTCCGCCACAGCCGGGGCGAATCCCCGGGTTCAGACCCGACCCGTGGTCCTTGCCGAAATCGTTTGAAGCCAGCCGGTTGGAGCTGGAAAAGGAGATCAAAAGCGCTGGTAATACGCACGCACGACAGCACCACCCGGCAGAGCTGGACCAGATGAAAAAACAGCTGGCAGAAATGACTATGGCGTTCTCAAACGTTACATTCTCAGCTGTTACATGAATTTGTCACGCAAAAGCACCTTAAGCCGGCAGATCATCGAGCTGCTTCGCATGACAAATTTCGGAAGGGCTAGATAGCATCTAAATCTGCGCCAAACTTGTAATGCAAAAGGCGCAATCTTCCTCCTTTCACTTTTGCCAGTCTTGCATTACAAATTCATGTAACAGTTGAGAATGTAACAGTAACACTTGCGAACTCCATAATGACGAACTTGGAGTTCGAACTCCGGTAAGTGATGCAAATTTGGTCTGGGGTTCTGGTGGAAGGACGTCGTGAGGTGGACTGAATAAACTAGTGAAAGTGATGCTCCAGAAGAATCCGGAGCAGAAAAAACCTGTCATGCTTGAACAGCAAATCATGAATTGAATAGAGCCTTTCACAGCAATGACAAGGCAAATTCCATGCAGGGTCGAGGTCGTCAGAACGACTCTTGCGGAAGATGAACAACAGCGCTCGCCTTTAACAAAAAGGAGCTGTCAGTGAAGTAATCGTTTGCGTTTCAATATTGTCATATTGTGGCTGCATCACGAGGACAGACGGACCTTAACAGTCAGCGTCTAAAGATATGCATGATAAACTAACCCGCTTTATTCGTCCTTCCCAAAGAGCCTAGACATGATCTTTCTTGCTGTTTATACGCAGTACAACCGCGAAGCGGCTTCTTCCGCCTTGGAGGGTGAGATGCATGTCCGAGATCTGGAGGAGCTATCCTGTGCAAAAGCATCGGACTCGTACTAATTGCAGATATGCATGACAAATCCAATTTTCTACCTGAAATAGCATTACAAATTGCATTTGTGTCCTTGGAAAAATTTGTATATGCAATTTATACTAGTACGATACTTTTGCAGTGCATAGGAGCATTACCTGAACGAAACGGAGCTGATCTCCGACATGAATATGATGTTGTCAAACGTTACATTCTCAACTGTTACGTGAATTTGTAATGCAAGAATGGCAATAAACGTGAAAGAGGAGAGCTAGCGCGTCCTGCATGACAGATTTGGCACAGATTCTCGGCCTGTTTGGCTCTTCGAGAATTTGTCATGCGACGCAGCTCGATCATGTAAGTAGATACTGATGGCAGTTCTGCATTACAAATCGCGTAACAGTTGAGAATGTAACATTTGAGAGTCCCATAATGAAGGACGCCTTACTGGGCCGCATGCGGCACTACAGCGGTGCAGTTTGGGAGCAGCAACAGACAGGCGGTGCGGCGCTCCTGGACGAGGGCGGCGGGGGCGATTTTAGTACTGAAGATTCACCCGCTTATTTGACAACGCCCGGAGCTGGTACAGCCGTCGGGGGGTACTACAACAGCACTGGTGCACATGATGAGGACCTTCCCCCAGCATCCGAGTTGTATATGCAAGCGCCGTCAAGAAGCAAGAGCGTTCCTGTTTCCGCCCTAGCGAATGCCGACCGCAGTTTCGGCAGCCAGCTCGAGTCCCTCGACAGCCGGCGTTTTCTGAACCGGACGGAGTGCGACTTCAAGAATGTGCGTTTTGAGTTTGGGCGGAATCACTTCGCGCATTACGATAACCAAGCCGCGACTGGCGGGTTGCGGAACCACCGGAAGGATTTACTGCAGGCCATGCGGTTGGGGGAAAGCATTGCGAGGGAGTTGAACCTGGACAACAATACCAGCAGTGGGCTTGGAGCGAGGACAGGAGGTACACGACCTGAGAGGAATGCAGAAGTTCATCCAGATAATACTGCTGGGGGTGCGGAAGAAGATTCTGGTAGCACTACTACATCAACCCGAAAAGTTGTAAATCGTAGTACCGGCGGGTTTGGTAGTTTGGACCGCGACTGGAAGCAGGTGCACTTTGACTACATCGCAAACCGGAGCTTTAACCAGTACCGAGAGTTCGAAGCGCAGCAGGTCGCGGCGCTAGGGTTAGGGCAAAATGGTACAGAAGACGAGGTAGACCAGTACCACGCTGACCAAAATGACAACTTGAGAAGGCCGAAGCCGCTACCGCCCCGCTATGCGTCTCCGTTTGGGGAAGAGGAGGGGGAAAGAGGAGCGATTGTGAATTCGGTCGAAGCAATTGATCAGGTTTTCGCTGCGTAGCAAAGAAGCAGCAAAGCACAAGCTGCAGCCGAACCTGTTGCAAGATGTGTCAGAATGAAATGGACCTCGCGACTTTAATACCATACGTGAAAAATAAAAGGTATAAATGAAGAAAGTTAACTAGAAGGTGACTCAGAACTCCAACTCGCATTTATTACGTCAGGGCTCCACAATTGTCCTCCTAGAATTCCGTGCAAGGAAAAATAGGAGCACTGTTCCAGCAATAGGACGCGCTATGGAATAAACTATTATTTGAGTGTTCGCGTTTCTAACAGAGTCGAGGTACAAGAAAGTCGGTTCATCTCTACGAATGAAGAGCATGCCTGTCGTCTAGTCAAGAAGAATTTACCTGATTGTTCTCGCCAATCACTCCATTGTCATTGCAGCACCAAAGACGTGCTTTCTCTCGAGAGGGTCACTCGAGATGTGCTTTTTTGCCAGTAGCCATATCAACAAACAAGGTATCCTGTCGCTGTCGCTGCCGGGTCGTGTAGCTTTTTTCGAAAAACAGGATAAGACGTCGGTCTGGGTGATCAGTTAGCAAATTTCGTACAGAGTCGCCTGATGATTATATATTTTCATTCCATGTGGGGCAGGGCATCGTGCGGATCGATGGGTGTCTTTTGAAGACGGATATCGTTTCTATCGAAAAACTTTCGCAGGACCCCAATATCGTCACTTGTTCCTGTTGAACCTCGATTGCGATCCTCGGACCATTGAAAACTTTTCGGCAGTTTTACTGAGAAGAATTTGAGTCTGTCTTTTCCTTGCATGTTGATGTTGGCGGCTCGGTTTCGGTTATATTTTTCAATCGAATCAGTCTCACCCCCACCTCCTATAATTGTTGACTTATCTCCAACTGTCGCTGATCAACTTCGCCAGTGTGTCTGCGTCGATGCCAGACACAACTACTTGTTGTATGCAGGTTGAAACATTAAAGACTAAAGCTAAACCCTAAACGCTAAAGGCAAAGATATAAAGAAAGCGAAAAAAAATCTCTTGTGCACTGCTCGTGTAGTTTGTAGACTTCTATCTTAGCTCCTCCAGAAGATGGTATACAAAGCCTCCTCAGCCTCGTCCTCGCAACACCCGCGAGACGAAGAAAAAGATCGGGCGAAGGAGGACCAGCGCACGCACCTGGCGCGGCGAATTAGTATATCCAACTCTAGTGATGCAGCAAGATTAACGACCTCGTCCGCGACCGCGACCGCGTGCGATGGATCTGTTAACGCTGTGGGTCGTGAAGAGCTGCAACAGGAGACGAAAAGAAATATGCCGGTGCAAGGACGAAGGTCCTCGTTTTTTCGAAATTCAGTTGCAGGGGAAGAACTAGTTGCGCGGTCCTGTTGCTCTTCTACTAGGAGCGCACCTGCACCTCCTCAGCCGGATGGCGAGCAGTATCACTGCAACCCAGAAGGAGAGACAACTCGCTCCTGCGGTAGCCTGAGCAGCTGCACCAGCGTTAGTTCCACCGCTTTTTGGTCTACCTCCAGAAGCAGCAGCAGGGTCATCGTCATTCGAGGTGGCGAAGATCAAAATAAGAGCGTAACAGAAAGAACAACAAGAAGGGAGATCACCTGCAAGAATGTTTTTACCCCAGGAGCACCGGTGCCTTCTTGTAGTACGGGAACACCGTCAACTTCCTCTCATGTGGTGGAAAAAAAGAAAGGAACAAAGTTGATGAGGAACGCGAACGAAAACGATCGAGATTTTCATTTTTCCCGTGGCAGCAAGCGAGTAGAAGTAGAAGCCGTCTGCTCATCTTCATCCCCTGCTAATAATACTTCCCGCAGGACGAGCAGCTGCGCCACTAGTAGTGGTTCGCAGAACAGTTGTGCGTCTAGTACCTTCCCGTCTGCCAATCGAAAACTCGTCGTAGATGAACAAGACGAGTGGAGGACATCCAGAACGCAGCACGTGGACACCAGGGGTACTGTTCAACAATTCTCTAGAAGGTTAGAGTCCTTGTCACCACGTGCGCTGGGGAAGGCAACTGGAGGAAACCCACAGGAGCTGCGAAGATATCCGACCTACCACGCCGAGGACTTTTGCAGTCTGCACAGTGGCTCGCGTCCGCGTCGCAGACGCAACAGGAAAAATCTTCCCGTCGAGCGTTCTCCTACGGCGAAGATACCGACGACACCCGCCGGGAAACCAACAAGTACAACCAGGCCGACCGTCCACCTCTCTTCCTGGCTGCAAAATTGGAAGCCTGTTTGGCTGATTCTGGCCCTGCTTTCCACCCGGGACAGACAGAAGTCCACTTTCTTCAGCGACGAGGACTCCTTGTTTCTTGCAGAGAACAATATGCCGCTGTTGGCAGGATCAACTTCATCTAATACCACAGCTGTGGATGATGCATCTTCATCCAGCCGCGAGGATGAAGGTTATTTCCGAATATCAAGAAACCTCCTCCAGCTGGACGATCGGCGCACAGTGCAGCAAGAAGAGTTCTTGCCGCAAGAAGGCAAAAAATCGCATCAACCCCTGCAGGAACCAAAATCAACATCAAGTCACCAACAAGCTCCCTATCAAATGTAAAAATGTCTGGGTCTGGAAACTTGTGATGCTGGGTGGCGTCTCATGATGAGGCTGCAAATGCTGGCTCAGCATGACAGGTTTCTGAGCTCCTAGGTGTTGCCTATTCTGCATGACAAACTGCGCTTCTGCATCACAGAAAAGCGGAGCTCTTGGGTAACGTGCATGACAGATTTAAGAGCCATGCCAGACAAGCATGACAAACATGAATTCTTCCAGACCCAGACATTTTTACAGTTGATACTCCCCTTGTTATTTCTATTTTCCTAGACTACGCGGACCTGTTCCTGACCATCCCGAATGGCGGCGCGCTCGCGCAGAACACGACAACCACTACCACGACCACGACGACCGAGATACCCGCGACCACGACAACCACGACCACCACGACCATCATTGTGACCCTAGCCGCGCCCTGGAAGCCGCCAGTGGACTTCTGGGGAGGAGCTTACGCTACGAGTATTTCTTATGGATGTGTCAGAGTTGAAGTCGACAAAGTTGAAATAATTTGGTTGACAAACCAAAATCTCAACCACGCCAATTTGTCTCAACGTTGAGACAAAACGCCCCAACGTTGACACCGACGCCTCAACTTCGGCACCGTTTAGGTTAGGGATTAGGGTCTAGGGTTTGGGGTTCTGGTCGTCGGCCAGGGCAGCCGCCGCCGGCCGGCCGGCCGGCGGCGGCTGCCCTGGCCGACGACTCTCTCCTTTCCTTGTGCTGTGTTCCACACCCGCGCCCCTGCCCGTGTGTGTTGCCGCGTCCTTGCCCTCCTTGTGTCTCATCGACCCCGCCTCGCGTCAATGGCGGCGGGCGTACCTCTCCGCCGCTGCCGACGAGCGTTGTTTGGGGCCGCCGGGCAATCGTTGAGACGATTGCCCGTCGGCCTCATGAACGTTGAGACAAGAACGTTGAGATTCTGGTCTGTTAACCAAATAATTTGCCATGCATAAAATGGATGCCAGTTGGAACCCAGTTTGTAAGTGGCGCATGACAAATTTTGGTGGTCCCTAAATCCAGTTTGTCATGCTATTTAGGCAAAGAAGAGCGATTGGAGCTCGAGCTGTAACCCCAAACAGGCTTACAATCGGCCTCACTTGCCTGCTCTGCAACACACGGACCTCGGGCCATGCATTTTATGCATTACAGATTATTTCAACTTTGACGATTTCAAACCTGACGCTTCCATATCTCTTTGGGCGATCAGCTGCGTTGTTGATCTTGATGCAACATGTAGTTGATCTTCAGAATTAGTTATAAAAAAAGGAGCTCAACGATCTATCACTCCATGCTTTTGCAGGTCGTGTGTTGTTCTTCATAACAAGAACACATGTATAATTCATTTTTTTTTTTTCGATTCCAGGCACCAGGAAAGTTCATATGTATCTGATGACTTTATTCACCAAGCAACCTAACACTACACACGACAGCCACCGCCGACCCGAATGCGGCAAGCAGTAGTAACCAAGCCGCCGCCACGACCACCACCACGACCACCACGGTTAAAGAGGGCGGCTACACGGCCTCGGACTTTGTCACGCTGCAGCCCGCGGCCCCACTCCCCGATAAACCCGCGGACTTGAACGGAGGGAGCTCGCAAGTGAGCAACACCCCGGCCCCGAAGGCGGGCGGCCCGGTGCAGGTCGCCGTGGCTTATCAAATGCAAAAATGTCTGGGTCTGGAAGAATGCAAGCTTTGTCATGCATATTTCTCATGATCCATGATGCCTGTAACGCATGACCTAGCATCACAGACTTGTAGAGGGCTTCCTGATGCACCTTCCGCATGAGAAATGCACTGTCCGTGTAGGACAAACTGTACCCCTCTTGCTGGTCATGCAATACAAATTTTTTTAGAGTCCAAAAACAGCATGACAAGTTGCAAACTTCCAGACCCAGACACTTTTACAATCTATATGGCTGCGAACGAGACCACCAGCACCGACGCCGACACGGCCTTCATGCGGCAAAATTTCGGGTGCGACGTCACCTTGCGCATCCCGGCGTCCACGCCAGCAGCGACTACCATCGCAATTTTCATGCAGGATGCACAGGTAACAAGTGCTACATCTAGTATTTTCTCAAAGTTGTAGATTGTTAGTAGCTGTAGTTGCAGCAGCTGGGCACACAGGCACTACAGTGCTGGTGGCTAAATTGTTAATACATAGATACTAAACCTTGACCTCTACGTCCTCCATTCTAGTTTACGGGCATGAAAAGATACCAAAATGAAAAATATCTACAGCTGGTCAGTGCCTACGAGCAGGGGGCGTGTGCGGCGCTGCGGTCGAACCCCGGGCAAATCTCGCTCGATTGCAACCACGTGAAGTTGTCCAGCATGAGTGTGCTGTCGACGCAAAGTGACGTCGTCAACAACATCGTCGAGGTTCGCAGAACTACGGCCGACGTGAAGCAGGCACGAAACCCGAATTTGTTGTGGTCTCTGCACGAAATTGCGAATCAAAACTACGGACAACAACAAGCAAAAGGAAACGCAAAAAATCACCATGGAGATCCGAAAGAACAAGAACAAGAACAAGGGAATCAGGAGCAACACACGCCCAGAGTCCTGCGCGAAATCATCCGGCGGCCGGAGCTTGAGAAGGCGGCGGAAGACCAGAAAAGTGCGAAAAACTCCGTTGTTCCGGCAGGTAGACGAAAGCTGGCAACTCACGACAGCGCCAAAGTGTACAAGCGGCCGAAATTCCTCACCTACTCGCAGCCGCAGCGAAAAAAGCCCTGGTGGCAGAAGCTTTTCGCGCGGAGACTGACCAGCACAACGTCCTCAACACCAGTGATGCGACAAACGGCCTTGGTTCGCTTCGACTACAGTGTGCAGGTGCAGTCGACGGAAGCAGCAAAGTACTTACTTACGATGATGACGCATTACATCCACCCTTTAGTTTTACTAGAATCTTCTGTATTTTTTGGGATTCGAATTCGTCATGGTCATGCGGACATCGACATGAGATTTCCGGAATGTGATGCTGGTATGCGCAGCCTCTCGCGCAGCATTCATCCATACAAAAATGTACTTTTTTTTGCACATCGGTGAAATGATAAACTTTCTCGATCTATCAGTTCTCTCGTGGCGGACATCCAGCGGACGCAGGCGAGCACATTTGTCGCGAAGTTGAACCTGGCGCTGACGGAAGCGGAGATGAATGGGCTGCTTTCGGACCAGACCACCAGCATGTTCCCCGTGATTACCAGCCTGGAAACCGAGTGGGGCGAGCTCGAGCAATTGAACATCACGTACCCCGGACCGCCAAGGATCAAGATCGTCATGAGCGACGCAACTTCGGTTTTCCAGAACAGTGGCTACTTCCTCACCGTTTTCCTGGGTCTTGTCCTGCAGTTGCTTTATTTGGGGGTCGTGGGAGAGGTGAATCAGGTCTGATATTGTCGGAATTCGCAATTTAAATAAATGGGATCGCCGGGGTTTTCATTTTCAAACTAGGAAGCGAATCCAGAACCTCATTGATTCTCAGTTGTTTAATGAACGCACACGTAGCTTTAGCAGTATCTTCTCTGGGTATGGCCCGGAGCAAAAATCATCCATACTTACCAGAGACGGAAGCGATGATACGAATATTTTTCGTTGGGTACAACCCCATCGCTCTATGTTGAGAAAACACTATCGAAACGAAAACTGTACATTTAGTCACAGCAACATGTGAAGAGTTGCAAAACTGCCACAGCCATACCACCTCCATAATGAATAAAATCCGTACAATACTGCCTTGGACTACGACTACTGAAAGTCATAGAGCCTGCTCAATGACTACAACTCAAGAAAAGCAAATCAAAACCACTCATCTACCCTTCTATTAGCGACGGAAAAAATTATGACAAAACCAGAAACGAAGTGAAGCACGTCTACCCATCAAACAACTAGTCTGCTATCCTGAACATGACGACACCTCCCACCCTTTTCATCGTAAAATACAGTGTACACCTTTGATTGAGCTCCTACTTTATTGTCACATGAATAAAGAGAAAATGAATCTTGATGTAGCTGATAGACTTAGAAGCCCGTGGCCGTGGCCTCACGTGGTTCTCGGAGCTGCTTCCACAGAGTTTACTGCTGCTTCCTGGATCACGAATCTTCTGAGAGGGTTGTTCTCTTTTCCGTACACAGTTGCGCACGCAGGTTGTTGTAGAAGTACTACTAGGGGCTAAGTAATAAGCAGAACCACAACTGGAAGCAAAAAATAAAAACCCGGCGTCGTGAGGACGGGGAGGCACCAGAGAGAAGGAAAAAAGTGTGCATCTACACTTCATCTCAACGGAAGAGTTTACTTCATCTCGTACAACATACTTGATTGCGGTTACGACTGGTAATTGATTTAGTATGAAATTTTTCGCGTTGTAAGTTTAGCTTTAGTTTTAAAAAGTTTTTCGATATATAAAAATGATGCATCAACACGTCAGCACTAGCACGATTTCGAGGTTGGCACTACAACGCAGCAGTAGATTGCTCGTCCCCACCTCAGCGTCGAATCGTCGTGGTCGTGGGGATCTCAGCCTGTTTGCCCTGCAGCGTCGCCGACTTGTTTGCAGTTCAGGAATAAAGCGGCTTGGTAGTGGTCCTTATCCAGTCCACGGCGTCGCTACGTCGACAACGCGCCGGCCGTCGGATGAAGGGAGGCGCACAACATCAGCCACAGCAGGTCGTCTTGCCGTGCTTTCATCGAGTTGTGCGAGGCCGAGCTCCACCACGGACGGAAGACGTCCAAAAATATCAGACAGAGGATCTTCTGGACTCATACCATGTTCGTGTTCGCAATTATCGTACTCGCAGAGCTTCTTGTCCAGCAGGTCGTCATGTTTCACCACGACGAAGACCATAAAAGGCAATAAAAATCTGAGCAGTTGCCAACAAGCTACCATTCGTGATCTGCTGCTCAACAACCCTGCTCATCGAAATTTTGCGGCGGCAGCGACGAGCGCCACCACTTCCGGGGGATCGGAAGACATCAATACAGAAAACCAAAACTCCGGGTCCTCTACCTCTGGTTCTCCGTTCCTCCGCTTCCTCCTTTTTCTCGCAGCCGGCACCGCCGGCGCGACGTTCGCCATCCAACACGACCTGGGCGAGATTCGCAGTACCAGTTTCTACGTCTTTTTGGTCGACCAAATTGGCGTCCCCGCGTTGAAGCAGTTGCTTGACGCCGAGGACGCGCACAACTTCACCTTGCTGTTATTGCAGAACAATTTTGGCGTGAAGGACAAGAGCTTTGGGGCTTTCGAAGGGAAAAATCCTGTATCTTCACCAACTCCCTCGCTCCGTACAGAAATCGTTGCCAGAAATCTACTTGAGACCGAGAAGAAGCAAGCGACGGAGAAAAGATTTTCGTTTTTTTCCGCAGGGACAACCACTGCCGCTGACAAGATGAAAGAAGATGCAACTGCACCAGCAGGTGCTAGTACAAACACATCCACTACTAGCCTGATTTTCGACAACCCTATCGGCATGGCGGCGGGTTTCGACAAAAACGCAGAGGTTTTTCCCGCTCTGCACGATATGGGGTTCGGGTTCGTGGAGGTCGGCGGCGTGACACCCTTGCCCCAGGACGGGAATCCGCGGCCTCGCTGCTTTCGACTGGTGGACGATGGAGCGATCATAAACCGCTACGGTCTCAACAGCAAGGGACGAGAGCGGGTTTTGGAAAACATTCAAAGCGCGGCAAGCCGGCAATCATACAACAGGCCGTTGGGATTGAACCTCGCGAAAAACACGACCTCGACCACGCCAGAGCAAATATGCAAAAAGAAGAAACTGTGTATAGTGTACAATAACAATTCTCTGAAGAGTGAAGACGGAATGAATGCGCGACACGACTTGTTGCACTTGCACTTTTCATGTCGGATGTCCCTCATGGAAAGTCCAGTAGAGCGTGGTCTTTCCATCATGAGGGATTGCGTGTTGTCCTGGTGGCGCATGACCGGTTTTTTTCTGTCATGCGAAAACACAAATTGAAATTAGTGCAGCTCCAGCTCATCCTCCAAAAACGCTACACTAGACACTGGTTTTTTTTTGTTGGATATCAAACCCTGAATGACTACTCGCTCGGCGTGCAGACGTTCGGGCCCGTCGTGGATTTTCTGGTGGTCAATGTCTCGTGTCTATCATGTGTAAAAATGTCTGGGTCTGGAAGATTGCCAGGCTTGTCATGCACATTTTGCATGACTCCTGATGTCTGTGATGCATGCCCTAGCATCACAGATTTTGTGAGGGCTTCCTGATGCTTATACCGCATGACAAATGCTCTTTCTGTGTAGCAAAACTTGGAATCTCTTTGCTGTTCATACATGCAATACAGATTTTTTTAGAATCCAAAATCAGCATGATTCCAGACCCAGACATTTTTACAGTTGATAGTGTCCGAACGTGGACTGGACCAAGAAGCTCCAGACGAAGGATATGACTTGCTCAAACGTTACAATCTCAAATATAGAATCTGGAATTTGTGTTGCATGATGAGTATGACAGACTCGCACAGCTTTCCACCTTTTGCAATACAAAGTTCGCCAGCTCGTCGTGGGGTTCGGGGCTCCGGAAGTTGTCAAGCGCAATCCTATGAGACTTGGCGAGATCATGCACTCCTGCGTCACAGATTTCCATATTCCATTCCTAACGCTTGAGATTGTGCCACCTGAGCGGGTTATAAAGGACGTCGAAGAATTGGTCGAAACTGTCGTGAAGGAGAGGAACCAGTATGGAAAGTAAATTTCTCGTACGTGTACAATTGCGGCATCTGCATGATGACAAGATGAACACTTGCAGTCCGTCCTAATGAGTCAGCATGACAAGTGTTGTAGTCTAAAATAGCTTCAAAATTTGTAGATGTACTTTGGACGTGAACGTGTTGATGTTGTACGGGAGATTTGCATAGCATAAGCAGCTAAAGAGTTCTACTACTGCGAAGATAAAGCTGCCCTTGGTCTTCCTTAAGATCGGACCTGATTATGAAGAGGAGAAGCTGCGGCAGATGTGCGACCTCGCTATGAAATATCATGTGTATCCACAGAAAAAAAACCCATCCACATCCATTTTTTGCATGACAAACACAGGATTTTATGTATGTTTTGCATGACAAATTGGGTGTGGATGGGTGTTTTTTCCTGGATAATGTGACAAAAATTTATATTTCTTATTCTTACCCTACAACACGCGCAAGAAGAAAAGAGAGGAAATGCACCACCAGCACGTCAAATTTACGTGATGAAATTGAGATAAAGAGAAGATAAATAAAAGCACATGCACATTTCTCATGCGGTATATGAAGATAGAGTTAGAGAGCAGTGGGTTTTTGTCTGCAAGTGGGTTGTCATGCGTACCACAACTTCGAAAAATTGTGCAGGGTAAGAAGTTGTTATTTCTTGTGCATATGGAAACGAAAGTGGATGGCCTGGTCGTATCTAACACTAGCAGCAAACGGGAAGGTATCAAAGCGCAAAGATGTGTTACTTAATCGATTTGTATACAACTACTCAAAAATTGTGATACTACTTATTGCACGTGCTGACCATGCAACACTATGAGAGCAGATTAAGCAGGCTGCAGCTTTCCTTGTATTGCGCACTAGAAGTAGTAGAATGCAAGGTTAACGGTGCGTTTTTCTTTTTCTGTTGTCCGACTAGAACAAATACAGCACCTCCACACGAACAAGATAGAATTCAATTCGTAAAAATGAAAATCACCACGAAACACGACACAACTTTTTGGTTTGATAAAAGACGCGTTTCCCGACTATGGATGTGTCAGGTTTGAAATCGACAAAGTTGAAATAACTTGTAATGCACAAAATCGATACCAGTTGGAAGCCCAATTTCTAAGCGGTGCATGACAAATTTCGGCACCGTGTAAATCCAGTTTGTCATGCTGTTTAGGGACAGAAGGCGTCTTTTGTCATGCTGCTTTAGCATCTCTGTCGCAGACCCCAAACAGGCTGGCAGTCGGCTTCACTTGCCATCCCTGCAAGAGAGGCACTTTATGCCTTGCATTTTATGCATTAACTTTGACGATTTCAAACCTGACGCTTCCATACCGACCTGAAGTCAAGTAAAGACCTACTCCACGAAAAGGGCGGCCTGTCGGGAATGCCCATCAAGGAAAAAGCGAACGAGTGCTGCAGGAATTGCTACAAGTTTACCAAGGGCCAGCTGCCGATCATCGGTGTGGGCGGAATCGTATGAACTGCAAAAGTATCGTACAAGTAGCAATTGCAATACAAATTAGCTCAGCATGACAAATGGAATTTGTCATGCTGTTTTGCCTTGGGATAGACATTTGTAATGCATGACTGCGATTACTACGAGTGCGATACTTTTGCACAGGATAAATCGCGAGCGGGCAAGACGCGTACGAACGCATCCGCAACGGCGCCACTGTGGTGCAGCTGTACACAGCTTTGGTTTACCACGGGCCCGGGCTCGTCGGAAAAATCAAGCGCGAGTTGGCTGACCTGTTGGAAAGGGACGGCTTTAAAAATGTGCTAGAAGCGGTGGGCATCGATGTGAAGATGTGATGGGGACCACGAGAGCGGTGATTTTGATATTTTGGGGTTTCATATACAACATTCGGCAGCAGCACGACCATACTCGGATCATGCCAGTGGAAAGACAGAACAAGGACAAGCAGGACTAGAAAATTTGTAAATAGTCGAGATGAAAAAAAAAAAGTAAATGAATGCCATAGAACAACCCCCCGCACACGAAATATTTCTCCACAGATGAAATCGTTTCCTTTTTTGTTCCTTGCTGTGCCGCCTTTTGACCAAGTCGTATCTGATAGATTTCCGCGGGGGCGCATCCAGAGCCAAAGCCGATGCTGCGTGTTTATTTCTTCTATGCAGCCAGGAGTTTCAACACCAACACCTTGAGCCTGGGCATAGTACTCTTTTACAGTCACGGGTGCAGTTCTTGACGACGCAGCTGCGTAAAGTGCAATTTTTCGCAGAAAGGAACAAAGGGTAGCCCCCGTGGTCCCGCCTCGACATACCCCGCGGCAGCAGATGCGGGAAATATCATGCACATCCAGGTCTTTTGCACGACAGAAGAAGTCACAGTGAAGATCAACGTAGAAGATCAAGAACGTGTGAAGATGCTCTTTTCGGAATTTAGGAGAAAACGTGGTTTGTGATATGTAAAGTATTGGAGTGATCTCATCTTTCCTCCATGGTCGTGTCATCGCAGAGTTCTTTTTAGTACAAGAGTTTTACAGGAGCATCTCGTTACTAGGCACACTACCTAGCTCAAGATCGCCTGCTCATAATGCTTGCGGTAAAAAGATGAACTGGCGCACAAGAAGTTGGGACAAAACGGCCACGAGCAAGATGACTCCGCCTCAGCGTCAGGCGTTGTTGACATCAAAAATGTCAAGACCATGTGCTCCTGTCGGCCGGCAACATCGCTTCGGCTTCCAAGTAGAAGCAACAAGTAAATGTGCTTCAGCTTCGGTCGTTGTGTTTGTGTTTCTCCTTTGGCAGCTGGTTTTGCCTATCTCCACTTTCCTGCCAGGCGTTGTACTGATCCACGAAAATACCTGGTTCCATACGGGCGCAGCTGCAGCCACGGCCCGACGACACCAGCACTATCAACCAGAAAAGTGTGTAGCTTCAAGGGGTTGTGTATTTTTTGCGGACTTGAGGTGCATGCTAAATGTCAATGTTGCAGGGAAACGCAAACAGGTTTGTATGTAGTGAGGTCACCGAACGGTTCTAACCGGGGAGTTTTTTTGCCATAATATACCCTGAAAAACGGCCGTCAGTTTTCAAGCGGGCGGAAGTGTTTTTTGACAGAAAAAATTTTCAATTATGAAGCGGCCGGGGCTTTGATATCAAACAAGCCCGGTCGAAAACTATCGATTCGCACTTGATAAAACGACGCAGGGGAGCCGGCAAAAGGGGCGCCCTTCTGAGGCGCCCACCGCCTTAGTTTCTGGCGATTTGGGGCTCCCAAAAAGGGGCGCGCAAAAAACGCGCCCAAAATCAGAACAGCGAAACAGCATAGCACGGCCGCGATTTCGGAGCATTTTGGGCGGCCGCGAAAGCGGCCGCCTTTTCGCCGGTTGCAGTGCCTGGGAAGCTTTGCAAAAAGCGCCGGCGTGAAAAATAAAAACGCGAAAAAGAAAAAGCGGCCCACACGCGCAAAGCCAATCCGCATGCTATGGGCCCGGTTTTTCTTCGCTTTTTGGGCGCCCCCCGTGGCACCCGGATCGGCCCCATAGCATCGGGGCTGGCTTTCGGAAAGGAATTTTGGAAATGTGCCAAAATTTGCGACGTTTCCCAAGTGGCCGCCATACCGTGCGGCATAACGTTACTCGCGGTGGTATGGCGAGCCCATAAAAAGCAAAGCCGCGGCCAAGGCTGCGGCCGGCAAAAAAACGTCCACGACCTCACTACCCGCCCCGCCCCGGCGGCTATATTTGGTATTGCATACCATGCGTGGACGCACTAGCACTACGCCTACGCATGAGGCCACGTATACAATCCCCGAAAACTACAACCACTGAGGCTCACACTGTTCTTCAGCTTGAAGATAAGCATCAGCAGAAAATCAGAAGGCGGAGCGATGAGGAAGGCGGGGCTATGCAATGCAAATTTACGAGCTTTTTAGTACCTCCCTACTAGTACAATACCGGACACACAACTATGCACTACAACCTGAGAGGACGTGCGCAGAAGCAGACCACAAGTTGCTGTTCTGAATCACGTTTCTGTTTCACTTTCAGTTGTACCAAGTTTATTGTCATGCAAGAATGCCAACAAAAGTTTTGGTACGTGATGGCCGGTAAGAAAAAATGTATATTTGCAGTGGATATTGCGGGTGATCGCGAACAAGCAGCACGATTACTTGTGGGAAGCCACCGGTTGTTGCTGCATCGAGGGCAATGGCAGAAGGCACTGCCTGCTACCGCAAAACAGCAACGACACGAGCTGCAAACTACCGGATAATATTTCCCAGGAGGCCGCGAAGGCTATTGATCCCCAGCTGCTCTTGCAAAACGACATCTGCGCCGCCATTTATGCGAAGTACCAGGACACGCCGGACGGGAAGGACATCGTCGTCCGCCTGAACAAACCCGATTCGTGCTGTTATCAAAAGGAAAAATCCCCTTTCCCCATATCAAAACGAAGTTTCTGATGCTGGATTTCGATTCGGATTTGCGTACACAAATCAGATATTTGTCTTGCTGTAGAGGACTGCAGACCCATATCAAGCTTGAGTAGAGAGGCTCGGGCCTAGGCGCTTAGCATGAAAAACGTCCGCGCTGTAGACCCAACAGCATGTTGACAAACCGCCTGCATAATGCCAATGCGTCGGAGCCACCTGTGGAGTTGCCTTCTTCCAAGACAGGCACGATTTATTGTGGTCACAAATCAGCAACACAAATCTTCGAAAACGTGCTTGTTTGGCAATAATATGGGGAGGGGGGATGTTTCCTTACAAGAGCTGTTGTCGTGTGAACACGGTACGCGGAGAGCCGGGGCTCCGGTGCCGGCCGGTGGACGAAAAGTGCTACGCGGAGGGCGTGAGCCTGCTGAAAAAGACCGAGCTAGCCAACGTCCTGGAGCTGCCCCCCTCGGAAACCGATGCCAAACACCGAAGCGACTGGATTAACCACATTCCGGAGGATGTGCAAGAAAAAAACTGTGTAAGTGTAACCCTGTAATCAATGCACAACATGTTCCAACAGACGTGGCGAGTTACGCATACGCCTGTCATGCCAGACAACCATAAAGTCCTCTGCTCATGTGTCGTGTTTTCCCTGCTTACAAGCCACGCAGGACCCACTCATCATGCAGAGCGAATTTGTGATGCTGTCAGCCGAACAAGATGAAGAAAGTTACACTGAAACAGTTTTTTTCTTCGATAGAGGACCTGGATCGGCACTTCATCTGCTTGAAGGATAGAAATGGCGAACTGCAAGGACTGGTGATGGACCACGACGACCATCGGCTCGCGACCCAGGTGCTGGACATGCACAAGGAGAAGCTGTATGGAATTCTCAAGTAATTACATCCCCAGCTGTTTCTGTATACATGAGTAGTTTTGCAGAACAATTACTGTCACGCTTGTTTCACGGATCTATTCAAGTGCTTTTTCGCAGCACAAGTTCTCGACGCGCTAAATACATAGCATTCGAACCTACAATGCCAATTTTGCAATACAAAACGCGCAAAGTCGCCTCACTGGCACTTTCACTATATAAATGAGGTTGCTGCAGCGTCACAAATTTGTGTAAGGGCTGAAACCGTAGTAGTAACGTTTGAGAACTACGCCATAAGCTGCTGCAAGAGGCTGTGAAGAAGGAGCAAGATGCTTTAGCGGACCGCAACGCCGTCGTGCCGGATAGCGAGCTGTTTTTTGCGCAATTTCTCCTCGCGGATTATCTGCTGCCCCTGTTGGATCGCAACAAGCACCTAGCCATAGACGACAACACCGTTCAGCTAGCCCTGGAACTGGCCACGCTGGTGGAAGAGGTGCTCTATCCAGGAAAAAACACCCATCCCCATCCAATTTGCGATGCAGAACATGCATAAAGTCCTGTGTTTGTCATGCAAAAAATGGATGGGGATGGGTGTTTTTTCCTGGATATGCTCAAGAGTGACCTGTTCCGGCGCCGAAAGGAGGGGGACCCGGAAGACGATCCCGACCAGGAGGAGGACTGGAGTGATATGCGCTGCAACAAAAGCATCGCACTTGTACGAATCTTCATCACAGTCTGGCGTGACAGATCTGTCTCCTAACTTAAACGTAAACTACCATTACAGCTTGAGAATTTTTCTTTTTCAACGTAAAACTTGAAATACGATCCTTTTGCAATGCATAGCTGAGCGGTTCCAAAAATTTCTGGAAGACAACAATATCACACAGAAAAAAGCTGGCAGGTCATATCTGTAATGCGAAAATAAATACACAGAAAAATCTGTCATGGGCGGCCTCATAGCGTGCTGTTTAGGATACGCAATACAGATTTTTTTGTGTATTTGTTTTTGCATTACAAATGTGACCTGCCAGCTTTTTTCTGTGGGATAAACAAGGCCAAGTACGTAGAGCTCGACGTGTTGAGTCCGCGGACAGACTTTCGGCGCACGTATAGCGACGCGAACGCGGATCCCATTTCTGCCCAGACCGACGGCATTGACGATCCCCTGATTATGACGCCGTCCATGCTCTTCCGGAAGCGTTTCCAGGAAATTCCGCTGCCGGTCCTGATTGCGCTGGTGCTTGAATTTTTGGCGCAGTGCGAGATGTTCGCGAACTTGCCGTGGCGCAGGGAGACCACCGGGGTGCAGCTGCTCAAAGTTTTGGAGGACGTGACCACCTTGGAAAAAATACAGCACGAGGAACGCAGTCTCGTGGACCAGATCAACATGCTACGCAAGAACACAAATAATCTTGATCATCTCCCGCACAGATACTAAAAAATGCATCACGACAAACTACTTCGCCACTTTAGAGTGTATTAACGCTTGCCTTTCTGACTAGTAGGATCGAATGCAAGTTTTGTCATGCAGAATCAGAAACCGCGGCGCGTCTGTACCTGTAGGTCTAGGTGTGCGGACAATGTTATTTTATTGTGGATATATGTTCGAGGCAAGCGACCTTCCCGCGCTGGACAAGGAGCGAGGTATGAGAACGCATAACTCCGCTTGTCGTCCCCTCTTCGTCTTCATTGGTCATGCAAAATCCCAAATCCAATTGCTGCCTTGTAGCACTATTTGCATGACAAACTCAGGACGCCCAAAACACTACTACAGTCGGCGCATGAACTTGCGATGCTCAGACTCCATGAGTGCTGGTGTTTGTATTGCTGTTCATGCTACGCGAACACAAATGAGGGGAACTTGTGCACTTCCATACAAGACCTGGAACTGCGAGAAGACCAGTATGGTGAGATCCAGAACGAAGACCTCCCACTGCGCGTATCCTGAGCAAAGCCGACGTCCCCACTCCCAGAGTTGTCATGCAGATTTAGAATGACAGGAACATTTGTGATGCGCATCCCCATGATAGGCATTTTCAATTTGGAATTTGTGACGCTGGAAACACCAGCATAGACGAATGGATTTGTAATGCAGCTGTCCTTGCTAACGACCGGCACTACACTACAGACTGCAAGAACTTGACAGGCGTGGCGCTCCCAAAACTTCCGGATTTGTGGTGCACCACACGTAGTTCCAACTTGACGTATGGTTATGGGTCGGTGGAGACGTTTTTCCCCGGGATAGCACGTGAAGCGGTTGCAAACCGCCGTCCGCGCAGATCTACACCGCATGGAGGCGCGAGACGACGTGAAGTTTTATCCTGTGCAGAAGTATCGCACTCGTATTATAGTCATGCATTACAAATCCTGTCCTTAAGGCAAATTAGCATTACAAATCTTATTTCTCATGCTGAGGAAATTTGTAATGCATTTATACGAGTGCGATACTTTTGCGATTTATAAATTTCCGCCGATGCTGAAACTCATCACGGACATGCTGTACAAGGCTTTCCGGAAGGAATGGGACTACGATCTGCAGTACCAACTGCAAATATGTTTGGGTCTGGAAACTTGTGATGCTGAAATGTACATGACTGAAATACTTCCCAATGCAGCCAAGCATGACAAGTTTTCCGGACACTTTCTTAAGCGCAGTCCGCATGAGAAATATCACAAAAGGAGGCGTCGTTTCGTTAGTCATGCAATACAGATTTTACAGGAATGTAGGACTAGCATTACAAGTTCAATGTTTCCAGACCCAGACATATTTGCAATGCATATCCAGCAGAATGTGACCATTTTCGAGCCGCGCAACCCGTGGCTGGTTTTTTACGATCGGCTGAAAAAGCACTTTCAGGACCCCGTGGGGGAGAACGCGTGGCAGCGGTACTTTTCCCACCGGCACTATGGAACTGTCAGGGTTGAAATTAACAAAGTTGAAATAATTTGTGATGCATAAAATCTATAGCAGTTGGACCCACAGTTTCCAATCGGCGCATGACAAATTTTCCTGGCCTCTGAAGCAAGTCTGTCATGCTGTTCAGGGCAAGATGGCTGCTCCCTGTCATGCTAGTCAGCAGCCCAATGCTTGAGCTTGACCCTTAGCAGCACTAGAATTTGCCTCCCTTGCGCCTTCAGCAATAGAGTCAGTCTTTGTGTCGCATTTTATGCATGACAAATCATTTCAGGTTGTGTAGTGGTTTCGGTCGGTTTAGCATGACAAATCATTTCAACTTTGTCGATTTCAACTCTGACACATCCATAGGCACCCGATCGGAAACCGGCAGTCCGCGGACCTGGCACTGGAGATGCTCGCTAAGGGCCGCGCAGTTTTGGAGGAGAAAAAGGACGACGTTGCGGAACAACAAGTATGGATTGCAGCAAATATGTCTGGCGGGTCTGGAAGAGTCATGCTGCTTTTGCATGACACAGAAGGCCTGTCATGGAAGCTCTAGCATCACAAGTTCCGAGAAGCTTCCGCAATGCCGAATCCGCATCACAAATGCCCCACTCTGGTGACAGAAAGTGGGCAGCTTTTGCTGCCTGTGCATGAGAGATTTTCATGGATTGCAAAATGCGCATCGCAAGTGTGAATTCTTGCTCCAGAGGACCCAGACATATTTGCAATGCATAACAAGCGGAGGGCAGCAATTCCAACCCGGACGAGAACCAGCAGCACGAATTTGCGGACGCGGAAACGGGTAAAGAGAAGAGCAAAGTTCCGGCCGAGGTGATCGCCCTCGGCATGTTGTTTGCGGTCCAGGTGTATCAAATGCAAAAATGTCTGGGTCTGGAAGAATTGGAACTTGTCATGCGATTTCTGGAATAGGCAAAAATTTGTATTGCATAAGCACCAAAAGCTTCCCATTTCTTGCTACGCAAATAGGGAATTTCTCATGCGGGATAGACATCAGGAGGCCTGCGCAAAACCTGTAATGCTTTTCGGTGCATTAGAGACCAGTTGCGTGATCCAGAAGATGCATGACAAACTCCTGGAATCTTCCAGACCCAGACACTTTTGCATTTGATAAGGTGCTGCAGTTCCGCGGCCTCCCGTGGAGCCGGGCGACGCTGGCGGCGTTCAAGAAGGTGAAACGGGACGAGCGGAGACTGGAGAGGCAGGTCTCCCACCGGGCGGCGGCGGATGACGTTCTGAAGACGGAAACCGCGTTGCGGGTGGACTCCGAGGTGTTATCCAGGAAAAAACACCCGTCCCCATCCAATTTGTCATGCAAAACATGCATAAATTCCTTTGTTTGTCATGCAAAAAATGGATGGGGGTGGGTGTTTTTTCCTGGATAGGTGTTTACCCTGTTCTACATGCGCGACCTGACCAAGATCAAAGCCGGGGACCTGTACCAGGACAAGCCGCTGCCGCCCTACGTGTTCCAGAACGTTGGGTCAGAAGAGTTTGACGCGTTTGCGAAGGATTTAACCGAGACGCTCTACAATAAGGACGAGGGCTGGGTGCAGCGGGTCCCGTCCCCCTTACTCGCGAGTTGCTGCTGCGACGCGGAAGACCTGATAGAGCCCTGCAAACCAGGCAAGTGTAGAAGTGCTACTTCATCTACTAGTAGTGCCAGCAGGACGATGAACAGCAGTGTCGTGCACGACCAGGAGGACAAAAATGAAACGGGGCAAACAACGACGAGCGCCTCGATGAAAAACGCGACAGACAGCATCTGCATGGCTCGGAAGAGTGCGAACACAGGAAAAATCGCACACTACCGACACTTATCAACTGTAAAAGTGTCTGGGTCTGGAAGAGTGCGCGATTTGTCATGCTGCTTTTCCAGGACCCGTGAGGTCTGGAATGCAGGACCTAGCATGACAGATTCTGCGAGACCTTTCTAATGCCTACCCTGCATGAGAAACTACCTCCCGACTTGGTCAAAACTGGACGAGTTTTGGTAATCATGCAGCACAGATTTTTGCATGCTGCAGATTTAGCATGACAAGTTGCAATCCTCCAGACCCAGACATTTTTACACTTGATAACACTACGCGGACCTGCAGAACCTGGTGTCCTGTTCCGGCTGTTACGACGACGTGGAGGTTCTGAAAATTACCAAGAAGCGAACGCCCATCACCCTGGTCGACGTGGCGCCGAAAGGCAACGACACCCTGTCGCGACAGGCGCAGAAGCACCTGAAAGACATAGACCCCGAGAAAGAGCACGACGGCGACGACATCATGGCGCAACAAGTGAAGCTCTGCCGGCTCACGGAGCCTTCTTCGCTTGGTGCGTTTGAGCGGGACGCGGTTTGCGAGCCCATGCACCGGTACGCTTACGCCGACGTGGCCAAGAATCTGTTTCTGTTATCAAATGTAAAAATGTCTGGGTCTGGAAGATTTCCGGGTTTGTCATGCACTTTTCGCATGACTCCTCAAGTCTGTGATGCATGCCCTAGCATCACAGATTTTTAGAGGGCTTCCTGATGCCTATTCTGCATGACAAATGCCCTTCCCGTGCTGCAAAATTTGGACTCTCTTTGCTGCTCATGCAATACAGATTTTTTTAGAATCCAAAATCAGCATGACAAGTTTCATTCTTCCAGACCCAGACACTTTTGCATTTGATATCTGTTTCCCAGCTACAAAACCGTGTACCGGAAACTGAATCTATATGGAAGTGTCAGGATTGAAATCGTCAAAGTTGAAATGATTTCTCATGCATAAAATGCAAGGCGCGAAGTGACTTGTCTTGCAGGAATGGCAAGTGAGGCCGACTGTCAGCCTGTTTGGGGTCTGCGATTGAGCTGCTAAAGTAGCATGACAAAAGACGCCCTCTGTCCCTAAGCAGCATGACAAACTGGATTTAGACGGTGCCGAAATTTGTCATGCGCCGCTTGGAAATTGGGCTTCCAACTGGTATCGGTTTCATGCATGACAAACTATTTCAACTTTGTCGATTTCAATCCTGACACTCCCATAATCTAGACCAACTGGAGCCCGACGATCGGAAAACGGTCGACCGAGCCATCAGCTACGTGCAGTACTGTTGCTGCCCCACGCACCAGGCGGCCGGGTTATCCAGGAAAAAAATTGATAGGTGTATGTAAGAACTTTTTTGATGGAGGAACAGCATTACGTCTGGCATGAGAGCGAAAACCTGTCAGAGCGAAAACCTGTCATGGAAGTGGGCTGCGCCGTTTCCGTCCCCGTTGCTGGTGCTGGTGCTCCGGGGTGGTTGGCTATGTCCTATAGTTGTATTGGTGGCGTTTTGTGTGAGGAGTATAGTGGGGAGTGCCAGGTCCATAGGGCCCGGGGGGGCGGCGTCTTCGGGTTGATCAATTCACCTGATACACAATGTCCCGCCCGCAGTAGCACAGTCTGTTTATGTCATGCGCAGACTGTAAACTACGCAAAAACGCGCTTGAGAAGTGGACATTGCAGTGCATGCCCAGCATGTTGACAGCCGCAATCATTTTGCAGGAGGCGCATCACAAAGTTACACTAACAACGTTTTTTTCTTCGATACGGGTACTACGAGTTTCACTACGGCTGCTCCAAACTCTCAGAGGAGGGCTTATCAAATGTAAAAATGTCTGGGTCTGGAAGAATGCAAGACTTGTCATGCATATTTCTCATGACCCGTGGTGTCTGTAATGCATGACCTAGCATTGCAGACCTTTAAACGGCTTCCTGATGCACCTCCCGCATGAGAAATGCCCTGTCCGTGTAGCACAAACTGTACTCCTCTTGCTGGTCACGCAATACAAATTTTTTTAGAGTCCAAAAACAGCATGATAAGTTGCAATCTTCCAGACCCAGACACTTTTGCAGTTGATAGGGCTGTCTGCAGTACGATCGCGTACTCTTCGATACTATCCTGTGCAAAAGTATCGTATTCGTATAAATGCAAGTCTTGCATTACAAATCTGTCTTTTAAGGTAAATCCGCATTACAAATTTTATCTCTCATGCTGAGGAAGTTTGTGATGCATTTATACGAGTACGATACTTTTGCAGTTCATAGATACCCCCGGCGCACAAAACCGGTCGGATCAACACCCGACGGTATGAGGGACCACAACGCGTCGACTCCCGCCCCTGATGCCCGCCGTTGTTTGTATTGCAAAATTGCAATACTGCCCGCGTTGACAACTTGGTTCTTCGGCAAGCTATGCATAATCTTGCAGACAGCACTACAGTTGTCCACCGCGCCTGCTACGCTAAAGTTATTGTCATGCAGAAGCTAATATGTCTGTGCTGGTTTTCTGTTGCTGTTCATGCCAACATACAAATGTTGAGCGGGACGACGAGGTGGGGGAGCACGAGGACGAGCAGTTGTGCATTCGCATAGACGGTAAACACCTGCCTGAAGCACATGGGTGAGGACAGATACGAGCGCAGCGGCAGTCTCACGCCTGCCGAGCTGCGGGCACTGCTGAAAATCACGAGACCCGCAAAGGACGGGAGCCGTGCTGGAGTACTAGATTCCGCGGACGCTTCGGCTTTCTTGGAGACCGACAACAGTGATAGAATAAGTAGTGCTTCTTATTGTGAGGAAAAATCCCCCCTCCCCATATCGAAACGAAGTTTCTGATGCTGGATTTCCATACACAAATCAGATTTGTCTTGCAGTAGAGGAATGCAGGCATATGTCAAGCCTCAGTCGAGAGGTTTTGACGTAGGCGCCTAGCATGGCAAACGTGTATGCTCTAAGCCAAACAGCATCACAAACCGCCTGCAAAATGCGGAACGCTTTCTGGACTTGCCTTCTTGCAAGACAGACAGGATTTGAGGTCGCAAATGCGCATCACAAATTTTCAGACGGGTACGCTTTCGATATGGGGAGGGGGATTTTTCCTTACGATACTTCTTTATTTGCTGAGGAAGCGGCAGCGTTTGACGCTATCAATAACGCCGAAAGGAGCGGGGGCCACCAAGAAATGAAAATAAAAACCACGGACGATGCGATTGTGTAACACGCCCGGCAGATGAGTGTGCTGGACTCGTCGTGGCAAATTTAAAAATTATATGGTTTGAATTTTGGCTTAGGATCGGCATGAACATGAAGGAGATGAATTTCATTACTTTTACTGTAAGTACAGAATAGAAAAAGTTAAACCCCTCTTCCTCTTCAACATGAGGGATTTGAATCACGACACAGTCCCAGATGAATACACGGACGGTAGCAGGAAGTAATGATCATAAGTACGTGCACAAAATTGTGCAATGCACTGAAGCCCAAAAATAACGGAATCCGATATTTAAACTCGCAAAAAAGTGACTTGCAGCCCGTGCCCTCGCACAGGAGAAATCAAATTTCAAACAATAGTCCGATTGAAGATGTCGTGCTCTGGTGGTCTAGTGCTACGGAGGAGTCGGATCTCGGCTCGGTCAGCACCGCCGGTGGCTAAGATTTCTGTCTGACACACGGAGCAGTGGATCGAAGTAATCTCATACCAAAAAAGAGCCAGTGATTCCTGTGCAGGTGTTGATCTAATGTGCGTCGTCTTCAAGTTCAAGTTGTTAGTCTGGATGATGAACAGAAAGAACGAAAACCGCAAGACCGCCGTTGGACGGGAGGCAGAGGCAGGGCGTGCTGAGTGAAGTTGCGGGCCAGGGAGATGTTAGGGCTTTTTGGACGAAGGTTTCGAAGTAGGAAAAAAATATTTACAGCTGTGAGTCGGAATAGACTGCGACTGCCGGACCGAGTGTGAAGCGGCTAACAAAAAAAAAGTTCCAAAGAGAAACAGAAAGAGAGAGAGGCGAGTAGGATTACATAACCTATGCGCAACCTCTACCTAGAACTACCGATGGCGGTGTTCCTCGTTGGCATCCGTATCGTAATTTCTGTCTCTCATAAGGAAATTACTCATTTTGCAGCAGCAATACAAGGGAGTGTATGTGTTTGAAGATATGGGAACAACACGCAAACCCACCCAACCGGAGCGCCGCCCTGCCGGAGCAAAACTTTTGATCCGCTTCCGCCCCGACATGATTTGCAAAAATCCGGCCCCGATGATCAACGTCTGATAGACTGCAACGGTTTCGGTTAGTACAAGAGAATTATTTATGCTGCAGCCGCGCAGTGTTTCATCTTCACGGCCGGCTGCAGGCTCTACTTCCTCGGCGATGTTATCCTTTGCTCGATCTGGTGCCGGCACCCGTGGGGACGAGGACCAAGGTCAAAACAAACGGCCGAAAAAAGGAAATAGAAGCTGCAGGAGTGCAACATCTTCTAGAAGTTCATCTGATTTTTGTTATGATCGTAGTTCGACTTCCTGCTCCGGAAGTAGACGAACATCATCAAGTACGTCCAGTTCTTTGTGGGCGGGAGAGGAAGCCGGACGGCCTGCTTGTGCTTCCGACGAGGAGGAGCACCTCCCCGTTTATCGTGCTCCGAGTACTAGAACCGCACGCGCGGCCTCAACAAGTTTCGCCCCAAGTTCGATGTCATCGAGGTGGAGACGACCAAACAGCGCCGGCGTCTGCGGACGGGAGGTCCCAAGAACAAAGACTGGTTTTAATACTACTTCTAATTCGCCCCCGTCCCGTGGTGATCAACGAGAAGATGTGGAGGTGTTAAATAGCATACTAAAAAACACGAGGAGAGCTCTACTAACCGGGCTGACGAGTCACACAGCTGTCCGACGCGAGCAGGAGCACGGGGCTGGTGCTGTTGAGAAAATAACGACGCACTCACGTACGGAGCTGAGTAGAAGTAGAAGTAGACGCGAGGACGAAACTAGTGACAACGAAGGCCGCACTGAAGTTGTAGATGAGGCGCCCCGTAGTTTTTATTACAAGGGGCCGACTACAACTAGTACTACTTCTTTTTGTAGTACGCGGGGAGCAGGACCGGCCAAGGCGACGACGAGGACGACTAGTTTTGATAATTTCATCTCAACACCGAACTTGCTTTTATCAACCTTCTCCCCCCCGACCCCGTCCTCACGGAAGCCCTCGCGCAGCTGGACACAGAAGAGGACAAAGAACCCCCTGAAAGAACAAGCCCGCGCAGCGACGTTGTGCGCAGCGAAGAAGTTGTTCCAGCGGCGGGGACCACGACCTTCAGCAAGCAATAGGAATAGGAGCAGCTGCAGCGAACCAAAGACGTGCTCTTCCGAAGGCGAAGATTCTGGTGGTCGCAGCAGGAGCTGCTATGCGACTCCATACTGTGGTATGCGTTCGGAAGTAGATGATGGGGTGCAAATGCAACTTGTAATATCGGGCGGAAGAAAAAAACAAAATCTGAAGATCGATGCGGATCTCGTAAGAAAAACAAACAGTCGACGCGCCGACCCAACAGCACCTTCGCCTTCGGGAAAAAAATGCAGAACAGAATGCGGCGACGGATGGAAATATCATGCGGGCCAAAGTGAAGATCAAGATGTAATATCAGAGACAAAGAACATGGACAGCGCAAGAACATGTGGAAACTCTCGTGCACGCCGAGCACCAAACGCAAACCCGGGACGAAGAGCACGAGATCGACACGGGCGAGTGTCAGGAATAACACCCCCAGTGAAGACGAGTGTCGTTGGACCGCGCAGGAGGAGTTCTTCCTGCAATACTGGTAGTTTCACCGTGCTCCGCATTGGAAGAAAAGCAAAAAGAAGGAATAACCCCACTGCAGCAGGAGCGGCGTCGAGAGAAACATCAATTCCAAGAGCGGGAGCGCAACACTTGGCCTGCTCCACCAGGAGCCATTTATCCTTTTCATCAACTTGTAGTTCTTCTTCTTCTCGCTTTTCGATGATCAACAGCAATATGTTGGACTACACTCCTGCCACCTCTAGTACTCCGAGGAGATCTCTAGCGCGAACATCAAGCCGAGCCAGCTCCAGCATGTTCTCTCGGAACAAACGAAAAGTCAGATGGTCCTGTTGTGCTGCCGCGGCCACCGTGTATCATGCTGCGCTGAGTTGTTCTTGCGTGCTGATCCTGGTCGTGTTCCTCTCGGACCTGCAGCTTTTATTTCCCGCCGGTTTATTTGAAGATCATGATCATCTTCACGGACACGGACTAAGTTCTGTGGTTCAACAATCAAGCTTAAGTACAAGCAGTCTGTTCTTTCACGAAGAGAGAAGTAGCACCCCGGCGTCGACGTCCACGCAGGAGCTACTGCAGCAATCATTCCCTGCTCCACTGGAAGAACAAAAACATCACTACAGAGGTGGACGAGGACCCGTGTTCTTCGTCTCCGCTTTTTCTCCCGCAACCACCTCCACACTGCCGACGTTGAAGGCAATAAAGCGAGACGTGGGAACAAGACGATCTTTAACACGGGAGCGCAAATTGCGGGCAAGCGCGACAACGAGGAAAACCGAGCAGGGGACGAAAACTGGTAAAGAAACGAGCGCGAGCACATTACAAAGTGGCACGACTGGTGACACTGCTGCTCCACGGTTACAACTATCCGAAGTTGCGATCTCAGCTGAAGAAGGAACGTCAAAGAGCACCGATAAACGACTTACAGCACCAGCACCAGAGGAGCAGCAGCGTCGCGAACAAGACTTGGCAAGAGGCGAATTAGAAGAATTACCTCTACAACCGTTAGTACCGCAGCAAAGAGCAGAAAACGACCAAGAACGACCTCTGCCTCGGTCAAAGAAACAGCGAAGAAAGAAGAAAATAATCAAGACCACCACGGGCACAAATCAGCAACTGCGCTTTCAGCTCCTCGATGTTGATGGGCCTCGGAATAAAGACCAAGAAAAAGCGGCGTCCTCAACATCTGCCACAAAAATGACAAGTGACGCTTCAGTAGAAAAAGCCGCAGCTGCGTCTTCAGATGAAATTGAAGCCACAAAAATGCCCTCCACCACCTCCGGAGATGAAGCTCCTGGTAGAAGTGCAACTGCAACTTTGACCGAGTCTTTCCGGAAAGGTAAAAAATCTACGGATAAAAATACGAAGCACGACAACGAGCAGGATAAGAAAGCTCGACCACAGCAAGTCGAAGCGAGAAGCGAAAGCAGGATGAGAAAACAACAGATGACGAGAAGATGTTGACTGTAGGCACTGCCACGGGTAGGGCAAGCTCATCCCGCCAGTTGGAGTTCACAGTGGGTGCTGGATGTGCCTGCGAAAGCGAAAGTAAGTCGACCATCGGTAGAGGTCGCACTTCCTGCAGCGAAGCTGAACGTGGTGCAGCAAGAAACGTCGACAGGAAGTAGAAATCATGCGGATAATATGATCTCCACCGCGAAAGCAGTAGAACAGGGCGAGCACCAGGAGGTCCTCGAGGAGCTACAAGAAGAAGGAGGAACTACTTCTGGCACGCATTCTTCTTCCGCGCAACATGAAACGAAAACGAATTCGGCAGTGGGAGAGTTTGTCGGCTTTTTCAAGGGCGTAGCAGAAAAGATCTTCTCGGAGAATTTTTCAGCTGGTGCAAGAACAGACACTACAACTTCTACGCAGAAGGATGAAAGTGAACAAAGTGCGGGGGCAGGGACGTCGACCAAGACGTCGCGGTCCAAGAGGACCAGCAAAGATGCGACTGGAGGTGCTGTGGACAGCACGACCATTGCGAGCTCCATGAAGCGGCAGAGCGGGACGAGGTCAACATCTGCTTCAGCCGCAGGAGCTTCCTCCAAGCTGGAACTCCAGTTCAACATCGAGAATATGCATTGCAAAAGTATCGCACTCGTATAAATGCATTACAAATTTCCTCAGCATGAGAAATAAAATTTGTCATGCGGATTTACGATAAGAAAAAGATTTGTAATGCAAGACTTCTTTTATAGTAGATCATGAACGGCGCGAGCACCTTTTAAACCCCCCCAGCCGTCCCATATTTGCATGTGCGGGGAGTCTAAGTAACATGGCTCGCCCGAGTCATTGACGAACCGGGAAGATGGGAGGTGGGGCTTACAGTCTTCAGACAGGCCAGCCGCCGTGAGGGACTACCGCCTCTGTTATTGAGGATAGCGTGTGTCCTCCTCGACTGAGTTGCGTGCGCGGCCCATCCGTGTTCCGCGTAAACCTCTCCAGGAGAGTGTACGCCGCGTCGAAAGGCTCCCTTCCGTACGGAGCGCCCCGAACCTTTTTTAGCGCACCTTTATGATGGCCTTACTGTTGAAAGGATGGAGGGAGTTAAGTCAGTTTTTAGAACCCAGTCTGTTTATGCTAGCAAAGGGCTAGTGCGCTGTGGACCCCCAGGATCAGGTAGACGAGGTCCCAGACCGAAGTGGTAGGCGCTTAGGGTGAACTATGTATGTAGCGCTTAGGGCCCTTCCGTACGGCCAATTTGTATGCCCGCAACGGGGTTCGCCTAAGTCGGTCATTTATATGCAAGGCGTTGGGTTACCCGGTCGGCAGAGCCGATCCACAACGAACGAAGACTTGCACTTATACGAGTGCGATACTTTTGCACAGGATAGAGAAAACCCCCGAGCGAAAGAAGCAGGAGGCGGAGACGGCGTGCAAAATGGATTTTTTGTGTGGCGAGCGCGAGGGGGAGGACTGGTTAAAAGCGTCGTTCTATCAAATGCCAAAATGTCTGGGTCTGGAAGAATGCCAGATTTGTCATGCTAGTCTGGCATGACTCGAGAATGTGTGTTGTATAGGCACGAAAACGCCCTCTTACCTGTCATGCAGAAACGCAGTTTGTCATGCGGAATACGTAAGACATGGCAGCCAAAAAAATTGTCATGCTTAGCTGCGTATTGCAGTGCGTCTATCATTCATTCTTAGCATTACAAGTTTCCAGGCCCAGACGCTTTTGCAGTTGATACGTTCTCGAAGCACGCTCGGGAAGAGGCGGCCGAGCTGGCGCAGGCGCATATGGCGTTCTCAAACGTTACATTCTCAACTGTTGCATGATTTGTCATGCAAAATGACCATAAGCCGCAAGACAATCAAGCTGCTCAGCATGACAAATTATCGAAGGGCTAGATAGCATCTAAATCTGTGCCAGATTTGTGATGCAAGACTTGCAAGCTCACCCCTTTCCCTATTGCTGTTTTTGCATGACGAATTCATGTAACAGTTGAGATTGTAACAGTTGAGAGCGCCATAGCGCAAGAGGACGCCGTGGAGCTGGTAAAGAAGATCGAGGAGCAGGACTATCAAGCGCAAAAGTGTCTGGGTCTGGAAAAGTGTAGACTTGTGATGCAGATTTTCCATGACCCATGAGGTCTGGAATGCGGGACTTAGCATGGCAGACTCTGCGAGGTCTCCGCCATGCCTGTCCTGCGTGAGAAACTCCCTTCGAACTTGGTCAAAAGTGGACAGCTTTTGGCACTCATGCAACACAGATTTTTTCATGCTTCAGATTTACCATGACAAGTTGCAATCTTTCAGACCCAGACACTTTTGCAATCCATAAGGACGAGGCACGGCATAGAGAAGAAGAAGCAGCGGAGGAACTCAAAAAGAAAATGAAGGCACAGGAAGATGTATCCCACGAAAAAACTGTTTCACTGTGAACTTGTGATGCATGGAATGGAACACAAAACTATTTGTCTTGCTAAACATGCAAGACATTTGATTTTTAAGGGCGTTTTCCCTTGGGAAGTGCGCATGACAAATTTTCTGTGCCATGTGTAACAAACTTGTGATGCAGATCTTGCAAAATCATCACAGTGAAACAGTTTTTTCCTGCGATAAGATGGTCGTGTGGCGTTGACCTTGGAGAATGAGAAGCACCTGACGGCGGAAGAGAAAAAGAAAGCGGAGAATGTGCTCCGGGAACGCATAGCGGAATTGGACGAATTATCCGGAGAAAAAAACCCATCCCCATCCATTTTTTGCATGACAGGCGCAGGGCATTATACGTGTTTTTCATGAAAAATTGGATGTGGATGGGTGTGTTATTTTTCCTGGATACGAATCAACAAAGAGGGCCAAGGCGATTGCCGCCTGGTCTGACCACGTGCAGCTGATGGCAAGCGATAGGAAAAAGGCAACGGAGAAAGAAATTGCGGCCTTCCGGAAAAAAGTCCTGCTGTCCCGGAAGAAAAAGAAGAAGAAGTCCCCTATCAACATGAAAATAAATCCCCCCTCCCCATATCAAATATAAACATTTGTGATGCTGATTTGTGGTCACAAATCATCTCTGTCTTCCTTATAGGGCAATAGGAGCCATGTGGCGCATTCCAAAGCCAATCTGTCATGCGCTTTCGGCTACTGCAAACCCGTCTTCCATGCGTTATTGCTAGCCTTCTGCATACCCGAACAGGCTTAGGAAGTGCCGCCAAGTACTTTCTGCAAGAGAAAGCTGATTTGTGTACGCAAATCCAGCATTACAAACTTCGTTTTGATATGGGGTGGGGGGATTTTTCCTCACAATATCCCCGCTTAGCGGAACCGCAACGCAGAGCAATGATCTGCCGTCAACGTACGTCTCGAGCGTGGGTTATGCAAGACAAATTTAGTGGTCCCGTACAACATGTTGCACAAAATGCATCACAATAGATTCTGCAAAGTTAAAGCGTAAAACGCTATGTGTGATGCAGACTAGGATGAGAGACAAGTTTTGTGATGCAGAAACCGCAGTTGCAACTGTAGTACGGGAAAAAATTTACGTGGACATGGGTCTGAACGCAGTTTTCTCGGCGGACAGTATCCATTGCAAATACTTATGTCTGGTGTTGGGTCTGGAAACTTGTGATGCATATCAGTCGTGATGAAAAGCATACTCTCATGCGCCGCTAAGCATGACAGATTTTTTCGTGGAGGTTCCGTGTAGTTGCGTATTCCGCATGACAAACAGCGTAGTTCTCGCATGACAGACAAGAGAAGCTCTTGCTGTCCACGCAAGACAGAGCTCAGTGTCGCGCTAGACAACTCGCATGACAAGAAGTCTCGCATTCTACTTCCAGGCCCAGGACGTCGTATCATGTTTGCAATGCATAAACAGGGGCATGGACCAAAAGTCGCAGCCGACCATTCAGAAGATTGGGAATACGGTATTGCAAATTATTGAGGAAGTGAATTCGGGATATTTCTCCACCAACTACCCCTTCAGCGCCGGCGCGTTGTTTTATGAAAATGCACAACCCCCCCTCCCCCTCATTTGTATTGCATGAACAGCAATACAGACACCAGCACACCCACACGTGGAGCCTGTGCATGACAAATTCATGTGCCTAGTGTCGTACTGGTTGGGCTTTCAGAATTTGTCATGCAAACAGTGCCACAGAGAAGCACTTGGATTTGGGGTTTTACATGACAAATGAGGGGGAGGGGGTGGAGTTGTGCACTCTCATATGTTTTCCGGCGCGCCCGCGGTTGGTGCGGCCTTTCCCCGCGCTTGGTGGCAGCTGGAACTGACGGGCTCTCCCATGGTGGTCGTGGAGGTGCAGCTCCTCACCTTGAGTCCCAAAAAGTATCAAAAGGAAAAGTCCCACCTCCCCAACATATCAGAACGAAATTTCTGCTGCTGGATTTCCGTACACAAATCAGATTTGTGCTGCAGTAGAGGACTGCAGGCATATGCCAAGCCTGAGCTGCCCAGAGGCTTTGACGTGGGCACCTAGCATGCCAAATCTCTAGGCTTTAAGTAGCCCAAGAGCATCACAAACCGCCTGCATAATGCGGCGGACTCTCAGGATTCGCCTTCTTGCAAGACAGACAGGATTTGTGGTCACAAATCTGCATTGCAAATTTTCAGAAGGATGCGCTTTCAATATGGGGAGGGGAGATTTTTCCTCACAATAAAAAATGCGGCGTCGCCTCCCTGTTCACCTGGACGGACCTCAACGCCTGCCGCGCAGCTTATGGCGTTCTCAAATGTATACATTCTCAACTATTACACGAATTTGCAATGCAAGAAGGGCAATAGTGAAAGGAGGAAGATTGCGCCTTTTGCATTACAGATTTGGGACGGATTATAGTGCTATTTAGCCCTCCGCAGATTTGTCATGCGGAGCAGCTTGATCGTGAGGATGATAATGGTGCTTTTGCATGACAAATCCATGTAACAGTTGAGAATGTAACAGTTGAGAAGGCCATACAGCTCCCGACGGGGAGCAGGATTTGTCCATTGTGACGGATCCTCTGCAAGACCGCGCAGTGAACGGAACCTATGAGGACAATGTGGACGACGCCTACCTTGTTGTCGGCGTGAAATCGGTATCATGTGCAAAAGTATCGTACTCGTGGTATTTGCAATCATGCATTACAAGTTTTCTTCCCAAGGTAAATCCGCATGACATTTTTTTTTTCTCATGCGGAGGGAATTTGTCATGCATTTAGATTTATACGAGTACGATACTTTTGCAATTCATAACCGGACGCGAACTTCGGTGAAACTGGCGCGGGCGGGGCACCCTGTCGGAAATTTATCGGCAACGGCGACGAGAAAGCCATTGCCTGTGACCTGCTATCAAATTCAAATATATAGTCTTGGTCTGGAAGCTTTTCATGCAGCTTGTACACGACCACCCGCTGCAATGTCTGTGAAGTGATGCAAGCTTTAGTAGCATCACAGCTTTTCCAAATAAAGCTGGCCCATGCCTGTCCTGCATGTGAAGTGCCCTGCTCCGGGTGGCAAGCATGTCCGTGTCTTTATTAATTTGCTGCTCCTGCAATACAGGTTTTTGCATGGTCGAAGGGTAGCATCACAAGGTCCATTCGTTCTTCCAGACCAAGACATATTTCCTATGCATACCGGCCCCACCCGAACGATATCAAGAACACGACGAACACTGTCGCTCGCACCAGTTTCCGTCAGGAGACGGTGCACGACACGAAGGAGGTGTGGAACGATAACAGCACGTGGGGCGGGGACACCGTATTACGCGGAAAGTACACACTATCCAAGAAAAAACTGTGTTAGTGTAACTTTCTTTGGCTGACAGCATCACAAATTTCCTCTACATGACAGAGAAAACCTGTCATGCGTGGCCCGTAAGGGAAAACACACAGGAAAAGAGAAAGCCATGGCTGTCTGGCATGACAGGCGTAACTCTGTTGGCTGTTCTGCATTACAGAGTTACACTTACACAGTTTTTTTCTTGCATACACACTGTGCGGCACCAAGCGCTGGGAGGGGTCCACCATGCCTGGGTTGGACGTGAAGAACCCCGACCACGTTTTAACCAAGCAGGAGCAGGACGCGGCAACGCAAGACGCCGAAAACAAAGGCATGGTGTTTAACGAGCCGATGGAGACCCTGGTCGAGATGCAGGTCGAGGACGATTCCGGGACCCCGGTGGATACCTACTACCGCATCAACATCGACTGCCACGGTGCTATCGGCAAGTACGTGTTCCTCGAGCTACCGCACATGAAATCGGAAGCGGTCACTATTCCGCGGGCCCTGCAATTGCGCGAGGTAGTGGTGTACGGATCTAGCCTCGCGTATGGAACTGTCAGGTTTGAAATCGACAAAGTTGAAAAAATGATTTGTCATGCATAAATTGCAAGGCCGCATGAAGTGCCTCTCTTGCAGGGATGGCAAGTGAGGCCGACAACTGTCAGCCTGTTTGGGGTCTGCGGTAGTAGAGCTGCTAAAGTAGCATGGCAAAAGACGCCTTCTGTCCCTAAACAGCATGACAAACTGGATTTAGACGGTGCCGAGATTTGTCATGCATACCGCTTGGAAATTGGGCTTCCAACTGGTACTTATCGATTCTATGCGTGACAAACTATTTCATTTTCAACTTTGACGATTTCAATCCTGACACTCCCATATCGCGGCAGTCGACGGCAATGTGGAAATCGCCAAAAAAGCGGACGAGCTGCGGGATGAAAAGGATGCCGAATTTAACGCCCAACACCAAGCAATCCTCGACGCCGCCCCGGATCGCGACCCCAACGGCATGACACCGACGCCCGTGGAGAATTATATCCCACAGAAAAAAGCTCAAGCTGGCAGGTCACATTTGTAATGCAAAAATAAATACACAAAAAAATCAGTACTGCGTATCCTAAACAGCACGCTACGAGGCCGCTCATGACAGATTTTTCTGTGTATTTATTTTTGCATTACATACAACAAATATGCCCTGCCAGTTTTATTTTTCTGTGGGATAAATTACGCAGAGGGCAGATACAACGCAGTAGGCTCGGGCTGCACCAGCGCGGAGATTGCCAAGGATGCACAAATGTGCGGACTGACCGGCCTGGTGGAGCTGCATGTCAAGCACGCGCACCACCACGACACGCTGAAGGCCAAGATTTTGGACGGCTTTCCCAACGATTACATCGACGACCTATGAACTGCAAAAGTATCGCACTCGTATAAATGCATTACAAATTTCCTCAGCGTGAGAAATGAAATTTGTAATGGGGATTTGCCTTAAGAAAAAGATTTGTAATGCATGATTGCAATACGAGTGCGATGCTTTTGCACAGGATACGACCACAGCCCGAGCAATGCGTTCGACAGGAACCGCTACCAAAGGGGCAAATCAAATATGTCCGGGTTTGGAAAGTGAGTGCAAGTTTGTCATGCTTCTCTCCCACGACTTCTTTCAAATCTGTATACGCATGAGCAGAGAAAATATAAATAAATCCTCTTGCCTGTCATGCAATAAAGACGCAGTCTGCCATGCGGAAAGCGAAACACATAAAGTAAGTAGGAGCTCAAAAAGTTGTTATGCGTAGGTGCGTCATGCAGTGTGCCTGCGCCCCCCGATAATTCACAAACTAGCATCACAAGTTATTTGCAAACCCAGACTTATTTGGATTTGCAGTGCATAACCGCGGCGGCTTTCCCATAGCGGTAGACGGCAAGTACGCCGACTGTTCGAGGGTGTCCCCAACCAGAACCCGTGGCTGGTGGCTGAGTTTTCGCACGTCTTATGGAAGCGTCAGGATCGAAATCGGCAAAGTTGATGCATAAACGGACACCATTTGGCGCCTAAGTAGTTTCCAAGTGGCGCATGACAGACTTGGGTAGAGCCGCAGTCCAGTTTGTGATGCTGTTTGGGTAAGGAAGACGCCTTTTGTCATGCTAGCTGTAGCAGCTCTATTTCTACCGCGCAACAGGCTTGCAATCTGCCTTCCTTGCCTACTCTGCAAGACAGGCATTTATTTGTGGGTTGCATTTTATGCATGACAACTTTGACGATTTCGATCCTGACGCTTCCATGCGTCTCGCGCGTCGAGTACATTGACGTGTATCCGGATAAAACGGGGGAGTTTGCGCTAGTGTCGCTATCCTGTGCAAAAGTATCTGATACTCGTATAAATGCGAATCTCGCATTACAAATCTTGTTCCCAAGGCAAATCTGCATTACAAATTTCATTTCTCATGCTGAGGAAATTTGTAATGCATTTATACGAGTACGATACTTTTGCAATGCATAGTCGCCGGGATTGTACAAGTACCGGACAGACCCCGCCCTGACCGACTATTACCTACACCTCACCACTTCCCAAAATTGCGTGCCCCAAACTATGCTGCTCCAGCTCGACGTCCAGAGTGACTCGACGTGCGATGACAGTACGGAGAACATGGTCTGCAAGAAGGACGGCGCCCAGTGGAAAATGCTTGACAAAAGCGACAACTCCGAACAGGACGCATATGGATGTGCCAGGTTTGAAATCGTCAAAGTTGAAATAGTTTGTCATGCATAATTAAAACGCATACCAGTTAGACCTACAGTTTGTAGTCGGTGCATGACAAATTTTCCCGGTCCTGGAAGCGCGTCTGTCATGCGGTTTAGGGAAAAGGAGCTGCCTTCTGTCATGCTAGTTAGCAGTCCAACTCTACTTGACCCTTACCAGGGCTATAATCTGCCTCCCGTGGGTCCTCTGCAATAGAGTCACTTTTGTATCGCATTTTATGCATGACAAACTATTTCAACTTTGATGATTTAAATACTGACGCTTCCATAACGCACCTACCGGCGCAGCGGGTCACTGCGACTGCACCCCGGACGTGGACCTTGGAAAAGTCGGGGGCTATTCTGAGTAAAAGCCTCCCCACACCAGACTTGTCATAAAGAGTTGCAAAGACAGGAAGACTTGTAATGTGCATCCCCATGAGAGCCATTTCCTATGTATCTTCATGCTTTAGCATTTATAATGTTGCTGTAAATACTAGGACTGTAAGGAGATGGCTTTGTGATGCGGGTTTCCTTGCTAGTAACCTGCACCACAATACTAATACAAAGAAAAACTTGTCATGCGTGATTCCCATATCCGCAGTAGCACAGTCTGTTTATGTCATGCGTGATTCCCAAAACTTCTGAATTTGTTTTTCATGGGTCGTAGGGGTGTTTTTGCTCAGGATAGGACCACGCCGGACTTTACGCAAGCGACAAACGGGTGCGGCGCCGTCGTCGGGGTGAGCACCGCGGTTACACCGCCTTGCAATCAGATTACCGGAAAGTGCCTGGTTCCGGACGGCACGAACGGCATGCACACCTGCGGCACCATCGGCCCCGAAGAAATGGCCGCTGCGACCTTGGCGAAAGACATCCCAGCAAGTCCCGGGAATCCCGTATCAAATGTAAAAATGTCTGGGTATGGAAGATTGCCAGGTTTGTCATGCATATTTTGAATGACCAATGATGTCTGTGATGCATGCTCTAGCATCGCAGATTTTTCGAGCGCTTTGCGATGCCTGTACCGCATGACAAATGTCCTCTCCGCGTAGCACAGAGTGGAGTCCTCTTGGTGCTGGTCATGCAATACAAATCTTTTTAGAATCCAAAGATAGCATCACAAGTTCAGAATCTTCCAGACCCAGACATTTTTACACTTGATATCCCGCCAATGAAGTCGACAACTCGGCTTTTGCCCCCAATCACTTCTATATGAGAGGAGCGCGCAACTAGAACTTACTACTCCCCCTCGTTCTGCATTTCTTAAAGTAAAAACGCTTCCCAGGAGGTAGTAGACCAGCGATCAAGAATAGTAACTAATAGAAGTACAACTAGTTCCAACTTCTACATGGAGCTTGTGCAGCACGATGAGTTCTTGTTCGCGCGTGGAGTGAAGCACCGCCCGGGACGAGGGTCAACATTCCGGAACATGAAAACGGTGGAGCTGCTAGAAGGCAGGAAGCGGCTTATTTGGTATCTTGCATGACAAACGAGGGGGAGGTGGCGCATCAGTTGTGAGCTCTCATATTCTACGATGACACGTACGCCGCGGTGCACGTGTATCGTGAGGAAAAAATCTGTAAAAGTGTAAATCTGTGTTGCAGAGGATGGAAGACACTTACACCTGTCATGCTGGACGTGCATCAGAGGTTTGTTCCGTCCGTCGTCGTCGTGTTTTCACTGATACTAGCCGCGCATGAGAGGTTTTCTCTGTGTCATGCAGAGTCCTCACATTTGTGTTGCTTTTCCTCCAAGAAAGTCAAAGTTACACTTACACACGTTTTTTCTTGGATAACCTGCCACGCGTGATCTGCGACCCACCCGTCGTATGGTGTTCTCGAGAGTTAGACTCATCGCTGCTAGATGATTTGTCATGCAAAATTACGACAAGCAGGAACTGGAACAGCCACAGCCTTCACATAAAAATCTTCAAGCAACTTCGCACGACAAGTTCTCTGCTTTCGCGTTTGGTATTGGTTTTGCTATAACAGTATTTACGCACATGTAAGTAACAGCGATCTATGTAACGTTCGAGAACAACTTCATACGCTGGAGAGGCCAGATGGGTGTGGATCATGCTGCCCAGCGGGACAGCCGAACAGCTGACAAGGCAGCTCCGCATTACCGAGCTGGCAGCCTGTATCCGATCGTGGGAAGAAAGTGTTTGTTCTTTGGCACCTCCGTGATGCTTTATTTGGACTAGAATACAACTCGGCGCACCATGTACAGTACATGTTGTGAAGCTTGCAACTTTGCATGAAGACACCAGACACAGTCTGCCATTTGTGCGTCCACCTCGGGTGGACGAAATAAACGCCGGCACTACAGAAAATTCAGTCATGTCGCGTATTCCTAGCAAGACAGAATTATCCTTGACACCTTCTCTGCGTCACAGGATCAGAGGGACGAACAACCAGCTTTTTCCTGTGATTGTCTTTGGACGCACGACCCTACAGCAGGACACCGATTCTGGCAGCGTCTGACAAGGTGCTGGTAGGAAATGGAAATGCACTTTGCAGTGATTGCAGGACCACAGTAGTACTTACTTCTACCACTGTCCGTTGGAAGTACAACCCCTGGGCTGGGTGCAACTGCATCGGGGATCGGAAGATGAGAGCAGCGGGAACGAACTCGCTAGTGCCATCATGCTGGTGCAAAATACATGCCAGTTCTATCTAAACAGCTACTGCATCTGTTTCGAAAAGGGACACCAAAATAAAAGAAAAAGCAACATACAAGAAGTTACGAAGTAAAGAACTTTATAAAGATCATGAAAAAAGAAGATTTTATCTAAAGCAAAGTCGCACAGAAACAAGAGCGACGAGGACGAGCTCGAGCAAACCGTCTTTAGTTTTTTTCTTTTGGACAAATTCAAATACCTCCTCATTTTTTTTAAAAAGCACCCGCAAAAACCTTTCCAAAGTTAAAGATCAGGATGGACAGCAGTCAACTACCACCTAGACGCTTGAGGATGCTGAGATCCTGCTTGAAGATGCGTAGTATTGAAACGTTTTTCGTGAAAAAAGAAACATGACGATTACAGATGTCTTATAGCCTTTTTATGTTTTTTTAGCAAACAATAATGTGCCGCTTGTATAATAGAATCGAGTATAATCCTGGTCAACATTCATGCCGAGCATGAACTTGAACCCCTGGTGACGAGAAAAATGAAAAAAGAGATGGTGCTATATACCAATCATAGATATTGAAAATGAACAAATAGGCCGCTAGATTTTGATAGTTGGATGAGACCTAAAAACAAGCGCCTAGCTCCTACGACACAAGAACTCCTCGTCGTGGTCACGCCGACCCTCAGCAGGACGAGCACACTTGTTGAACAAGAACCCCTCAATGTTCGACAGGTCTCTTGTTGTCGTTGCGCATGAACAGGCTGGAGGGTAGGTGAATATGCTTATGCTCCTAGAGAACACTGGACCTTCTGGATAAAGAACAAGTAAAGAATCATCTTCAGGAATGAATCTCGCACGACAAGAGAGTCTCTGTCGTCTGTCCCGCGATTCTTCTACTTAATATTAGCGCCTCTCTTTGCAGTAAACGTGTTCCAGGAGGAGCTTGATGCCCAGGCCCACGTTATTGATTTTGTTGACGGACGTCTACAACGTCGGAGGTTCAAATTTCACAATGTTTGCTCGACGTCGACGTCCTCGTGGGTCTGGTTTAATGTTTGCGTTTCTTTCTTCAACTGAACGAAAGATGAAGATGAGCCAGAATCTTGGCGATGGATCAATTAAAATTAATACTAGAAACAAAAAATCAAATTCAAATGCCGCTTTTTTCGATGCACAAAGCGGGAAAAGGAAAAGGGACCTACTTTTTGGAAAATTTATTTGGATACAGCACCAAACAAAAAAAAGAAATAAATAAAGTGTGCGATGCTCATGAAACGGAAAAATGCGTTGAAATTGAAAATGACCATTCGGCTTGCTCCGGGTTTCATCTACTCGACTAGCAGGGACACGGCCTGCAGCACGACGTCGATTGATCGGAGTCGTGCCAATATGCCATGATGCACAACTTCAAGGTGGTCGTGTAGTTGTGGCGTCGACATAGTATTGCTATTGCTCGAGGTCGCCTAGATCATAGCAAGGTCGTCGCTGACCCTGGAGACGTCCACTTGGGGCCCTGAACAGAATCTCCTGGCAGCGGCGATGATTCCTCGTGGCGAGGACCGCGATAAGTACTTGTTTCTCATCCTCCGTGGGACCGCCCCCGCCGCACAATAAATAAGGCTCAGTTGAAACCCGAAAGAACCACTCAGGAGCACCTTCTTTTCTTGTGTTCTCCTTTTTTTTGTCGGACTTCCGGTCGCCTGCGGATGCAGGAAGATGATACAACACCAAGTTGCGCGCGAGGAGAGACCGGTCGGCAGGAGGATCCCTCGGGAAGTAAGGACGACGTGGCCCTCAACGTCTACGACTTCTGGAGCACCTTACCCGCTGCGGCGAGCATCATGCAGGGAAATTATGGAGTTTTTTTCTCGGAAACTCTCTCTTCGTCTTCCTCTGCACATCGTCTAGGAGCACGAGGAGCCGAACCTCCGCCACGACGAAAGAACGCATCCGGTTCTAGAAGTACTTGCTGGCCCTCATACTTTCCGTCAACCTCACGAGAACAGTACAGAAAACAAATATTTTTTTTCGGTGAAAAATATTGCAAGAGTCGACGTACTAGAGGCGGTGGCCGACGTCGGGTCGTCGACTTGTTCCCTCCGCGCCGCCGGACAGATGACCTTTTGCATCATCAACATCCGCGAATAAAGGCTTCTTTGGTTGTTGAGGTTGTGCCGCCGTCCGACCGCCAGCCAGGCCGACGAGTCGGCGCCGACCATTTCAGGAGTAAAACGTTTCTCCCACCTCGCCCAGCCAAAAGCACCAAAAGGAGGGCCACTGGTACCAACGTGAAGATGAGCTTGTGCAGCCTGATGTGCTACTACCTCTTTTCGACGCAACTTCTCGCCGTACTTGCGGTGGTTTGTAGTTGGGTACTTGCCCAGTTCGGTGGACTGGTACTACAATCGGAAGTAGCAGGACCTGTGGGAACGACCACGACGACCTTGCCAAGTTCGACGACGTCCTGTGGGCAGGAGCTACAGATGAAGACCAGCAGCCGCAGCATCTTCCCCAGGCAGAGTAGCAGATGCAAGCTCTACTACAAGTCCACTACATCTGTAGTGTCAGAACCGCCGTCGACGTCGCCGTCCCGAGAATCTAGTCTCTTTGTCTCCGCCTTTTCCCCCACGACTCTTACACAAAGCGCCCGGCGAAACGAGCAAAGCGCCCGGCGGAAAGACAAGAAAGGAAGTAGAACAAGATCAACAGAAGTCGACCGCTCGAAGTTGTCCTCTTCTTCATCTGCAGCTAATAAAGTAATGAAAAGAACCAGTCGAGCAGCAGCAGGAGCGGAAGCGCAAGCAGGCGAGAAGGTGAAGACGAAGAAGCACCGGGGGCACACGACCACATCAAGCACAACTTCACTGAGTAAAAAGAAAATGAGGAGGAAAAGCACGACGAAGCAAAAAGTCAAAATCGGTGCGGAACAGCAGGAACAGCGTGGAGGTCAACAACAAGAACATGCGAAGAGCTCCAAGACCGCCGCGTCTTCATCCGCCGGCAGGAGCGTCGTGTCTGCAACGTCTACTGCAGTGAGCGCGATGAATAAATATGGAGTTCTCAAATGTTACATTCTCAACTGTTACATGAATTTGTAATGCAAGAACGGCAAAAGTGAAAGGGGGAAGATTGCTCCTTTTGCATTACAAATTCCGCACAAATTTACATGCTGTTTAGCCCTCCGGGGATTTGTCATGCGTAGCCGCTTGATCATCTGGCGGCTCCAGGTAGTTTTGCATGACGAATCCATGTAACAGTTGAGAATGTAACATTTGAGAGCGCCATAATAAAGCAAGAATCCATGCAGCCGAGGAAGGCGAGGGCCAAGAACAACAAGAACAACAAGAAGGGAAATCGACCTCCGAAATAAAGAAAGAGGAAAGCGCCGCATCAAGAACTTCTGCGGGCACGTCTGCTGGAGGTGGTGCCCGGCGCTTGCAGTTCCGCGTGGAAAAGACCGCAGCCAAAAGGAGGCAGGCAGCGGAGGAGGCCTGTAAGATGGATTACTTTTGCGGTGAGCGGTATGGACTTGTCAGGATCGAAATCGACAAAGTTGAAAACATTTGCGATGCATAAAACTGATACCCGTTCTTTGAAGCCCAATTTCGAAGGAGCGCATGTTGACAATAAAGTTCGGAATCACGTAAATCCAGTCTGTCATGTTCTCTAGGAAAAGAAGGCATCTCCATCTTTTGTCATGCTACTTATGCAGCTCTTGCTCTATCCCAAACCGAAACCCGACACAGGCTTACTTACAGTCGGCTTCACTCGCAAAAATCCCTGCAAGACAGTCACGTCTTGCCTCTCCTTTTATGCAGCATCTCACCGATTTTTCTTTCAACTTTGTCGATTGCGATCCCGACGGTTCCATAAGCAGAGAGACGAAGATTGGCTCAAGGCCTCCTTTATCCTGTGCAAAAGTATCGTACTCGTACTAATTGCAATCATGCATGACAAATCTTGCTTCTTAGCGAAATCAGCATTACAAATTCGATTTTTCCTTCTGGAGAAATTTGTATAGCGATTTAATATACTAGTACGATACTTTTGCAATGCATATCCTTTTCCGAAAAGTTGCGAAAGAGCTCGGCCGACCTTGCGCAGGCGGAGTGGCGGGCCTCGGAAGACGAAAGGAAGTTAAAAGACGAGGAGGCTCAGGACCGTAAGGCGCAGGAAGAAGGCAGCAAGGAGAAGACGCGGCAGGAGGAGAGCACAGCGCTGGCGCTGAAGTATGACCTGCAAAAGTATCGTATTTTTCGTATAAATGCATTTTTACATTTACAAATTTCTTCAGCATGTTGAGAAATAAAATTTGTAAATGCGGATTTACGATAAGGGAAAAGATTTGCAATGCATGATTGCAATTACCACGAGTGCGATACATTTGCACAGCATATGAAGAGCCGGGTGCAGATGCTCGTCTCTGAGGACGAGAAGAAGATGCTGGAGACGGCTATGACCTGGTGATCACATGTTACAATCTCAAACCTAGTTGCATATAGAGTCTGGCCTTTGTCTTGCGTAAGTAATCAGCATGACAGACACATAGAGTGTTGGTGTTCCGCTTTTTGCAATACAAATTTCATCGCCAGATATTTATTCAAATGGGGTTCTTTGGAGCTCCGGAACTTGTCATGCGCATCACTCCACCTCCTGTGAGAGTAATCTAAACCTCCATGATGCACTTTCTGCATCACAAATTTCTCCGTTTCTATTCGTAACGCTTGAGTAGATTGTAAAAACACCTGGAGAGCTTATAACGGTCGGACAGCGCAAGGCGGAGCTCCAGGCGGCGACCGAGCGATATGGCGTTCTCAACTGTTCCATTCTCAACTGTTACATGAAATGCGTGACGCAAGAATGGCAAAAGTGAAAGGAAGGACCTCGCACGTCTTGCATGACAGATTTGGCACAGATTCTCAGCCTGTTTGACCGTCTGAGAATTTGCCATGCGAAGGAGCTTGATGGCGTCGATAGCCAAGGTGATTTCGCATGACAAATCATGCAACAGTTGAGAGCGTAGCAGTTAAGAGCGCCATAAGCGAGCCACCGCGATCCGGCAGTGGTCGGATCACGTGATATCAACTGCAAAAATGTCTGGGTCTGGAAGAATCCGAACTTGTGATGCTGCATTTGGATTCCAAAAAAAACCTGTATTGCATAAGCAGCAAAGGGAATGCAATTTTTGCTACGCGGAGAGGGAATTTGTCATGCGGAATAGGCAACATCGCGAAGCCCTCAAAAAGTCTGTGATGCTAGAGCATGCATCACAGACATTATGGCCCACGCAGAACGTGCATGACAAGTCTCAGAATCTTCCAGACCCAGACATTTTTGTATTTCATATGTGACGCTGGTGAGCAAGATGAAAGAATCGAAGAAGGAGATCGCGGTCTTTAAGGCAAAGCTGTTTGCGCACCACAAACGACAGAAGAGGCTGCCGCTCTCGGGCACGGCCACGCAGAGCAGCACTATCAAATGTAAAAGTGTCTGGGTCTGGAAGATTGCGAGATTTGTCATGCAGATTTTCCATGACCCATGCGGTCTGGAATGCAGGGCCGAGCATGCCAGAGTCTGTGAGGTCTCTGCCATGCCTATCCCGCATGAGAAACTACCTTCCAACTTGGTCGAAAATGGACAGCTTTTGGCACTCATGCAACACAGATTTTTGCATTATTCGGACCAGCCATGCTCCGGCTAACGCCGGAGCGCAAGGCTGTTGTGGCGGGGCAGGACAATGCGCGGGCTGGACCGCAGCGCCGGAGCTTTGGGCACAGCGCAACTACAGACCGAGGGAGCTACTGGCTCGGTTTTCGCCATGTCAACCCGCAGGGCCTCCTGCGCGCTTCCCGCGCCTGCAGGGGCTATGCGCAGAGAGCAGCTGCAGCGAAGCTTGGGGGCGAAGAGAAGCTGACTCGACATGCATAGGCGCCGAAGGAAGCAATACGGGGGCCGCGCTGCCCTTTTTTGATCACCCACACGCCCCCGCCCTATTTGCTTCCCGGCGGAAATCGTTGGCGCGAGAGGGTAGCGCGAGAGGGTCGCGCGAGAGGGTGGCGCGAGAGGGTAGCGCGAGAAGGTAGCGCGAAAGGGTGTGGGCCTGCGCGATGAAAAGGCCCAAACAACACCGGTCGCGTGCCGGGGGGATTCGGGTTTTTTTGACCCTCTCGCAGACCCTCTTTTTCACCTCTCCCGAGGAGAGTGTGACGCTGTGCGACCCGCTTTTTTACAGATTCCGCTCGTGGAAACGCAATTCCCAGAAATGCAAACCTGGGAGCGTTAGCTCGTGTTTCGCGGTACTCCAAACCGCGTTTTTGCCATCTTAATCGCCCGATTCCGCTCGGGGAAAGGCACAGCAAAAAAGTTGGGTTATTTTTTGCTTTTTTTCGCACTTTTCAACTGTTTTCGTGCCTGTTAGCTCCTGTTTCGCGGTACTCCGCGCCGCGTACTTTCCGGCCTACTTGTCGGCCTTTTCGGCCGATTCCGCTCGGGGAAAGGTGCGGCCCGGCCGGCGCCTTTGCTTGGGACCTCTCCGTCTTGCCGCCGGCGCTTTTTCACGTACGGAAAATACGTGAGCGATTCCGTGACTCGGAAAAACGTGGCGGAGTCCGCTCGCGTTTCGCGTTGGCAAGGCCCGCGGGGGCAAATTCCGTGAATTGCCGCCGCGGTGGTGGAGTCCGCTCCTGTTTCGCGTTCACTTACTGCCGTTTACGTAAAACGCCCAAAATTCCGTGATTCGGAAAAACGTGGCGGAGTCCGCCCGTGATTCGCGCTGCCAAGGCCTGCGCGGCCAAATTCAGGGAAGTGCCGCCGCAAGCCTTGGACTCCGCTCCTGTTTCGCGCCCATTTCGTGCGGTTTCCTTGAAACGTCACGAATTAAGTGACTCGAAAAAAGGCGGCGGAGTCCGCTCGTGTTTGGTGTCCCGGCTTGTTGTGGAACGCTTTCAATCCGGGCGGTGTGGTGGCCCGCCGCGTCCGTTGTGTGCCGTCAGCCGGCCGATGGCTCGCAAATTTGCCGCCTAAAAGGCTGCCGATTTTTTTCTAATATTGTGGGGCCCACATTGTTCCGGCTTGTGGCCCTCCTTTTTTCTTTTCGTCGTGGCCCCACGAGTCTGGGGCCCCAAGGGTTCTAGAGGTAGCCCGGGCAAGGGTTTTTTCGTCGGTAGTTTTTGCAGGTTTTGGAAATTGGGGCGCTGGGGATTTTTTTTAATTTTTTTGGCGAAGATTGCCCGCCCCAGTGTCTGCAGGGCCCGTGGCGCATCGGGGCCCGGGGTTTCCAAGGTTTGCGCCCCTGCGATTTTAGTTTTTGCCCCAGAGGGAAACGGCGCGAGTGTTTTCCATTTGTCTCGGGCCGCATATCAATGGCCCCGGCCCGCCCGGCCGAGGTTTATGAGGGGCGCAGAGGTGGGGTTGGGGGGGGCTAATTTGGGGTCTAATTTCGCGTCTAGTTTGTTTCTAATTCAAGCATAGGGAATGCGAAAGGGTTTGCAATGAAAAAAATTAGCCGTGATTTAGCCAGGAACTTAGGCGCGAAGTTAGTCGCCTGCCTTAGCATCGACTTAGGCAAGGAATTAGTCGGGGCAAGAGGTGCCCCGCCCGGTCTGTTTCCGGCTAGGTGGTTGCTGTTGATCATTTCGCCGGGTGGTTTCCCGGTTTTTTGTGTGGGCGAATTGCCGCCCCCCCTAATCTTGCACATCGCGCCTGGCCTCCCCTCGGGGTCGCCTCCCTTCTGGGCCGTTTTCTCTCTGGATGGGAGGAGCCCCAGGGCGCTAGGTATTTGGCCGCGAAGTTCTTGGCCCCGTTCGTTTTTGGTGTCCCGCCCCCCATGATTTTTGCCCGGTGGTCTTCGGGTTGGGTGTTGTCTTTGGCGGCATTGCCGCCACTTTCTTTCTTTGTTTTCCTTCGCGACATTAGAAAAAATATAGCAAGTTTTAAGCCTCGGAGAATGCCCGGGGCCGGCTGCCTGAGTGCCGGCTGAAAGCAAGGGAAGCGCGCCACGCCGTGGCGTTTGGGCGCGGAACGCTCCCAATCTGGGCGGCGTGGTGGTGGTCTTTCGTTGGTTTAGTTGTAAAGAGGCAAAAAGACAAGGAAACGCAGCGCGCCGGGGCGCTTGGGCGCGGATCTTTGGAGCAGTTTGGTCCAACCGCGGCCGGCGACGTGGTGAATGTCCCTTCTCCTTCCCCCCCTGCAACGAAGGCCCTCCGATGCCGTCCCTGAATCCCTTCCCGTCCCTAAATCTGCTTCCGTCCCTGAATCTGCTTCCTGTCCCTGAATCGCTTCCCGTCCCTGAATCTGCTTCCGTCCCTGAATAGCTTCCCGTCCCTGAATCTGCTTTCGTCCCTGCATCCCTTTCCGTTCCTGAGTCCCTTCCTGTCCCTGAATCCCTTGCCATTCCTGAATCCCTCCCCCGCCCCTGAATCCGTCGCGATTCTGGGCCCCTGTCGCCCCGTGTTAAGCGCTGTTCTTGCGCCCGCCTTCCTTTGTGATTCCTTCTCGTCTTTTTCCCGCTGTCCAGGTGGCCGCGTACCTGCGGGCCTCGCTGCGGCACGCTTTTAATCCGGGCGGTGTGGTGAGCACTCCTACCCTCCGAGGGGGTATCGCGGCAAAAGGAGGCGCAACCGACGGCCAGGCCTCGCGTCGGCACGCTTTGAATCAGGGCGGTGGGGTGCGGTGAGCGCCCCTGTTGCCCAACGGTATGCGCCGCGGCAGTAAGAGGCGCCGCATACCCTTGGGCGTGGGCGTGGCACGCGTAGCGGCGTCGCAATAGGGCGGCAGGGGCTCCTGCAGCATGACGCCGGTCCTTGGCGCGGCATGTTTTGAACCTCAGCGGCGTGGTTGATCCCCTGCCGTTCTCTTGCCCTCGAGCCAAGGATTTAGCTCTTTCCCTGCTGCCGTCGCTGAAAGCACCGCGCCCCTGTGTGTTGCCGTCCCTGAATCCGTCTCCTCTCGTCCTCGGGTCTTTCGTTGCATCCTGTGGCGGCTGGCTGAGGAACGGAAAGAAAGGGACCCAGGGAGGGAAGGGCATTCAGGGGCGGCCATGGATTCAGGGACGGGAAGGACCGCGAGCCCGCGGCGGCACTGGGCGGAGGAAGGGGAGGAAGTAAGGGCAGGAACCCCACCACGCCGCCCAGATTGAGAGCGTGCGTTCCGCGCCGGGCCAGGTAGAAAACGGCGGCCCGCTTCGGCGCGGCGCCCCCACAGAAAACACAACTCCACCACGCCGCCCAGGTTGAGAGCGTTCCGCGCCCAAGCCCGGCGGTATACTGCGCCCCCGGTCGGCGCGCCGCCCCCGCACACGGCACAACTCCACCACGCCGCCCAGATTGAGAGCGTTCCGCGCCGCGGCAGGTAGAATACAGCGCTCCGCTTCGGCGCGGCGCCCCCACAGAAAACACAACTCCACCACGCCGCCCAGATTGAGAGCGTTCCGCGCCCAAGCCCGGCGGTATACTGCGCCCCCGGTAGGCGCGCCGCCCCCACAGGCAACACAACAAACTCCACCACGCCGCCCAGGTTGAGAGCGTTCCGCGCCGATAGCAGCCCCTGGAGAAGCGACGCCTCTAGGGGCTCAGGGGGACGGATTCAGGAACGGAAAGGAAGGGACTCAGGGAGGGAAGGGTATTCAGGGGCGGCCAGGGATTCAGGGACGGGAAGGACCTCGAGCCAGCGGCGGCACTGGGCGGAGGAAGGGGAGGAAGTAAGGGCAGGAACTCCACCACGCCGCCCAGATTGAGAGCGTTCCGCGCCGTGGCAGGTAGAGTACAGCGCTCCGCTTCGGCGCGGCGCCCCCACAGAAAACACAACTCCACCACGCCGCCCAGATTGAGACCGTTCCGCGCCCAAGCCCGGCGGTATACTGCGCCCCCGGTAGGCGCGCCGCCCCCGAACACGGCACAACTCCACCACGCCGCCCAGATTGAGAGCGTTCCGCGCCATAGGACCGGCAGAAAGCAGCCCCTGGAGAAGCGGTGCCTCTAGGGGCTCAGGGGGACGGATTCAGGAACGGAAAAGGATTCGGAGGCGGGGCAACATCTAGAAACGGGCCGGGATTCAGGGACGGAAAGGAAGGGACCCAGGGAGAGAAGGGTATTCCGGGGCGACCATGGATTCAGGGACGGGAAGGACCTCGAGCCCGCGGCGGCACTGGGCGGGGGAAGGCGGGAAAATAAGGGCAGGAACTCCACCACGCCGCCCAGATTGAGAGCGTTCCGCGCCCAAGCCCGGCGCCCCCCGCACGCGGCACAACCCCACCACCCCGCCCAGATTGAGAGCGTGCCGCCCCCAAGCCCGGCGGTATACCGCGCCAGCGGTAGGCGCGGCGGCCCCACACACGGCACAACCCCACCACACCGCCCAGATTAGGAGCGTTCCGCCCCTAAGCCCGGCGCCCCCCGCACGCGGCACAACTCCACCACCCCGCCCAGATTGAGACCGTGCTGCAGGCCCGACACGGGGAAAGCAAGACCGGGCCCCCCCTGCGAACGCAACCCAGGAAGACCCGGGCCCCCCGTGCGCGCCTAGCCGGTACCCTCGGAGGACGGACCGGGAACCCCCTTGCGGGCGCAACCGCTTCTCCCCCCGGGAAGACCGGGGCCCCCCTAAGCGAGCACCACCTTCCCCCGAAAAAGACCGGGGCCCCCCCTGCGGGAATCACCGCCCCCCGAGGAAAAACCGGGGCCCCCCTTGCGGGAACCACCGTCCCCCGAGGAAAAACCGGGGCCCCCCAAGCGAGCACCACCCCCCGGGAAGACCGGGGCCCCCCTCGCGTCCATTGAGATTTTTTTCACCTTCTCGCGAAACGCGAGCTGTCTACGAACGCGTTCAAAAAGTTCAAAAAGTTTCGTCCACCGTAGCATGCGGATTCGCGAAAGTGGGTCGCACAGCGTCAGGGTCTCCTCCCGAGAGGTGCTGCTAATAGTCCAGCTATACTCGCCAGTAGAGGTCTACAGAGGTGGCCGAGAGGTGGCCAGGAGGGTGCGCGAGAGGTTCGCCCTTATTCGCGCAACCTCTCGGCACCTCTGTCCCCCTCTCGCCTACCCTCTCGGGACTCTCTCGGCCACCTCCGGGCCCCATAGGCGCGGCTTTAGGGTGAACGGTTCGGCTGGCTATACCCGCGCCACCTCTCGGCCACCCTCCCGAACGACCTCCCGCGCCACCTCTCCACCTCTGTCGACCTCTTTTTGACCTCTGTTGACCTCTTTTTGACCTCTCGGCCACCTCCCTTCGACCCTCTGTAGACCTCTTTTTTCGCATGAATATAATAGATAGTAACTCAGCATGACAAGTTTATAATCTTCCAGACCCAGAGCCAGACATTTTTACATTTGATAAGCACCCTGCCCATGCAAAAGGGCAGCGGCACCTACTACATTATGGGATTCTCAAACGTTACATTCTCAACTGTTACATGGATTTGCCATGCAAAATTGCCATTGCCCTCCACTTGATCAAGCTGCTTAGCATGACAAATTTTCGAAGGGCTAAGCAGTATGATACTCTGTAGAAAATCTGTGATGCGAAAGTTGCAACGTTGCCACTTTCACTGTTGCTGTTCTTGCATATACAAATCCATGTAACAGTTGAGAATGTAACATTTGAGAACGCCATATACATTGATGCCAGCTTTGGCGCCGCCAAGGGGATCGACGAAAAAACGCAGATGGCCAAGCCAGAAACCGATGTTGAGGAGCTGCAGTATGGGTGGATTCTCGAACGTTGCACTCATCTCAACTGTATACATGAATTGTCATGCAAAACTAGCAACAACATCCACACGATCATGAAGCTGGGGATCCTTGACCTGTGGCGCAGGGAGCGGGTGTCCACTACGTGATAATGATGATGATGTTGAAGCTACTTCGCATGACAAGTTTCTGAACGGTGAAAGAAGCCGAGTTTGTAATGTTGCCAGTAGAGGTGCAACAGACCACACTCCGTCCTTTCACTTTTTGCTTATAATTCTTGCGTCGCAAATTCATGCATACAGATGTTGACTGCAATGCTTGAGAATCCCATACACAGCCGGGCTATTTCTCCATTAGGGCGGAAAAATCGGCAAATCGCATCATTTTTGCCAGCGCACTTATTGGGGGGGTAAAAAAAGTTTTTTTGTTGGGGGCGCAACATCTTGGAAGCCGACACGCCTCGCATGTCACTTGATCTTTTCCACAGGAAACATGGTAGCTGAGCTTTGGAAATGTCGCAACACCAAGACCAGAAGCATGCCACAACTCCTTCGCTCTGTGCGTTGTCGTCCAGATGGCCGGGCGCTGTGTCGTGGGCCCGCTCTTCGAACAGTGGCCGGGCCGCCTCCGTGACCGGGGCTCGACGAGGCCCGTCGCCCGGAAAAGAAGGCCCGGCAAGGGGGGTGGTCAGGGGGGGGCATTTTTGCCCCCTTCGGACACCCCTTCCGGGTACCCCCTCCGGGTACCCCCTCCGGGTACCCTTTCGGTAGCCTATGCCGACCCCCAAATCCCCATTGGAAACTGCTGATTTGGCAGGTCCCAAAATGGTAGCCCAACGGTAGCCCAAGCGGACCCCCTTACCCCCCCCCTTCGGCACCCCCCCCGGAAGCACTTGATTGTTGGCGCGTCCGCATTTTCAACGTCCGGCCGCAGAGGGGAGACGAGAAGATGTCTGGGCGCGTACGGAATTGGATGCGGGAGAGGGGGCGCGGCTTCCCGCGCCGGAGAGCCGCAGGCCTGTGCAACTTCAACAAAGTACTGCGGTTCTATTGGAAAAAGGGGAGGGTCGGATGGCGGACCGTGACAACGAAGAGTGGCGCCAGCGGCTACATGGCCAACAGGAAAAAAAGCAGTGCTGATACCCCCAACAGCCACAATTTTTTTGCCCCCCCAAAAAGTGCGCTGTCAAAAATGATGCGATTTGCCGATTTTTCCGCCCTAACTCCACGGAGTACCCCTACTTGGATGGGGCCTTGTTCTCGGGAAGTCCGTTTTCTCAGACCAGCATGCCCCGGGCGTGGTGGCAGCTGGAGCTTCAGTCTTTTCCGATGATTGTGGTGGAGGTGATCCTGGTATTCCCTGGGAATTAACCATCCCCATGATCCACTTTATTTTGCATGACACGCGCAGAGTTTGATGCTACATGTTTTGCATGACAAACTGGATGGGGATCGTTAATAATCTTCACGGCATACCTGGTCACGCTGAGTCCCAAGGCCTGCGGCGTCGCCTCCCTGTTCACATGGACCGATCTGAGTGAGTGTCGCAGCGCGGCCGGAGGCGAGAAGAGCGAAACGATCGCGACAGACCCTCTGGTATGAAATCGACAAAAGCATCGTGCAGCTACTTAGTAGAAATCGCATGACAAATACTTCCCTGAGCATGAAAAATGAAATTTGTAGTGCGGGTATAGGTTGAGAAGGAGATTTGTAATGCATGATAACGATGACTACGAGCACGATAGTACAACTATCGCAGTGCATATCTGGAAGATCTTGCGGACGTGGACGTCCCAGACCAGCTAGACGACGCTATGGAACTCTCAAACGTTACATTCTCAACTGTTACAGGATTTGTCATGCAAAATGAGCATCAGCATCCACAGCACGGCGAAGCTGCTTCGCATGACAAATTTTGCATCAAGGGCTAAACAGCATAGAAGAAATCTGTGCCCCCGCATTTGTGTAATGCAAGACGTGCTGCAAGCTCCGGCCTTGCTTTTTTCTTTTTGCTGACATTCTTGCATTACAAATTCATGTAAACTACGGTTGAGAATGTAACAATTGGGAATCCCATAGACGCCTACCTCGTCGTGGGCGTGAAGACCGACGTCGACTTCGATGCCCCAGGGAAAGGCGGGGGACCCTGCCAGGCGTTTGCGGCCGGCGGCTGGAAGGCAAACGCGTGTGGCCTCCCGTATGACAGTGCACAACTCCCCTTCCCCCTCATTTGTCATGCAAAATACCCAATCCGCCCTGTGCCTCTTGACACTGTTTGCATGGCAAGTTGTGGTAGCCCAAATTATAGCACTATGTATACTCCAGTGCAAATTTGTCATGCAAAACCGGCATTCTTGCTAATGCTTGCGTTGCCGTGCATGCTATACAAATGAGGGGGAGGGGGAGTTGTGCACTGTCATATGCCGCACCCGCAAGACATTCGCGACGACGAGAGCACGCGGACCACGTTTATTGTGAGGAAAAATGTCCCCACGCCATAGTCAAGATGCGCAATCTGCAACACAAACCCGGGAGTTTTGGGAGTCACGCATGACAAGTTCCCCTCTGTATTGTAGTGCAGTTTCGCAAGGACAGCCGCATCACAAAGCCAGCTCCTCATCCTATTTTCAGCATCACAAATTCCAAAACACGACTGGAAAAAATGGCTCTCATGGGGATGCGCATTTTTACAAGTCTTCCTGTTTTTCTCTTATTTGCAAGAAATCAGAATTACAACTCTTTGGTGGGGACGTTTTTGCTCAGGATAACGCTCCGAAGCGAATTTCTCCAGGACACGAACGTGGGAGTATCAAATGTAAAAATGTCTGGGTCTGGAAGAATGCAAGTTTGTCATGCTTGTCTGGCATGACTCCTAAATCTGTCATGCACATTCCCAAAGAGCCCCACTTTTCTGTCATGCAGAAACGTAGTGTGTCATGCAGAATAGGCAACACCTAGAAGCTCAGAGACTTGTCATGCTGAGCCAGCAATTGTCGCCTCCTCATGATACGCCACACAGCATCACAAGTTTCCAGACCCAGACATTTTTACATTTGATAGGGAGAGTGGGACAACCAAACAACCTGGAATAACAACGAGCTCCCGACAATGAAGGGCAAGTACATATGGCGCTCTCAAACGTTACACTCTGAAATTTATTTACATGAATTTGTGATGCAAGACTAGCTTGCGAGTTCCGCAGTACAGAGTGTGCCATGCTGTTTAGCGCTTGCGGCGGCCGGAGGGGCGGGTACTCCTCTACTGGTACTGGTGCCGGAGGGGCGGCCGGAGGGGCGGCCGGAGGGGGATGGTGCTACTGGTACTGGTTTTGTCTGGTGTCACTTTTGGCAACTGACCACATAACGCCTGGCTGCGAATTCATGCCGCCCTATTAGGTTCTTGTTAGTGTAACGCTATTTGCCTTTCTCTCTGCTGTCTCGCACTTAACTAGCTTTCCCGGGGTCGTGGAGCTCGCCACAATCTCTCTCGCTGTCCTCGAGCGCAGTTTGCTGCCACGTTTATGGTTCTTGCCATCTCCACGAAGGGGAGTTTCAATTTCGGTTGGGGAGGATTGCCCATGCTGCTTGGATTCATTTGGGTTTGTCCTGAGGATTTGGCTAGCGTTCCGCTCCTGGAGGGAGCCAGGTTTTGCTTGACGTGGGGGTGGCCGACTACCTCGCAGTCCTCTGCTGTTGTTGTCTGTGCTTGTGGTGGATAAGGCACTCCCTGTCGGCAGGGTGCTGCCGCCGACACCTCGCCACCGCGTTCCGCGGGGTTTGCTGGACTTGCTTCCCTAGATGGGGAAATAGGAGGTTCCGGGAGGGGACTGGTACGTAGCGCGTCTATACTCAAGGCCGGGAGATGGTGACGCCTTGCCGCCACATTGGACTATGTCTTGCTTACGTAGAGGGCGGCTTCGTCTTTGGCGTTTTCTCTCAGAGCGTGCTAGGAGGGGGGGACGTTTCCGGGCTTCGGGCTTGTTCCGGGGGTTTCTCTTCGGGGCCACGACGTTGTCACTGCGACCTTTGGTTTTAGCTTTCTCTGGCGAGGAGGTGGCGCTCGGTGATTTTTGACCCGGATGGTCGGGCCGGCAACTCTTTGCTATGCGGAGGCTTGTGCTTCCGGGTTCTCCTTCAGACGGTGGTTTTCGCTGGCGCTCTTTTCTTGTCTACTGCGGACTCGGTGCTGGAGAGCAGGGTTTTACTTCCTTGTATGGGTTTTCGTTTCTTCCCACGCTCCCTCGCTTGTTTCTGTCTTCGCCATGGGGGCAAGTGGGGCTGGGGCGCTGGCGCGGTTCCCCCCATTCAACCACCGGTGGTGGGGTTCTGGGGGGTCTTGCCCTGGGGGCCAGGTGGTGGTGGAGTGGGCCGCTCCCCGCTACGGAAGCTGGGCACGGCCTGCTTGACCCAGCCCCAATAGGCGCGGTCCAATGGGCCGCTTGGGTGTGTGCTCTGGATAATTCTCGGAAGGAACGCAACGAAATGCAATACATGAATTTGTGATGCAAAACTAGCTTGCGAGTTCCGCAGTACAGAGTGTGCCATGCCGTTTAGCGCTTCAAGGTTTTTTTTTCATGCCAAGTGGCTTGTTGATCTTGCTGCATTGGCTGATCGGTCTTTTGCATATAACAGATCGTGTATTTTTCGTTGAGAACGTAACGCTTGAGAGCGCCACAGTACAGCGTCTGCGGCTCGAAGCGCGCGGAGTATGAAAGCCTCAGGTTGAAAATCCTCAAAGTGGAAATAATTTGTGATGCAAAAAAACGCCTCCAGCTGAAGCGGCATTTGTAGTCGTCGCATGACAAATTTCCCGGGCACTTAAAACGTGTCTGTCATGCAGGCTGAGGCAAAGAGGTGCCCTTCTGTCGTGCTAAGCAGCACTCCAATTCTTCAACCTTAGCAGGATAATAGTCGGCCTCCATTGCGTCCTCTGCAATACAGTCTTTTTTGCGTCGCATTTCATGCATCACAAATCATTTCCACTTTGAGGATTTCCATTCTGAGGCTTTCATACGGAGGGGTACTCGATGCCAGGCCTGGATATAAAGAACCAGGACCATCTGGTCACTATCAAGTGCAAGTATGTCTGGGTCTGGAAGAGTGCAACTTGTGATGCCGTCTTTGGATTCCAAAAAAATCTGCATTGCGTGAGCAGCAAGAGGGGTCCAGTTTTTGCTGCGAAGAGAGGCCATTTCTCATGCGGGATAGGCATCAAGGCGTCCCCAAAACGTCTGTGATGGTCCTCGGGCATGCATCACAGACATCATGGGTCATGCAAAATGTGCATGGCAAACGTTGGATATTTCCAGACCAAGACTAACTATTTGCAGTGGACAGTCACGTGGGCAAAACAGGACGAGGAGAAAAGGGAGGCCGAAGCTAAGGACGAAGTGTACGACGAGCCCTACGAGAAGCTGCTGGAGACGCGAAACCCGGACGAGGCAAATGGGGGGGACGAGTACTACCGCATCCGCGTGGACTGCTACGCAGTATGGATGTGTCAGAGTTGAAATCGACAAAGTTGAAATGATTTGCCATGCATAAAATGCGACGCAAAGACTGACTCTATTGCTGAAGGCGCAAGGGAGGCAGATTCTAGTGCTGGTAAGGGTCAAGAATTGGGCTGCTTAGTAGCATGACAGGGAGCAGCCATCTTGCCCTAAACAGCATGACAGACTTGCTTCAGAGGCCAGGAAAATTTGTCATGCGCCGATTGGAAACTGTGGGTGTCTAACTGGTATAGATTTTACGCATCACAAATTATTTCAACTTTGTTAATTTCAATCCTGACAGTTCATACGCAGCCTTGGGCAAGTACGTCTTCATCGAGTTGCCGCACGGGAAGACGGAGCGGCAGGTTGTCCGGGAGAACCAAGACACCCTGGTAAATATGGAAGCGTCAGGTTTGAAATCGTCAAAGTTGAAATGATTTGCCATGCATAAAATAAATGCAAGGCATGAAGTGCCTGTCTTGCCGGGATGGCAAAGGAGGCTGACAACTGTCAGCCTGTTTAGTGTTTGAAACAGAGCTGCTAAAGTAGCATGACAAAAGCAGGCGTCTGTACCCAAACAGCATGACAAAATGGAATCCGGTGCTGGGAAAATTTGTCATGCGCCGCTTGAAAATTGGGCTTCCAACTGCCATCGATTTCATGCATTACAAGTTACCAGCCATGCTCCGGCTAACGCCGGAGCGCAAGGCTGTTGTGCTGGGGTTTGACTATTTGCGGATCGGGCCGCGACACAAAAGCTTTGGGCACAGCGTGACGGACCGAGGAAACTTTGAGCGCCATTTTGCGCGAGGTCAACTCGCAGGGCCTCCTGCGCGCTTCCCGCGCCTTTAGGCCCTATGCGCAGGGGGCAGCTGCAGTAAACCTTGCGGGCGAATAGATGGCGCCCCGGCGTAGGTGCGTGCCGAAAGAATCAGACAGAGGCCGGCGCTGCTCTTTGTTCATCACCACCCCGCGCCTGCCCACCTGATTCCCCGGGGAAGTAAAACTGTTTGCGCGAGAGGGTGGCGCAAGAGGGTGGCGCGAGAGGGTGCGCGAGAGGGTGGCGCGAGAGGGTTCGGGCTTTTGCATGAAAGGGCCGCAACAAAATCAGCCCTGTGCCGGGCGGGTTCGGGTTTTTTTACCCCTCTCGCAGAGCCTCTTTTTCACCTCTTCCGAGAGGTGTTGCTAATAATCCGGCTATACTCACCGGTAGAGGTCTACAAAGGTGGCCGAGAGGTAGCCCAGAGGGTGCGCGAGAGGTCTCCCCTTATTCGCGCAACCTCCCGGCACCTCTGTCCACCTCTCGCTTGCCCTCTTTTTTACCTCTCGGCCACCTCCGTGCCGCTTAGCGGCCCTAAAGGGTGACCGGTTCGGCGGGCTATACTCGCGCCCCCTCTCGGCCACCCTCTCGAATTACCTCCCGCGCCACCTCTCCACCTCTGTCGACCTCTTTTGACCTCTTTTTGACCTCCCTGCCACCTCTCGTTTGCCCTCTCTAAACCAATACAAATACTTTCGCATGAATATAATAGATAGTAACTTCATTTCAACTTTGACGATTTCAATCCTGACGCTTCCATAGTAAACCCCGAGAGGATAGACCTCATGAGCTCCTCCGGTAGCGTGAACAAAAGTAGCACCGTCAGCTACTTCGGCGCGACCAACGTGGACTATGAGAGTGCACAACTCGTCCCCCTCCCCGTCATTTGTATTGCATGAACAGCAATGCAAACATCAGCACACATGGAGCCTGTGCATGACACAGAAATTCTTCATGTGCCTCGCGTAGAAGTACTGTTTGGGCACCACCTTCCGGAATCTGTCACGCAAACAGTGCCACCGGGAACAAGCACTAGAATCCCGGGTTTGGAATGACAAATTAGGCGGAGGGGGAGTGGTGCACTCTCATATGGACCTGCCGCGTGTTTTGCAGTTGCGAGAGGTCGTGGTGTACGGATCGATCTTATCCTGTGCGAAAGTATCGTACTCGACGTATTGCAATCATGCATTACAAATCTTAATCTTGATCTTAAGCAAAATCCCCATTTCAAATTTTATTTCTCACGCTGAGGAAATAATTTGTGATGCATTTATACGAGTGCGATGCTTGTTTTGCAATGCATAGAACTACGACGTGGCCACCAACGCGACCCGAGAGCAAATGATGGCGGACAAGTTTCAAAATATCAAATGTAAAAATGTCTGGGTCTGGAAGAATGCAACCTGTGATGCTGCATTTGGATTCCAAAAAAATCTGTATTGCATGAGTACCAAAGGGAGTGCAATTTTTGCTACGCTGAGAAGGCATTTGTCATGCGGAATAGGCATCAAGAAGCCTTCAAAAAATCTGTATTGCTAGGGTATGCATCACAGACATCATGGCTCATGCAAAACGTGCGCGACAAATCTCGTATTCTTCCAGACCCAGACACTTTTACATTTGATACAAAATTACACGGACCAATTCGACGAGGTGTTCCAGACAGTATGCATTGCAAATATGTTATCTGGGTCGCGAAAGATAAGAATGAGATTCGGGATGCTATTATATAAGTAACACCTGTCGATCAGACTACAAAAACCTGTAGATAGTGCAGGAGCAGCAAAAGCACTCAGATTTATTTTGCCACATGACGAAGGAGGGCACTTCATCTCATGCAGGATAAGTAGGCATGAGCAAGTCTTCGCGAAAGCTGCGAACAAGCTAGCGCATGCATGATAGGCATCTTCGCGGGCCATGGACAATTTGGATGACAAACTCTCCTCCCGATCTCCCAGCAGACCCAGACATGTCTGCAATGCATAGACAGTAAACGAGGACAATACTGTCGCACCGCCGGGGCTTTCGGCAGGGGGAGGGGGTGGCGGGACGACTTTGCTGCGCACGGACATGAGCCTGACAACTTCAACTTCCCGGACGGGCGGCCGCGCGAACAAGAGCAACCTCCGCGCGGGCGAGACAACGCAGGTGAGCGCCGCTCCTGCCGCATCGAACGGGAGCGTGATGTATTTGTGGGACCCCAACGCGCTGACACCGACGCCGCCGGAGAATAGCACCGGCGTCTACAATCAGGTATGGCATTCTCAAAGAACGTTCTTACATTCTTAATTGTTACATGAATTTGTCATGCAAAAACGCTATCACTCTTCACGCGATCAAGCCTTTTTCGCATGACAACATCTCGACGTGCTAAATAGCACTAGATTCCGTCCGAAACCTGTCATGCAAAAGGCGCAATCTTCCTCCTTTCACTTTTTCTATTTTTGCATTGCAAATTCGTATAACAGTATGAGAATGTAAAAACAGTTGAGAATCCCATATCAGGTAGGGTCCGCGTGCACCAGCGAAGAGGTCGACCTCGACGCCGAAGGGTGTGGACTGACGGGCTATGGGGCTCTCAAGCGTTACATTCTCAACGAACTGTTGCGTTATTTGTCATGCAAAATGACCATGAGCCACCAGACGACCAAGCTGCTTCGCATGGCAAATTCTCGGAGGGCTAAACAGCGTCTAAATCTGTGCCAAATCTGTCATGCAAGACGCACAAGCTCCCCCCTTTCACTCTTGCCATTCTTGCATCGCACATTCATCTAACAGCTGAGAATGTAACACTTGAGATCGCCATACGGGCCTCGCGGAACTGCATGTGCTAGAAACTTCCGTGCGTGCCATCAGCCGGAGCGACGTGGCCACAGACTATCTGTCGACCCACAAGTATCATGGGGGTTTCAGGACCGAAATCTTCGACAAAGTTGATGAAAACATAACTCGTAGTGCATAAAACAGATCATGGCAGCTGGAGTCCCTATGTATAACCGGCGCAAGAGATCAAATTTCGGTACTAGTACCTAAGACTACGAAATACACTACTGCATGCGGTTTGGGGAATGACAGGGCCCTTTGTCATGCTGCTTTAGCAGCTCTACCTCCAACCGCAAACAGGCTTACGCTTACCCTCACTTGCGTGCCCTCCAATGCAGGTACTAGTTTGGGTATTGCATTTTATGCATTTTATACAAACTTTATCGATTTCGGTCCTGACGCTTCGTTCCATAGGAGGCCGATCCACGCCTTCGACCGGAACAAGGGCGGCTTTCCGCACCTTATCCTGTGCAAAAGTATCGCACTCGTACTAATTGCAATATATGCATGACAAATATTGACCTTAACCTAAAACAGCATGACAAATTCCAGTTCTCATGCAGCTGAGGAATGCATGTATACGAGTACGATACTTTTGCAATTTATACACGCAATCAACCACAAATACGCCACGCTTTTTGAGGGTATTCCGACCGATATGAAACTGCACACCGTCCCTCCCCCTCGTTTGTATCTAGAACGGGCGGTCGCTCCGCGCCCGCCGGCCCGGCGACGAGGGGGTGCAAGGGGGAGCGAGGGGAAAAGAGTGTGGCCACCAGTGACCACCGGTAGATACTGAAACTTTCTTGGCGGGATAAGCGAAAAAGAGAAACGGCGGCACTCCCGGCCCTCCTCCCTTGGCGAGAGCGAAAGAAGCGCAGGCAGAGTCAAGGCCGCTAGGCGCGAGGGACGGTATGGGGCACAGAGCGCAGCCACTTTCCAAGCCTCCAAAAACAGGCCCGGCGGAGAGCGTGCGCAGACCTCTCGCGAAGGCTCGGAAGGATAGCCACGCGAAGCAGGACGAAAAGAGCGCGCCGACGGCCGAAAGACAAGAAATAGAAACGTGGCCATCACCAATAAAAAAAAAAGCACAGCAGGGAGGGCCGCGGCGGAAAGGCAGAGGGGCCGCTATGTATGGCTCTTGCTAGAAGCGAGAAAGACCAAAAGAAAAGAGCAAGCAGGCCCAAGTGAAAGCCAACCCACGGCCGGGGACGCGGCAAAAAGCGTTGGAAGCGAAAGAAGAAGGAGGCGGGCCGCAAAGGAACCGAAAGCACGCTGTTCAACAGTCCAAAGCAAGGACGAAACAAAGCAAAATCAGGCAGCCCCGGCGCGGCCGAAGAGCCCCCCGCTGGCGGCAGTGCGCACGCGACCAAGCCCGGCCTGCAGGGCCACAGGCGGCGGGGAAAGGCGGAAACTGACGCCAGATCCCTCGCAACAGAGGTGGAAGGGGAAGGGGCGCCAGAATGCAGAGCGACTTCAGCCTGGGGCAGCCAAACGCGAACCGCCAGGCATCTAAGCCAGGGCCAAGGGCCCAGACCACGGCAGGCAGGGCCGAAGGCCACCCGGGGGCCGGGCAGCGCGCGTTTCGGTCCCTCCGAGCGAGTTTCCCACTTTGGCGGGTTTTCTCACTAGTGTTTTCGCTTTCCCCAAAATCGGGCTTTTTGTCACTAGTGGCTCCACTAGTGGGCGCCTTCACTAGTGGCGCCTGTCACTAGTACCGCTCGCGCTTTTTTGTTACGCTAAAAACACTAGCAGGATTTCTACTAGTAGCCGTTTTTCTGCTAGCACGATTCTACTAGCAGGATTCCTACTAGTAGCTTGCAACCCCGCGTCCGCCAGAATTTTTCCAATAGTACTGCACACCGTCCCTCCCCCTCGTTTGTAGTATTGTAGGAACGACAATACAAATTAGACAAGGAAAATCAAGGAAGTTCATCAAAAATCGAACACCCCCCGGCCCGGGGCTCCCGGGAAATATAGATGATGTGTGTGGGCCCCAACCATTTCGCACTTCCCCCCTGCGGAGCCCGCCCCGCCATGCGCTGCCGCTGGCATGTGTGTCGTTTTTAGTTCTCACGCCTGCGCATGTACGAGCCGAAGCGACCCCAGCATTGGCTCTGCAGCCCTGCTCCGGTTCAAAAGTAGGCGCCTATGAAAGAACAGCCCGAAGGCGTTCGAAGGTGGCGCGCGTTTAAAATCGGCGCTATTGTGCCGAAAGCGTTCCGGGGTCCCATTTTTTGTCCTGTCGCAGCGCAGAACGCTCCCACTTTGTCACCTGAATCTGTTGCGCAACTCGAAGAATGTAGAGCAGCGACATTACGTCCACCAGCAGAACCACCCAGAGCCGCAGGAGCAAACGGGCAGCCGCCCAGTCCGTGTCCCCGCCTCGGCCCGGTTGCCGGCAGCGCCGGGCCACATGCGCTCCCGAAGGCGCTGCCCCCCTGTCGGGGTTCGCCGGTAAGGCCGGCCACGATACCAGTTGCGCGGGCCGGCGCGATGCGTTTTGCGCATGCGGCCTCCGTCCGGTAGCCGAAGACACTCCGAACGCCTCGCCCCTGTTCTGCAAAGTTTTTGGCAGATGCAAAAGCGCGCGGCCTTGTGCCCGCATTGGCTGCGAAGACGAGGCGGCCCACCGTTCTTTCTTCCAAAAGCCCGCGGCCGTGGGTGTCTTAGGACGTGCTTGCCCTGGGAATATAGCGGGCATGGGGGCAATAAAACAAAGAAGGCGAGAAGGGAAAACCGGGAGGAGCTCCTGTCCGAAGGCGAAGCCGGGGGGCCCCTCAGGGGGGTGCTCTAGGGGGGTGCTTTTTTGGGCGCGGAATTCTCCAGTTTTAGCTGGGGGAAAGGCTTCCCAAGGGGGGTGCTTTTTGGGGGTGCTTTTTTTTGCGAAAAAGGGGGCCCCTTTGGCTGCCCGGCCGGGGCCCCCGGCGGCCGCGGAAGCAGCCCTTTTCGCTTTTGGCCAAAGAGAACGCCGGCGGCCCCGGAGCCACGCCGGGGCGCGCCAGGCTGCTCCCTTCGGACCGGCCGCCGCCCCGGCCGCCAGGCAACGCTTCCGGTCGCAGCGAAGGCGGGCTCAGGGCCGCGCGCTCTTGCATCTGCCAGAAGCCTTCCAGAACTGGGGCGAGACGTTCGGGGGGCCTCCTGCCATCGGACGGAGGCCACACATGCAAAACGCACCGCATCGGGCCACGCCACTGGTATCGCGGTCGCCCCTACCGGCGATTTCCGACAGGGCCGCGGCGCTTTTGGTGACGCTTTTGCCCGGCGCTTCCGAAAGCCGGGCCGGGGCGGGGAAAGAAACGGGCTGGGCGGCTGTTGGTTTGTTCCTGGCGCTTTGGGTGGTTCTGCTGGTGAATGTGGCGGCGTTGCTCTACATTATTCGGGTTGCGCGAGCGATTCAGGTGGAAAACTGTAAGGGCTCCGCGCTGCGACAGGACAAGAAATGGGGGCCGGCAACGTTTTCGGAAAAATGCGACTCATTGTAAACGCGCACCACCTTCGAACCCCTTGCACTTGTTTTCCCATAGATGCGCGCCTTTGATTCGGAGCAGGGCTGCAGAGCCAATGCTGGGGTCGCTTCGGCTCGTACATGCGCAGGCGTGAGAACTAAAAACGACACACATGCCAGCGGCAGCGCATGGCGGGGCGGGCTCCGCAGGGGGGAAGTGCGAAATGGTTGGGGCCCACACACATCAACTATATTCCCCGGGAGCCCCGGGCCGGGGGGTGTTCGATTTTTGATGAACTTCCTTGATTTTCCTTGTCTAAACAAACGTGGGCAACCAAGAATCCCGGTTTTGCATGACAACTTTGCACAGGAGTGTAGTCAGTAGTGCTATTCTTGATTTGGGCTACCAGAACTTGTCACGCAAACGGTGCCAAGAGCCAAGAGGCAGAGGCACAGCTGCGACAGCCTTCCGCCCACCTCCCGGGAGGGGGATCCTTGACCTGTGGCGCTGGGTGCGGGTGTCCACTACATGATGATGATGACAGCCGTTGTTTGGTTTTGGTATTTCCTATTCAGCATGACAAAAGAGGCGGAGGGGGAGTTGAGCGCTCTCATAACCGAGAATCCGTGGCTCTACGCCGAGTTCACGCATTATGGAAGTGTCAGGATCGAAATCGACAAAATCGAAAAATTTGTAATGCATAAAATGTAGGACACGTATGGCCTGTGTTGGGGAGCAGGCAAATAAGACCGACTGCGAGCCTGTTTACGGGATGGCAATGCGCTGCCGAAGCAGCATGACAGGAGCAGCCTTCTTTGCCCACACAGCATGACAGGCTGGATTTTGGTGCTCCCGAAATTTGTCATGCGCCACTTGGAAACTGAGGATCCAACTGGTATCGGTTTTATGCGTCACAAATTAATCTTTCGATTTTGTTGATTTCGATCCTGACGCTTCCATACGCACGTTGCCTTCGTGGAGTATATCGATGTGTACCCCCATCTATCAAGTGCAAACATGTCTGGGTCTGGAAGATTCTGAAACCTGTCACGCACGTTTTGCGTGAGCCATGACGTCAGTGATGCATGCCCTAGCGTCACAGATTTTCTGACGGCTTCTTGATGCCTATTTTTCCGAATGACAAATGCCCTCCCCGCATAGCAAAAATTACATTCCGTCTGCTACTCATGCAATACAGATTTTATATACAGTCCAAACCTGACATGACAACTTCTAACCTTCCAGACCCAGACATATTTGCATTTGATACCATCACCAGGGTATGAACTGCAAAAGTATCGTACTCGCATAAATGCATTACAAATTTTCTCAGCATGAGAAATAAAATTTGTAATGCTGATTTACCTTAAAAGAAATATTGGTTATGCAAGGCTTGCATTTATACGAATACGATACTTTTGCACAGGATACAGGGCCAGTTTGCGTTGGTCGCGCCCGCAGTGTATACGTACCGAACTGACCTTGTATTCCCCATGAAAACTACAGATCCCCATGATCAAATACTTTTTGCATAACAAATGAAGCCAACGCTACTTCATGGTAGTAGTTTTGCATGACAAATTCATGTAACAGCTGAGAAGTGGACCACAGATGCATGCCGGCTGACCAGATGCGTGCTTGTTTTTTTGCATTCCGGCACCTGAACAACCCGAGATGGAGCGTTGGCCGATCCTCGCTCTTTTTCTTTTTGTTCCCTTTGCGTCCTGGTTTTTTTTTTTGTTGGTTGTGGATCTAGGTAGGAGCTTCAGAAGCAAGCAGAGATCAACTGGCATGCAATCCGCAGGGCTGGCGGGATCCTGTAGAACTGATTCGCTAAACGCGTGAGGAGCCAGCGCGCTTAAAAACCTAGGCCGTGAGTCTCCCAGTGGATGGCCTGCGTCTGGCTTCGCGCTGCTTTTTCCTGGTCCCAGATCCATACGCTGCTCCGCCATCTCGGCGGTTTTTATTTGCCGCCCGATCTGAAGAATCCGCGCAGCTCTAGACTTTTCCCTTCGCAGGTGCTCCGAAAGTGGGCCAGTAAGTTCCACAGAAAAGGAGCAAGGGCCTCAGGGACTGGGCGCGGACACGAGGCAGGGCGGGCAGTGGGTGTAGTGGCAACAGTGCACACAGAGAAAGAGGCCAGAGTGATGTTGGCAGTAGTAGTAGTCCGAGTAGTGCTACGCGCCAGCATCGCGCAGCAGGTGTGAGCAGCAGGAGCAATCCCGGCGGAGCCGATAGTAGTAGCAGCACGGACAAACAGGCCGCGCAGGTGACGGCAGTAGTAGCAGCCCGAGCAGTGGCAGAAACTGGCGCCACGCAGCAGGGGCAAATCGGAGCAGCGGCAGGAGCAGTGGCAACCCTAGTGCCAGCAGCAGCTTGGCCCCCCCTTGTTAGTCGCGTGCTGCACCCCCTTCGTCCGGGTGCAAAGACCCGGGACCACAGGGAGAAGGCCAAGGCCAAGGACCACAGGGAAAAGAGTCGCGCCGGAAAGAATGCGCGCCAAAATTCCTTACCACGTCACGAAGCTCGTACGTAGGAGCTCGCCTGCCGGATTTCTGAAAGCAGCACGGGTCTGACCTGCCGGGGTCACGAGCGTGCCTGCACGCAGCAGAGGAGGCAGGGAGCTGACTCGACCCCCCTCTCAAAAAGATCTCGACCCTCGGCCCGGACTCCGAAAAGGCAACGCAGCCCCCCCAACTACGCACGAAGCCAGCTGCTAGTCGCCAAGCTTCACCTTCGGCAACAGCCCCGATGGATTACTTCGCTTGGCTAGACAGTAGGCACCAGGGCAGGGGCGTTTGTTGATCGCGCGCAGCGACCCAGGGAGGGGTCGGCAGGTGCCGTGGGGGTGGCTCGCCAGCCGATCGGGGTTTCGTCCATTTGAGCCTGGCATGCCGGGACACCCACAGAGGACGTGTCGTGTGTCTCCGAGAACCGGACTAAGTTGGGCCGCCGGGCCGGGAAGTCGCTTGGCTTGCTGGTGGATATGTATGCGCTCTGTATTTGTGCTAGTTGCGCGCTGGCCGACTGACCAAGCACCGGAAAGAAAAACCGGCGAAGCGATCGGACCGACGGGACGAGGTGTGTCAGGGGGCGTCACTCATTCACTCACTCATCATATTCGATGTCCTGCGATGACAAATTCGATGGGGATGGTTGATTTTCAGGGAATAAGACCAACTGTCGACCGACGGGAACTGCGAAGACGGCGCCGCTCCTTGCACCGACGGCACGGCGAACCTCGTTTGCGATTACGATCCCAGCCGCGCCACCACTTGGCAAATACGGGACACCGAGTATGCATTGCAAAACAAAGCATCGTGCTGGTATATTGGTATATTATTAAGTGACGTATAATACAAATTTGCTCAGCATGAGAAATGGAATTTGTAGTGGATTTGAATTCAGTTTCAGAGAGAAATGGCGCATAACTGCAATTAGTATGAGTGCGATACTTTTGCAGAGCATACCGAGGGCACCTTTGACACAGACGACGACCCTGCGCTGACGCAACTGACTGCGAATCAACCCGGGAGCTGCGACTGCGTCCCGGACGCGTATGGAGTTCTTAAGCGTTACATTCTCAACTGCTACATGAATTTGTAATGCAAGACTGGCAAAAGTGAAAAGAAAGGTAAAGGAGGAAGATTGCGCATTTTGCATTACAAGTTTGCTGGCGCAGCAGATTTAGCTTCTGTTTAGCCCTTCCGAAATTTGTCATGCGAAGCAGCTCGATCATTTGCCGGCTTAAGGTGCTTTTGCGTGACAAATGTATGTAACGGCTGAGAATGTAACACTTGCGAGCACCATAATCCGGACCTGGGCCTTGTGGGGGGAATCCCGGACATCCAGGCTGCCACAAAAGGGTGTGGCGCGGTTGTTGGAGTGAGCACCGTATGGATTGTAAATGTCTGGGTCTGGAAGAGTCGGGACTTGCCATGCACATTTTGCATGACCCGTGAGGTCTGTGATGCTGGTTCTAGCATCACAGATTAGATTTTTTGCGAGCTTCTTGATGCTAATTACGCATGACAAATGCCCTCTCCACCTGCCAAGAACTGACTCCTGTTGCTGCTCATGCAACACAGATATTTTTAGAATCCGCAGACAGCATTACAAGTTGCATTCTTCCAGACCCAGACATTTTTACATTTCATACACCGCCAGCCGACCCCCCTGCAGCCAGGACGGGGGGTGCGCTGCGGTATGCACTGCAAAAGTATCGTACTAGTATAAATTGCACTACAAATTAGCCCAGCGCTACAATAAATTGAATTTGTAATGTTGCTGGTTTACCTTGAGAAAGAGAGTAATAAAGCATAAACGCAAGAACTACGAGTGCGATAGTACTTTTGCACAGGATAGGCGGTGACGGCGGACAACGGAATGCACACCTGCGGCATATGAATTGCAAAAGTGTCTGGGTCTGGAAGATTCCAACTTGTCATGGTAAATCTGAAGCATGCGAAAATCTGTGCTGCATGAGTGCCAAAAGCTGTACACTTTTGACCAAGTCGGATGGGAGTTTGTTTCTCATGCAGGATAGGCATGGCAGAGACCTCGCAGAGTCTGTTATGCTAAGTCCCGCATTCCAGACCCACCTCATAGGTCATGGAGAATCTGCATGACAAGGCTACACTTTTCCAGACCCAGACATTTTTACATTTGATACGGCACTATCAGTCCCGAAATGATGGCCACCGCCCTGAAAGCCGTGGGATTTGATAGCAACGGGGACGTGAACAAGGACCTAGTATGAATTGCAAAAGTATCGCACTCGTATAAATGCATTACAAATTTCCTCAGCGTGAGAAATAAAATTTGTCGGGCTGATTTACCTTAAAGAGAAGACTTGTAATGCATGACTGCAGTACGAATACGATACTTTTGCACAGGATACCTAGGGCGCGGCAACGACTGGGTGGGAAGTGGTGCGGCGCTCACCCACGACGCCTTCCAGACCAAAGAGATGGGGAGCGTGTTCGTGCCCCGCGTGAACTGCACGCCGCCCGTGGCGGATGCGAAGTGGGTGTGGATCATCCTCCCGAGTGGCACGTATGGATTGCAAATATGTCTGGGTGGTCTGGAAGAATACAAACTTATGATGCGTATTTCAGAACACAGAAAAATCTCTCATGCACAGGTAGCAAAAGCTGCCCACTTTCTGTCACCAAAGTGGGTGACTTGTCATGCGGATTCGGCATTGCGGAAGCTTCTCGAAACCTGTGATGCTGAAGCTTCCATGCCAGCCCTTCTGTGTCATGCAAAGACAGCATGACTCTTCCAGACCCAGACACTTTTGCATTTGATAGCACGGAGGACAGTGCAACGCGGCAAATTCGCATCACGGAGCTCGCGGCGTACTATGAGCGTGCACACCCCCCCCCATTCTCCTCATTTGTATGGCATGAACAGCAATACATCAAACGCAAGCACAAGTGTAGGCCATGCATGACAAATTTATGTAGTGCCTGATGTAGTACTGCTTCGGATTCCGAAACTTGTCATGCAAACAGTGCCACAGGACAGGGCAGCGACTGGAAGACTTGGGGTTCTTTTGCGTGACAAATGATGGTGGGGGCGAGCTCTGCACTGTCATACGTACGGTCGCACAGAGCACGAGCACGATGCGGAAGGATTTTGATGACATATCTACCCCGGTAGATCATTTTCGAGGAGTGACTGGAGGGAGTTTTCCCCCTGAACTGTTTGTATATGGGCTGGCAGATCCCTAGAAGCTAATGCCGGTGTTATTGGTCTTCCGCCCCTTTGAGTGGGGTTGTTGGAAGGAGCCAAAGCAGACGTTGTCTGCCGTTTGCGATTTTGGATTGCGCGGTGAAGGATTCACTTCTTTTCTTAGCGCAGGGCCAGTGAGGGCCTCCCCCAGCGGGGGGACGTTTGCGGTAGCGTCGGGCCATTGAGGGCAATGCCAGTGAGGGCCTCTCCCAGCGGGGGGAAGTTTGCGTTGGTATATAGCCAGTGAGGGCAATGCCAGTGAGGGCCTCCCCCAGCGGGGGGAGGTTTGCGGTGTTCTATAGCCAGTGAGGGCAATGCCAGTGAGGGCCTCCCCCAGCGGGGGGAAGTTTGCGGCACCAGGACGATACCAGTGAAGCCCCCCCCCCAGCGGGGGGGAGTTTGCGGTAGTAGAGACCCGGCAGGGGAAATTCTAGTGGGGCCTCCCCCACCAGGAGGGAGCTTACGTTAGCGGGGGGCCAGTGAGGGCAATGCTAGTGAGGGCTTCCCCCAGCGGGAGGATATCTGCCGCGTATTTTCCTCAGTTTGGCCTGCAGCACTGGCTGCAGCCTTCGCACTCTGTCAAGGGTTGCTGGCTTCTCTCAGGGTTGTTCGGGTTTTGGGCAAATTAGCCTGACGAAGGGCGTTCGCGTTTTCGGTATGGGAGCTTCTAGATGGTGAGTTATTTTTGGCGTTGATGCGCCGGTTACAAGTACAACAAATAGAACTAGAAGGGTTTTGCTTGGGTTCCTTCTAGTCTCAGTGAACGCGATGCTTCTTGTCGAGCCCTCCCCGGACCTCGTTGGTCTCACAGGCGCGATGCACGGAGCACGAGCACGATGCGGAAGGATTTTGATCATACTGACGAATGGTTCGAAAAAATGGTGGAAGCGTCGAGCAGAACTTTTTTCGTCGCAAGTAGCCTAGCGGCGTGAGAAGGCGATCTTCGCACTCGAACAGCAAAAAGGAAAATAAACTCGTGTTTATCAAAAATATTTTTAGATGACTTCTTTTGCGAACTAAAATTTTGCAACGCGAGCACGACCGTGTGAATGAAGCGCGCATCGTTGCATCTGCAGTAAATTATCTACGGACTCTATCGAAGAAAAAAACATTGTTAGTGTAGGATTTTCGAAAATGCATGGATTTTTTTCTTGGTTCAATCAAAATTATTTTTAAAGCAAACCCGACCGGCCATCGCGCAGCCTCGGGGAGCTTGCGTTATAAATCTGAGCGGGCCAAACTTGCTTTCGCTGCTTTTGTGGTAATGAAATAGTTAAGGAGGCTAGACTGCTCGCCAATTCCGCGAGGGGGAGGAGACGATCAGCGAGGCTGTGTCACGAAGTCTGCTGACCCGCAGTCGCGGATTGCTGGTCCTGTCTAATGCCCGAGGCCGGGCTTGCCTCCGACCGGGTCGGCCGCCAGCTACACGGCGCGCGACCACGCAAAGGCCTTCTGCAAAATGACCGTCACCATGCAGCTGCTTTCTGAGCTCCGCAGCTCCGGCCGCATCTCGCAAAGCCAGCGTCTTGCGTCCATGCCGGTCAGCGATGAGCACGCTTGGGGACTTGCGCAGCTCCCTTTCGGATCTTGCCAGTTCTTGTTGATCCCTTGGCCCAAACAGAAGAAAAAACTCGGAGTGTAAATTTTTAGGCGGGTGGGCGACTGTTGGAAAAATACGGGTGCTTTTTGACCCTACCTCGGAGGGGTCCGCTACACGAATCTTAAAAACTACACTAGATTTTTTCTTTTCTCTAATCCCCATGGTACGTTAAATTTTTTAAGTAGTGTAAATTGTTAGCCGCGGCGGAGATTGTTAAAAAAATAAGCGAAGTTTTTGCCCCTACTGTTGACCCCTCTTTTTTCCCCTGTAAAAACCCACACTCCGAGATTTTTCTTCCTTTGGTTCATTTTTGGAAGCCTCAAACGAGCCTCATCCGAATCATGCGAAGCAGCGAGTTCGCCGCCCGTGCTTTGAATGACCGCGCAGCCCAATACTGCACCAAAGGCGGCCCGCACGCCCATGATTCCCCAGAATAATTTTGCTGCGAAGTGTCAAGCTGGCACCCCGCATGGGCTGACAGTAGACAAGCGACAACACACTCACCGGCAGCAAGATGCGCTGTTTTCAATAATGCGCCGGATTTTCCTGCCCTTTGCTGAGTCTTTATCGCGAGGCCGGGTCAGAAGCCGCAATTGCAATAGGTTACACACCGGCCCGCTCCGCTGCAGAGGTTTTTGCATTGCCCTGCCTCCCCAGCTAGCTAATGTAGTGCCCGGAGCGGGGTAGCCATTAGATTCAGCCATGACAGACAATCCAAAACACCAAACGGAAAATAGACAGGAGTGCCGTGCTTTAAAAAAATTTTACAACTTTGCGCCAAAAAAAAATTTACGCATTTCAGAGAATCCTACACCAACAATGTTTTTTTCTTCGATAGACTCCTGTGATTTGACGATGTTGCTTTTCGTTTTCACCATGATAGATGAGGACAAAGCAGGCTACTTAATCTTGGATGTAGAAGGTCCTACTAGTTGTACGTAGGCTCAACATCTCAAACTTAACGAATATGTTTACCGATAATTCATCTTCAACACTTCATCATTATCATTTTCAACAGTTGCAGAAGTGATATACATCAAAACAAATTCTATGGCAACAACAAATACCAGCCGCGGTTTAAGTTTTTTTCAATAACTATCTTCAACAAATTTCGCTCAGAAAGACGCCTACGAGAGCATCCGTGTTGTGTGTCTTTTCGTATCCAAGAAACGCTAAGCGTAAAAACTTCATATGCAGCATCGAGGAAGCAGAAGCTGCCCCCGCGATCTTCAGGCTTTTACGATTGAGATTATGTCGACGTGCACAGCAGGATCAGGATCCCTGTTCCACTTATATGATTCTAAAGGCGTACTCTTACAACTACAGTAATTCGTTTTTTTATCACTTCTCACCAGGTGTCAGCTTGTGTTGGTAAACACATATGGAAAAAAAAGAACACGCGGCCGCGGGCAGACGCAGAGGCGGCTTCGTCAAATTATGAGCAAATAAACTTTTCATACCCTAGACGGATATTAGTTCGATTGAATAATTGTGGTGCCGCCCATGATTCAGAGAACGCATGGGGCGTCGCTAGGTTCAAACACATACGATTTTACTGACAGCAAAACAACTCGCAGACTTCGACTTCTTCCTTCGCATAAGTATACAGAAATGCGTCCGGAGAGGTCGACTTCTGAAGCATAGCATTGAGGATTACATACTCTTCCGCGTAAGAACGATGAGAGCAAGAACGTAGCAAGCGGCCAAGAACAAGATGAAATCAAAATCTATTCCGTGGCGCGACCGAGGCAGAATTAGAATTGTTTCAGAGAACCCTTTATCAAATGCAAAAGTGTCTGGGTCTGGAAGAGTGCAGACATGTGATGCTGCATTTGGATTCCAAAAAAATCTGTATTGCATAAGCAGCAAAGGGAATGCAATTTTGGCTACTTACGCGGAGTAGAGGGCATTTGTCACGCGGAATAGGCATCGCAGAGCCCTCAGAAAGTCTGTGATGCTAGGGCTTGCATCACAGACATCATGGCTGATGCAAAACGTGCCTGACAAGTCTCGGAAATTTCCAGACCCAGACATTTTTTCATTTGATACCCTTTCCAAGAAACGGAGGACAAGGACATTTTCAACAAAATTGCCTCACGAAGATGGTTGCAGTATGCGTATGCATTGTAAAAAATACTTATGTATGGGTCTGGAAAGATCATCTTTCCAGTCTGTGCTGGTCATGCTTCGCTAGTATGACTCTCAAGCGTGTCGCGCATGTTACCCAAAAGCTGCCTCGCTGTTCTGTCATGCAGAAGCTGCTCGCTTTGTCATACAGAAACAGAAGACACCACACTCGTCCTCCTGAGGACTCAACTAAAGTTCTACTGTGTTAGCCCGCTCAGATATGGTACAGACCCGAGGAAAATGGGGCGGGATTCGGATGGAGCGGGCGGCTTCAAAGGGTCAAGGGAGCCCGCTTCGCCCACCGTGCTAAGTAGGCGCATTGAAGGCTCCCTGCCTGAGCCTGCTGCGACGCTCTTCCTCATGTGCCAGACGCTCTCATGGGGCGTGCCGGGGATGCGGCGAATCTGATTTCTCCTGGGGAGCGGGTTGATAGGGGAAGGGAAATGCGTGCGCGCAATCGTATTTCCGGCCATTTTGTGCCGTGTTCGATTTCTTGTGAGCCAGCGAAAAATGGCGTCCCACGATCGGACATTTTGCGACCCTCCTCTTCGTGGGTTGCAGAGGTTCGGCCCTTTTGAAGTGTGTGCCTGTCGAAGCACAGCTGCCTGCTGCTCGCAGGGCAGGGCAGCTGTGTCCAGTTTTTGCCACATGGGGCAATGCGATACCCGCTGACCTGTCTTTGGTAAGGGATTGGCCCAGCCTTCAAATTCAAACCAAATCCGCGAATTCAAACTGAATCCGCGAATTCAAACGGAGACCCGCGAATTCGAACGAAATCCGTGAGCCCTTCCCCAATTTCAAACCAGATCCGTTGCTTCGTGGAGCAGCCCCATCAATTTCGAACGGAATCCGATTTCGATCCGAATGCCATCCGATTTCCATCCGAATTCCGTTTCCCTAGTCAGAAAATGGCTTCGGATGAAAAACGGATGGAAATCGGATTCAGTTCGAAATTGGTTGGATCGGTTTCGGAGGGGAAGTCCGTGAGCCTCCGCATTACGAAAGAGATCCCGAAGAAGGGTTTGAATTTTTGGGCGCGCGCTGCCGCGCGCGCCATTATCTGAATGTCATTCAGGTCTCCTTTTCGCCATTCCGTGTTGTGTCGTCCTTGGTGTGGTGAGCTGTGTTTTGTCCGGCCACACTGCAGCCACTAGGCAGGCTTGCTGGGTTGAGGGGTTGCCACATGTGTTGCCGATCCTTTTCAGGCCGGCCGCCCTGCTATGTTGTATGTTGGAATGTTTGCCATGTGCGCGCCGGCGTTTCTGGCGTGCGCAGTTGGAGGCATTGCTCATGCAGAAGCGCCGGTGGGGGGAGCCGGCGGCCCCCCTGAAGCGCTTCTGCTCAGACTGCAAGGCCTTGGCCGTGAGGCATATGGGCACTAGAAGCGTGGAGCCAATGCCGCAAGGGCTTCGCTCATTCGCCGTCTTTGTCGTGGCCGGATGACTGAGTCGGAGCAGGTCCTTTGGGGTGCTGCGTTCTTTAGCATGCTACTCTTTCCTACCCCCTTCAGCCGCTTACGCCTCCAGCAAGCATTGCGAGGCTATGCTTGCTACTCTTCAATGATCTGTGCAAAATGTTGCGCGGCTGCCGGACCTCTTTGTCTGGGGCACTTTGGGTGGCCTCTCTGGCCACAATGAGGGGCGTAGGCTCGGGGTTGCTTGCGCAATGGCGTGCGGCCCCTGCGCTTCTAAATGTGGCAAGATAGGCCGCGCAGGATGCATTTCAGCATGCTCTCCGAATTCTGTTTTTTTCAAAGTTGCTACATTTTGAATTCAGTTTGAATTCAGTTCGAAATCGCATTACACGACGGCACGGCCAGGGTTAATTGTCATACAGAAACAGAAGACACAACACTCGTCCTCCTGAGGCATTTTTGAAGAAAGCACTTTTTGAAAAAGTGAAGCTCTTGCCTGCTGTTTCTCGTGCTCGAAGTGCGCTGCTTGTGAAATTGCAGGCGTCACTAAAACGTAGCTCCGCTGGTGTTTTGGTGCTGGCCCGTAGTGAATCGCGTGCGCAATACTGCGCGCCGTCCGCGGCTGTCTTGCGACGCAACATCACCTCGCCCCGCCTCGCCCTTGAGTCAGCCCCTGAAGGTCGTCCAGCTTGGTTTCAGACGATCCTGAAGCACTTACCGCGGGTTGCGGATATTCAATGCGGACGCCTGCAGGCGATTCGCCGGCACGTGCAGCCGCTTAGCAGATGTTGAGGGAAATCGGCAATCTTTGAGGGCAGGCACTTACGCTTGAAGGCGGTCAAGATATTTTGGTAGTGGTCAAGATATTTTGACGGCAATCAAGCAATTTGTGACGGCAATCAAGCAATTTTTGACGGCAATCAAGCAATTTTTGACGGCAATCAAGCAATTTGTGACGGCAATCAAGCAATTTTTGACGGCAATCAAGTAACTCTTGAAGAGAGTCAAAAAAAAGTCAAGTTTTGCTTCCCCCACTGCTACGGCCAATTTTGACTTGCATTTGACTGGTTTTTGACTTTCTTCAAAAATATCCTGACTTTTTTTTGACCTGTCGGGACTTCGCTTCGAGTTCCGGCGTTCGCAAGATTCACCTGCAGCCAATCGACGTTGCCTCGCTCGTCTCTTTTCGGCTTCTGGCGACCATCGCGCACAAAGGGTCGGGGGTGCGCGGCCCTTCGGGCCGCCAAGAGTGTTTCTGTAGCTGCATCCACAGGACTACCAGCCCCCTTCTTTTTGTGGGAGGTGTGGATGTGGCCATCGTTTACCAGTGGGGGCCGTCGTTTTTGTTAGCCGGCTGCCCATCCAAGGCTTATTTGCAGGCTGCATCCTGCTTGCCGTTGGCAGTGCCGTCTTTGGCGCCTGTCGCGCTCTTCTCGCGTGCCACCACCCTAACAAAGCGCGACGCGGGAAGCGAAGAAATATCACGCACGTCGGGAAGCTGCGCGCGCTTTGTGTGCCATCGCGCCCTCGTTTTGGTTGTCGAAAGGCAAGGGGAAAAAGCTCGGGGGGTTCCCACCTGTAGGAGGCCCATTTTCAAAATGGCTCTTCTTCACAAATTCGTCAAAAATGCTTCACAAATTGAATTACACGACGGGGGGCGGGCTGAGGTTAATTGTCATACAGAAACAGAAGACACAACACTCGTCCTCCTGAGGACTTTAGCACTTCCAAAGCTTGTCATGTTTGGCAGTCAACTGGAATTATTTCTCAACCTGCATCACAAGTTTCCAGACCGAGAGGACGACCCAGACATATTTTCTGCATTTGAAGATAACACGGCGGGCGGAGCAATAGCAAATGACATTCTTGCACCACTCTGCGAAAGGTGGATAGCTTCTGTTGTTCCTTGCGGTGCCGGCTGCGGGATGACGCGCGTGATGGTTCTTTCGTGCGTTTCTTATGCCGTCAAATTCTTATACCATCTCCATCATGATCCTCAAATCAGTGACATAGCGCTTGCTCCTGCAGCTTGTGCTGCTGCTCAACATAGTGAGAACGATAGGTACCAGACCACCTAAAGGCTTCTTCTTGCACACGACCCCACCTGCTCCAGCTTATGATCATCTATCATGATCGTGTATTAAATAAAACGGCGATCTACTATCTAACAAGACCGCTCGGGACGAGCCGCGCCAACTTAAAAATGCTCGTTGCATTCGCGACGATCATGCCGTAAGTTTTACTTTTTTGCTGGGGTCTGTGCCTGCGTCGTCGGTCCTCTCCTCGTGGCAGGAGGGCTACGCTGGAGATACTATGGTCAGGAAGATCATGTTGCGGAAACGAGGCGGACGAGAATCCGGGACCCGCAGAAGCTCCAGAACAAGATGGAGGACGCGATACACCAACAAGTGGGCATATCCCACAGAAAAGTACACCCCTAGTATAGTATCTATCAGAATATAGGGATGAACATGAATTTGAATGAAATGAGTGCTGTGTTTTTTCTTTTCAGTTTTATTAGTGGAGTATCACTCTTTGGTTGTTTAGCATGACAAACAAGATCCCCACGCTGGGGCCTTGTGCCCGTCCCTAGTGGCACTAGTGGGGAAGAAAGCAGCGCTGCGCTGCACGACCCTGTGCATTCTGGAGGAGCAGGCATCCGCGTTTTTACGAAAAAGTGCGTTAGTGTCGAGTTTTTGTTGTGGCAAGATAAATAAACAGCAGCTCACTTCTAATTCTCGCAGTCTTTGATGTCTCCTGCGCTAGTTACAACTACTAGTACAGGTGTGCTTTTCTGCAGGATAGGGCAAGTTTTCCGCACGACAAGAGGTGCAGCTGGTCCGCGTTTGTGGCCCTGAGTTTTCTGCTCGTTCTCTTCCTGCATATCGTGAGAAGAAATTGTCTCGGTCCCAGCGCGTAAAAATGTTGCAATGATTTTTCCCAATTTAAAAATTCCTATGAGACGCTCCTTTTTTGATGTGATGCATAAAAATGCTCCACATGCATCTGCAATAAAGGTAGTTTGAGACCTCTGAGCCAGTTTTTTCTCGTGATGCTGCAGGCTGGTAATGTTTATTTCAAATGTTCTTGCCCGTTTTTATTATTGTTTCCCTCCGCCTTCCGTGTGTCAACATCCAGACAACGTCCCAGGCGCGGCCGCCCCGGACTGGCAACTACGCCAGCAGCGCGGAGTCACTTATCTATGGTTCAAAGAAACAAGAAAGTTTCCAAGAGTGACCACAACGCGGGGCATGTTTCGGCGCCGGAAAAGACTGCAGGAGCCGGAAGCGGCGTGACCACGAGGACCGCTGGTGCTGGAGGCGGCGTGACCACGAGGACCGCTGGTGATCCACCTCTCGCAACTGCGCGAGAACATGATGAAGCTCATCTTCCACCAGAAAACATAATACACGATAAAGTACAACAAGAACTAGACGGGAACAACAAGAGAAAAGAGTCCAACTCCGCGCCCTCACGTCTACAGCGAAGCAAAAGTCTTTTGTTGATTCTTTCCAACAGCCACGAGAAAAAGAAATTGGAACAAAAGAAAAACCTCGAGCAACTAGATTATGAAAGTCCATAAGAAGCTAGAGCTCCTCCCTGTCCACCCTCGTCTCCCGCTTATTTGTACTATGGTATGAAGAGTAATACAAACACCAACACAGGCGGATGTTGTGCGTGACAACTTCATGCCCTGAGTGTAGTGCAACTGTTTAGGCTTGTTCCAACATTTGTGATGCAGACAGTGGCTCAGGGCATCAAGATCAACTGGGTTTGATATTTTGCATGAAAAATGAGGGAGAGGGGGACGAGTTGTGCTTGTGCACTTTCATAAAAATGCGGCGGAATCGCGAAGATCGACTCAAGCGTCACACCAGGAAAATCTGAAGGAATATGGGAGTGCGCAACTCGTCCTGCCCCCCCCCTCATTTGTCATGGAAAATGCCAAATCCGCTACTTGTCTGTCACTTGGCAGCACTATTCACATGACAAGTTCTTTCGGGCCCCAAAACAGCACTACAGTCTACTTGTGTAGTGAGTTTGTCACTCATGCAAAACTTCTACCTGCATTCTTGCCGATCATGCTGGATCAAGGCCCTATGAATGACGGAGAAGGGGAGTTCGAGTTGTACGCTCTTATAGAAAAACTTCAATAAGCAGTAGCGAGCAAAAGTCAACTATCCCACGAAAAAACTGTTTCACTGTGATGGTTTTGCAAGATCCGCATTAAAAGTTTGGTACACATGACACAGAAAACTTGCCATGCGCGCATCCCAAGGGAAAACACGCTTAAAAATCCAATGCGTTGGAGGTGTAGCAAGACAAATAGTTCTGCGCTTCATTTCATGCATCACAAGCTCACAATGAAATTGTTACAGTTTTTTCTTGCGATATCAACAGGAGGACTAGCAGAGCATCAGGAAGCGGTGTCGGGTAAAGCTAAAGAATATCAAATGCAAATATGTCTGGGTCTGGAAGATCAAGATTCTGAACTTGTGATGCTGTCTCTGGATTCAAAACAAATTTGTATTGCATGACCAGCAAGAGGACTCCAGTTTGTGCGAAGCGGAGAGGGCATTTCTCATGCGGAATAGGCATTAGCAAGTTGTCTAAAAATCTGTGATGCTAGGGCATGCATTGCAGACATTTATGGGCCATGCAAAATATGCATGACAAGCCTGGCAATCTTCTAGATCCAGACCCACACACTTCTGCACTTGATAAAGAAGAGCAAAGAGCAAGAACGAAGACGAACGAGAGGTCAGGGACAGGCTCGTCGATCTTGATTCCCCCAACATATCAAATGCAAAGATGTCTGGGTCAGAGTCTGGAAGATTGCTACATTTGTCATGCTTGTCTGACATGACTCAAGAATCTGTGATGCATGGGCACGCAGAGGTCCCCTTACCTGTCATGCAAAAACGCAGTTTGCCATGCGGGACACGCAACACACAGGGCTCAAAAATGTGTCAACGTGCTTGGCTTCGTATTGCGGTGGAACTACTCGCATTCACTTTTAGCATCAAGACCCAAAGAACATTTTTGCAGTTGATACAAAAGCACTGAAAGCAACGCAGAGTAGCGGAGGAGACGCTGAGGCAGCTTCCGCGCCACTGGCCTACGTAGCGGGAGGCCCCACGGGATGGCCAAATTTGTGCACGCAGACCGACAGCACAGGTGCAGGCGGCGTGTGGCGATTGGAGTTTGCCGATGGGAAAAAGCATTCGATTGACCGTATGGAGATTTGGAACCGTGACGACGAGGGATTCCGAGAAGAACTGCCGAATGGCTACGTAGTCCTGGATCCAGATTACGTCGATCACGATATCCTGTGTAGAAACGTCGCCACCCCTGAGGGCAGAAGTCCCCAGCCCCTGCACGTACGCGCATCGCAATAGCTATCTTATAATGTTGTTAAACAGTGGCCGCATAAAATATGCTCCTCTACTTCTCGTTGTAGTTTGTTCTCCTCCCCTTTCCTTTGTGAAAATTTGAAGTTTCTCTGCGTTTTAAGTTGGTCTTTTCCAGTACATAAACACCCCAGAGTTGTATTAATCTCTTGTCTACTAAGTAGATTAACTTTTCCAGTACATGAAACACCCCAAAGTTGTCACGCAGATTTGCAATTGCAGGAACATTTGTAAAAATGCGCATCCCCATGATATCGATATCCAAATTCAATTCCATTCATGTTTTGGAACTTGTATACAAATGCGGTAATCAGGTGGATAAGCAGGTTGATTTCGATTGGTAAAAATGCGGCTGTCCTTGTTGCTAACCTCTACTAGTACATTACGGAGCGCAGAACTTGTCTTGCGTGGCCCCCGAAACTTCTCGGTTTGTGTTGCAAAGTCCCCAGCTTGTTGTTGACTATGAGGTGGGGCCGTTTTTACTCAGGACACACGATAACTTCAGCAAGGCGGATGTGTTGCTGGCCGTTGCCGACGCGACCTCTGCGGTCAAGCTAGCTTCGGACATACCTGTAGGTGGCATGGACGGTTCTAATGCGATAGGAGGGCACGAAGTGACTCTGAGCCTGCTTACATCCAAGCGGCCGTTCCGGTACTTGTACATAGTTGGTCCCCCGAACAAGAACACCTTGAGCATATGCGGCGTAAACTTCTACGCCAGTACTGATTGGTGGACGACAGATGATGGCGCTGCCGGGAGTGGGCACCAAGCTGGTAGTGGAGGAACGCCAGCACTCAACTACAAACTGTATGAGGACTGTGTGATCCAGCCAGAAACGACATGCGAGGCGCCGCGGCTGCAGGCATCGCCCGGCACGGAGGGCGGCAATCTCGTTGGTGGGCTGAAAACTTTCCACGAATGCCTCGGGTTTTGTGCCGACGTCGCCGATATGGACTGCAATTATGTCGGGGTCTGGAAGGTTCTTGCAACTTGTCATGCTAAACCCGATTGCTGCGAAAATCTGTGCTGCATGAGTGCCCCGACCGAAGTGGTAGGCGCTAGGGTGAACTATGTATGTAGCGCTTAGGGCCCTTCCGTGCGGCCATATGTATGTCCCGCAACGGGGATCGCCTATGTCGGTCATTTATATGCAAGGCGATGGGTCACCCGGTCGGCAGAGCCGATCCATACGAACGAACGATGAGTGCCAAAAGCTGTCCACTTTGACTTTCGACCAAGTTGGGCGAGTGTTTCTCATGCGGGATAGGCATGGCAGAGACATCACATACTCTGTCATGCTAGGTGCGGCATTCCAGACCTCAGGGGGCATGGAAAACCACCTGCATGACAAGTTTAGACTCTTCCAGACCCAGACACTTTTGCAATCCATAGCCGAGTGCAGCGGTATGACGTATTACACGGGCAAGGACGTGAAGCAGGACAACTGTGGGCTGCACGTATGCATTCTTGCAAAAGTACTATTGTACTCGCAGTAGGTGTAGTTGTATTCGTAGGCATGGTGCGTGACAAATCCAATTCTTAAGGTAATGATGTTAAACCAGCATAATTACAAATTTTGTTTTCAACATGCTGAGGAAATTCGTCATGCGATTACGATTTCTATATAGAAGTGCGAAGATACTTCTGCAAAAATGCATAGCACGGGGGAGGTGACACCGACTGGCGCACCTCGTCGAGCCCGGCGGCCGGGCCCAGCTATCGGAACATTCGTATCAAATGTAAAAATGTCTGGGTCTGGAAACTTGTAATGCTGCGTTGGGAATAGTGAATGCTCTGTAATGCGCAGGCAAGCATGAGAAATAAATATCTGCGCTTCTTTGTGTTGCGTTTTTCGCATGACAAACTGCGTTTTTGCATCACAGGCAAAAGGGTCTCTTCTTCGACACGCATCACAAACTTTTTGGTCATGCCAGACAAGCATGACAAATCTCGCAATCTTCCAGACCCAGACATTTTTGCAATTCAGAATTCGATATGCATTGCAAAAGCTGTAAATACACTTGCGTAGTAGTGATTGCATCAGGAATAATAATAAAACTCAGAGTTTTATTTGAATATGTTCGTTCAGGATCATCTTGACAAATTTGTAAATGCGGAGCTCTTGTTGTTGTTACATCAAGAAGAAAGGGCGAGGACTGCGCCGGTACTACTACCTTTGCGCAGGATATTCGAATTCCAAAGGCCAATCTTGCTGCTGCCCAGATAAACACGGCGGAAGCTGCGGGATCGTCAAACACGGCGGAGATATGGAAGTGTCAGGATTGAAGTCGACAAAGTTGAAATAACTTGCAATGCATAAAATGGATGAAAGTTGTGAGTGTGACCCAGTTTCCAAGTGGCGCATGACAAATTTGGATAGAGCCGAAACCCAGTCTGTCATGCTGTTTGGGTAAGGAAGGCGCCCTTTGTGATGCTACTTTAGCAGCTCAGTTTCTGCCCCTCAACAGACTTACAATCTGCCTCACTTGCCTACTCTCCAAGAGAGGCACTGTGTGGGCTGCATTTTATGCATGGCAAACTATTATTTCAACATTGACGATTTCAATCCTGACGTTTCCATAGGAGAAAGTCCTCGAGTATGAAATCGGAATGTCGACGGAGTACACAGTATGAAATGTAAAAGTGTCTGGGTCTGGAAGATTGCCAGGCTTGTCATGCATGTTTTGCATCATGACCAATAACGCCTGTGATGCATGCCCTAGCATCCCAGATTTTTAGAAGGCTTCCTGATGCTTATTCCGCATGACAGAAGCCCTCCCCGTGTAGCACAAATAACTGGAGTCCTTTTGCTAGTCATGCAACACAGATTTTTTTGGAATCCAGAGACAGCATCACAAGTTACCACCTTCCAGACCCAGACACTTTTACTACATTTGATACACAGCCGAAGATCACTTGACCTGCGTTTTTACGCAAGAAACTAGTGATATGGGAGCGTCAGGTTTGAAATCGTCAAAGTTGAAATAATTTGTAATGCATAAAATGCATGGCCCGAGGTGCGTGTGTTGCAGAGCAGGCAAGTGGGGCCGATTGTGAGTCTGTTTGGGGTTAGAGATCGAGCTGCTAAAGTAGCATGAGACAATCAGTCTTCTTTGCCTAAACAGCATGACAAACTGGATTCAGGGACCACCAAAATTTGTCATGCGCCACTTGAAAACTGGGTTCCAACTGGCATCCATTTTATGCATGACAAATCATTTCAACTTTGACGATTTCAATCCTGGCGCTTCCATAAGTGATGGCGTCAGCACGCTGAACTGGTGGCGGGTTGAGGCAAAGCCTGACGATAGCGGCGCGGTGTATCTTGATTAAAAACGTCCCCACACCAGGGTCAAGATGGGAAATCTCCTAGACAAATCAGCCAGCCTTGGTTGTCTGGCATGACAAATCTGTCCTCGTAGTGTAATCCTGTTTAGCTAGTTCACAAGCATCACAGATCAAGCATAGCGTGCTGATTCTAGCATCACAAATTCCAAAACACGAATGGGCAATGCTTCTCATAGGGCTCCGCATGAGAAACTTTTTTGGCGTGCAGAATTGCATGACAGACAACTCTGGGGTGGGGACGTTTTTACTCAGAATACGGTGAACCCGTTACATATCTCCCAATTGCGCCTGGTCAACAGCGAAGTTGTCCCGGCATCTGGCTGGTCAACACAGGGTCTGAACAACGGCGTAATTTGGCTGGATCCACCTATGCCAGAAGATGTCAACGAGGAGGAAGAGTCCGATTACGCGAAGATCGGTCTGCGACTGTATTCGCTGCTCCAAAACCCCAAAAACTTCAACCTCGTGGAGCACCGGGACTACTTCTACTGAGTGGAAAATTTCACAAATACAAATATCTGCAAAAATTGGCCTTTAGAGGGTTCAGGGCTGCTGGGAGGGGGTCCAGGGTCTGCGAAACGCAACGCCGGCGAGTCGAACAGCAGCACAGCAACAGTGCGCGGCGTTCTTCTGTCCGGCAAGGTCCGGAGGGTTTGGCGTCGCTGGAGGCCATACCGGACGACCACGAGCATGCATGTACTTCAACAACAAAATCAGAAGGCTGCTTCCTTTCCTTTTCGTCGAATCCGCCGATGCGGTTTGTCGTTTAGCTCGTGATTGGAGCAAAAAAACGCTATTCCCACTTGGTAACTTTCCACAAATGAACAGACCCGACCCCTCCGGAGACCCCAAGATCTGGGGCCCTTCGGAACAACCAAACTCCCAATTCCCGCTTGGTAACTTTCCACAAATGAAAAGGCAGGGGGGTCCGGCGACCCCTGCCGGAGAGGTCGCCCGCGAGCATTTTTCTGCGTCATTTTGATGCGATTTTCCCCTTTCGGCGATTCGCCGCGACCTATTACTGCCTCCGCATGCGCCGCATGGCGCCGGAGTTCCGGGCACCATGGCGCGGCCCCAAGAGCCCTAGTGCCGCCCTGCTAGGCGGCCCGCGCTGGTGCGACTTTGGTCGGGTTAAATGGCGACCGCCTGAGATGAATGCTCTGGCGCCCCTCCCAAGGATGCCCGACAGGGCCTGAATTGCTGAAAAGCATAAAACTGGGCGCCTGCTTCTCTGCAGTTTTGTCCTTTAAACATCAACTTTTGCAGATCTTTGTATTTGTGAAATTTTCCCCTTAGTAACTTCAAGTTCGGCACTATTCCCGCGAACGGCCACGCAAGCCTTCCCATTTCTCTGGACCAGGGGGCGATGGCAGCGAAGCAGCCCGTGAAGCGTGTGTACGTGACGCATGGGACCAGTAATGAAGCTAAAGCATTGCAAATCTGCGGGGTGCAACTGTTTGGGCCCGCCGAGACGCTGGACCCCTTGGCTCGGGTTCCACTGGACTTGCTCGGCGCATCGCAGTCCAGTGTTGCCGGCGGAAACACCGCGCTACACGGACCCAAAAAACCCCTAAATTACACGCTGGGCGACGACACGTCGTCGTCCTGCATGAAGACCGAGTATTCCAGCGCTACTGGTGAAAAGCCGGAGAATGGGCTCAACTGGTGGCGAGTCGAGTTCCAAGATAGAAAAAAGCACTACGTCTCTCGCCTTCACCTCTTCAATCAGCCCGCAACCGAAGGCGACGCTGGACTGAGTATGGGGTTCTCAAACGACGTTACATTCTCAAGTGTTTACACGATTTGTCATGCAAAATGACCATGAGCCACCAGACGGCTTTTTTTTGTATGATGAGGTCGCCGAAAGTGCTTCCTCGCCCACCCCCCGGAAAAGCGATCCTTGACCTGTGGCGCTGGGTCGTGCGGGTGTCCCCTACATGATGACGATGAAGCTGCCTCGCATGACAAAGGCTCGGAGGCCTAATCCTAAATAGCACTAGAACCGCCCGCGCCAAATCTGTAATGCAAGACGCGCAAGGCTCTCGTCTCCCTCTCAGTCTCACCTGTGCTATTCTTGCATTACAAATTCATGCAACAGTTGAGAGTGTAACGCTAAGGAGCGCCATACCAAACGGCGGCACCGTCTGGTATCCTGTGCAAAAGTATCGTACTCGTAGTAATCGCAGCCATGCATTACAAATCTCCATCCCAAGGCAAAACAGCATGACAAATTCCATTCGTCATGCTGAGCTATTGCAATTACTACTAGTACGATACTTTTGCAGTTCATATCTGGCTCGACCCGCCGATCCAGGCGGACGAATCCATATCATATGCAAGAGAAAAAAAACTGTGTATTAAGTGTAAATCTGTAATGCACAACATGCAACAGACTTACACCTGTCATGCGAGACACCCATGCAGTTCTCTTTTCATGTGTGTTTTCCATTTCCCTTACAAGCCATGCGTGACAGGTTTTCTCTGTATATGTAGAGCAAATTTGTAAAGCTGTCAGCCAAAGATAGAAGTTACACTAACACAGTTTTTCTCTTGGATATATAACAGTGAAAAAATAAAAAGCCCCCACCCCATAATATTTATTATTGTATACTCAAATCAACAAAATACAGTTAGTGTTGTAGTTGCTGGATTTGTGATTGTGTACACAAATGAACTCTGTAATATTCCAGCTGCAACAAGAGCTTGCCGGCATATAATTCTAAGCCCATTTTTTGGGTACGAACGTATCCGGCTGGCGGCTAAGCATGAGAAACAAGCCTGACATAGGCGAAAGCGCGTGACAGATTCGCTGTCCAATGCGCCACGACATGGGTGCCCCTGCCCTTTGCCTTGTGCGCAAGACAATAAAACTGTGTTCACAAATCAGCATCACCACGCCGTTCTGGGGAGGCGGGGAGATTTTTCCGTACGATAATCCAACCCGATTTTTTATGCTGACATCGGGAAAGTATGGATTGCAAAAATGTCTGGGTCTGGAAACTTGTGACGCAAGTCAGTCAATATACAAATGCACTGTAATGCGCCGCCAAGCATGACAAGTTGCTTCGTGCTTCTGTGCTGCATATTCCGCATGAGAAACTGCGTTTTTGCACGACAGGCGAGAGAGGCTTTTTGTGGCCACGCAATACAGATTTAAGGGCCATGCCAGATCAGCATGACAAATCTCGCAATCTTCCAGACCCAGACATTTCTGCATTTGATAGACAGAGCTATACGCGCTGTATAAGGGCGGACACATGGAAGAGGGCAAGGACTACGTGAAGTTGGGGGACGTATCAAATGTAAAAATGTCTGGGTCTGGAAGAATCCGAACCTGTGACGCTGCATTTGGATTCCAAAAAAATCTGTATTGCATGTGAACCTGTACAAACGGGTACCCCTGACGGTCCGGGCCCTCTTATACAAAAAATGTACATGAGTAAACACGAAAAGTGTACAAAGAAAGACTGAAATTGTAGAAAAGAGAATACGGACGGTCCTGTGCAACCGGGCACCTCCGAGCACGGATTTGTATAGAAAATAGCGAAAAAAGAGATGAGGTCAGGGCTGGAAGATGTGAGTGGATAGCGCGCGCGCGCGCGACTTGATGTGAGTGGGAACGCGGGCGCTGCAGAGCAGGGCGGGGCAGTGAGGGCAAAATAGCTTCAAAGAGGGGCAAGGGTAATTATCTAGGCGAGCGACGTGCTTGGCTATGGCGGCGTCGTGCTCACAAAGGCCTGTAGATTTAGTGGCGACGGGCCGGCGCAGTGGCAGTGCGCGGTGTTTAGATAGTCGCCATGCAGAGTTGGGTCCTGTACAAAAGGGACCGACCTGTTAATCGCGGGGCCTCCGGAGTTTCCAGCCGGGCCTGTGTATTTGGTAACCCTGTACGGTGCGAACGGGTACCTTTGGCGGCCCATGCGTTTGTATAAAAAATGCAGACTTCGGCTGTTTTCCAATAGCATAATTTGTTTGCAGGTGCCTGTTTGTACTGGGGGCCCCGTACAGTACGGGGGCTCCGTCCCCACTGATACACATGACCAGCAAAAGTAATGCAATTTTGGCTACGCGGAGAGGGCATTTGTCATGCGGAATAGGAATCACGAAGCCCTCAAAAAGTCTGTGATGCTAGGGCATGCATCACAGACATCATGGCCCATGCAAAACGTGCATGCCAAATCTCGCAATCTTCCAGACCCAGACATTTTTACATTTGATAGGACGTGCCAGCCGGTAGCGCCGGCGGGAAGATGCTCTACTTGGACCAAGAGGCTTTGGCACAAAAGCAGCCTGTGCGACGCGTATACATCACCGGAGAAACAGACCGCGACGGTGCCACCGGCGCCTACCGGTGCCCGGCTTCGGATGAAGCGTGTACGGACGCCCTCCGCATCTGTGGGGCCCACCTGTACGCCCCAGCGAAGACGATAACTGTCCTGCAACGCCAACTACCGCCCGTCCCAATGGCGACACTTTTGGCGTCCTGGACGCGCGATGATTGGGTAGAGCATATTCAGGGCATCACGGAGACACGGGTCACGCCGAATTTGTTGTCTGCGCAGCAGATAAGCACCTCGCACGGCGGTTACAAGGGCAGGCCGTTGACCTACGTGTCTGGAGCCTCAACAAAATGGAAAAACCGGTGCTCGCACACGCACGGAAGGTCGGCTGATAATGCACTTCCCTGGTGGCGCGTCGAGTTTACCGATGGCAGGCCGCATTGGACCACGAAGCTGAAACTGTGGAATCGAGACGGTTGTTGTCCGGAGCGACTCAACAATGCGTATGTGTTTCTGGATCCGCCACTCACTTCAAACAACAACCACGAAATTGGAAAACAGTATGCCTTGCAAATATCGATCTGGGTCTGGAACGTTGTAGCTTGTGATGCTGTCTTCGGATTCGAACAAAATCTTTTAATTATTGGTATTGCATGTAGTTGACCAGTTTGTTCTACACGGAGAGGGCATTTCTCATGCAGACGAGTAGGCATCAGGAAGCCCTCTGAAAATCTGCGATGCTAGGCGCTGCATTACAGGCATCAGGGCTCGTGCACCAAAATACGCACGACAATGCTGGCAATCTTCCAGGCCCAGACATATTTGCAGTTGATACTCAGCTATATGAGACGATTCAGAGCATCGAGTCTGTACCTGGTAAGGCCTCCGGAACCGGTCCAGATAATACCCAGCTTACGAGGGACGAGGACTTTTGGCCGCTCGGGAATGTAGCGTCCGACGGTGGCAGACGACGCCGACGTGGAGGGAGACGACGGGGTAGCGGCGGAACCGAAATCGATATCGCAAGAAAAAACCGTGCTCTGTAAACATGTGATGCATAAAATGGACCACAGAAGTATTTGTCTTGCTACACGTGCAAGCAAGTGGATTTTTAGCTGTGTTTTCCCTTAGGAGGCTTGCATGGTAAATTTTCTCTCTCAACATGTAGAACGAGCTTGTCATGCAGAACCTGCAAAATCCTTACAGTGGAACACTTTTTTCGTCCGATAATCATCCTGCCTCAGAATCTACCAAAGCTGCCACTGAAGCGGATCTACGTTGCCCAAAGGCTCGACGTGCGACGTCGCGGTGGTATCCAGAAAAAAACATCCATGATCCTCATCCATTTTCTGCATGCATGCTACAAAGCTCATCCCGCAGCCGTCCCAGGAGCTCTTGTGACTGTCTCTCGGTAGAGATCGCTTTGCCCGTGCTTATTCCACTCAGAGTTTGCTGGGTAGGTGGCTACCGTTTTAAGTTTATAAACGAATGGGACGCCCTGCCCTTGGCCTTCCAACATGACAAACACAGGAAATTGCGCACGTTTTGCATCACAACTTGGATGGGGATGGGTGTTTTTTCCTGGATAGGTGGCGGACTCACCATCTGCGGTTTCCACCTCTGGGAGAAATCGGTAGATCAGCCAGTGTATCCTGTGCAAAAGTATCGTACTCGTAGTAATTGCAATTATGCATTACAAATCTCCATCCCAAGGTAGAACAGCATCACAAATTTCATTTGTCATGCGAGCGTATATTTGTAATGCAATTACTACTAGTACGATGCTTTTGCAATTCATACAGTGGATGAATATCAGATTCTATCATGAGAAAAAAGTGTTACAGTGACACACATAGTCTATGCAAGACCGGCAACACAGACAACCTTTCTCATGCAAGAAATGCTTGGGAGCCTCGTTTCCTTCCTGTTTTATTCCCGTATGATCTTCGCATTGCCACACAGAGAAAATTTGTGATGCAGAAACTCCAACAAATGCGTAACTGTAACACTTTTTTCTCGTGATAGACTCTGAAGCGTTAAATTCTCAACTGTTAATACCTTATTTGTAGTTACTACATGACTTTTTATCATGCAAAAGCAACACGAGCCGCCAGACGAGTCGCATGACAAAAAATTCTCGAACAAGGGGAAGGGCTACACAGCATCGAAATCTGTTCCAAATTTATGATGCGAGAGTTGCAAGCCTGCCCCTTTCACTTACGTTGTCGTTGCCTCACAATTTCATGTAACAGCTGAAAATATAACATTTGCGAGCACCATAGTAGAAGCGAACTGCATGCGGAGCAAATCGATACGGACAAGTGGAATAGCGAATGAAAATATGTCTGGGTCTGGAAACCTGTGAACTTGTTATGCGTAGTTGCATCTCGTTCTCGTCACATCAAAATAAATCTGTCATGCTTGGGCAGCAAAAGTGACTTTTTCTCTTGTCACCGAAAGAAGGCACAACTTTCCGTGCGGATCAGGCACTGAGAAGCCGTAGTTGCAAGACCTGCGATACCAGGTCCCTTGCGGGGCGCACTCTCTGGGTCAAGCAGACTGACACTGCATCTTCATCTTCTACTAGCAAAGCGCAGCAATCATTTTGAGTAGACCCAGACACTACATTTGCAATTCATATGGGACGGGAAAGCGACAAATGCTTTAGCGTACCCGATTGGCGGTTCCACCAAGTGGAATATCCAGGAAAAAACACATCCCCATCCAATTTGTCATGCAAAACATGCATGAAGTCCACTATTTGTCATGCAAAAAATGGATGGGGATGGGTGTTTTTTCCTGGATATGGAAAAACCAATGCACGCACACCCATGGAAGAAAGGGTGAGAAACTCCCCTGGTGGTCTATAACCTGCTCAGGTGTTACAGTCTCAAACGTTACAATAGAGTCTGGCATTTCTTGTGTTGCATGATGAGCATGACAGACTCGCAGAGCGTCCCACCTTTTGCAATACAAATTTCACCAGATTGTAGTGGGGGTTGGGGCTCCGGAACTTGTCATGCGAAATCCTATGAGAGTTGGCTAGATCATGCGCTCTTGCGTCACAGATTTCCAAACTCTATTGTAACGTTTGAGATTGTAACTACACCTGAGCGGGTTATATGGTCCGTCGAGTTCACCGATGGATCGACTCGCTTCGTTTCGCAAGTCCACCTCTATTATCAGCTGCAAATCATGTAGTGCCTGGGTCCTCTGGGAGTAGATTGCGAGATTTGTCACGCGGGTCCGGCATTTGACAGACTCTGAACTCTGTACTGCGTGACCGCGAAGTAGAGTTCCCCTTCGATCTGTCTATCGAACTCAAATCCGAGAACTCCTCAGATGCGAGCTCACATCCGAGAACTCCTCACTTATGAACGCACATCCAAGAGTTAGCAGGTCAGAAGAACGGCGCAGCATAATCTTACGCGGGAGACTTACAGCAATGCGCTCTTTGGATTTGTGTGTTGCGCCTCCAATTGCCTCATTTGGAGTTGCGGTTCAAACTTTCACACGCAGAGCGCGACGGTTCGCAAGTTTAGCCGAACCGGCGTAGCGATTTTGTTTCTGGTTTTCTGACATTGTGTGCCCATCACAGGATTCCTGGGATAGGCACGCAACACTTTGGGGGGGCCAGAAATAAAACTGCCGCGCCACTTCGGCTGTTCTTGCGAACTTTGGTGCCTTGCGCGTGACAGTTCGATCCGCGTGTCCAAGCGCGGCGACTGCAGACGTAACACGCAAAGCCTGGGAGCGAATTTCTGTGAGTCACCTGAATAAAATTGGTGCTCAGATCGGTTTTGCTGGCCACGGCACAAATGTTACGCAGGCAGCCTACAGAAATTAGGTCCCAGGATCCCACATCCGAGAACTTCTCGGATGGGGCTTCACATCCGAGGAATTCCCGGGCGTGAACTCACATTCAGGAATTCCTCGCGTGTCAGCTCACATCCGAGAAGTTCTCGGATGTGCGCTGACATCCCAGGAGTTAGTATTTGACGTGGCGAAAATCCTTGGGAGCAAACTGCTGCAAGTCACCTGCGTAAGATTTGTGGTCTGATCAGCAAGACCTATTGCAGCACAAACCCTACGCAGGTGAGTTACAGATATTAGCTCTCAGGATTTCCGCCGCATCACGAAACTCTTGACGCAGCGAAGATCCTGGGAAATAATTTATGTAAGCTACCTGCGTAAGATTTGTCTTCTCGCTGGTAATACCGATCTGGGCACAAATTTTATGCAGGTGACTTACAGAAATTAGTTCCCAGGATTTACGTGCTGCGCCTCCAATCGCCTCACTTGGACACGAGGATCATCAGTGTGTGCAAGTGTGGCGACTGGAGACACAGTACGCAAATCGCAGGAGTGCATTTCTTTGAGGCACGAAAGCCGAAGCTGTAGGCGCACGCGCTCTGCTGTGTTATTAGGTAAGAAAACTCGCGCAGCAGCTTTTTCCTCCTGGCCTTCTAGAAGTGTGCTCCTGAACACATGTGCAGAGCGATCAGCTTTTTCTTCTAGGAAGAAGACGCAGCTTCTTCTAGAAGAAGAAGCAACTTCTTCTAGAAGAAGAAGCAACTTCTTCTAGAAGCTGCGTTTTCTAGAAGAAAGCAAAGCTGTGTCTTCTACAGGAAGACCAGCCTTCTAGAAGAAGACAAAACTTCGCGTCTTCTTCTAGAAGAGGACGCAGCTTCTTCTAGAAGAAGAAGCTGCGTTTTCTTCTAGAAAACTCAGCTTCTAGAAGAAAACTTCCGGAAAAAGTGTCCGGAAAAAAGTTTGCAAAGGGGTCTTGCAAAGGGTTTTGCAAACTACCTTAATCACGAGGGTACAAAGGTTGCGCCAAAGGGGTCCACCAAAGTGTCTCGGAGAGGGGTTTCCGCGAGACCTTTTCAAGTTTTGAACTTCTTGACCCCTTTTAGAGTCTCAAAGAAATTCAATGGATTTCTTTCAGAATCTCAAAGGATTTCTTTCAGAATCTCAAAGGTCGGCATTACCGATCGAAATGCAGATCCTACGCGCGCCACTTACAGAAATTAGTTCCCAGGATCCCACATCCGAGAATTCCTCGGCGTCAATGGCCCAAATTCCCGCGGCGTTCGGTGTTTCGCAAGCATACACCTTCGCAGACACGGCCGATTTTCGGCGTTTGCCGTTTTTGCGCCGGGCCCCGAGGGTCCGGTCGCTAGCAATGAGGGGCCAGCGCGCGCCTTCGTTGTGTAGCCGGCGCGCCTTTTGTGGCAGGCTGCGTGGCTTTTCGCTTTGTTTTTTTCGTTTCTTTTCCTACTTGGGTCCACTGTACTGCGTGGCCGCGAAGTAGAGTTCCTCTTCGATCTGTCCTGCAAGAACGCAGTTTGTCATGCGCCGGAGCACGCAACTCAGAACCATGGAAAGAAAACTTGTCAACATGCTGGGCAGCGCGTTACAGTGCGCTCACTATTTTTCCGATTCTTGCATCAAAAGTTCCCAGACCCAGATCGATATTCGCATTTGATATCTTTAACCGGGACTCCTGCTGTCCGGACCGTCTGCACAACAGCCGCGTGTGGCTGGATCCGCAACTCCGCGCCGATCCGGCTGACAAACAAGAGGTAGGAAAAGAGCTGTGGAAGCTAACGAAAAACACACTGATGCAGGAGGGCAGAGATTACTTGCAGCTCGGCTCCGTAAAGGGTGCCAAAGGCGGTATCACAGGAAAAAGTGTTTCACGTTAACGGAATTTGTGATGCAGCAATGTTGCATCACAAAACGTGCCAGAATTTGTCATGCATAGCATGCGTATCTATAATTGGGCTACAATTGATATTGATGTGATGCAGGAATGCAATCTGTGAAAACCGTTAAAAACGTTAATGCTTTTTCTTGTGTGATAGGCGGAGGGACAGTGCTACAACTGAACCGCAACGTGAAGTATCAGATGCAAATATGTCTGGGTCTGGAAGGTTGCAACTTGTGACGCTGCATTTCGATACTACTACAAAAGTCTGTGTTGCATGAACAGCAGATGAAGAGGTCCAGTGTTTGTCACGGCGAGAGGGCATTTCTCATGCGGTATAGGCAACATGAGGAAGCCCGCACAATAAAATCTGTGATGCTAGGGCATGCATCACAGACGTCAACAGGGGTCAACAACATGCAGACTGTGCATGAAAATAAACCTTGCATCCTTCCAGACCCAGAAATCTTTGCACCGGATATGAAAAAAATATATATTTCCCAACAGCTGCACGTGGGTCGCAGATGGCGGCGTGGTGGAGGACTCACTATCTGCGGCTTCCACATGTACACGGCTGATCCCCTGTACGAAGAATACGGAATCTGGGCCCCTTATGGAAGTGGCAGGGTCGAAATCGACAAAGTCGAAAAATTTGCATATGCATTAAATGTCGGGAAAGTAGGGCCTGTGTTGGGGAGCAGGCAAATGAGACCGATTGCAAGCCTGTTTAAGGGAAGACGATGCGCTGCCAGAGTGGCATGACAGGAGCAGTCTTCTTTGCCCAAACAGCACGACGGACTCGATTTTGGTGGCGCCGGAATTTGTCACGCGCCACTTGGAGAGGACTGAGGCTCCAGCTGGTCGCATCTTCGATTGTATGCCGCGTCTTCACAAATCATAATCATTTCGATTCTATTGATTTCGATCCTGACGCTTCCATGCCCTTCACGTACCACCTATGGCGTCCTCAAACGTTACATTCTCATCTGTTACATGAATTTGTAATGCAAGAATGGCGAACGTGAAAGGAATGACCTCACGCGTCTTGCATGACAGCTCTGACAAAGATTCTAAGCCTGTTTGGCGTTTCGCGAATTTGCCATGCGAAGAAGCTCGGTTCTTGCGTCGGCTCTGATCGTAGTTCTGCATGCCAAATTATGTAACAGCTGAAAGTGTAACGATTTGAGAACGCCATACCACCGCCGCGCATTGGCGCCATGACCACCCGCATGACTCCCGATTGTCGCGAAACCGTCAATATGGATTGCAAAAATGTCTGGGTCTGGAAGATTGCAACTTGTCATGCTGTCTTTGAATTCTAAAAAAATGTGTATTGCGTGACCAGCAACAGGACTCCAGTTTGTGTTATGCGGGGAGGTCATTTGTCATGCGGAATAGGCATCAGGAAGCCTCCCAAAAAACTGTGATGCTAGATCATACATTACATGCGTCATGGATCATACAAAATATGCATCACAAATCCCAGAATCGTCCAGACCCAGATATTTTTGCCTTTGATAGTCAAAGCCCAGGTATCCCATTACAAAAACGAGCTCGAGGGCGGCTTCTTGGCCCTGCGGGGAAAGTGGTCACCGGCTGACCCGCCCCGTCCCTTCGTGTGGCAAGATACCGATCCGTGGGTGATGTATGGGCAGTGTGAAGGCCAGAATAAAGAGCAACCGGTGGGCACTCTACCGAGCGGGACATCGGGCCAGTTTGTGGATCCCACACGCTTTGAAATATATCCACCAGGAAAAAAGACCCATCCACATCCAACATACATGAAATTCTGCGTCTGTCATGCAAAAAATGGATGGGGAAGGGGAGGTTTTTTTTTCTGTGGATAAACTAGGCGGTGACCTAGTGAACGGGGTGACGTCGAGCGGCCACGATGGCTCTGGCTCGGAGGGTGATGATCCTACCTATGCGCCGGTCAACGTGTTGTATCGACATATGCCAAACATGCTCTTCGACCTCGGGAACCATGTCGACTGCAACATGGGGGACTCCTCGTGCGAGCAGGCACGCTGTATCAAAGATGGCTGCAGCTTTTGCTTTCGGGCCGCTGCAGCCGCAGGAACAGCCACGTGGTGGAAGGCAGAATTTGATAGCCGGCACATTACCGGCTTTGTGATTTTCGGGCGGCAGATCGGCAGTGACGTGGACGCGAACATTAACTCCGCGGTGTACAAATTAAGCGACAACCACAGCGGCACGTATGAAATGCAAAAGCATCGTACTAGTATAAACCGCATGACAAATCACCTCAGCATGAGAAATAGAATTTGTAATGCGGATTCAACTTGAGAAAGAAATTTGTAATGCATGAATGCGCTGTGAGCCCCCAGGACCAGGCTGACTCAGTCCCGACCGAAGTGGTAGGCGCTAGGGTGAACTATGTATGTAGCGCTTAGGGCCCTTCCGTGCGGCCATTTGTATGTCCCGCAACGGGGTTCGCCTATGTCGGTCATTTATATGCAAGGCGATGGGTTACCCGGTCGGCAGAGCCGATCCACACGAACGAACGAACGACGAATGCGATCAGTACGACTGCGATACTTTTGCACAGGATAGCACGCTGCCCAGCCCAATTTCCGTGTACGGAAGCTGGGTCCCGCTGGAGCGAAAAATCTCCGTATGGAAGCGTCAAAATCGAAATCAACAAAGTGGATGAAGAAATAGAAAAACTTGTACGTGCATAAAATGCAAGCCACTGCCACAAAATGCCTGTCTTGCAGAGTAGGCAAGTGAGACAGGTCGTAAGCCTGTAGTTGAGGGGTAGAAATGGAGCTGCTAAGGTAGCATGACAAAAGGCGTCTTCCTTTCGCACACAGCATGACAAACTGGATTCAGGCTCTACCCAAATTTGTCATGCAGGCAGCACTTCTTGGAAACTGGGCACCAACTGGTATCCATTTTGATATGCGCAACAAATGATTTCAACTTTGTCGATTTCGATCCGGAAGCTTCCATACTCCTCCATCGAAATTTCTCACTCCGACGGGAAGTCGTTCGGTATGGTGTTCTCCAACGTTACATTCTCAACTGTTACATGAATGTAGAATTTGTGACGCAAGAACCGAAACAGTGGCACTGAGTGCAAGGGGCAAGCGTGCAACTCGCATAGCAAACTCTGCACAGATTTAGGTGCTGTCTAAGTAGCCCCTCGGGGATTTGTCATGCTCGGTAGCTTCATCGTGTGGTGGCTCATGGTAATTTTGCATGACAAATCATGTAACTACAGTCGAGAGCGAAACGCTTGAGAGTCCCATATTCGTCTTTTGTGGGTTTTGGCTGTTCGAACAGAGCACCGCCGCCCCGTCCGTGGGCAGCTTATCCTGTGTGAAAACGTCCTCACCCGCGAGTTTTCATGAAAATCTGCATGCCAAAAAAGTGTCTGGTGCGGAGCCCCATGAGACGCAATTTCTAGTCGTGCTGTGGAATTTGTGATGCTAGAATCGGCATGGTATGCTAGATCTGTGATGCTGCTTTACTACCTACACGGGGCTACACTACCAGGGCAAACTTCTCATGCGAAGCAACCGAAGCTTGCGGATTTGTCTAGCAGATTTGCCATCTTGACTATGGGGTGTTTATGTACTGGAAAAGACCAATTTAAAGCACAGAGAAGTTTTAAATTTTCAAAAGGAAAAGAGGAGAGAACGAACTACGACGAGAAGAGAAGCATAATCTATGTGGCCACTGTGTATATGAGGTATCTATTGCGATGCGCGTGCTGGCAGGGGCTGGGGACTACTGCCCTCAGGGTCCCGCAGGCTCTGGCTGGGCTGCAGTTCTGACCTAGAACCTAGGCAGCCTAGTCTTGACTATGGGGTGGGGACGTTTTTACTCAGGATGCCGCTTCGTGCATCCCTACCTGCAAATGGAAGCCAGTAGTAGCGGCAATTGGGAAGATAAAGAATTGCCCTACGTACCGGAGATGCCTCTGGCGCGTAAGTTTCCCAATGAACTCGTGAACGTGAATCCTTTATCAAAAGGAAAGATCCCCCCTCCCCATATCAAAACGGAATTTCTGATGCTGGATTTGTGTACGCAAATTTGTATTGCAGGAAAGCACTGCGGCCAGATCCCCAGGCTAGGTAGGGGGGTATGCGTCTAGTTGCCGAGCATGGCAAACCGCTCCCCTTTAGGCCCAGCAGCATGACTAACCGCCTCCATAATGGGGCGGAAGCTTCTGCCTTTGTCTTCTTGCAAAACTAATGCGATTTGCAGCCTCAAATCAGGAACGCAAATTTTTGGAAACGCGCCTTTTCAATATGGGGAGGGGGGATTTTTCCGCTCAATATCCTTCTGCGAATCGCTGCACTCGCAGAAGAGGGCACGGAAGGAGAAGGAGACGGAGCAAGGAGTGCCGTTTTCGGTGTCGGGCTGACTACCGAGCGAACAAGCAGGCCCCGGACAGCGAGCCCTATGAGCGGTTGTACCAAACTGCGCCCTGGTCGTATGACGGGCAATATTGCGACTACTGTTGGTGGGCCAACAAGGAAAGTGACGACAACAACTTCTGGTGGAAAGTCGAATTCACGGAACGCCACATCTCAGGTTTCGTCATGTTCAGGCGAGACATCGACCGTGGAGGCGGAAGCGACGAGCTCGCCCAGGGTGCCAGCTACACCATATCTGGGCCGTCGATCACCGCCTCGGACGGAACAAACAGCATTACTGTAGGGACCCTGCCAAGTTTCCTCTCGCCGTACGGGACTTGGGTGTCTTTGAGGGAGTATGTGGATCAAAAAATTTCGGCGGTAACGTTGAGCAAAACAGGCGGAGCCTGGGGCTTTTGTGGCTTCCATTTGTTTGATATCGGAGTGCACAACTCCCGCCCCTCCCCCTCATTTGTGAATGCAAAATAATCACTATGTATCTTCTGCATGACTGATTTATTTGGAACAACAAGAACCTCAAAGACTACTACAAGCCGTGTGCAAAAGATTTGTCATGCGGGGCCCACGTGTCTGCCGCTTCCTGTGTTGCAGCTCACGCCCTGCTTCCGGTGAGGAGGGGGAGGAGGAGCAGTAGTTGTGCGCTCTGATATTTGAAGCAGTCGGCGAAGTCGGGCCCCAGGAAGCCGCCTTATATCAAACCAAAAAAGTTCTTCGCAACGATCACTCATCGGCGCTCTTTTAATACAAAAATCATCTGAGTCATGATGCATCAACAACATGCATCTCCTTCACAACCCTAAACAACTTCATACGGGATCATTTGCCTTGTGTTTTTGCAATTATACTGTAACAAGTGAAGATGGTGCCAGAAGTAGATATAAGAATTTCAGATGCAATAATGTTGAAACGACCTGCACAATCAATATAAGAAAATACAAGTAGTGGAGTGGGAGCGATGATAAACTTTTGTTCTTTCCATACCTTCAGTCGCCTGACCACTACCCTGATCACTACCCCGTTTGACGGGGAGCCCCAGACTTGCGCCGACCGCTGTCGCTCCACCGTTGGCTGCACGTCCTTTAGTGTTTTCAAAGGAAAAGCCAACGAGGATGGCGTCGTGCCCGAAACTGAGTCCGTCTACCGTCACCCAGATTCCATCGAGTCACTCTTCGCACAAGACTCGGTCGAGAACTTGGAGCAGATGCAGCGGACCTGCTGCATGCTGTGGAGCAACCGCTACCCGGTCAGCGACCGGGTCCTGAACCGGAGCCCCGGTCCGTTAGCCAATACAAGAACCTGGAATTGGCAGTTTTTCGTGCTCCAACCGGCCCCTGGCACCGCGCAAACTCAGGTCCCCGCGGGCCATCACGCGGTGAACCGCGAGAAGTATGGGACTCCGAAACGTTACATTCTCAACTGTTACATGATTTGTCATGCAAATTTACCAGCAAGATGAAGATCGCCACGATGAAGCTGCCTCGCATGACAAATCTCCGAAGGGCATAACAGCATCTAAATCTACGCCAAATCTGTAATGCAAAAGGCGCAATCTTCCCCCTTTCACTTTTGCCGTTCTTGCAATTCCAATCCGTGTAACAGTTGAGAATGTAACACTTGAGAACGCCATAAGAAGGGCTTTCAGATTGTGACTGCGGAACGCGCCGGTATAGTGTACGCGAACAACGTAGACGATCCTACGCTGTCGTCGGTCGCCTACGGCAGTATCGCCACCAACCGTTACATCGACGGACATGCAGCGGCTCGCAAGAACGGGTGCTGGACCGATTTGGAGATGCCCGGGAAGCAGGATCAGCACGGGCCTGTTGGGATCTGGTGTTCCCGCCAACTGGGGGGCAGCCACAGGACGTGCGAAACCGGTCCAGATGACAGCGCCTCTTGTGATCAGGACCTGTCTTCTAGCAAGGCAGTATTCTACTTCATGGGGCTGCGTTCGCTACCGGACGCTCATCACCTGCGCGTGGCGGCGCGCGTCCGTGGTCGGCCCCCGAGTGACGTGCCGGGCAGCGAGTACTACAATCCGGAGGAAAACGATGATAGTGAGTTTCTGTGGGTCAAGGTGGAGGGGGCCAGGGCGCCGCCGAACTGGCGGACCGTGTCGAGGAACGCTTTCACCTATGACACCCTCAGAATGGAAATCCTCAACGTGGAAATAATTTGTGATGCATGAAATGCCACACCAAAAAGACTGTATTGCAGAGAACGCAATGGAGGCCGATTATTGTGCTTCTACGGGTTCAGAGTTGGGCTGCTGAGTAGCATGAGAGAAGGGCACTCCTTTGCCTAACTAGCATGACAGACACGTTTTGAGTGCCCGGGAAATTTGTCATGCGCCGACTAGAAGCGGTGCCTTAACTGGAGTCGTTTTTTTGCATTACAAATTACCAGCCATGCTCCGGCTGCCGCCGGAGCGCAAGGCTGTTGGGCCGGGGCAAGACTGTTTGTTGATTGGACCGCAACACCACGGGCCTGCGCATAGCGAAACATACTGGAGTCCTGCCGCCTGTTTGCGTTGCGCCAACCCGCAGGACCGCTTGCGCGCTTCCCGCGCCTGTGGGCGCTCTGCGCAGGGAGCAGCTGGAAAGAACACCGGGGGCGAACAGAAGCCGCCCGGCGCGAGAGGGTAGAGCGAGAGGGTGGCGCGAGAGGGTAGCGCGAGAGGGTTGCGCGAGAGGGTCGCGCAAGTGGGTGGCACGGAAGGACGCCGAGCAAAACAAGTCCGCGAATGGCCTGCAGTGCGAAATGTGGGCAGCACCATGCGGATCCGCGCCCATTAATTTCTTGCTGTTTTTACCCTCTCGCAGACCTCTCGCAGACCCTCTTTTTGACCTCTTTTGGGGGTCCCCGCTATTAATCCGGCTATACTCGCCAGTAGAGGTCTACAAAGGTGGTCGAGAGGTGGCCCAGGGGGTGCGCGAGAGGATTCCCCTTATTCGCGCAACCTCTCTGCACCTCTGTCCACCTCTCGGCCGCCCTCTTTTCTACCTCTCGGCACCCTCCGAGGCGCTTAGCGGCCCTAAAGGCCGACCGGTTCGGCGGGCTATACTCGCGCCACCTCTCGGCCACCCTCCCGAATGACCTTCCGCGCCACCTCTCCACCTCTGTCGACCTCTTTTTTACCTCTTTTGACCTCTTTTGGACCTCCCTGCCACCTCTCGTTTTCCCTCTCTAGACCAGTACTTTCGCATGAATATAATAGATAGTAATTTTCACTTTGAGGATTTCCAACCTGAGGCTTTCATATCACCGAGAATGGCGCGGCGAGCGCGCAGCACGCGGCCGAAACTGCTACTTACGGGCTTGGGTACGTGAGTACCACCTTCGACCTGGTCGATGCCGGCAACCCCACGGCCGGTAACGGACGCATCTATGAGCTAGCACTGGTCCCCGGGCAAGACGGCGTCGTCGTGCAGCGGGTGTTTCTGGACGTCGTCCGGGCATCTAAAGCGTATGTGCAACGCGCGCAACTTCGTGATACGACGAACTGGATCGATGCAGACTGGAACTACGACTCTTGCCAGTCCGGCAAGCAAACGGAGGAACACAAAAAAGACAAGCGGACCACAAAACTCCCGGTTCTCTGCTGTGGGGACGAGGACTACATCCGTGTATGCATTGCAACTGTGTCTGGGTCTGGAAGGTTGCAGCTTGTGATGCGATGTTTCGACCCACCTAAAAAGATTTGTATTGCATGACGAGCAAGAGGGCATTTGTGATGCGGAATAGGCATGATCAGGAAATCTGTGATGCTAGGCCCCGCATTGATTCCAGTAGACCTCATGGGTCATGGGAAACCTGTGTGACAAACTTTCTTTCTTCCAGAACCAGACATATTTGCATTTGATACCGTGGACCTGGATACGATAGCTGCAGGATCGAAATTATCCGCAAAGTTGAAATAGTTTGATGCGATGTATAAAATGCATCGGCCTATAGTGCCTGGCGTCTTGCGGGGATGGCAAGGACTGGAGCCGATCATGATTCTTGTAAGCCTCTTTTATTGGGCCACCTGAGATAGACATAGAGCTCGAGCTGGTAAAAAAATTAAGATGACAAAAGCACTGGTCCTCTGTGGTGAGCAAAGAAGAACAAGAAGAAGGACATGACATAATAAATTGGGTCTCGAGGGTGCTGCAGCTGCCAAAGTGTTCCATGCGTCCCCTTGAAGATGAACTGGGCAGCTTCATCAATTGGTACTCTTCATTCTTTTGTGTGGCACATTCTTTCAACTTTGTCAATTTGTTTCGACCCTGGCGCTTCCATATTGGATACGCGCCTGCTGTGTCGACGGTTAATTTTTACACCAAGACGGACGGGAAAAAGGTGGACTGCGTCGCCCCTCCCCACCCGCTCACGGGCAGAGTGTTCGACACTTGTCAGGCGGATGGCCAGGGCGGGCTGTTCACCTTTGCGGAGGCCGTCAAGATATGCCAACACCTGAATAATCGCCGGCTGTGCTCGTCGGACGAGTTAGAAAAAAGCAATGAAGGGGCGAAGGCAAACTCGGGCGAGAACCTCTGCGAGAAGTCGGGCAGCCAGTGTGACAACGCCTGCATTTTTATCCTATGCAAAAACTATAATGTTGTCCCCATCAGATGAGGATGACCTTGACCCCATCCTCTCCTTTTCATCTTCCCTAAAATAGATTTGAAGTAGTTTCTCTGTGCTTTATTTTGGCCTACTTGCAGCTTCTCCAGTTGTACATAATAAACACCCCATAGCCATCAAGTTGGGGACTCGGCTACACAAGGCCGGCAAGTTTTGGCTCCTGGCGCGCATGACACTTTCGGATTCATCGCCGTGTCAACGTCGCGCTTAGCTAAATTGTAGCAAGCTGCATCACAAAAAATCGATCCCCTGGTGCTCATGCTGATTCTACCATGACAAAGTGCCAGACAGCATGACAGAATGATCCTCAACATGGGGTCCTCGCTCTGCAAGACAAACATTTGAGGCTTGCAGAATTGCATGAAAATTTTGTGTGGTCGTGGGGAGGTCGCTTATTTTCCACAGGATAATTTGGACGGGCACGCACATCGAGGACGTATCCTGAGGAAAAACGTACCCACGCCAGAGTTGTAATGCAGATTTGCAAAGACAGGAAGACTTGTAATGCGCATCCCCATGAGAGCCATTTCCAGTCGTGTTTTGGAATTTGTGATGCTGTGAACAGGATGAGCAGACGCATCTGTGATGCGGCTGCACTTGCTAACCTGCACTACACTGCATTGCGCAACTTGTCATGCGTGACGCACAAAGCTCCTAGGTTTGTGTTGCAAAATCCTCATCCTGACTCTGGCGTGGGTACGTTTTTACTCAGGATAGGACGCCGACCAGACGTACTCGGATGTCGACGAAACTTACGGCGGCGGTGCCGTGTTTCTGCGTTCTGGGGCGGTTCCGCGGTGCCACGACCCCGGCACGAATAAAAGCTGTGGGCCACAGCTGCAGCAGTGTCTGGTGATGTGCGGGGGCAGCAAGGGGACTTGTACCGGGTGCGATGCTGCGGACGGCTCCGCCACCGGGGCGTGCTGTAAAGCCGACGACTTAGATGACCCGCCGGAGTGCAAGCAGATTCCGCTAAGCCATTTTCAGAGGGACGGCCACGGCGAGCTTCTCGGATACCACCACTGCGTCCTGAACACAGGTGGTGATGCGCCTGGAAGTCTTCAAGCAGCCCAGCTTGGTCCACACGATAGAATGGGCCCACGGCAGATGGAGTGCCCGCATTCCTGCAATACTTATGACGACGTAGCAAAAGAGTACACAAAAGAAGGCTGGTGTCAAGGATGTAACTCCAAAGAACCTAACGAAGAGACAGGCAACCCGTACTATGGTGCTTGTTGCAAAATAAACGACCCCAATTCGTCCAAAGGCGAGTGCAAAAGCGCGCCCGCTGAACGGTTTTTCGGCGCATCTGAAGACTACGCTGTGTGCGTGATTCCACGTCAACTTCTTCATCCTGGTAGCCCCGACGCTAGTACGATTACAACTGTAACGACTTCTGCGCCGCTCCTGTTGCTGCAAGAAGACCAGGAGAGACAGCAGATGCAGAAGGTAGCTGCGGAGGACCACCGGCGCATGGCGCACCGAGATCGTTCGGGCGCAATGTTGTCGACAAGAAAATCAGCGCTCTCTGTCTCGTATCAAGAACTGCAAATATAGTGTCTGGGTCTGGAAGTAGAGTGCAAAGTTTGATGTCATGCAGATTTTCCATGACACATCAGGTCTGGCGAGCAGGACGACCTAGCGTGACACAACATTCTGTGAGGTCTCTACCGAGCCAATCTTGCGTGTGAAGCTCCCTCTCAAGAACTTGGCCACAAGTGGATTATACCAGCTGTTGGTAGTCATGCACCATCACAGATTTTATTTTGCACGATCCAGATGTTGACTTAGCATGACAAGTTGCAGCCTTCCACCAGACCGAGAGCACTACACGTTTGCGATTGATATCTCATCGTCTACGTCTTTGGCTGTTTTCTCGCGGGACACGACAAGCGCGCGCGCGGCGGGCCGTTCCTACGGCGAGGAAAACGTCCCCATAATATCGAAAACGCCCCGTAAGTTAAGGAAAATTTCTGTTCCTGATTTATGTAGAATGCAAGTGGGAGGCAGAGGCTACAAGAGCGAAAGGAAGCACTGGACAGGCAATATGCAGCACGTGCGTGCGAGCCTCGCTACAGTAGCAGCGTCTAGCTATATCTTGTTGAACGGCTTGTAGTGTTGATCTAGGAGTAGGACGAAGCTAAACAGACGTAGCATACATCACCTGCTCCAGTCCGTTTCTGCATCAAGACAAAGCTGCTGATCTGTGGCCCCAAGTCAGAGCATCAGAAGTTGTAGTTCACCTTGAGTAGTATTTGGAGGGGGGCGTTGGCGTTTCCTCTTCATAGTCTCGTGGAGCTGCAACAACGACGAAACTCGGCATCGGCAGCGTCGCGATCAACGAGCGGCGCATATGAATTGCAGAAGTAATTATATCGCACTCGTATAAAAATAAATGCATTTACAATTACAAATTTCCACCTCAGCATGAGAAATTTGTATATGCGGATTGACCTTAAAAAAAGATTTGTATATGCATGACTGCAATACGACTGCGATACTTTTGCACAGGGTAGCGCAGCCGCGACGTCAGCGAGAACTCTAGTGCATCGGACGACCGCGACACGAGAGGGGCGGAGCATGAGCAGGTTTGCACCGCAGCCGACTGGCATCATAGGCCGGTTCATAGATCCCACCGACGCGAGCGGAGGCAAAACCTTCGCTGTGAAGGCGAAGAGCACCTGGCAACTGAAGGGGCTGACGTACTCATCCTCAGGAGACATAGTAAACACCGGCGGGAAGACCTTATGCATTTGCAAAACAAGTTCAAGTATCGTACTTTCTTAGTATAAGTCGGAAAGTCATTTTCATACGATTTATACGTTCTTATAACGTATAAATCGTACGAAAATAAATTTGTATTTCCGATGCCATAAAAAATGCAACTTGTGCACCAAATGCGGATCTACGTTAAATAGGACTTTATTTAGAGTGCATGCGCATGCCTACGGATACGATAATTATTACGAGTCGTGCGATACTTTTGCAATGCATAGCACTGTCAATGGCATAATCGTCGTCGCTGGTGGAATCGTCGTCGCCGACGCACGGGGAAGGGCTGGTGGCAGTGGAAGGCGTGTTGGGAGTACTACCCGGATTGGCCTCTGAAGCGAAAGTTTCCAATATCGCGAGGAAAAATCCCACCTCCCCATATTGAATGACGAGATTCGTTTTCGAAAATTTGTGTTGCTGATTTGTGGCCACAAATCAAATCTGTCTTGCAACCAGGCAACTCCACAGGCTCCGCCGCACTATGTTGGCGGTTTGTCACGCTGTTGGGCCTACAGCGCGGACGTTTTTCATGCTAAGCGCCTAGGCCGCAACCTCTCTACTCAGGCATAGTATGCGCCTGCAGTCCTCTCCAGCAGCACAAATCTGATTTGTGTGCGCAAAGCCAGCGTCAGAAGCTTCGTTTTGATATGGGGAGGGGGCGGGATTTTTCGTTTTGATATCCAAACGAGTTCACGGGCCTCGGCCTCCAGACCGGGGAAGCCTGCTGCAACCAGGGTTTTGAGAGCTACTGGGGTAACCCTGGTTATTGCGATCAATGCTGGTTCTCCTCTTTCGAAAAGTCGGCGCAGTGGTGGGAAATCGCATTCCGAGACGGAAACCCGAGGAACGTGACCGGATTCGTGATCTTCGTTCGAGCCTGCCGCTCTGGTGACGGCATTGAGACATCGGTGCAATTGTCAGACGTATACCTCAACGGGGACGAAACCGATAGCTCGCCCGCGTTTAAACTGGCAGCCGACATCAGCGCATACGGAACGTGGCACCCGATCCCGCGGGACAAGAAAGAAGTTACGAAGATCAGAATCGTAAAAGACGATCCGGATTTGAAAGCCTATAATGACAGGAGGAGGCATCGTCGGAGAGGTCTTACCGGAAGGAACGGCCTGTCGATGGCCGGCTTCTGGTTGTTCGAAGAAGTAGCGTCCTACACGCCCCCCCTTGCCGAGGAACACTTCGATAAGGTTGTGCCGGTGTGTAGTAACTGCGGGCCGAGGCAGCATGAATGTACAGACGTTTGCCCGGACCGAGGTTATTGCAGTCATTGCGATGCATATGGAGAGAAAAAAGTTTGTCGCAGTCACTAATTCGCAGGTTTTGCATTACAAAAAATTTTCTCAACACCACAAACTTTCCGTGTATTGCAGAAACACTAGGGAATAAATCCCTATATGAAGTTTGGCTGTGATGCATTCTTACGCATGACAAACAATTTTGTATATGCAAAAATGCGCATGAGTGATCGTGGCGAACTGTTTTTCTTATTTGATAATGCAATTGACTACCGACACCGAGGTGCCTGCTGCATGAAGAACGTGAGAACGGACGGGGCCGCTTGTAACAAGGTGCCCCCTGATATCCAGGAAAAAAACTGTGTTAGTGTAACTTTCTTTGGTTGACAGCATCACAAATTTGCTCTACATGACAGAGAAAACCTGTCATGCGTGACTTGTAAGGGAAAACGCACACGAATAGAGGACTTCGTGGCTGTCTGGCATGACAGGTGTAACTCTGTTGCATGTTCTGCATCACAAGTTTACACTTACACAGTTTTTTTCTTGCATACCTGAAGCCTTTAACCCGTCGCTGACAGCGGAGGCTGTCGACGAGGCGCCTTACTACGAGTGTGTTATTGTTTATTCAAAGAAAAAAGTGCTACTGTTCTTACACACTGTGTTGCAAAACACGCAAGACAGTCGGCCTCTGTCATTCGCAAAACGCTTGCGAGTGGTCCCGTTTCGTGTGCTGTGTTTTGCCTAGTAGTATATGCAATCTCTGCATTATATATCATGCGAGGCAAATACAAATTTGTGATGCTGAATTCCCTACATAAATGTGTAAAAACTGTAACACTTTTTTCCTTGGATATTGTTCCCAATTCCTATGTGCGAGTCGGGGAGGGTGTGTGTGTGCCACCTGCGGGGGGCTACGCTCCGTGGCCCGTCGCCACCTTTGCTGTCGACGTGGACGAAAAAGCCGACTTCGTCGCCGGCCATTGCGTCGCACTTTGCGACTCCTTTCCGAAATATCCTGAGTAAAAGCGTCCCCATATTACCAGAGTCAACTACAAGATGGGAAATCTGCTAGACAAATCAGCCAACTTTGGCTGTTTCGCATGACAAGTTCGTCCCCGTAGTGTAATCCTGTTCAGCTAGTTCAGCAGCATTGCAGAGCTATCGAGTCATGCTATTTCTAGCATCACAAATCCCAAAACACGACTGAAAAAGCCTTCGCATGGGGCTTCGCCTGAGAAACTTTTTTGGCATGCAGATTTGCATGACAACTCTGGGGTGGGTGTGTTTTTACACAGAATACGAAATGCGTCGGGTTTGAGAAGTACATCGTCACGGATGGCAACATATCAAATGTAAAAATGTCTGGGTCTGGAAGAATGCAACTTGTGATGCTGCGTCTGCATTTTTATCCAAAAATCTGTATTGCATGAACAGCAAAAGAGGGGGTGGCTTTGGGTACGGCGAGAGGGTATTTCTCATGCGGTATAGGCATCAGAAAGCCCTCGCAAGATCTATGATGCTAGGGCATGCATCGCAGACACCAGGAGTCATGCAAAATGTGCATGACAAACCTTGCATCCTTCCAGACCCAGACATATTTGCATTTCATACAACACAGTCGGCGAGCACATTTTCTCAGCTGGCGCGACCTGTACTCTGATTGGGATCGAGATCGACTCCGATGTTATGGAAGCGTCAGGATTGAAATTGTCAAAGTTGAAATAATTTGTCATGCATAAAATGCATGACCCGAGGCACGTGCGTTGCAGAGCAGGCAAGTGAGGCCGACTGTGAGCCTGTTTGGGGTTACAGCTCGAGCTGCTAAAGTAGCATGAGAAAATCGCTCCTCTTCGGCTAAACAGCATGACAAACTGGATTTAGGGACCGCCGAAATTTATGTCATGCGGCACTTGGAAACTGGGTTCCAACTGGCATCCATTTTATGCATGGCAAATTGTTTCAACTTTGTCGATTTCAACTCTGACACATCCATAGATGTGGGGCCGAACGTAGTGGGGCCACACAGCGATCACCAAGTGGAGGACCCCTACCACCAAGGTACCGAGTACTATCTGCTCGACCGGCGCGTGAAAAACGACGAAGAAGGGGGTGACCCGCAGGACCGGCCCTACAACGAAGTTTATCAGAATGAAAAATTCCCCCTCCCCATATCAAAACGAAGTTTCTGATGCTGGATATGCGTACACAAATCAGATTTGTCCTGCTGGCGAGGACTGCAGACCCATACTAAGCCTGAGGAGACAGGTTTTGGCCTTGGCGCTTTGCATAACAGACGTCTACGCTGTAGGTGCAACAGCATGACAAACCGCCTGCAGAATGCGGCGGAGCCTGTGGAGTTGCCTTCGTGCAACAGCAACACAGAGACGATTTGTGGTCACAAATCAGCAGCGCAAATTTTCGACAACTACGTGCCTTGTCAATATTGGGAGGGGGGATTTTTCCTTGTGATAAAGTTTCCGGCTCCTTCACGGGTGGAATCATTGACATGGAGTGCTACCGAGACGACAGTCGGCACGGCCACCACGAAGAGGGGGTCACCATTGACACGGCCAGCACAGCGGCTTCGCAATCAACATAGGTGGCCACTGATGTCGTGGTCATTGAGGTGGAACTCCGGACTATCTTCAGTGTACACAGCTAGAACGAGAAGGTAGTTGTTACGGACTAGCTAGTGAACAAAATGATTGGCGTGGCATCTTCACCAACAGAAGCAAGAGACCACACATTGTTCTTGCTTCCAGATTTATTCGCATGACACCGCGGTCAGCTTCAACAGCAGGGATATTTTGACTTAAGAATGACAGGCGCCTCTATGATATTTTTTTTCAAATAAATTGAAATTTTACTTAAAAGCCTTAGCCTGGCGCAAGATCTTGCCGAATAGATTAAGAACTTCGGCTACAACTTCAACATCTGTGTCCTCGCCGAAGCAACTCTACCCACCCAGCTGGTCTTCCGAGAAGAGGAATTGTTGCAAAATAAATAAGTGACTTATTATCGTTTTATACAGAACATCCAGAAGCTGCGAGGAAAAAAAACCTTCGCAGCTCGAAATTCTTGTACCCGCCAAAATGAAGAGTTTGTCGCTATCATGGACTTCATGTACATTTTTTATTTCAAAGAAAGTAGTCGCACTGCTAAACTTTGTTAAATTTTGCAGCAGTAAAATAGATATGAGGGTCTCTTTTCAAAAAGCTCTGTCTGCTTTTGCTCAGAGTCCCGCTTATTTTTTCCCCTAGTGGAGCTAGAATAGAGCTAGAGCAGCAGTTATTTTTCCTGTTGTCCAAAATAGAAGTTGAGTTTTTTTTTTAGTGAAATGTCTTCTGATTTGAGAAGATATTCTGGATTTGAGATATTCTTTTTTTATTGGATTTGAGAAGTCGTTCTCGTTGGGCGCAAGCGTGCTTAATAAGTGGAGCCCAATTGTGACTGAGAAACGAGGACCGTTTTTTTTTTGATCAATTCGAAAAATAAATTTACACAACTTTTTAAAGGCAAAACAAAATTTGAATTTTTTGTGAAGAAGTATGTTTGTGTGGTTATTCAGAGGATAGCACCTCGTCGTGGATCAAGAGCATGTGTTCCCGATGCGGACTTGTTGCCTTTCTTCGGAATAAGTTCTTTTTCGAGCATGGCTAGCTAGTTCGGTCGCCTCAGGAGAAGGAGAACAAGTCGATTTATAATAATTTCTATCCTGATCGTCCGAGCACCAACATAAATTTCCACACAATTTTAGGGAAAGAAGGTGATGCTCATTTGTTTCTATGCATGGGGGTCAAGCGCATAGACATGCAGATTCGCAGGACAAGAGCTAGGTCGTACGTTTTTACGACGTATGATAGTGAACAATTGCACGGCCCCCGGGGCGGATGAACCACAAGCGCGGCGCGTCTTCATTTTGCGATTTCGTCTCCGTCTCCTCGAGGACCAGTCCCTGTGTCCTGATGGTGCGTGCGCAGCTTCATCATCACCTGTCAACATCTCTGCTCGGGTCTTCGTGCCGCCGGGCCGCCCCCGCGCTTTGTGGTCTGGTCTTGTTAGTACATGACGTTGCGTTTTTTCTACTTCACACGTCGTCTATCTAGGGGAAAACAGAATGATTCGTCATGATCCAATTTGGCATGCAAAATATGTTGCACAAAGTCAAAGTCCGATGTAGATGTTTGGTGTCATTTGTATGCGAAGGCGTCGTTCAAACAGCTAGAGATTCTAGTTGGTGACAAATTCAAATGTACCGACAGCTGTTGTCGGTAACGGTAGTTGTTGACAAAAAGAAGAATCTTTACGCTGTCTGTATCATTCAAGTTGTCTGTTGAAGCAAAAAGTCGGAGGTCATTTGTATGCGAGGCGTTGGGTTCTTACCCGGTCGGCAGAGCCGATCCGCTCATGATGATGATGATGATGATGGTGATGATGTCGCTCAAGAAAATGGATTGGGTTGGCATGGATGTTTTTTCCTGGATGATATCGCCCTCGCCGCGGGGACCACTACTGGAAGTTGAGGGCTTTCATGTCGCCTTGCCTAAAGATTATCCTGTGCAAAAGTATCGCACTCGTATAAATGCAAGTCTTGCGTTGCGAATCCTTTTCCTTTTCTTAAGGTAAGTCCGCATTTACAAGTTTTATTTTTCATGCTGGGGGAATAGGAATTTGTAATGCATTTATATATACGAGTGCGATACTTTTGTAATTCATAAAGATGGCGGAGCAACAAGTCCTGGGGGTCCGAACTACGACCACGCACTGTATCCTGTGCAAAAGTATCGCACTCGTATGAATGCAAGTCTTACACTACAAGCCTTTTTGTTAAGGTAAATCCGCATGGCAAATTTTATCTCTCATGCTGAGGAAATTTGTAGTGCATTTATATATACGAGTGCGATACTTTATTTGCAGTTCATACACTGCGTGCGACCACAATCTTGCCCAGCTCCGTTTTCGCCCCCCTCGCGCAGATGAAAAAAAAGCGGCGGAAACGGGAGATAAGGAACCGACGGAAGGTATCCTGAGTAAAAACGTACCCACACCAGAGTCAAGATGGGGAATCGGCTAGACAAATCCACAAGTTTTGGCCGTTTTGCATGACAAATTTGGATTCGTAGTGTAGTGCTGTTTGAGCTAGCTCAGCAGCATCACAGATCTAGCGCACCATGCTGATTGGAGCATGACAAATTGCAAAACACGACTAGAAAATGCTTCTCATGGAGCTCCGCATGAGAAACATTTTCAGCATGCAGATTTGCATTACAACTCTGGCGTGGGTACGTTTTTACTCAGGATAGAAGGTGAAGGACCGGGAGATAAAAGTAGGAACGAAAGAAGTTCTTGAAGTGAAGATGAGAACGACGACTGCAGGTAGTCCAACTGGTGCTCCTGCCACTTCTGCTGCAAGTGGGCCACCTACTGGAGCCAGGCATGCGACCCGGAGTGATGAAATCGAAATGGAAGGTATTAGACGCCGAGACGAGTCCAGAAGTATCTCTACAGGTTATCGTAAGGGAAAATCCCCCCTCCCCATATCGAAGAGGTACGTCTCAGAAAATTTGTAAAATGCTAATTTGTGACCGCAAGTCGCGTCTGTCTATGCAAGGAGGCAACTCCACGGGCTCCGCCGCATTATGCGCGCGGTTTGTCATGCTGTTGGGCCTACAGCGCGGACGTTTTTCATGCTAAGCGCCTAGGCCAGAGCTTCTCTACTCAGGCTTGACGTGGGTCGTCTGCAGCCAGTCCTCTCCAGCGTCAGAAGTGGCGTCGTTTTGATGTAGGGAGGGGGGGCTTTTCCTTTTCATAGAGATGATTTTTCCGCCTCACGACCAGAAGCAGGGCCACCTCGTCCACCCATAAACAAGGTGAACACCAGACCACCACAGGACGTAGGACTCACCCCGGCGACCCCCCCTGCTGCTGCTGCCACTTTAGAGGTGGACCCCTACTTGGAGACAAAAACCACTTCTACAGAGAGCGATTACTATGCAGCCGCGGCGCGGCCGCCTCGGGACGACGCAGAGAGAGCGACGCCCTCGTCATCTCCTGCAGCTTCAATTGAAGACCTGCAGAGCGTGCTGGCGGCGCCAACATCGCTGCTGCAGGAAGTTGCCGCGGATCAACTTGCTCAACGCCGCTCTGTATCAACTGCAAAAATGTCTGGCTCTGGAAGATTGCAACTTGTCATGCTGTTTTTGGACTCTAAAAAAAGCTGTATCGCATGACCAGCAAGAGGGGCACACTTGTTTGTGCTACACGGAAAGGGCATTTCTCATGCGGAAGGTGTGTCAGGAAGCCCTCTAAGTAAAAGTCTGCGACGCTAGGTCATGCACTACAGCAACAGCCATCATGGGTCATGAGAAATATGCATGACAAATCGTGCATTCTTCCAGATCCAGACCCAGACATTTTTGCATTTGATACTTTGGAGCGGCTTCAGCTGTAAAATCTTCTACCTCGTCTGCGACCAGAAGCACGATGGACACGGACCGCTCGTCCGCTGGGACCGGGCTAGTTCTCGAAGCAGGAACTACGTCAGAAGAAGCTGCGCTCGCTGCAGCAGGACGAGAAAATGAAAATTTTGGCGCCGGCTCGCGTGAGGACAGCAGACGTACTAGCCGCGCTAGCACGCAATTAAGTCGTGGTGAAAACTACAGGCTGCAAGGCCAGCAAGGTCAACATCAAGAAAATATTATGGCGAGCCTCCTGTCCAGCAATCTTCGGGCCCGTAGTCCTTTCAAGAACGCACAGAAGCAACTGTCCGATAACTGCATTATGGAGCTGAACACAAACCATCCGCGGAGCGAGCAGAGAATCATGAGCGGAGGGCTTTTCAAGGGCCACCGCGTGGCGGGGCTGCGCACCTACTACGAATGCATGAGCTTCTGCGCCCACAATCACCAGTGTTCGGGCTTCGTTTTTGTGCACACGTCCGGCCTCAAATATCCACTGTAAATTTCCCGTACAGGAGGTACAAATGCAGTCACTGCATGACAAAACTTGCCATCAATCCTAGTCTAGCATGACAAGTTGGACACTGTCACTGCAAGTCCGCGCAATCTGTCATGCATTTTGTACATGTACAGGAAATTTATATTGCATATCAAACACGACAGCTGCATGCTGCTCTCCGGAGACTGGGACACCGCGACAGACGGCTGCTGCCATTTATCAAATGGAAAAATCCCCCCACCCCATATCAAACACGAAATTTGTGATGCTGTATTTGGGTACACAAATCGACTTGTAATGCTAGAAGGCCAAGAGCCGCAGTTGTGACCTCGTTTGCAGGTAATTTGTCATGCTGTTTCCCACTTCCAGTTGCTTCCTGTCATGCTGAAGATGTAATGCTTCCCCACGCCACCCGGCACTACAGTCCGCATCTTTTCCCTTCTAGCATGACGAAGCTGATTTGTGACTGCAAATCTGCATCACAGATTTCCGCTTTGATATGGGGAGGGGGGATTTTTCCTCACGATACCATTCCACCGAGATGGACGAAGCCTGTCGGGAAACCGTCCTCGTATCACACAAAAAAATATGTTTCACAACTTCTGTGATGACTTTGCAAGATCTGCATCACAAGTTTGCTACACATGACACTGAAAATTTGTGGTCATGCACGCATTTCCCACAGGGGAAAACACGGTTGAATAAAATCCAATGCTCTATGCAGGTGTAGCAAGACAAAGAGTTCTGTGTGCCATTTTCTGCATCACAAGTTCACAGTGAAGCAGTTTTTTCTTGCGATACCTCGGTACGATCGAGTACTACCAGCACACCTTTTATGGAAGTGTCAGAATCGAAATTGACAAAGTCGAAAAATTTGTGATGCATGAAACGCACGACGCGAAACGCGTGTGTTGCAGAGCAGGCAAGTGAGGCCGATTGTAAGCCTGTTTGGGGTTATAGCTCAAGCTGCTAAAGCAGCATGAGAGAACCAGTCTTCTTCGCCTAAACAGCATTACAAACTGGATTTAGGCACCACCTGAATTTGTCATGCGCCACTTAGAAACTGGGTTCGAACTGGAATCCATTTTATGCATGACAAATTATTTCGATTTTGTCAATTTCGATTCTGACACTCCCATACCTTTTCCGGGGGGTACGGGGCCCTGCAGGGGAGGTGGTCCGCGGAGGTACCAAATGTAAAAGTGTCTGGGTCTGCAAGAATGCAACCTGTCATGCTGCGTTTGGATTCCAAAAAAATCTGTATTGCATGAGTACCAAAGGGAATGCAATTTTTGCTACGCTGAGAAGGCATTTGTCATGCGGAATAGGCATCAAGAAGCCCTCAGAAAATCTGTATTGCTAGGGCATGCATCACAGACATTATGGCTCATGCAAAACGTGCATGACAAGTGCATAAAGGGCTTCGTCGATCGATTGTGCCACTCGGGCCTTGTGTTCCGGCTACTCCGGATCGCAATCGATGGAGGGCGGGACCTGCACCGGCGACAGGCGCTACCCAACCAACCAACCAACCAAGTGTCAGAATCTTCCAGACCCAGACACTTTTACATTTGATAGGAGGACCCCAATCCCTATGTGTGGCAGGACGCAGACCTGTGGGGCATGTATGGCAAGTGCGACGGACAAGCGTACACGGCGAGCCCCAGCAGCTACTCCCCCGCGCTGGGGAGCGACAACTCGCAGTACTCGTTCAGCGGCCACCCCCAGGATTGCGCCGACCGGTGCCGCACCACGGTCGGCTGCACTGCTTTCAGTGTGTACAAGGGCCCGTTCGACATCGCCAACGACGAAGTGCCGCTGGCAAACCGCACTTACGCGCACGCAAACCAGTATGGAAGCGTCAGGTTTGAAATCGACAAAGTTGAAATAATTTGTCATGCATAAAATGCAAGGCATGAAGTGCCTGTCTTGCCGGGATGGCAAGTGAGGCAGATTGTGAGCCTATTTAGGGTTTGCGATAGAGCTGCTAAAGGAGCATGACAAAAGCAGTCTTCTGTGCCCAAACAGCATGACAAACGGGATGTAGACAGTTGCGAAATTTGTCATGCGCCGCTTGGAAATTGGGCTTCCAACTGGTATCGATTTTATGCATTACAAATTATTTCAACTTTGACGATTTCAAACCTGACGCTTCCATAACCAGACCATCCTGTCGCTCCTGCTACCTCCAGACAACGGCGGCGGGGTGATACGACAGTGCACAATTCTCCCTGCTCCCCCTCATTTGTATGTTGGCACGAACGGCAAAAATACAAGCGTCAGGAAGAGTGCCGGTTTTGCATGCCAAATTTGCGCGACTGGATTGTTGTAGTCCTATTTCTATTTGGGCTACCAGATCATCTTGTCATGCAAACAGTGCCAAGAGGCAAAGGGTGGCGGTGGATTTTTGTGTGTTTCTTTTGCATGACAAATGAGGGAGACGAGGGGGAGTATTTGTGCACTGTCATAGGTGAGGGAGAACATGCAAAATAAAACCTGCTGCATATGGAAATGGATTGCAAAATTATCGTACTAGTACAAATGCATATACAAATTTCCTCAGCGTGAGAAATAAAATTTGTAATGCTGATCTACCTCAAGAAAAATGCATGATTGCCATACGAGTGCGATAGTTTATTTGCACAGGATATTGCATGCTCTGGAACAACCGGTACCCGGTGAACGACCGAACCGTGAACGGGGTCGGCCCGCTGGAAGGAAAGAGGGCTATGCATTGCAAAAGTGTCGTACTCGTAGTAATTGCAATTATGCATGACAAATCTTGTCCCTAAGGTAAAACAGTATGACAAAATCCAGTTCTACTCATGCTGAGAAAATTTGTATATGCATTCATAACGAGTAGGAGTACTCGATACTTTTGCAGAGAATAAGGGTGGAGGAGTGGCAATTCTTCGCCTTGCTTCCGCCTCCCGCCACGGCGCACACCCACGTCCCCCACGGGGCGGCCGTGATATCAACTGTAAAAATGTCTGGGTCTGGAAGACTCTGACACTTGTCATGCACGTTTTGCATGAGCCATGATGTCTGTGATGCATACCCTAGCAATACAGATTTTTTGAGGGCTTCTTGATGCGTAATCCGCATGACAAATAATGCCTTCTCAGTGTAGCAAAAACTGCATTTCCTTTGGTACTCATGCAATGCAGATTTTTTTGGAATCCAAATGAAGCATCACAAGTTGCATTCTTCCAGACCCAGACATTTTTACATTTGATACGTGACGGTCGGGCACCACGAAAAGGCGCTGGAGATCCTGAGCGCGCAGCGTGCCGGTATGCTTCTATCAAATGTAAAAATGTCTGGGTCTGGAAGAATGCAACTTGTGATGCTAAATTTGAAGCATGCAAAAATCTGTGTTGCATGATTACCAAAAGTCGTCCAGTTTTGACCAAGTCGGAAGCGAGTTTCTCATGCAGGATAGGCATGAGAGAGATCGCGCAGAGTCTGTCATGCTAGGTCCTGCATTTCAGACCTCATGGCCCATGGAAAAGCTGCATGACAAAGCGCGCACTCTTCCAGACCCAGACATTTTTGCATTTGATAGCTTCGCGCCAATGACAAAACCCTAAACCCTAATCCGTTCTTTATCAGGTTCGCAAACGTTTTTACATTCTCAACTTCGGGTGCGTGAATTTGTCATGCAAAAATGCTATCATCATCGTCATCCACGCTATCAAATTCAAGCTGCTTCGCATGACAAAAAAAATGCGAAGGGCTAAACAGCACCTATATTTGTAGTGCGATATTTGTATTACAAACTAAACCTCCCCTCTTTCTCTTCTGCTTTTCCCATTCTTGCATCACAAATCCATTGTAAGAACAGTGGAGAGTGTACTAACAGTTGAGAGCTGCGCCATACTGTTCGGGAATTCGGGCATGGACAAACAGATTCAGGGGCACGAGGGAGCTCTGTCCGGGTGTTGGCGGTGGGTGTACCTGGAGGGGGACACGCATCCAGACGCGATCTGGTGTCCGGACAACGCCGTGCAGCGGGCCTGCGAGAATCTATCCTGTGCAAAAGTATCGTACTCGTATTGCAATCATGCATTACAAATTTTTTCCTGAAGCCAAATCCGCATTACAAATTTTATTTCTCATGCTGAAGAAATTTGTAATGCATTTCTACGAGTACTACGATACTTTTGCAGTGCATAGAATCCTACCGCGGACGATTGTGACACCGAGCTGCTCGACAGTCGGGCCGTGTTCTATTTCATGACGCTGGGTCAGTTCCGTATGCTGTGCAAAAGTATGATCGTACTCGTACTAATTGCAAATGCGCATGACAAATCTGCCTTCTAAGGTAAAACAGCATTACATATCCCCTTTTTCTTCTTGCCAAAATTTGTAATGCAATTATATACTACTAGTGCGATACTTTTGCAATGCATATTCCGGGATGACAAGCAAATCAAACTGATCGCCCGGGTCCGCGGGAGCCCGCCGCCCGGGATCGACTTGGAGAAGTCTCTCGAAGGGTCTGGCATCGACGACGATCACTTTGTGAGTGCGACGCAAAGCGATCTGATGTGGGTGAAAGTCGGGGAGGAGCAACAGTGGAGCAAGATTCCCGCGTATGCGAAGAAAAAAGTGTTACAGTTACACATTGTGTTGCAAGACCGGCAACACAGATAACCTTTCTCATGCAGGAAAAAAATGCTTGGGAGCCTCGGTTCCTTCCTGTTTTCCCTTATCATCTTCGCATTACAAGTTTTCCCTGCCAGACAGAGAAAATTTGCGATGCAGAAACTCCAACAAATGGGTAACCGTATACACTTTTTCCTCGTGATGCCGCGGCTACCCTGACCGCCAGTGGCACGACGGAGACGAGCAACCAGTACGCGAACGGCTACGCCGTGGACCAAGCTACCGGAGAAACGTCGCAGTTTGACCTCTATCCAATGCAAATATCGACGACGCTCTGGGGGTCTGGAAGATTGCCAGGTCTGTCCTGCATGTTTTTTTGCATGGTCCATCATGTTGCCTGTAGTGACTGAATTACCATGATCACAGATTTTGATTTATTTTGGAAGGCTTCCTGATGCCTATTTTTCCGCATGACATCAAGGCCCTCTCGACGTAGCACAATCTGGGCTCCTCTTCGTGGTCATGAAGATGCAATACAGATTTATATTTATTAGCGTCCAAAGATAGCATGACACCCATCCAGACTGAGTTCTCTTCCCTGTGCTGTACCAAGGTCTTGCTTCCAGACAAAACACCAGACATATTTGGACTTGCAATGCATAACCTCTCCGACCCGGCGGACCCCGCGGGGGGCAACGGGCGCGTGTTCAAGATTACCATCCGACCGGGCAAAGACGGCGTGGTGTATGGCGGGAGTGTCAGGCTTGAAATTGACAAAGTTGAAACAGTTTGTGATGCATAAAATGCAAGGCATGAAGTGCCTGTCTTGCCGGGTCGGCAAATGAGGCAGATTGTGAGCCTATTTAGGGTTTGGGATAGAGCTGCTAAAGGAGCATGACAAAAGCAGTCTTCTGTGCCCAAACAGCATGACAAATTGGATTCCAGGGCTCCGAAAATTTGTCATGTGCCGCTTGGCAATGAGGCTTCCAACTGGTACTTATCCATTTTATGCATGACAAATCATTTCAACTTTGTCGATTTCAATCCTGACACATCCATATGGTGCTCCAGCGGCTTATAATCGACCAGATCTACGCGCCGCAGGCCTACGTACAGCGCGGCCGGAGTTACGCTCACATTAACGGAGGTGCTAACGCTCCTAACCTGGAGGCGGGCTTTAGTGGCTGTGAAAAGGTAGGAAAGGACGCCACGGCTTACAACAAGAACGAAGGGCACTATATCCTGTGTAAAAGTAAACCTTTTCTTTCATGATCGTCCCCGAGCTCCTCTCACGCAGATTAAGATTTGCAAGTTCTACGGGTGGGACCGACGTGTGTAATACACATCTTCCCGTCCGTGTAGAAAGTCCTCGTGTTTTGGCAACTGTAAAAATGCTGCAAGCAGGACAAGGTGACGGCCTTATGATAAACGACTGTCCTTAATAAAACAATGTGCAACTACGAAACAGCGAGGGGGAACTTGTCATGCGTGACACCCAAAGCTTCCGGATTTGTGTTCTTGCCGAGATTTTTCCAGCTCGTGCTTGGCTATGGGAAATAAATGGGGACGTGTTTTTTACTCAGGATGCACTACTATCGGTGCTGTGGCGACGAAGAGATAAACACTGAGTATCCAGGAGTGCAAGAAATATGTCTGGGTTTGGAAAAGAGGAAGCTGCGTTCGCATGTCTTGCATTCGATGGATTCTGGAGATTTATCTGTACTGCACATCAGTCAGCATCAAGGGCACCATCTTTTTGTCATGAAGAAACTATGGATCTTCAGACGTCGGCGTCTAGTAAATTGAACCTTATGTCATGTTTCGCTGCACTTGAGAGTCGTGCCAGAATTAAGTATCCTTTTCTTTGCATACTTTAGCATCACAAGAACTTCTTTCCATGCCCAGACATGTTTGCATTTGACGCTGCGGGGTTCAGCACAACAAACTTTTTTGAAGTCGATGCCAATCCGGAAAAGAGAGTGGACTGCATGACGCCAATATACAAGAAAAAAACTGTGTTAGAAGTGTAACTTTCTTTGGCTGACAGCATCACAAATTTGCTCTACATGACAGAGAAAACCTGTCATGTGTGGTTTGTAAGGGAAAACCCGACACATGAAAAGAGGATTTCGTGGCTGTCTGGCGTGACAGGTGCAACTCTGTTGCATGTTCTGCGTCACAGACTTGCACGACTTAGACCGTAGCTTTTTTCTTGCATAGCCAGGCACCGTCGATCGGGTAACTTTCTACCAGGCCGAGGAAAGATGCCGACTGTCGGGCAATCGGAGACTGTGCACGAGGGAAGAGCTGCAGATATCAAAATGAAAAATCCTTCATCCCCATGTCAAAGACAAAGTGGAAACGTGTGACTCGGGATTTGTTTACACGAATCAGCTTTGTCCTGCACTACTAGGACTGCACGGAGATACAAAGCATGGGGGCACGACGGATGTTCTAACGTATGCGCCTAGAAGCATGACAGACGTCCTACCTGTAGGTCCTGTAGCAGCATCAGAAACCGCCTGCATAGTGCGGCGGACTTTCTTCCTTTGCCCTCTTGCAAGACAGGCGAGAGCTGCGGCCACAAATCAGCACGACAAATCTGCAGTCGCGTGTCGTTTCAATATAATGGGCGGGAGGGGGGGATTTTTTCTCGCGATAGCGGGAGCCGAATGACAGCACCTTCGACTGGACCGCCAACGACGCGACCGCTTCGTGTCAGGGTGGAAGCGTGTGTTCGTGTACTGGGGGTCAGTGCGACCACCGATGCATCTGGACAGGCTCACACGTGGCCGCTGCAGTGGACCAGCACGGAGCGGATGGCACGAACAGCTATCCTGAGTAAAAACGTACCCACACCAGAGTCAGGATGAGGATTTTGCAACACAAACCTAGGAGTTTTGTGAGTCACGCATGACAAGTTGCACTATGCAGTGTAGTGCAGGTTAGCAAGTGCAGCCGCGTCGCAGACTCATCTGCTCATCCTGTTCACAGAATCACAAATTCCAAAACACGATTGGAAATGGCTCTCATGGGGATGCGCATTACAAGTCTTCCTGTCTTTGCAAATCTGCATTACAACTCTGGCGTGGGTACGTTTTTACATAGGATAACAGCGCTGATGCGTTCTACGGCGGCCGGGCGGTCTTTCTCTCCTCCGGTATGGGGCTCTCAATTGTTACATTCTCAACTGTTACACGATTTGTCATGCAAAATGACCATGAGCCACCACACGATCAAGCTGCTTCGCATGACAAATGGTCGGAGGTCCTCTAAATAGCACTAGAATTATCCGCACCAAATCTGTAATGCAAGACGCGCAAGGTAGTTCTCCACCTCACATGTGCTATTCTTGCATTACAAATTCATGTAACAGTTCAGAATGTAACGTTTGAGAACTACGCCATATCCGGCGTGGTACCCGTGTGCTCCATGCGAAAGCTGGTAGTGGATACGGCAGCGGCGACTGCACTCGAGAACAGCGAATCCGACACCGAGCCTCCCTCGACGTTGCAGCCGGCGCACTGCGGGCCGAGGTTGCAGGAATGTCTGCGGTATCAAATGTAAAAATGTCTGGGTCTGGAAGAATGCAACTTGTAAATGCTGTCTGCGGATTCTAAAAATATCTGTGTTGCATGAGCAGCAAGAGGAGTCAGTTCTTGGCACGTGGAGAGGGCATTTGTCATTCGTAATTGGCATCAAGAAGCTCGCAAAAAATCTGTGATGCTAGCACCAGCATCACAGACCTCACGGGTCATGCAAAATGTGCATGGCAAGTCCCGACTCTTCCAGACCCAGACATTTTTACAATCCATATGCGGATGTGCGACCAGCCGGGCGAGTGTTCCGGGTGCTTCGCCGCAGACCAGAGCGAGAAAGGCGTATCACAAGGAAAAATCCCCCCTCCCCATATCAAAAGGAAGTTTCTGATGCTGGATTTGCGTATACAAATCAGGTCTGTCTTGCAGTAGAGGAAAGCAGGCTCCTGCCAAGCCTGAGTAGAGAGCTTGTGGCCTAGGCGCTTAGCATGAGACACGTCTACGCTGTAGGCCCAACAGCATCACAAACCGCCTGCATAATGCGGCAGAGCCTGTGGAGTTGTCTTCTTGCAAGACAGACGTGATTTGTGGTCTCAAATCAGCAAGACAAATTTTCGCAAACATACCTTTTCGATATGGGGAGGGGGGATTTTTCCTCTCAATAAGGCGCCTGCTGTCGTATAACCTGCTCAGGTGTTACAATCTCAAGCGTTACAATAGAGTCTGGAACTTGTGTTGCAAAATCCGCAACATCTGGCCTACTCCCAAAGGAGCGCGCGTGACAAGTTTCGGAGCTGCCCCAAACCCCATGAGAATCTAACGAAATTTGTATTGCGAAAAACCCAATTCTCTGTATGGTACAGATGCTGTTCATGCAACACGAATTCCAGATTCTATTGTAACGTTTGAGATTGTAACATCTGAGCAAGCCATATGTCGGGCGAACGCGGCGCTGGACCCTCCCGAGTGCAAGCAGATTCCCATGTATGGAAGCGTCAGGTTTGAAATTGTCAGAGTTGAAATAATTTTCAACGCAGATGAAGACGCATGACGCGCGGCTCGTGTGTTGCAGAGCAGGCAAGTGAGGCCGATTGTGAGCCTGTTTGGGGTTAGAACTCGAGCCGCTACAGTAGCATGAGAAAATCAGTCTTCTTTGCCTAAACAGCATGACAAACTAGATTTAAGGACCGCCAAAATTTGTCTTGCGCCACTTGAAAACTTGGCTCCAACTGGCATTCATTTTATGCATGACAAATCATTTCATCAACTTTGTCGATTTCAATCCTGACACATCCATACCATGAGTCATTTCAGTAAGGATCGCGACGGGAATTTTTTCGGGTACCACCAGTGTGTGCTGTATTCTCCCTTGCACATGCCCGGCAACATCCGGAAGGATCGCATCCTGCCCATGCTCGCGATGGGGCCCAACCAGATGGAGTGCCCCTTTGCGTGCAGGAACCCGTCCTCCGGCGTGGCTATCGAGGGTTGGTGTTACGCGTGCGACTCTATCAAGAGGAAAAATTCCCCCTCCCCATATCAAAACGAAATTTCTGATGCTGGACTTGGATACACAATTCAAATTTGTGTTGCAGTAGAGGACGAATGCACGCGGATCATGAGCCCAGGGGGGGTCCTTTTTGTGTAGGTGCCTAGCATGGTACTAGACGGCTACCCTGTAGGCCTGGCAGCATGACTACAAACCGCCTGCGTATTAATAACGTGGCGGACAGCCTGAGCGTGCCGCCTTGCAAGACAGACCCGATCTGTGGCCACAAATCTACATCGCAAATTTTCTGGCGGATGCGTTTATTTTCGATCTGGGGTGGCGCATTTTTGCTTGCAATAGACTCCAAAGACGGAAAAGCCCGCGGTGCCTGCTGTCGGAAAGACGCTGCAACTATTGCCTGAAAATTAAGATAGCCAACAACGACATCCCTATCCACTTATTGTTTTGTTTGCGCGACTTCTACAAAGCTCCACTGGTCGTGTACAACTAGTACAATTCCACTATTTATTATCTTCGCATGACAAATTGGATGGGGAAGCCCTCTGTGCGGTGCCAAACTCGAGCTGTGCCATGGAAAATCCCCGTAGTACAGCTCGCAGTGCCAAAAGCCCTGCGCGTCTCTGTGCTGGTTCTCTGTATGCCGCGGCGAGGCAGAGTCTCTCGCCCCACAGCGAGGCCGCTCCTGGCCCTTCCGGGGAAGCAAACATCTGCGACATCAACTCCGGAAATCCTGGGCGCGCGCGCGCGACAACCTTGGCCGCGGTCTTATGGGGGCCGTGCCGCGTTTTGCTTCCGTGCGCTGAGTGCCAAGGAGCCTCCCGGCGGGTCAACGGGGGGCCTCCAAGGCAAGCCCACTGGGGGCCGAGGGAGCGGGAAGGGCCTTCGGGGGGACTCAGGGAGTTGCCTTCTTGCTTCCAATCCCGGCCAACTTCTGCTCTGCTGACATATGGCCGGCCGCCAGCGAGTGACCCAGGCAGGGGGGGGCCAGGCCTGGGGGGCCCCTCCCAGGCAGGGGGGCCACAGGCAGTGTGGCCCAATGTGCCCGATCGGAGCGTTGCCGCGGGCCCTCTCGGGGGCGGGAACATCTGCGGGACGCGACGGACGGACCAACCCCGCAAGGGCAGCGCGCGCGCTGATCTGCGTGGAGGCCTTCTGCAGGCCCGGGCCAGCCTTCCCTTGCTCTTTTGTGCGGCGAATGCGGCTCCGCTTGCTGACTCCGCCGGTGCGCGGCAGCAAGAAACGAAAGGGGTTGGGGGTAGGCCAAGAAGGGCCTCGGAGGGAAGCCGCAGGGGATGCCTTAGGGGGCCTCCGGGGGGGCCTTCAATCAGGGCGGGCGGCCTTCGGGGGCCCGCCTTTTTGCTTCTCGCCGAACCCTTTTCCTGCTCTGCGTACGGCCGGAAGCAAGGGGGGCCCATATCTGGCACACGCCCGCCGAAGCTTTATATTTTTGTCTGCCCTCTTTGTGCCGCGGCAGTGAGCCAACGAACCTGCCCGCGGCTTTCCCGGTGGCCCTTCCGGGGGCGGGGGCATCTGCGAGACGGGCGGGCAGACCAACTCCGTCTGGGCTACGCGCGAGCTCGTGGACCTGCGCCGCGGCCCCCCTTCCGGCGGGCCCCCCTTCTGCAGGCCCGGGCCTTCCCTTGCTCGTGTGCGCGGCAGCGCGGCGAATTTTGCCAGCCCCGCCCGTGGTCGAGGCTCTGGGCCAAGAGGGGCCTTGGCGGGAAAGCTCCACTGTTCGTGTACAAGTACAATTCCACTATTTATTATCTTCGCATGACAAATTGGATGGGGAAGATCACGATGTCGGTTAAAGATTGTCCGGGAATAGCAACGAAGCGGGAGTGCGCGAGCGTGCCCGCGAACGAGTTTTATGGGGCAGCGGACTACTTCGTCTGTGTCATTCCCGTGCAAGCGACTCTAGAGTCGGAACGTGAAGCAGCGGGAGGTGGAACTGCATATCAACTGCAACTATGTCTGGGTCTGAAACATAATTGGGGGAGTTTGTCACGCATCTCGTGAAGGACAGACATGGTATGGAGTGCACTCAGGAGCATCACAGATTGCGCAGGAGCTTTTTCATGCCTGTTCCGCATCAGAAATTCACGTTTTGCTTGGCAAGAATTGAGTTTATGTAACACATATTTTTTTTAGTTTTGAAGACATATTTGCAATGCATACTGCGCCAACAACTACAACCTCCACCACTACCGCGGCGGCTGGGGTCACGCTTGTGCTGCAAGGACAACTGCGGAACTCATTGCTTCAGGTAGTAGAGCAGCAAAGTAGTAACAAGAACGCCTTAAGCACCACCAGCTCAGTGCTGGATGAGGACGGGATAAACAATAGTGAAGCCACCTCCTCTATGCAGTGCAAAGGGAAAAGTATCGCGCTAGTATAAATCGCATGACAAATTTTCGCAGAATTATGAGACATGCAATTTACAATGCAGATTTATTTCCGGAAAGAAATGCATGACTACAATTACTACCACTAGGAGCGCACCACTACTTTTGCAATGCATGTCCTCATGGTCGTCCTCAGCCACTTCCCCTAGTGCGGCCGCGTGGTCGCAGCGGAGCGGCGATCTGAGCGCTGCGTCATTCGCGCAAGAGGACGATAGTCAACATGGCGACCTTGCAAGAACGTATGGATTGCAAAAATGTCTGGGTCTGGAAGGTTGCAACTTGTCATGCTAAATTACTATCTATTATATTCATGCGAAAATATTGGTCTAGAGAGGGTACACGAGAGGTGGCCGGGAGGTAAAAAAGAGGTCAAAAGAGGTCAAAAAGAGGCCGACAGAGGTGGAGAGGTGACGCGGGGGGCAGTTCGAGAGGGTGCGCGAGAGGTGGAGCGAGTATAGCCCGCCGAACCGGTCGCCCTTTAGGGCCGCTAAGCGCCTCGGAGGGTGCCGAGAGGTAGAAAAGAGGGCAGGCGAGAGGTGGACAGAGGTGCCGAGAGGTTGCGCGAATAAGGGGCGACCTCCCGCGGACCCTCTTGGCCACCTCTCGGCCACCTCTGTCGCCCTCTACCCGTGAGTATAGCCGGATTATTAGCGGGGACCCCCGAAAGAGGTCAAAAAGAGGGTCTGCGAGAGGGTAAAAACGGAAGGAAATTGGCGCGCATCCGCATGGCGCTACCCATATTTCGCACTGCAGGCCATTCGGGAACTTCTTTTGTTCGGTGTCTTTCCGCGCCACCCTCTCGCGCACCCTCTCGCGCACCCTCTCGCGCCAGCCTCTCGCGCCACCCTCTCGCGCAACCCTCTGGCGCTACCCTCTCGCGCTACCCTCTCGCGCCACCCTCTCGCGCCGGGCGGCTTCTGTTCGCCCCCGGTGTTCTTTGCAGCTGCTCCCTGCGCAGAGCGCCCACAGGTGCGGGAAGCGCGCAAGTGGTCCTGCGTGTTGGCGCGGCGCAAACAGGCAGCAGGGCCCCAATATGTTTTGTTGTGCGCAGGCCCGTGGTGTTGTGGTCCAATGCCAATCGGCAAACAGTTTTGCCCCGGCCCAACAGCCTTGCGCTCCGGCGGAAGCCGGAGCATGGCTGGTCTAAATGATGCAAAAATCTGTGTTGCGTGAGTGCCAAAAGCTGTCCGCTTTTGACCAAGTTGTGAGGGAGTTTCTCACGCAGGAACAAAATGATAGAGACCTCAAAAAATCTGTCATGCTGGGTTTCGCATTCCAGTCCTCATGGGTCATGGAAAACCTGCATCACAAATCTTGTATTCTTCCAGACCCAGACACTTTTACATTTGATAGAACGGATAGACGTACAACGGAAGCAGAATATAGGGTGCCGCCAGACCATCTCCATGCCACGCTCAGCTCAGCGAACAGACCGGAGGACGGTGCGCGCAACCCGCTCGGGTACGTATTGGGTAGTAACACAGGACGCCACTGGTGGGATACGAGGCGACCTCACGTGTGTGCTATGTCCGGGTGGAAAAAACCAAACGCCGACGGTTCCAATTACGCCGCCGGTTTTTGGCGCATGGAGTTTAACGATGGACAGACGCACACACTTTCTCGGGTGGAGATTTGGAACGCCCTGGGTTGGAAGGACTGCATGAATAAGGGGTTTGCAATTATAGATGACGGAAAGGACACCCTGCCCGCCTCCCTGAAAGACACTGCAACGGACGAAATCGCAACAGTGCTGGAAACGTGGAGAAAGGACAACGAGTCAGGCCAGAAAGACAAATTGTGGTTCGAGCTTTCTGACGACATTCCCAATTACGCAGGGACCGATGGCAAAGGTCCACGGGGATGGAGCGTGACGCTGGACCCGGACCACCGAGATGTAAAGTACATCTACATCATATGGATGTGTCAGGTTTGAAATCGTCAAAGTTGAAATAGTTTGTCATGCATAAAATGGATGCCAGTTAGACCTGCAGTTTGTAGTCGGTGCATGAAAAATCTTCCCGGTCCTGGAAAAGAGTCTGTCATGCGGTTTAGGGCAAAAGAGCTGCCTTCTGTCATGCTAGTCAGCAGTCCAACTTTTGACCCTTACCAGGACTATAATCTGCCTCCCTTGCGTCCTCTGCAATAGAGTCACTTTCTGTATCGCATTTTATGCATTACAAATTATTTCAACTTTGTCGATTTCAACTCTGACGCATCCATACATCATTGGCCCACGACAGTACACCAAGGCCAAGTCGAATGGCGATAAAGATCACCGTAAAGCGATGCAGATCTGTGGCTTCCACGCCTTTTCCACGGAGCAGTGGTGGATGACGGAGCCCCGTTTGCGGGTGTTTCCTGATCTGCTGCGCGCCACGCAGAGCACGACGAGAGCGACCGACCTCCCCGGAATTCTGGACCTGGCCAAGCTGCCCCTCAGCTACCAGAAGGGCAGAGCGAACTCGCGTCACTTGACAGACAGAAATCCAGACGCGCGCCCGCTCGTTTGCGCTAGCACGGCGGGTCCGGTGGCGGGGGACGGCGACCGGGGCTGGTGGCGCATCGAGTTCGCGGACGGGCGGGAGCACACGCTCTCCTCGATGGAGCTCTGGAACATCGGCGACGTAGTGGAAGGATCCGAGAACATGCCCCCCGGGAGGATATCAAATGTAAAAATGTCTGGGTCTGGAAGAATGCAAGTTTGTCATGCTTGTCTGGCATGACTCTTAAATCTGTCATGCACATTACCGAAGAGCCCTACTTTTCTGTCATGCAGAAACGTAGTTTGTCATGCAGAATAGGCAACACCTAGAAGCTCAGAAACTTGTCATGCTGAGCCAGCAATTGTCGCCTCCTCATGATACGCCACACAGCATCACAAGTTTCCAGACCCAGACATTTTTACATTTGATAGAGGAATGACCTAGACAATTCGGCTGACTTTGAAACCTCGAGGGCGCGGCTGAACGGGGGCTTCGTGTTTTTGGATCCCCCGGTATGAGAGTGCACAACTCCCCCTCCCCCTCATTTGTCATGCAAAGTGCCTAACTAAGGGCCTTGACGCTTGGCACTGTTTGCATGACAAGTTTTGGCAGCCCAAATAGAAATACAGTCCTGTCCAAATAATTTGTCATGCAAATCCTGTATTCTTGCTGACGCTCCTGTTCATGCAATAGAAATGAGGGGGAGGGGGAGTTGTGCACTTTCATACCCGGTGTCAGACCCGGAGGCAGTTACACGAGCGGAGCTATTAAGTTTCAAAGACGCGGCGGGCCACACAGAGGGCACGGACTACCTGCGGCTTCCCGACGTCGTTCCGGGTTACGGGAAGTTTCAAGACAGAATTGCAGGCCCGGGGGCAATATGGAATGATGCAAAAATGTCTGGGTCTGGGAGATGGAGATCGCGAGGTTTGTAATGGATGTTTTGCATGACCTATGATGCCTGTAGTGCATGACCTAGCATCAGCATCACAGATTTTTAGCAGGCTTCCGGATGCCTATTCCTCATGACAAATGCCCTCCCCGCGTAGTAGACGTACAAAATGGAGGACTCCCCTTGCTGGTCATAGCAACACAGATTCTTTATAGAATCCGAAGACAGCATCACAAGTTCCATCCTTGTGGCAGACCTAGACACTTTTGCATTTGATAGGCAATCGTGGATCTTACCCTACTACAGAACAGACAACCGTTCAAGTACTTGTACGTGGTGGGAAACGAAAACAGCGACGGGTACCTCCACATCTGTGGCGCGCACTTCTATTCCAACGACAATTGGTGGTTGAGCCGGTGGGCGCCTTACTTCTCTTCCCCGGACGTGACGAAACCCCTGTGTGAGAACTGCGGCCCCATGCAGCGCGGCTGCCTGGAAAGCTGCCAGAAGGCAGGATACTGCGCCCATTGTAACGGGCTGAGCAACGACGTCCGCCAGTACCAGGGGGCGTGCTGCATGAAGAATTACCAAGCCGACCCGGAGGAGTGCCACTACGCGCCCCTCACCAGCTTCAGCGCTATGGGGTATCACGAGTGCGTGATTATTCCCGAGCCCTACGAGTTTATGGGCAATGGGGTCTGCGCACAGGAGCACGGGGCGTGGGCGCCGTGGCCATCGACGACCTTCATGCTGGATCTTGGGACGGCGCTCCAACCCAGCGTCCCGGAGTTATGGCGTTCTCAAATCGGTTACCTTCTCAACTGTTGCATGAATTCGTCATGCGAAAGAACTTCCTTGAGCCGCCGGACGATCAAGCTGCTTGTTCGCATGACAAATCTCCGAAGTTGTACTATATAAACAGCGTTTGGATTTTTATCTGTGCAAAGTCTGTGATGCGAAAGGAGCAAGCTTGCCCCTTTGACTGTTCTTGCTGTTCTTGCAATACAATATACCACGTAACGCTTGAGAACGCCATAGAAGTGCGCCGCCCTGTGCGACGCGTTCGACGAGTGTGTGGGCTTTGAGAAGTACTACATCGCGGCACAGGGACCCACCTGCAAAATTCTGGGAAAGTTATCCTGTGCAAAAGTATCGTACTCGTATTGCAATTATGCACGACAAATCTTGTTCTTAGGGTAAATCAACATTACAAATTTTATTTCTCGTGCTGTGGAAATACATTTATACGAGTGCGATGCTTTTCTTTTTGCAATGCATAAAAGTATATCGACTACCGTGAGGGGCCCCAAGTGATCGGCCCTTTGGATCTGAATCCAAATAAAACCACCACGCTGTCGGGCCCGTACGGTGATATCAATTACATGGTGCTCAACCCGGACGAGCCACAGACGAGCGCGCAGGCGTTGGCAGAGCAGGATGCCGTATCAAATGTAAAAGTGTCTGGGTCTGGAAGAATGCAAGAGTTGTGATGCAGGTTTTCCATGACCCATGAGGTCTGGAATGCAAGACCCAGCATGACAGATTTTTTGAGGTCTCTACGTGCCTTTCCTGCGTGAGAAACTCCCTCTCAACTTGGTCAAAAGCGGACAGCTTTTGGCACTCACGCAACACAGATTTTTGCGTCATTCAGATTTAGCATGACAAGTTCCAACCTTCCAGACCCAGACACTTTTACATTTGATATGCCGCCGCGGAGGGCAACGACGCGAATGCAACGCCACCGCCCCTGGAACTATGGATGTGTCAGAGTTGAAATCGACAAAGTTGAAATAGTTTGTCATGCATAAAACGCATGACCCGAGGCGCGTGTGTTGCAGAGCAGGCAAGTGAGGCCGATTGTAAGCCTGTTCGGGCTTACAGCTCGAGCTGCTAAAGCAGCATGTTGAGAAAATCACTCTTCTTTGCCTAAACAGCATGACAGACAAGATTTAGGGACCGCCGAGATTTGTCATGCGCCGCTTGAAAGTTGGGCTTCCAACTGGTATCGATTTTATGCATGACAAATTATTTCAACTGTGTCGATTTCAACTCTGACACATCCATAGGAACCCGCCGGGACGTACTCCGGCGGCATAGACGAGCTGGAGTGTTACAGGCTACCAAATGCAAATATGTCTGGGTCTGGAAACTTGTGATGCATGTCAGTGAACAGGAAGCGCACTGTAATGCACCGCCAAGCATGACAAATTTTCCCATAGCTCTGTGTTGCGTATTCCGCATGAGAAACATCGTTTTTCCATGACAGACAAGAGGAGGTGTTCGTGGCCACGCAATACAGAGCTCAGAGTCATGCCAAACTAGCATGAGAAATCTCACAATCTTCCAGACCCAGACATATTTGCCATGCATACAGGCGGACCCGCAACCACAACTATGACCTGGTGCCTGTGAACAACACGCAGGATAGGCACTGCAAAAGTTGTTGTACTATGATCGTAGGAGTACTAGTACGTAGTAAAAATCGCAGTCCTGCATGATTTACAATTCTTTTTCTTTAGGTGAACGCTGCGCATGACAATTTTTTATACTTCTGAGGAAATTTGTCATGCGATTTTTTTTTACTACTAGCACGATATTACTTTTGCAAGTCATACAGGAAAATGCGCGAAAAATTGCTCAATCCGCGGAGGTATCAAATGCAAAAATTTCTGGGTCTGGAAGATTGCCAGGCTTGTCATGCATATTTTGCATAACCCCTGATGCCTGTAATGCATGACCTAGCATCACTGATCTTTCATTCAAGGACCTTCTGATGCGTATTCCGCATGAGAAACGCCCACTCCGGGTAGCACAAACGAAACTCCTCTTGCTGGTCACGCAATGCTGATTTTTTTGACCTTCCTCCAGAGACAGCATCACAAGTTGCAACCTTCCAGATCCAGACATCTTTGGATTCCATAGGAGGGCAACTCCGACCCCGCGGCCGGATCGGACGAAGCAGAGGGAGGCAAAGCGGCAAGTGAGCATGCAGCCGATAACTCGGATTGATGATGATATTAGGAGTAGATCATCTTCAATTCAAGATGATCATAGTTTCGCACTAATCGAAGTGCTCTGCTAGAGGTGGCAGCTCGCTGTATAGTAATAAATCATGATCAACGGAGGTCGTCGGCTGCAATTATTATATATGAATAATTTACATGTTGTTGATAGATTGGGTTGCATCTTCATGACAACTTTTCGTAAGCGTAAAAAGACAAACACCGTTCAAGAACCTTTTTGCTATCTTTTTGCATTAGACGCAGACCAGAATATTAATAGGAACAAAAAATTGCATCGCTAGCCACTGCCGTGGGTATGGCTCGAGAAAAAACGTTTGACGCGACCTCCCGTGAATTTTATTTTTTGAAGGCCCCATCAAAAGAAGCACAAAGAAAAAAGATGGACTAGTATAGCAAGTAGCAGGGTGGTGGAAGTGAGTACTTCATCTATAAATTCATTTTTGCGAACAAGAACATGTATCGGAGATCATGTGGTCGAGCACAAGAACAGCCAGAGCTGCAGCTTTTCGAAAGGTAGCCCAGCGAGCAAAAACACGGTAGAAGTGTAAGGACGATGAAATTTTGGTTTTTGTTTAAAATTAAAGTTCGAAGAACATAAAACAAGGACAGAACAACGAGGCAAAGTTCCATGATATACTCTACTGAAGTTGCATGATTTCGATTTTCATGCCGTTCCCGCGCAAGATAAACTTGGACTGCGACATCCAACTCATTATAGCGGGTCGCTTGCGTTCTTGTTTATTTCGGCGGTCTCACAGAATTTTTTATAATTTCACACTGTTGTATAATGCTCGCGCATATTTAATACAGTTGCATGCTCCATGTTTGCTTGTTGCCACGGATCATGCTGGATTGTTGAGAGGGTGGTCGTGTAAAAACTCTAAGAGCCTTTTTTTGCAGTCCCCAATAGACACTGCGCAGCGTCGTTCTAGTGTCTTCCGCTCCTGGTCCTGCAGTGAAGAAGATTGCCACGTTCTTCTAATGATCACTGAACCAGAAGGAACTTGAGCTTCCGCGTAGGCCGCTGACGCGCTCTGTCGGTAGTTGATGTACTAAGGAAAAAACATCATATGTGCAATTGATATGGTGGTGTTGCTCATGGTCATGAGCCTGTCCTCCTCCTGTAGCTGGTGCGCGCTCGAGAACGGGGGCTGTCGTGGCCACTGTCGCTAGTCGGGGGCCGTCGTGGCCACTGTAGCTAGTACAAGTCCGCCAGTCGTGCCGCATAATTAGCGCGACCTGCTGCGTCGAGAATGGTTCAGTCGCTGCTGTTGAAGCAACCTGACAGCTGCACGAAGCGCCCCCGCACGACCTTCCCCTACTTGTACTTTCTGGCCGCCATCATCATTGCCACGGGATGCTGGGCGACGTGGACTACAACGACAAGTAGCACTACCTCTACTAGTTCTACTAGTGGCAGTAGGTCCATTTATTCTTGCACCTCGTCCCCGCCCACGACTCTGATTATAGTACCCGGCGCTCTTGGCCTGAAAATAAGGAGGAAGAGCGGGCGGCATGAAGTAGCGGAGGAGGAGGACTCTGTCACGACAACAACAGCTACAAAGGAGGCGGCAGTAGAAGAAGCATCAGATGATACGGTCGCTGACGACGCAGAAGAAGAAGAAGAAGATGACCCAGATGCGGCGGCCGACGTGGCTGTGGCACAAGCAGAGGCGGACGAGGAAATAAAAGCGGAAGCGGAAGCTGAGGCAGCCGTCTCAAAAGGCGACGACTCGGAGCCAGCCGCTGATCTCGAGGGCCCCGCCGAACTCGCAAACGCAACTGCCGCCATGGCAGCGGAGGCCAAGGCAGCTGAGGAGGCTGCGAGACTAGCTCGCGCGAAGCGGACTCGCCCGACCGCGGAAACGTGCAGCTGCGTGAATGTATAAAATGCAAAAGTGTCTGGGTCTGGAAGAATGCCAGACTTTTCATGCAGGTTTTTCATGACCCATGAGGTCTGGTATGTAGGACATAGCATGATGACAGATTCTGTGAGAGTTCTACCATGCCTATCCTGCGTGAGAAGCTGCTTCTCGATTAGGTCAAAAGTGGACAACTTTTGGCAATCATGCAACACAGGACTTTACATGCTTCAGATTTAGCATGACAAGTTGCTTTGTTCCAAAGAACCCAGACACTTTTGCATTTGATAGAATGAGGGCAGTGACAAGTTTACCGCGCCGGCCAAAGATTCGGGCAACCAAGGGTGGCTGAACCTGAGCCCAAGCGCGACGGACGGAACCTACCAGGATACCGAGTATGGGACCAAGTACGTCAACTCCTACGACGGGCTCCCGGACTACGGCGAGTATTGCTTGGAGTGGGAAAGCGAATGCCCCGGCAAGATGGGAAAAGTGGGCGACCGAGCGCAACAGTGCAGCATTTCTGATATCCTGTGCAAATGTGTCTGGGTCTGGAAGAGTCGGGGCTTGTCAACATGCACATTTTGCATGACCCGCGAGGCAGGTCTGTGATGCTGGTGCTAGCGTCACAGTTTTTTTGTGAGCTTTTTGATGCTAATTACGCATGGGAAATGCCCTCTCCGCGTGCCAAGAGCTGACTCCTCTTACTGTTCATGCAACACAGATATTTTTAGAATCCACAGACAGCATTACAAGTTCCACTCTTCCAGACCCAGACATATTTACAATGCATATCTGACCCCATTGTCCAATGTGGTGTGGACACCGACTTACCCAAAACCTGCATCCGAAAGTATGGCGTTCTCAACCGTTACATTCTCATCTGTTACGTGAGTTTGTGATGCAAGAATGGCAACAGTCAGAGGGGCAAGCTTGCTGCCCTTCGCATCACAGATTTGGCACAGATTTAGATGCTGTTTAGCCTCTCGGAGATTTGTCATGCGAAGCAGCTTGATCATCTGGCGGCTTAAGGTAGTCTTGCGCGACAAATTCGTGTAACAGTTGAGAATGTAACGCTTGAGAACTCCATAGAAAGTGGTGCTACATCCGAACGCCGAGCGACACCAATGGCAACATTGCGCGCGCAACGAACACGAGCGACAGTCTGTACCCGAACTGCACAAACGCGGACGATGTCATGATGGTAACCGATATCAAATGCAAAAGTGTCTGGGTTTGGAAGGTCGGAACTTGTGATGCTAACTTTGGACTCTAAAAAAATCTGCATTGCATGACCAGCCAGATGAGGAGGTCTAGTCTGCGCGGGGAGGGCGTTTGTCATGCGGAGTAGGCATCAGGAAGCCTTCTAAAAATCTGTGATGCTAGGTCGTGCATTACAGACATCCTGGGTCATGCATAACATGCATGACAAGTCTCAGAATCTTCCAGACCACCCAGACATTTTTGCACTTGATAACCGAGAACGGAGAGGACCTGTACTACTCGTACAACTATTGCTACGTTACGTGAAGATCCCAGCATGTAGTTCTAGTAGCGTCATGCAGCGGCGTATGATAGTAGTGCACAACTCCCCCTCCCGCCCCTCATTTGTCATGCAAAAAGACCCCAATAAATCCAGTTGCTGCCTTGTGTCATTGCGTGCATTTTTATTTTACAAATTCCGGAATCCCAAATAGTACGACACTCGGCGCATGAACTTGTCATGCACAGGGTCCACCTGTACAACTGTTGTTATTCTTATTTGTATTGCTGTTTGTGTTTATGCCATACAAATCAGGGGGAGGGAGAGTTGTGCACTCTCATGCAGCGGCTTCACTTTCATCTTCGCTGTGGCAACATCGAGGACGATCGTCGATGTTGTTGCTGTGTTTTACATACAAAATTTTCCGGAATGTGTACTAGCTCCGAGATTTTTCGTTTCGAATCTATCTACTTCCGTGCTAGAATATTGATATTCTCGTCTAATTTTGCACGGAAGACAAAAGCTGTGCGGCAAAAAACTTGTATCATTTGCCCGCTGACGTTCAAGCTGTAGTACTATGATTATGTTTATCTTTAATATACACGACTAGCAGTGTGGTATCATTTGTGCGGGTATTTTCTTGCGTTTTTTTTAAAAAAAGCAACACCAAGACGATGAAGTAAAGCTACTTGCCAAGCAAGATTTCCTCTCTCTCGTACCGCCAGAAGCTGTTGCAGGAGAGCATCGACTAATATCTGCTCAAACTCATCCCTGACATCAATGATACAGTTGGCAACAAAGTACTATCGGGGAAGATGAATTCAAGAAATACTTACATCAGCCGAGACCTATTTATTTAGTACATATAAATGAGTTTGTCTTTGTGCTGCCTTTGCTTTAATATTACCGAAGCGCTTGTTCTAAACCCCCGATCGTGGTCGTGCTCTCGGGAAGTCGCATAGATGGCTCCTACTGGTGGATTCGCCGTTGTTCAACTGCTACCTCTCTGGGTCGCCATATCGTTGTTCAACTACTACCAGCTACTACTCTTACTAGCAAGAAGTGCACCGCAGCACCATGATCCGCATATACAGTGCTAGAAGCAGCTCAGCAAGCAGCAGCTTCGTGCGGCCGCTTGGCCGCTGTGTCGATCGTTCATTCTGACGCTGCTGGGCGTCGGGAAAAACGAAGATCACAATATAGATAAACTAAAAAACACACGACCTCCGCAAATAACGCAATGTTCTCTAACTGGCAATGTCATTGCCAGTTATGCACGTTCATTCATGAATTTAGAATTAGAGGTTGCACGTTCATCTTCATTTGAAGATGAACGCGCAATCTTTGATTTTGGTCGCCAGAGTCATGTGACAGTAATGTCGTGATCTATGTCGCACAAAGAAGCGCGAAGCTCGAATAGCCGAAGATCTTGCAACATTGATCTCGCTTGTCTACTTTTTCAAAATGTGCGCGATTCGAGGCGTGCAACACAACAAAAGTGATCACTTTGAAGAAGGTCCTCTAAATTAGTCATTGTTCTTTGATCAGCATCACGTTCCTGAGCAAGAACGTACTGACGAATATATGAAAAAAATGTAAAATCAAATTCGTACATAATGCAGAACTGCAATTATTGCAAATCGATATTATTCTTTCTAAATTTCACTTTCGTGACAGGCTTGGTTGCTCTGATTGACAAGGCGTCTGCGACGTTTTGACGCACCTAGAGTATAACTGGAACACTATTAAAAAGACCTACATATATCTCGCTCTGTCTGAAGAAGCGGAAGAAGTGAAGGCTTTTCGAGGCGATCGGCACTATCTTCAAAGTACTTACACTAAAGAAAACAAGAGCAGTACTATCATATTCCTGGCAGCTCTGCCTAAACTAAGAAAAAGAAGGCGGCTCATCTGCTTTGCTTCATCATCTTGTTGTAAAGTTAATATTGTGCTGCTTTTCTTTCAGAAGCTATCTACCCTAAGTTTTTTTACACGACGGGAACGCCAAGAATATCAGCGCTGTATAGATAAAATATTGGCTGTGTATAGAGAACTACCACGAAAATCGCTTTCGCGTTCTCTTGTAGTTTCTCACGGATAATTGTTATAGTCGTGCTTGTAGCTCTTCTCGTTCTCGCAACTAAGGAGCCTCACCGCACGAGTTCGAGGCCTTTTTTCAAGCAGAATCTCACGACGACAGCACGCAGGACAAAAACTGGAGCTCTCAGCTTAAACCGTATATTAGAAAAATTATTGTATGGCGTCTTTACTTATTATCTACCAGGTAAACTCAAACTGTTGATACAACGACTAGGACTACGTGTAAGATTTTCGCATTACAAAAAAAGAAATATTTCCCCAACTAACATACACTACCACACTGTGTCGCAGCGACATCCTCAAGGTAGGAGCGGCAGCTTTTTACAAGAACTAGTATCCGCGAGCAGTAGTTGCGCGACTTCTAGAACATCAGGGGGAACTAAAAAAAGGGGCACCAAAGAACGACCTCTTCTGCTGACAAACGCAAGTAGTTTTGTCTCTTTGGCAGCGAAAAAAAATGCAAGCTTTTATTCTGTTGCTTGCGAGCTCGGCCGCAATCCTCAACGCCAGCGGCCGCCGTTTGCAAGTGCAAAAAGTAAAGGGTCTTCTAGAAGAACTTCCACCCAGCAGTGGAGGCCTTGGTAATAAAGGCACCACACGCGGCGGCGAAGGGAAATTTCCGCGCACTACAGAAGCTGAAGCTGCAGTTGCTTCAGAATCAGAGCTATGGATTGTAAAAGTGTCTGGGTCTGGAAGGTTGGAACTTGTAGTGCTTTCTTTCCATACGTAGAAAATCTGTATTGCATAACCAACAAAAGTCGCAGCCTCTTTTGTCATGCAAAAACGCGTTTTCTCTTGTCTTGCGGATTGCCTATGAGAAAGCGTTTTGGGAAGTTGTCATGCCGGACTGCATTCGGAAGTGTTTTCATCGTGCACATTTTAACATCACAAGTTTCCAGACCCAGACATATTTGCAGTGCATAAGAGCCTGCTGGCGTAAATATTTCTGGCGCAAGATCTTCTGTGGCGAAAAAGGAAGACGAAGGACAAGATTCCTTTGAACTCGGACCTTCCCCCAGTGCCAGTGAATTTGGGACGAGGGGCGCCTGGGTTCCGAAGAATGTGGCGTAGGTTTGGAAGGAGGGGGTCCGGGCTCCGGATGAGGGCGCTTGGGCTGTGGAAGAAGTGGTCTGGGTTCCGCGTGAAGGGGGCCGGGGCCCACAGGAGAAGACCTGGCTCAGGGAGTAGGCGGCTGAACTTGTAGAGGAGGTGGTCTGGGTTGGGAAGGAGAAGGCTCGGGCCCCAGGGGAGGTAGCGGGGGTTGGGGGAGGAGGTAGTTGGGTCATCTGCTGGCGCTAGTGCAAATTGTTGGGGATGAATCGTTTTCGTTTTGGATTTGCGTTCGACTCTTCCGGCTACACCTTGCAATGAGTCCAGGCAGGGACTCCTTGCAAGGACTCCTTCGAAGGAGTCTTTTAAATTTACGCACTTGAATTTATTGCCATCGGGGGAAGCGAAAAAAAGAGTCCTTCTGGGGACTCTTTTCGAGGAGTCTCAACCGAGAACTTTAAATTTACGCACTTGGTCTCGCACATGAATTTCCCAGAGTTCTGAAAGAAAGCGGGCGCGCTTCTTTCTGAATTCCAGAAATTCACTGCTCAGAAATTTGCTCCTTTTCTGCCGAACGTCTCTCGCCAACGTTTCGGACTGCATGAATGAGGGGTTTGCAATTATAGATGACGGAAAGGACACCCTGCCCGCCTCCCTGAAAGACACTGCAACGGACGAAATCGCAACAGTGCTGGAAACGTGGAGAAAGGACAACGAGTCAGGCCAGAAAGACAAATTGTGGTTCGAGCTTTCTGACGACATTCCCAATTATGCAGGGACCGATGGCAAAGGTCCACGGGGATGGAGCGTGACGCTGGACCCGGACCACCGAGATGTAAAGTACATCTACATCATATGGATGTGTCAGGTTTGAAATCATCAAAGTTGAAATAGTTTGTCATGCATAAAATGGATGCCAGTTAGACCTGCAGTTTGTAGTCGGTGCATGAAAAATCTTCCCGGTCCTGGAAAAGAGTCTGTCATGCGGTTTAGGGCAAAAGAGCTGCCTTCTGTCATGCTAGTCAGCAGTCCAACTTTTGACCCTTACCAGGACTATAATCTGCCTCCCTTGCGTCCTCTGCAATAGAGTCACTTTCTGTATCGCATTTTATGCATTACAAATTATTTCAACTTTGTCGATTTCAACTCTGACGCATCCATACATCATTGGCCCACGACAGTACACCAAGGCCAAGTCGAATGGCGATAAAGATCACCGTAAAGCGATGCAGATCTGTGGCTTCCACGCCTTTTCCACAGAGCAGTGGTGGATGACGGAGCCCCGTTTGTGGGTGTTTCCGGATCTGCTGCGCGCCACGCAGAGCACGACGAGAGCGACCGACCTCCCCGGAATTCTGGACCTGGCCAAGCTGCCCCTCAGCTACCAGAAGGGCAGAGCGAACTCGCGTCACTTGACCGACAGAAATCCAGACGCGCGCCCGCTCGTTTGCGCTAGCACGGCGGGTCCGGTGGCCGGGGACGGCGACCGGGGCTGGTGGCGCATCGAGTTCGCGGACGGGCGGGAGCACACGCTCTCATGACCTTCTCAGACTCAAGGACAAGATTCCTTTGAACTCGGACCTTCCCCCAGTGAGGACATTTGCCCCGTGCCTCTGCCACAGTTCCCGCTGGAGATTGGTGTGCCGGGCGACGGGGAGATGGAGGAGGAGTTGCTGGTAGATATGTTTAACAAAATGGCGATTGCAAGGAGGGCGGATCAGCCAAACCTTGAATTGTTCACAGGTGCCAACAACACCGAAATGGCGGCACGAGAACTCCGTCACTGCTGCTTGGGGGCTTTCCGCCCTTGTCCGGCTTCCCTCATGTCCTTGTCCCCACCGCGGCACTACCAAAAAGTGGTCCCAGAATCGGGCCGCGGCAAGATGGAGATGAAGAAAATGTCCGGGGTGGCGATTTGTCAAGATCTGTTCTACGCCCTCTCAGATCTGAACTTGCGAACCTCGAACTACTACACCGCGGATGAGGAAGACGAACGGAACCCACGGGAAAATAACGCCGACTTGGCTGTCGCGGGGCGAATGTTACGCGCACACCAGGTATGACAGTGCACAACTCCCCCTCCCCCTCATTTGTCATGCAAAATACCCAATCCACCCTTTGCATATGCATTGTGGCACTGTACTAGTTTGCATGACAAGTTCTGGTAGCTGCCCAAATAGCACTATAATCCAGTGCAAATTTGTCATGCAAAACCGGCACTCTTGCTGATGCTTGTATTGCCGTTCATGCTACACAAATGAGGGGGAGGGGGAGTTGTGCGCTGTCATACCAGGACGCGGATGATGATATGGTCAACGTGCATTTGTCCGAGTCCCGCTATCGCCATCCGTTTACCAATATGCATTGCAAATATGGCTGGGTCGTGGTCTTCGAGAAGAGTGCAAGTTTGTCATGCTCGGCTGGCATGACTCTTAACTCTGTCACGGGTGAGCTTGAGCAGGAGAAGAGCCCTTTGCCTGTAAATGCACAAACGCAGTTTGTCATGCGAAAAACGAAACGGAAACACATAGGCATAGCAGCTCAAAAACTTGTCAACATGCCTAGGTAGAGTGTATTGCTGTCGTGGGTGCGCCCACCATTCACTGATTTGCATTACAACTTTCCAGACCCAAACAGATTTGCAATTGATAACCAACGTGACGAAAAGTAGCGTTTTGCTTGAAGCAGCGGCGCGGATGTTGTCATATCCACAAAAAAAAACCATCCCCATCAACAACAACATCCAATTTGTCATGCAAGACATACATAAAATCCAGTGTCTGTCATGCAAAAAGTGGATATAGGATGGGTTTATTTCTTCTGTGGATATGTCAGTGGATCTACTTCATCCTGAGGATCTTCCCGCCGCCCACGGGGAGGGTGGACGATCTCCACGTGGAGATCTGCAAGAAGGTGCGGGACGGGCTGCACCTGCAGCGACTATTTCCTCCACGTCTCTCCTTTTCAAATTTCCCTTCCAGTGGGAGCTACTATTCCGGTCCATCCCCGCTATTGTTAAAGAAAAAGTCTCGAATGTGCTTCGCGTTGTACTAGCTGACCTTTTATCGACCGCCAAAAGAGAAAGCACCAGATGTTATGGTGGCGTCAGCGACGCTTTTTTCAAGTATGCTGAAAATTTTGATATGCTTTTTTCTTCGCATGACGATTGGGGTTCCGAGCACTTGGGCGACACTCGAAGACATCGCGCCCCGTTCCCACAGGGCCTGTGTCTATCAGCTTGGAGGCTGGCCACGTCAAGCTCCTCCGGGACCCACTTCATGGAGGGCCCGCCGCGTGGCATTCGCTGTTGGCGAGGCGCCACGGCGTCCCGAAGTGCAGCAAGGGGCGCGCCCCTATGTGTTGGTAATGCGCATGCCCCGCCGCGCGGGCACACTTCGAGCAAATAGAGGCCTTGCACAGGTTGGGCAAACCTCGACGATGCCGCGCAACATTGGGCCGCGTTTTTGGTTTCCCATCGATTCGGCGCGCCCGCGTCCGTGGCGAAGCTTAGCTGGGTTTGCCGGGCCGGCCCCCCACGCAACCAGGAGGGGGCTACAAGATTCCTTTGAACTCGGACCTTCCCCCAGTGCCAGTGATAGCGGTAGCAGTAATTCCTCCAAGAAGAAACGGAGTCGCAGGCCCACAAGAACAACTGCTAGCGCAACATCCCCAACGCCCAAAGAAAGTACCAAAGCACATGGGACAAAAATTCATCCACGCACAAGCTACAAACGAGGAAACTCCGTAGCAACGGTCCGCCTCTATCCACATGAAAAGTGTCCCTACGTACAACCCCAGCAGAGCGGCGGTGGCGGAGACATGTTTATGTTACTTAATTTGCATTGCAAAAGCCCTCTATGCCTATGGCCCTTACCCTGTCGCACACAGCAGCCGTCACATATTTGTAATTTTAATTTTGAGCCACCAGAAAATTAATTATGATAGCCGGAAGCAAAATCTGTGTCTCGCAGCGGCGCAAGGTGAGCAGTGTCTGTCGTTCTCAGGGTGCCTTCCTCGCCTGGATTATTTTGAATAAGAAAACACAAAATGCGTCGCATAATTTGCTTCATCCAATAGTACAAAAAGCGTTTCGCGTGGGAGCATCAACTTTGCGACCCAAGAACTCAAATTGTTGCCTATCTGCGGATCAGTCGTGGGGCGCTTTCAGCTTGATCTGGTAACCAAAGCGTGCCCCGCGCGCAAAGCGCTCTCTGCGAGATGCTCACCCATCGCAAACGCAGCGCGAAGGCTTTGGCGTTGCCATATGGGAGGGCCTCGGGGATATGCGACGACCACTCGCAAAGTCGCGCGCTTTCAATGGGGTTTGGCCGCCAGAAAGCGGATTTCTGAAAAGTAAGCTCATTTTTTGAAAAAGTAGAAAAATCCGCGCAGCCGGGTCGGGGGGAAAGGTAAGCAAAGGACTTTATCGGCTCCGCCCAATCTGTTTACGAAGAAAGAAGTCTGAAACTCGGGCTACGCCCGCTGCTGTGGCGCGCTTGGTAGCGGACATTGCGCCACCCGTCGGCCGCTTCGGCCAATCTGTACACAAAAAAAAGCAAAAGATAGCATACGCCTTCGCGGAATCTAATCGGCCCAAAAAAGCCACCGATTTTCTCGATGGCACGGAGGAGGAGGAACTTCTGTAGGTCAGACAGTCTTGGGGCACTTTTCAGCTTGATAGCCTGACTAAGGGCTTGAGCAGTGCGGGGTCGAGTGCAGAAGACTACAACTGGAGCATGCCATCGACAAAGAAGTGGTCTACTCTTGAAGCATTTGTAAGATGATCGTAAAAACTTTGCAGATCAACAACATCTCTGCATTTGTAAGATGATAGTTTGCAGCTGCAGTGTTTTATTCAAGCTTCCCTTAGGGATTTTACATTTCAATACTTTTATTTTTGATATTTGCATTTCCTTTTCCAGAACAAAAAAAAGCAGCTCGAGAAGTGTCCTATTACTAGCACCAGGACGTCGAGTGCTTCTTCTCGAATGTGCTTCGCGTTGTACTAGCTGACCTTTTATCGACCGCCAAAAGAGAAAGCACCAGATGTAGATAGTAGATGATAGGCGCCGGCGGCCAGCACTACAAGACGTAAGGACATGAAAAAAAGGCACAACCTACCACGTCAGCACTACAACAAGTGCTATTATATCTCGAGCTTCAACTTGATCTCCCGGGTGGTCTACCCGGTAGCGTTGTAGCAATTATCATATCATATACTTATAAAGCACAGCAACAGGGAGGTCCCGGGCTTTGATAAATTTGATCACCTGGCTCGACGTGCCGGTGATTGAATGTTTTGACTTTTTTTTTCCTGTTGAAGAATAAAACACATCAGAACTTATATACCGGACAAGGTCGTGGACCGCGCTGCAATACTAAGAACTGACGTGCTTAGAGAAAATATGTTGGGATTGATTATTCTTCTAGTCTACTTTAGTGAAGACTTGTTGGAGATGAAGTCTTGACCAGAAGAAGAAAAAACGCCGTGGTAGTGCAGACTGAATCTGCAAGAGTGTGCCCGCTCTGCGGAGTTTCTTGTTCGAGTAAAATCATCTCATTTTGTTCCCTGGTTGAAGAAGCCGTAGCCATTTTGGCTCAAGCAGGAGATCGCAAGTACGACCGGTCGTGTACTAAAACTCGGGCAGAAAAAATCCTCGAAGAATATTATCAATACCATGTCGTGGCTCATCGTCGTTCCACGACCACCTGGGAGGTCGTTTTATTTGCACGACCGTCAGTACCCTTCTTGCAGCCAAGTCGCGCCAGAAAGAGCTCCATGTGGTCACTGGCTGTGACAGCGATTTTTCGTTTCTGACCGCGGAAGAGCTTTGCGAAGGGTCGGCACGCAGAAAAATCAAGATCAATCAGCGGCTCGGGCACGGCAGCGGCCACGTGCTGCACCTGCTCGACTTGAAGATCCACGGCCTCCTGCTTCCGCAAAGAAAACGCCCCGCTGCTCGTCGAGCGCTCCAAGAAGACAGAGCACGACGTACTGGTGGAACAAGAACACCAACTAGTACTACATCTTCAGGGGAACAAACAAGTCCCCACAAGCTCGACGTGCCGGTGATTGAATGTTTTGACTTTTTTGTTACACAAAACTCTAAATATGGTGCCGAAGGTCGTGGACCGCACTGCAATATTAAGAACTGACGTGCTTAGAGAAAAATAAATATGTTGGGGTCATTGGTGATTCAAGTCTTCAATGAAAGAGTCTTGACCAAAAAAAAACGCCGTGGTGCAGACTGGATCTGCAAGAGCGCGCCTGCTCTGCGGAGGTTCCTGTTCGAGTAAAGTCAACATCTCATTTTGTTCCCTGGTTGAAGCTCGCATCATGATACTCAGAAGGACGCCCATGTAATGTTTGTTCCCTGGTCGCCCATGTAATGAAATAAAGAAAAGCGGCCAAGCACAACAAGAGAATACTCGCTCAGCACAAGTAGTGAAGATCAAACTTCCAAGCGATCAACATTTCGCTCCTGGTATAATTGCTTAATTACATTCATTGCTCGCAGGAGCAGGGACGAGAAAGCCAGAGCTATTTCGCTGTTTTCTACTTGGGTCCACCTCGCGAAGTTAGAACGTTGTCCAGCAGGGTCGCGCTTTCGTGCTTAGCGCAGCCCCAGCGCATGCGCCAGGGAACGCGCTGCGCGCTGACAGAATAACGGCCGGCCACTGCGTCCAAGTTCGCGCGCCTGGGCGCGAGCTGATCATGCCCCAGCTTGGGGGGGCTCTTTTTTTCCCCAAAGACCCCCCCAAGCCGGGGCTACGCCGGCGGTCGCACCGGGCCGCGGCAGTGTGCGGGCCCATTCGTCTCTCTTTGTGTCAGGTAGCAGATGATGGCCCCTCCGGTGTTGTCTTTGGTGCCTGCGCCGTGCCGTCGGTCCTAAATTAGGACCGATGGGGCGCTGGCTCTATAAAATAATACGCATATGGGAGGGACGAGAAGCAAAGATGGTGCTTCAGCTCCGCACGTTCCCGCTCGTGCATAGATAAGAACACTACTGCAGCGACCTGTTGCTGTGTTTTGGGATGAATCAGAGTTGGACGTAGTAGCCTCCTCGGAGTTTCTCGTTGACCACCACAGTCGTGTCGCTCTCCAGCTTCCAACCGGCAGTAGGGTGATTGGACGAATCAGAATTGAAGCTTCTCCTCCAGATGTTCCCGTTCTCTATAAAATGTTCCCGTGCGCCGGGTGGGTGTGTTGTGAGTGCCCGCGGGGCGCGTCGATCTGCGCAGTGGGGGGGCCTCTTTAGTCTATGTCTAGGCTCGCCGGGGTGCTAGCGTGCCAGCCTGTTGGTTTCTCTAGAAAGACGCCTGGGCCGCGTGAAAAAACCCACCAGGGAAGGCAACAGCACTCCTACGCAGGCGCGACCATAAAAGCTGCAGCGCCTGCGTTGGCGCAAAAAACAGGGCAAATCCCGACGGTATGCTGCGAATTTCTTTAGGGATAGGAACAGTTTTGAAGATCACCTATTTCGTCTCTATACTTGGGTCCACCTCGCGAAGTTAGAACGTTGTCCAGCATTATTGCTGTTGAGTCGTCCACCAGTTGGTCCGGAGGACCACCTCCGGGGACTTTTAATATTGATTGCAGCGAGCTAATAAAAATGTCGTGACCTACTTCTTTATGCTGCTCAAAGCAAGACCCGGTGTTCTGTTGCCGGTCATGTTGCCCTCCGTATCCCTCAAATGAAGGGGGCGGCGGGGGGGGGTGACGAGCTCTGTTCACTCTGACAAGACTACACGCACACGGCAAGTTGTCAACGCCAAGACGCGGCTGCAGGAGCTACAGTGCGGATAGGCCGCGTCGTCCGCGCTCGCTCCGTCTATGAATCGCAAAAGTATCGCACTCGAGTATAAATGCATTTACAAATGAATTTTCTTAGCATGAGAAATATAATTTGTAATGCGGATTCACCTTAAGAAAAAAGTTGGTAATGCATGACTGCAATTACTACGAGTGCGATACTTTTGCACAGGATGCCGTCCTGTGGTCATCGATTTACCTCGTCTCGTGGTTGCTCCCACTGCCTGTTTTGCTGCAGCAGCCTTCACGATGAGGACCGCAGCACGCGTGGACGAGCAGTAGACGCGTTTTCTAAACGACGACAGGACCACGCGGCGCGGGGTACTTCTTATCAATTAAGTATTAAAGAATAGGAAAGAGGCTAGAAGTGCGACGAGGACCTATGGATTATAATAGAGCCTTCGTCCTTCTCTTCTCGTGAAAAATCTTCGCGGCACCAGACGATTTGAGCAAAGTCTTCTCGTGAACAACATCAACATCAAGCAGATCATGAGCTGGGTCCGATGCTGGCTCGTGCTGTTACCGGTGCTTGTTCGTCCGCCGACCGGGTTGCCGGCTTTTCATGTGGCGTTACCGAATGCGGGAGCAGGCGGGGCTGCGGGGGAGCTGCTGCAGGGGGTATGAAAGCCTCAGGTCGAAAATCCTCAAAGTGGAAATTACTATCTATTATATTCATGCGAAAATATTGGTCTAGAGAGGGTAAACGAGAGGTGACAGGGAGGCCAAAAAGAGGCCAAAAGAGGTAAAAAAGAGGTCGACAGAGGTGGAGAGGTGGCGCGGGAGGTCATTCGGGAGGGTGGCCGAGAGGGGGCGCGAGTATAGCCCGCCGAAGGGGTCGCCCTGTGCGACCGCTAAGCGGCACGGAGGTGGCCGAGAGGTAAAAAAGAGGGCAAGCGAGAGGTGGACAGTGGTGCCGAGAGGTTGCGCGAATAAGGGGAGACCTCTCGCGCACCCTCTGGGCCACCTCTCGGCCACCTTTGTAGACCTCTACCGGCGAGTATAGCCGGATTATTAGCAACACCTCGCGGAAGAGGTGAGAAAGAGGGTCTGCGAGAGGGGTAAAAAAACCCGAATCCGCCCGGCACATGGCAGATTTTTTTGCGGCCCTTTTATGCAAAAGCCCGAACCCTCTCGCGCCACCCTCTCGCGCACCCTCTCGCGCCACCCTCTTGCGTCACCCTCTCGCGCCAACATTTTTACTTCCCCGGGGAATCAGGTGGGCGAGCGCGGGATGGTGATAAACAAAGAGCAGCGCCGGCCTCTGTCTGATTCTTTCGGCACGCACCTACGCCGGAGCGGCATCTCTTCGCCCGCAAGGTTTACTGCAGCTGCCCCCTGCGCATAGCGCCTAAAGGCGCGGGAAGCGCGCAGGAGGCCCTGCGAGTTGACCTCGCGCAAAATGGCGCTCAAAGTTTCCTCTGTCCGTCACGCTGTGCCCAAAGCTTTTGTGTCGCGGCCCGATCCGCAAATAGTCAAACCCCAGCACAACAGCCTTGCGCTCCGGCGGTAGCCGGAGCATGGCTGGTAATTTGTCATGCAAAAAAACGACTCCAGTTGAAGCGGCATTTCATTTGCATTTGGCGCATGGCAATAAATTTCCCGGGCACTTAAGGCATGTCTGTCATGCAGGTCAAGGCAAAGGGGTGCCCTTCTGTCGTGCTAAGCAGCACTCCAATATGCAATTCTTCAACCCTAGCAGGACAGTGGTCGGCCTCCATTCTTGCGTCCTCTGCGATACAGTCTTTTTTGCGTCGCATTTCATGCATCACTTTGAGGATTTCCATTCTGAGGCTTTTATAGAGGACGACCGCGAAGATGTCCTCCACGGGCGGCGGCGCGGCCTACAGGACGAGGACGACCCGGCGGCACGGAGGCGGGCCACGACGTGCAGTTCGCAGTACCCCTTTCGCGCCGTTTGTCCAGAAAAAACGACGGAGGCACGACTTGTTGCCCCGCGAACAAGTAATAGATGTTGAAACCACCTCCGGCAGGAGCAGAGCAGTGCTCCTCGAAAAGTTTTTATGAGTGTGCACGACTCGGTCCCCGTCGCCGTCCCGCCCTGCATTTGTCATGCAAAATGCCAAGCCCACCCTTATTTGCCCTGTGTTGGCAGTGCTTGCATGACAGAGTCCCGAAGGGGCCGAAACAGCACCAGAATCGGTCGTAAATATGTCATGCAAAAGCTGCATGATCTGTGCCACCAGCTCTTGTGCAGTAGTGCCCAGTTGTTGTGGAAGATGCCATCCAAATGATGAGGGGGCGTGGGACGACGTCGAGCTGTGCACCCGCATATTTTCCAGCTGCAGATCATACGACCCTTCCGGCTGAAGGAAAAACGCAACGCTACGTCCCAATCGGGGGGTCCTCTGCTGTATCAAGTGCAAAAATGTCTGGGTCTGGAAGAGTGTAGACTTGTCATGCAGATTTTCCATGACCCGCGAGGTCTGGAATGCGGGACTTAGCATGACAGACATTCTGTGAGATCCCTATCATGCCTATTCTGCGTGAGAAACTCCGTTCCAACTTGGTCAAAAGTGGATAGCTTTTGGCACTCATGCAACACAGATTTTTGCATGCTTCAGATTTACCATGACAAGTTGCAATCTTCCAGACCCAGACGCTTTTGCATTTGATATGCCGGGGATGTTGACGATGTTGAGGTGGAACAAGATGATACCGGTCGGGCACTACATCAAGATGCCGCTGAAACCGACGGTGCAAGGAGAACAAACGCTGTAGTTTCTATTCAGGGCGAGAAGCTGGCGAGGCCAAGAGAGCAACTCTTGGTCGTGCACGAGGAGGAGCTGAGCCTTCGTCGTCACGAAGATGTGGACGGCGGCGCGGTGTCAGCAGCAACATCTCCTCGGAGGTCAGCTTCAGTGACAGAAACGCGAGAAGAAGTTCAGCTTCACGACCAGCTGGACGTCGGGCTGCATATCCACGAAAAAACACCCATCCCCATCCATTTTTTGCATCACAGACACTGAGAATTATTATGCAGGTTCTGTATGACAAAAAAATGGGGAAAGGGATGGGTGTTTTTTCCTGGATTCTGCAGGACCAATTTCTACTTCACGACCCGAGTGGGCAGGAGGACCAACAAGAAGGTCTTCAACAAGAAAAAGCCATCTCGCGGCCCAGTGCGCGACTACAGCCTGCTGCTCTCGCGGCCGGGGCCGCCTACTCCGCAGAAGATTTGCATGGGGATGACGAGGGAACCGAAGATGTTGAAGATGTTCTTGGTCGTCCTGACAAAATAAAGGGGAGGCCGCCTGGTGCCACGAGGACCACCTCTAGTAGGAGTGCTTCTTACAAAGCGGCCGACGCGGCAGAGGACAACGATACTAACCCATTCGATGCCCCGCCCGGCGACGAGATGGCAGGACCTGCTCCTGCTGCTGCTGCACGACCAGCCGCGGTGCCCGTAGATGTTGCAATAGAAGATGAAACTATGTATATGTTGAACACAGGCAGAATTACACAACCCGGGGGACAACGATCACCACAGCATTCACCTGCGGGTGGTCGCGGTCGTGAGACTTCTGCAGCTTTGCTGCAGGCCACTGTAGAGTCGCAGAGGGCCGCAAAACAGGAACAACGAGAAGGAACAAGCCGCCGCGGGGCGAGGAGGGCGGGGGCGGAGATGAGCTCCGCCTCCTCGGGAGGAGGTTTATCGACGTCCTTGCTCAACACCGCGGGCGCGACAACGAGCAACAGCAGGGTCGTGGCTACTACTATGAAGTTGTTCTCAAACGTTACATTCTCAACTGTTACATGAATCTGTAATGCTAATGCAAGAATGGCAAAAGTGAAACGGGGGGCCTTGCGCGTCTTGCATGACAGATTTGGCACAGAGCATCAGCCTGCTTAGGCCTCTGAGAATTTATCATGCGAAGCAGCTTGATGGTGCCGATTCTGAAGGGAATTTTGCATGACAAACAAGGCCCACTCGAGCGTGGGGACAGGGTCCCCACGCTGGGGCCTTGTGCCCGTCCCTCGTGGCGCTAGTGGGGGAAAGGTGTTCGGCATCGGGGCGGACAGCGTCCGCCCCTCGCCTCACACCAGGCGCGCGCATAGTGGCTTAGTGCGCGAAGCACTAGCGGGGGAAGGCAGGGCGTTCACCCGTCGCGGTCACCTGTCAAGGTCACCTGTCAAGGTCACCTGTCGAGGTCACCTGTCGAGGTCACCTGTCAAGGCCACCTGTCGAGGTCACCTGTCAAGGTCACCTGTCGCCGGGGGTATGCTGTACCAGAACCCGGAAGTCAAGCAATGTAAATACTAATCATGTAACAGTTGAGAGTGTAACGTTTGAGAACGCCACAACTACTTCCGCAAACAGTGGCGCCGCGGTCAGAAGTCCGTTTGTAAACGCACAAGACCAGCTTTACGAGAACTGCGCGCGCGATATTACAATGAAAAATGCCCCCACCCCCGAAGAACTTGGGAGCATTTGTATTGCAAACCTTTCCAAATGAAACACTCACCCTCTTGTATCTATCAGCATCACAGGTTTCCGATCGTGAATAGCAAAAAACTGTATTGCAACAGACCCCAGCAAGAGCGGCGCTTGTCATGCAAGCGATGCGATACACACCCACACTCTGCATCAGAAACATTCATACTTCTTTCATGCATGACAAAAAGTTTTCTTTGGGATTTGCAATTTCAGGGGTGGGGGGCATTTTTCACTGCAATACGCGAGGACAAAGCGAACCACGACGGGGGGCGGCGGATAAAGAGCGCCGGGATTTTCGGGGGAGACCGCACAATTGGGTTAAGGACCTACTACGAGTGCATGAACTTCTGCGCTCACAATTTGGAATGCGTGGGGTTCGTGTTCGTCCTTACTTCCGGTCTTCAATACGATAGCTGTATGTTGGTCGCAGACAGCTGGAAAACGCAACCGGATGAAAACTGCCAAGCGACCGAGATGACCACGGATTGCCGGAAAACCATACTGATATCCCAAGAAAAAAGTGTTACAGTTACACATTTGTTGCAACTTTAGCAACACAAACTTGCTCTGCAGTTCAAAGAAAACTTGCAATGCAGAGATCCCAAAAGGGAAAACACGTATGAAACAAGGCTCGCATGGTGCTTTCCAGCATGAGAGAGGTTGTCTGTCTTGCACGTTCTGCAACACAACGTGTAAGAACTGATGTAGCACGTTTCTTGTTCTTGCATAACTGAACACCGTGGAGTACTATCAGCGCAATTTTGCAGGAGGGTATGTCGCCCTGTCGGCGGGGGACGCCAGCGATCATATGGCGTTCTCAAATTTTACATTCTCAACTGTTACATGATTTGTCATGCAAAATTACAACCAGACTCGACGCGATCAAGCTGGTTCGCATGACAAATTCTCGAAGAGCCAACCAGGCCAGAAATCTGCGCCAAGTCTGTTATGCAAGACGCGCAAGGTCCCCCCTTTCACTTTTGCCATTCTTGCGTCACAGATCCATGTAACAGCTGAGGGTGTAACAGTTGAGAACGCCAGAGATCCAGAGCCCTATAGTTGGCAAGAGACGGACCTGTGGGGTGCGTACGGGCAGTGCGATGGAACAGAAAAAAAAACTTGGAGCGCGACCACAAATCTTCTGGGGCAGGGTGGTCGGTTCTCGTTCGGCGGCCACCCACACGACTGTGCCGACCGGTGCCGAACCCAAATGGGCTGCACGGCTTTCAGTGTATACAAGGGAAGCCTTATCCTGAGTAAAAACCTCCCCACACCAGAGTCAAGATGGGAAATCTGCTAGACAAATCAAGCAGCTTTGGTTGTTTCGCATGACAGCTTTGTCCTCGTAGTATAATCCTGCTTTAGGTAGGTCAGCAGCATCACAGATCTAGCGCATAAGGCTCATTGTAGCATCACAAATTCCAAAACACGACTAGAAAATGCCTCTCGTGGGGCTCCGCATGAGAAACATTTTTGGCATGCAGATTTGCATGACAGCGCTGGGGTGGAGACGTTTTTACTCAGGATCAACCTCAGCTCCGCGGACGACACCGAGATCCCTGTAGCAAACCGTATGGCGCTCTCAAGCGTTACATTCTCAACTGTTACATGAATTTGTATTATGGATGAAGACTAGCACAGGTGAGAGGGAGAACCTTGCGCGTCTTGCATTACAGGTTTGGTCCGGATTCAAGTGCTGTTTAGCCCTCCGAGAATTTGTCATGCGCAGCAGCTTGATCGTCTGGCGGGTCATGGTCATTTTGCATGACAAATCATGTAACAGTGGAGAATGTAACGTCTGAGAACCCCATAAGCCGCGTTTACAACTTTGAGACCTCTAACATCAGCGCACTGCTCCTCCCACTGGACAGCGGCGGTGGCGTCAAAGATAAAATCAAGATGAACATATGGATTGCAAAAATGTCTGGGTCTGGAAGATTGCAACTTGTAGTGCTGTCTGTGGATTCCAAAAAAATCTGTATTGCATGACCGGCAACAGGACTCCAGTTTGTGTTACGCAGAGAGGGCATTTCTCATGCGGAGTAGGCATTTTTAGGAAAGCCTCTAAACTGTGTTGCTAGATCATGCATTACAGGCATTAGGCGTCATGCAAAAAATGCATGACAAACCTGGCAATCTTCCAGACCCAGACACTTTTGCATTTGATAGAACAGCACGTGCTGCGTGTTGTGGAACAACCGGGACCCAGTGAAGAGGGCAAAAGCCACCGGGGGCCGCACCGAGAATCCGGAGCCGCGGGAGTGGCAGTTCTTTGCTTTGATGCCCCCTCCCGGCACGGCGCACACGCACGTGCCGGAGCATATCAAGGACTCGTCGTCCTCCTCCGCTTCAAGGGCGCTCTTCGATAAAGCATATCGAAAGGAAAAATCCCCCCTCCCTATATCAAAACGAATTTTCTGATGCTGGATTTGTGTACACAAATCAGCTTTGTATTGCAGGGAGGTATTGCGGCCAGATCCCCAGGCTATGTAGGGGCGTATCTAGTAGCTCAGCATGGCAAACGGCTGCCCTTTACTTAGGTCAAACAGCGTGAGGAATCGCTTCCATAATGGGGGCGAAGCTTTTGCTCTTGTCTTCTTGCAAGACAAAAATGATTTGTGACCTCAAATCAGCAACGCAAATTTTCGGAAACATGCCTTTTCGATATGGGGAGGGGAAGTCTTTCCTTTCAATAAAGCAGTGACCATCCTCGGGGCGCAGCGAGCGGGAGTACTGCAGGCACAGGATCCGGACACCCCCTACTTTGGCAATATCGGCATGGACCAGCAGATCCAAGGCCACGAAGCCCACATTGGCGGCTGCTGGAGCTGGCTGTACCTAACGTCGGAAAGCGCTCACCCAGATGCCATTTGGTGTCCCGATGCCGCAGTGCCAAGGGAGTGTGACCCGAACGCGGGCTATCCTGACCCGCCAGCTTGGACGTCACTGGTTCAGGACTTTACGGATCCGATCTGCCCGATATGGTGGAGCGGCGGCTGCGAGCAGTGGGAGGATATTGGTATGGGCGACGAAGACACCAGCGCGAACAACTATTGGGAGGCGGTGGCGGAATGCCACGACCATTGTCGCGATTACGTGGATAACGGAAAAAGTTGCTCTGCCTTCGCGATAAAAAAAGAAGACTGGTCATGCTACAGATTCGAGGCCGGTATCAAATGCAAATATGTCTGGGTCTGGATGGTGGGCAGACTTGTCATGCAGGTTTTCCATGACGCGTGAAGTCTGTCATACATGACCCAGCATGACAGAGTCTGTCCGACCTCTGTCTATCATGTCTCGTCTGCATGAGAAACTCCCTCTCAGCTTGGTCAAAAGTGGGCCGCTTTTGGTAATCATGCAACACAGATTTTCATTTTTTCACACACTATCCAAAATTAGCATGACAAGTTGCAACCTTCCAGACCCAGACATATTTGCAATGCATAGCCAGATGCACAGGACAATTTCACCACGGGAAAGGGTGGGACATGTACGACTTGTATAAGAACAATATGACAGTGCACAGCTCCCCCTCCCCCGCATTTGTATAGCATGAACGGCAACGCAAGCATCAGCAAGAGTGCCGGTTTTGCATGACAAATTTACACTGGAGTGTACTTCTATTTGGGCTCCCAAAATGTGGCATGCAAACAGTGCCAATAGCCAAAGGGTGGATTAGGTAATTTGCATGACAAATGAGGGGGGGGGAGTTGTGCACTGTCATAAACAAGAAAGGTTGCATAGAAGCGGACCAGATACTCCCGGTAGATACAAGCCGTTGTCCAAAACAGTACACGGGCCTATTACAGTGAAAAATTCCGCGACCCCGAAAGTTGCAATAATTTGTGACGCGAAGTTTCCAAATGTTGAAAGCCTTCACTTTAAATGTATGACCGGGCAGAAGAAGTCTAGCGAGCCTGTGAGTCTAGGCTGAGGCTGGTCGGTCGGTATTTTATACAGACCCCAGCCCTTCGGCCATTGGTAACCAGGACCTGAGAACGTTCCCCCAATTAAGAGACGGCAAGCCATTTCGCTTGTGAGATTCTATTTCCGTCTGTATTTCTATTATTATCAGGTCCCAGGGAGTCACGCCCCTGCCATGGTAGTGAAGAGTATTTCTCTGGTGAGACGGGGTTGAAATTAAACCCCGGCCAGACTTTATTTTCCGCCCCGGTGACCCGTTTCGGTCACTGATTAGGGGCTTTGATTTATCTGGTAAGACAGGGTTGAGATTAGACCCTGGCCAGATGGTTATATTGATTTTGTCCGGTGAGACGGGGTTGAAATTAGACCCCGGCTGGACGTATTATTGCGAGCCCTGACCCGTTTCGGTCAGCGATTCTGGCTTCGCTTTGTCTGGTGAGACGGGGTTGGAATTATGCCCCGGCCAGACTTATTATTTTCCGCCCCGGTGACCCGTTTCGGTCACTGATTCCGGGCTTTATTTTATCTGGTGAGAGGACAGGGTTGAGATTAAACCCTGGCCAGATGTTTTATTGAGATTGTCCGGCGAGACGGGGTTACGATGAAACCCTGGCCGGATGGTTTGACTGCAAGCCCTGACCCATTTCGGTCAGAGATTCTGGCTTCGCTTTGTCTGGTGAGGTGGGGTTGAAATTACACCCCGGCTGGACTTATGATTTTCCGCGGTCAATCTCAATGACCTTGGTTGTTTTTATCCTGACCTTTCTCGGCTGTTTGGCACTGGCGGTAAACGGGCTCCGAGCCCAATCCGTTACCCTTGCAGAGGGGGAGACTGGGATAAGAAAAGCCGGGGGCTTGTTGTATTCCGTTGGGGTTTTTGAGCTCCCATAGGGCTTTTTGTGTCTGGCCTTTGCCAATTTTACGTTGCGAGAAAGGTCACGGATAAAACGACCAAGGTCGGCGCTATTTAGCGTCTTTGGCGCCATTGCTTGCGCGCTGTTTTGGGGCTGCTACGGATTTTCGTTATATCGCCTGCCTTGCAGGCTGAGGGAAACCTCCGGTCCCACATTACGTAGCTCACTGTGTTTTTTTTTTTTTTCGGGGCTTGGACTTATATTGCTTTCCCGCCTTCCAGGGCTCCGCGGCCTTTTCGATGGGGCATGTTGTCCCCCAAATTCATCGCTGGGTCGCTTCGCTTCCTGCGGGTTCTTCGGGGTTGCTTCGGCGCGTGGCCCCTTCGGCGTTGGCGGGGTGCCCCATCGCGGGCGCTCATGCCCTTCCGGTGAAGACGGCTTCCCACTGGAAGCCTACGATCATCCAAAGGATGATCTATCTCTGGCTGATTCTGTACAAAATAAATATCTCTCCCCCCTTTCCAATCCTACCCTCTCCCGATGCGTCAGCATAGGCTCCTGCACTACAAGCACAGACGGACCCCGGGGGCGGCACTTGGAGGCCGCAATCGTGTCCCCGTGTTTTGTCCGTAGGTGGCATCACTGGGGGAAGCAGCGGTAGCACTGTCAGCGGACAGCAGGACGCAGTCACGTGTCACCGAAGTAGCACGGCAGGCGCCGCAGCAATGGGGTGGGGGCATTTTTCGCTGTAGTAGGGCCTGTGTCTACCCGGGGGGGCGTACGCGGATGAGAAATTGTATAAAGAAGTATCGAATGCAAATGCGTCTGGGTCTGGAAAAGTGGACTTGTAATGCTAGCTCAACACTCCTGGAAAGGAAGAAAACCTATATTGCAGAACCAACAAAAGTGGCAGCCACTGTTTTCATGCAAAAAGGCAGCTTCTTATGCGGATTGCGTATGAGAACAAAGCGCTCTGGAAAGTTGTCATGCTGTAGTGCTGCATTCGGAAGAGAAGCAGTTCTTCCGCCATCTACGCTTTATTAGCATCACAGGTTTCCAGACCGACACTACATTTTTGCATTTGATAAAATGGTGATGACTCACCACCTGACTATGATGCGACCATCCTCGTCAGCATGTACGAGGACCGCAACTATTATGGGAGTGTCAGGATTGAAATCGTCAAAGTTGAAATAATTCGTGATGCAGAAAACGCATGCCAGTTGGAGCCCAGTTTCTAAGCAAAGCATGACAAATTTGGGTAGAACCGAAATCCAGTCTGTAGTGCTGTTTGGGTAAGGGAGACGCCGTTTGTCGTGCTGCTTTAGCAGCTCTATGTCTACCCCTCAACAGGCTTGCAATCTGCCTCCCTTGCCTACTCTGCAAGACAGGCATTTTGTGGGTTGCATTTTATGCGTCACAAACTATTTCAACTTTGACGATTTCAATCCTGACGCTTCCATAACTATAACCTGGACCAGTGCCGGTACTTGTGCGCGCAAACACACGACTGCGCCTCGTTCTTCCTCGAGGATAGTGCGGAGAGCGGAAAACGAAAGTGCTACCTGATGCGACCGGGGTGCCTGAAGCAAGAAAATACCATTGAGACAGGTTGGACAGGATATGACATCGATCAGTGCCATCTAGTCGCCGACCCCGTGCACCATTGCGACGAGCAGCTGACGCAGAGCGAGGCCGAGTTTTATTTCATGACCGTGGGATCTGCCCCAGCGGACAAGAGACTACAAGTGGTCGCCCGCGTCCGCGGGAGCCCGCCCCCGGACACGGACCTCTCCAAGTCGCTCGACGGGTCAGGCATTCACAGCGACAATTTTCATAGCGCGACCGACAACGACCTGATGTGGATCAAGGTGAACTCGGAGACTTCGTGGAGCCAAATTCCATCCGCTGCCTTCACCGACGGCTGTGGGTCCTCTCAGACCTGTTATGCAAGAAAAAAACTGTGCAAATATGTATTAACTCTGTAGTAATGCAGGAGAACATGCAACAGGTTCGCGCCTGGTGTCATGCCAGACAGCTTCTAAGGTCCGACTCAGGTCGTGGCTAGCTCAAGTTTATGGGTCTACTTCGCGCAGGCTCGCTTTGGCGCGATGTCAAAAGGGCAACCGATAACAGATTTTTATCACGACGGCACGGGCCCGATAAACTGAGCAAAGCCCTGCTCTGTTATCGGTTTCGGGGGGGTGGCCAAGCCGAAACCGATAACAGACACGAAGCACGACGGCACGCGGACTATAAAAGTGACCAAAAAGGGTGCTTGTTATCGGTTTGCCCGGAGGCTTCGGAAAAGTGGCCACTTTTGCTGGCCAGATTGGCCAGATCCCCGAGGCCCTGGCCGAAACCGATAACATCGAAACTTTTTGGTCACTTTTATAGTCCGCGCGCCATCCTATTTCCTGTAATTTCTCAGGCCAGAGCCCGGCGACGATGGTGGCCACGGGATGGTGGGCAGATTTCATCATCAACGACTGGGCGGCAACCAGAGCACCCAAAAAGACCTTATTTCTGGGCATCTACCTGCGTGATGCAGTGGGCACGGCAGCACTTCTCCCATGTCAAAAACGTGACGCGGCGGTGACGCAGGTCCGCATTACAAATTGATCTTTATGAGCCCAAAACAAGCTTCCAACTTGCACTGCCGGAAGCTGAGCAAATCGCATCCACCTGGGAGGGTTGGCGCGCAGCTCGAAACGGTCCGGCAGAATGGGCTCGACATGATCCAGGCTTCGGTGCGGCGCTTGGCCAAATGCACGCAAGTGGTTCAAAATCATACATAGTTGAGGTAGCTAAGTCAGTAGCTTAACTTAAAAAAAATTTGGCATTTGCCAGCAAATTCCAATCCGATAACGATAACAGATTTTTGTTTGATAAACGAAGTTTTTTTCTTGGATACCTATCCTAGCGATCTGAATAAGTACAACAACAGCTACGCCACGGATCTGGGTGGAGAGTGGTGCGGCCCTCTTTTCCGGCATGCCAGCCCAGCTAGCATTCCCTCGGGGTGATGACTGCGGCGCACCAAAAAAAAAACGGCGCGGCTTCTTGAGAACCCGAGCAATTTTTGCCGGGAATCAAGTAGACGCAGACACCGAAAAAAGGGCCGCACTCCGGCCGTGCCCCGGCACGTGTTAAAGCCACCCAGATAGTGCTTGGGGCCGCGCCCTTTCGAAAAAGTTCAGGGCGTTTCTTCGTTTCTGAGCTTTTTCCAGTTCCGGCGCCAGAATTGATAAAAGCCCAGCCTCCCGAACTTTTTCCAAAGCCGGCCCCTTAGGAAATCTTTAGGAGCCGGTCTTGGTTGAAGTCAAGGACCGCAGACTTTCGTGAAGTCAAGGGCCGACGGGGGCGCAGCGCTAGCTTAAGTAGTTAGGGTTGTGCAGTGGCCTGGCGCGATATGCCAAACAGTCACCACCTGGGAGAAGAGTCAACACACGACAGATGACCGCCTGATAGCTCTAGCACTTGGAAAGTTGGAATGCGGAAGTGCCCTGCTGCCCATAGCGAAACCAGTTTTATTTTGTTTGGGGGCGTTTATTGTGTTATATCGAGTAACGAAGTTTTTTTCTTGGATACCTATCCTAGCGATCTGAATAAGTACAACAACAGCTACGCCACAGACAGGCTTATGGATGTGTCAGGTTTGAAATCGACAAAGTTGAAATAATTTGTCATGCATAAAATGCAAGGCATGAAGTGCCTGTCTTGCCGGGATGGCAAGTGAGGCCGACTGTCAGCCTGTTTAGGGTTTGAAATAGAGCTGCTAAAGTAGCATGACAAAAGCAGTCGCCTGTGCCCAAACAGCATGACAAATTGGATTCCGATGCTCGAATAATTTGTCATGCACCGCTTCGAAATTGGGCTTCCAACTGGCATCCATTTTATGCATGGCAAATTATTTCAACTTTGTCGATTTCAACTCTGACACATCCATAAGGCTGACCGGAAACGTAGTGGAATACGACCTGCATGACCCGAACGACCCGGAGGGGGGCAATGGGCAAGTGCACAAAATCACGGTGCTATCAAAATGAAAATAAATCCCCCATCCCCATATCAAAACGAAAATTTGTGGTGCTGATTTGTGGTCACAAATATCATCTTTGTCATGCGTATAGTGTTTGTTATAGGAGCCAACATTTGACGCATTCGCATTCCAGAGCAAGTCTGTCACCCGCTTTCGACTACTGCAAACCTGTTTGTCATGCGCAATTGCTCTTGCTGGCCTTGTGCATTATACCCAAACAGGCTCAGAAAATGCGGCCAGGCGCGTGCTTCTGCAAGACAGATCTGATTTTTGTACGCAAATCCAGCAGCAGAAACTTCGGCTCGATATGGGGAGGGGAGACTTTTCCTCTCAGTAGGTGCGCCCGGGAAAAGACGGCGTCGTGCTCCAACGGCTGTTCATCTTGGGAAAGTCCCAGGTGGACACAGTAAACTCTAATACTGGTTTTCTAGAGGCGAACGCGAGGCAGGTGTCCACCTCGGAAATGTCCTCACAAGAGTACCGCAAGGAAAAATCTCCCCGTCCCCGCCCGCCACATCAAAACGAAATTTCTGATGCTGGATTTGCGTGATGTGACTGCACAAATCCGATTTGTCTTGCAGCAGAGAACTGCAGGCGTATAGTATTAAGTTGTTCATTGTTTTCACATAGCAGGCACCCAGTATGGCAAACGTCTACGCTGTAGGGCCCACAGCATCACAAGCCGCCTGCATGATGCGGCGGAGCCTGTGGAGTTGCCTTCTCGCAAGACACGCGATCGGTAGCCACAGATCAGCACTTCTGCAAATGTTCCACCTAGGCGTGTCTTTGCGATATGGGAGGGGCGGGGGATTTTTTCTTGCAATAAAGAAACCAAGAGCGGGCTGCATTCGGGTCGTGGAACAACAAGCTTAAAAGTCGAGGACGTCTGCGTATGCAGTGCAAAAGTATCGTACTCGTACTAGTTGCAATCTTGCATGACAAACCTACCTTTTATACCTGAATTAGCAAAAAAAAAAATTAGCATTACAAATTTCGTTTTATTTTCTGATAAAATTTGTAATCGCAATTGGTACTAATACGGTACTTTTGCAATGCATACTGCAAAAGGCAGGACAATAAGAATCTCAAGGGCAACGACGAAGACGTCGGAGGGGACATGGGGCGCGTGATGGGGCATCTCACCTTTGAGGAGTGCCAGGATTTTTGCCGAAGATACGCCGACTGCACGGGTTTTGTGTTTGTTGGAACTGCTCTTTCCGACGAGGATAACTGTGCAATAAAAAACGCTCCGTTCAACGATTTGGACCTCGAGGACAAGCCAGGGGAGGCGATAACGTATATGAGGGTGCACAACGACAACCACCCGCCCCCTCATTTGTCTTGCAAAATGCCTAGTAGTTTACATTACATTACTTCTTGGCTCTTGATGGCCTTGCTCGCATGACAAGTTCTGGCAGTTCGAATAGCACTACACTCCTGTCCAAATTTGAATTTGTCATGCGAAACCTGCATTCTTGCTGACGCTTGTATCTATTGCTGTTCATGATGCAATACAAATGAGGGGAAGCGGCGGGAGTTGTGTACTCTCATACCGTACCTGCGGATGACCGATCAGTGCCGGTCCGCACTACACCAGCCCATTGACGACTTCTGCGAGAAGAAGCTTCGCACGAATGTCGAAGGAGCGGATAAGCTCATTGCAGGGGGTACTGTTTACCGCGTCAAGGCTCATTTGACATACGAGGAGTGCCGGGATTGGTGCGCGGAAAATCCCGACTGCGCGGGCTTAGTGCACATGCGGAAACCCATATGCATTCTTGCAAAAGTATCGTACTAGTATAAATTGCATATACAAATTTTGGCTACAAGAAAAATGGAATTTGTCGTCGTGCTGTTTTACCTATAGGAAGAAGATTTCTTGTCATGATGCATACTTGCAAGTAGTACGAGTGCAATACTTCTGCATTGCATAGCGCAACAAAGGAAACAATTGTGCGGTGAAAGGCGAAGTTGGAGGCACGGCGTTCAAGGAGGTTGCCAATAATAAAACCGACTACCTGGAAATGACGGACGCGTGCCGACGTGTAGTTGTATGGGAGTGTCAGGATCGAAATCGACGAAGTTGAAAAAATACTTTGCGATGCTTGAAATCGTCCAGTTTGTCAGGGTCTTTGGGCAAAGTAAGAAGACGAGGTCTGTCATGCTACTTTAGTAGCTTCGTCGTGAGGACCCCTAAAGAACAGGCTTGCAATTATCGGCGTCGCTTGCCCTCCCCGCAAGACAGGCACGACTCTGTGCGTTGCATTTGATCATGCCTGGAAATTTAGATTTATTCCATCTTTGTCAAAAATTTCCGTCCGGACGCCTCCATAATTGGCGCCCCTGCCGTACTACAACTACCCGCAGCTTTATCCAAGATGAAAAAAACACCATCACAATCACTTTTGCATATTTTTGCATAAACAAAAATATTTGTCATGCGCAGAACTGCATCACAGACAAATAAGAGCAGGGCTTTTTATAGGCGATTTCTCCTTATGTTTTTGCAACACAAAAAAAGTTTGGCATACGAGAGTCTGATGCATACCCTCCAAAATGTGACTGCGATGGTGTTTTTTTCTTGGATAAGCTTGATATCAACGATGCGTGTGGGAGGCACGAGGACCGTAACCACGAGGGCAATGATCTGGACAACCCCTTTCAGAAAACGTACGATATTGAAAGGAAGAATCCCCCCTCCCCATATGGAAAAGGTATGTCTCCTAAAAGTTCTTGCGTTGCTGATTTGAGGGCACAAATCACATTTGTCCTGCAAGAAGGCAGCTCTACAGTCTCCGCCGCATTATGCGGACGGTTTGCGATGCTGCTTGGGCTATAGCATAGACATTTCCGACGCTTACGCTAAGCGTCCACGTCAGAAGCTCTGTATTCAGGCGCGGCGTATGCCTCTAGTCCTCTCCTGCGAGACAGCTCGGATTTGTGTACGGAAATCCAGCGTCAGAAACTTCGTTTCGATATGGGGAGGAGGAGTTTTTCCTTACAATATACGACGAATGCCTGGCGTTGTGTGCAGCACGGAGCGACTGCACGGGCTTTGCCTTTTATACGGAAACAGGTGATTGTCAGCTGAAAGCGGTGCACGACTACAACGCCGTGAAAGCCGAGTCAACGGTAGACTACACAAGAATGACACAGGCGTGCCGATATGCGAAAAATGGTGTATCCTTCACCGGCGGGAGTCCTATTTTCCTCTCGTCGGGAGCGACGCCGCGGTGCTCCGCAGACGGAAAACACTGCGGGTGTCAAAATGAAAAATCCCCCTTCCCCATATCAAAATGGAAGTTTCTGAATCTGGTTTGTGGTCATAAATCACCTTTGTCTTGCCTAGTAGAGGGCAACTATCTAATGGGGGCCATGTGGCCGCGCATTCGAGTCCCGTCTGTCACGCGCTTTCGACCACAGAAAACCTGTTTGCGGTGCGTAATTGCTAGCCTTCTCGATACCTCAACAGGCTGAGAAAATGCTACCAAGCACTTTCTGCAAGACAGACCTGCATTGTGTACGCACACTCAGCCTCAGAATTTTCGTTTTGATGTGGGGAGGGGGATTTTTTCCTTGTGATAGCGGGCCAGGCTTTCAGCAGTGCATTCGCTACGACCACGTCACCCCGGAAGATGATGTATATGCATTGCAAAAGTAGCGTACTAGTAAAAATTGCAATAGCTGCATTACTTTGTAAAAATGCGGGCGATTGGCCTAAAGAACAATTTGTAATGCATAAACTTACACGCCATTGATTAGTACGAGTACGATACTGTTGCACTGCATAATCTAGTAACGGCGACTCTAATTTCTGCAGAGCGGATATGGAACTGTCAGGATCGAAATTGACAAAATCGAAAAATTTGTGATGCATAAAATGCATGACGCGAAATACGTGTGTTGCAGAGCAGGCAACTGAGGCCGATTGCAAGCCTGTTTGGGGTTACAGTTCGAGCTGCTACACCAGCATGAGAGAATCAGTCTTTTTCGCCTAAACAGCATTACAAACTGGATTTAGGCACCATCATAATTTGTGATGCGCCGCTTAGAAATTGGGCTTCCAACTGGTATCCATTTTATGCATGACAAATCATTTCAACTTTGTCGATTTCAACCCTGACGCTTCCATAGCGGAGTATGTGCGCCACACCTGGCCGATGTCGTGGGTGCGACGCAGCGGATATGAGAGTGCTCAACTGCTCCCCCTCCACCTCATTTCCATTTGTCATGCAAAACAAGAATACCAAATCCACACCACCCTCTGCCTCTTGGCACTTTTCGCATGACAAGTTCTGGAAGCTCAAGCAGCACTACAGTCCTGGGTGATGAATTTGTCACGCGGCAAAACCTGTATTCTACTTGCCGACACTTGTATTGCTTTTTTTGCCAGCAACATCCACATGAGAGGGACGGGGAGTTGTTGTGCACTCTCATAGCGGACGGGAGCGAGGTTGGTGCGTGTTGCAGGCTATGCATTGAAAACACATCATCTGGGTCCTCTGAAGGAAAGTTGCGATGCTACTTTGCGGATCATGAGCCGCGTCAAATATGATCATGGGCACGCGCATGACAAGTTAGTTTCTGAGCGACTGGATAGTGCGTGAAGTGCATGAGAAGTTGCGTTTTTGCATTTTACAACGAAAAAACATGCGCGGTAGCGCATCAACATGCATCACAGATTATTTGCTCGTCCACCTGTCCGCAGAGCGTTACAAGTGTTTTTGCAAAATGAATCTCCCCAAAGAGGATCCCGGCATCAAATATTCCATTTGATACGGGTACAATGACAAGAACGACCCCCCAGAGTGCAAACAGATCCCGCCGAGCTACTTTGGGAAGCTACCCGACGGGAGCTACTTTCCGTATCATCAGTGCGTGCTCTACACGCCGGGGAACCTGCCCGGGCGAGCAACCGAGGACGAGATGGCGGCAGTTCCAATGGGACCCAAGCAGATATGGCCTTCTCAAACGTTCTTATGTTCTCAACTGTGACATGGATTTGTGATGCAAGAGTGACAAAATGAAAATCCAAAGCCAGAAGGAGGTTGCTGGACCTGTAGCATTACAAATTCCGGACAGATTTAGATTCTGTTTAATAGCCCTTCGAGAATTTGTCATGCACAGCCGCTGGGCCGTGTGGTTGCTTATGGTATTTTTGCATGACAAATAATTCATGTAACCGTTGAGAATGTAACGTTTGAGAACGCAATAGCAGATGGAGTGCCCCGCGGTGTGCCGGGAGATGAGTGACGAAAACCTTCCCATCGAGGGGTGGTGCTTCGGGTGCGACTCCAGGGACGGCAAATCGAAATATGACAGTGCACAACTCCCCCTCCGTCCCCCTCATTTGTGTTGCATGAACAGCAACACAGGATCATGCAGCTTTTTCATGACAAATTCCTAGGCGATGGCAGTGCTGTTTCGGATTCCGGAATAATCTGTCATGCAAACAGTACTAACAGGCAAAGGGTGGATTTGGAATTTTGCATGACAAATGAGGGGGAGGGGGAGTTGTGCTCTTTCATACGAAAGGGGCCTGCTGTAAAAAGGACGCCGCGACCAAGCGGGAGTGTGCCAGCGTGCCGTACCGTAAGTAAAAACGTACCCACACCAGAGTTGTAATGCAGATCTGCAAGCGCAAGAGCATTTGTAATGCGCATCCCCAGGAGAGGCATTTCCCATCGTGTTATGGAAGTTGTAATGCTGTCAACAGGATAAGGAGATGGATTTGTTATGCGGCTTCCCTTGCTAAACACCATTACACTACAGCCTGCAAGTTGTCATGCGTGGCTCCCAAAACTTTCAGGTTTGTGTTGCAAAATCCCCATCTTGACTCTGGGGTGGGGACGTTTTTACAAATGACATGCCGGGGAACGAGTTCTTTGGTGTGACGGACTACTTTTCTTGCGTCATCCCTGTGCAGGCGGTCGCGGACGAGGATTGGGAGTATCAAATGCAAAAATGTCTGGGTCTGGAAGAGTGGAACTTGTGATGCTAACTTTGGACTCTGAAAAATTCTGTATTGCGTGACCAGCAAGAGGAGTCCAGTTTGTGCTACGCGTGGAGGGCATTTGTCATGCGGAATAGGCATCAGGAAAACCTCTAAAAACCTGTGATGCTAGGACTTCCATGACAGACATTATGTGTCATGCAAAAACAGCATACCAAATCTCGGACTCTTCCAGACCCAGACATTTTTGCATTTGATTGGGAGGTATACTTCGCAACGCATGCCGCGCCGCCCTCTGCTGCGACGGCGACCACGACGCAGGTGACATTAATAGCAACCTCGCGAGAAGAAGAAGAAGAAGAAGAAGAGAAGGAGGGGCATCAAAGCGAAAGCCAAGCCCAACGCCAGCCCCAGAAGAAGATGAAGAAGAATAATTATAATTCCAACCACAACTACTCCCGAAAGACAAAGAACGCAGCAACTGCAACAAATTCAACAAATACTGCGAGCGCAAGTGGAACCGAAACTACCCCGAAGAGGAGCGCGGTGCAGAGCAGAAGTCCTCACGAGAATAAAGAGCGTGGGCATGATTTCACAAGCATCAGTCGGGAGAAAGAGACCACCACGGAGGTCATCGGGCTCTCCTCCAGAGCTCGAATCGCGAAGAAAGGGCAGAAAGTGAAGGTAGAACGAAAGACCAGAGCTGCAGACGAGCAGCTGGAAGTATCCAAGAACAAAACTGCGTTAGTGTAACTTTATTCGTTGGCCGCGGACAGCATCACAAATTTGCGCTACATGACAGGAGCGAAATAAACCTGTCATGCGTGGCTTGTAAGGGAAAACACACATAGAAAAGAGGACTGCATGGTTGTCTGGCATGACAGGCGTAATTCTGTTGCATGTAGTTATGCATTACAAAGCTACACTTACGCAGTTTTTTTCTTGCATAGGAAGTCCAGGTTCCGGCGTCGGAGCTTTGGGCCACACAGAGCGATATCCTGTGCAAAAGTATCGTACTCGTATTGCAATCATGCGTTACAAATGTTTTTCTTAAGGCAAATCTGCATTACAAATTTTATTTCTCATGCTGAGGAAATTTGTAGTGCATTTGTACGAGTGCGATACTTTTGCATTTCATAAGCGAATATCAAATTCAAGAATGTCTGGGTCTGGAAGATTCTAAACTTGTGACGCTGGTGTCTCTGGATTCAAAAAAAAATGTATTGCGTGACCAGTAAAGAGGACTCCAGTTTGGACTACGCGGAGTAGAGGGCTTTTCTCATGCGGAATAGGCATTAGGAAGCACTCTATAATCTAAAAAAAATCTGTGATGCTCGTGCATGCATTACAGACTTCACGGGTCATGCAAAATATGCATGACAAACATGGCAATCTTCCAGACCCAGACATATTTGCCTTTGATAGCGAAAAGAGAAACGTGATGTGGATAGATGACGCTATAAAACCACTAGGCTACGAGAAGGGCATGAACACCAGGCACGGTGGTGGTAGTGAAAACCTTTGCTCCCTTATCGTACAAAAAAAGTGTTTCATTGTAAGGATTTTCATTTTGCAGGTTTTGCATCACAAGTTTGCTCTACATGACAGAGAAATTTGCCATGCAAGGTTCCTAAGGGAAAACAGCACAGCTAAAACCCCACTGTCTTGCATGTGTAGCAACAGCAAGGCAAACACTTGTGAAGAAATACATTTTGTGCATTACAAATTTACAGTGAAGCAGTTTTTTCTGGCGATATCCCTCAACGCAGAAAACAACAGTAAGGGGGCATGGTGGCGCATGGAGTTTGCCGACGGGAAAGCCCACTCGCTCTTGATATCACGTTCGCCTCCAGTGTTACGTGGACCTTTGCTGTTGCGACGTCGTCGTGTCTTGGCTTCTCGTTGTGCAAATTTGTCATGCAGAACCTCTAGTACCTGCGTCAGCGTCACACATTCTTGAAGACACTCGTCTGCATGTTGATCAGGCTACTTACATCAACTACATTAACGTCAAGCCCAACAGGTACTTCTCTGCAGTCCGTGCCGAACCTGTCACGCTGGAAGCGCAGCCTTCCTTTTTGCAATATCTTGTTGGTGCAGCAGAACAATTATCTATAATTTTATTGCAAAAATTCTGGCGGACGCGGGGCTGCAAGCTACTAGTAGGAATTCTACTAGTGGAAAGCTGCTAGTAGAAAAACGGCTACTAGTAGAAATCCTGCTAGTGTTTTTAGCGTGACAAAAAAGCACGAGGGGCACTAGTGACAGGCGCCACTAGTGAAGGCGCCCACTAGTGAAGCCACTAGTGACAAAAAGCCCGACTTTGGGGAAAGCGGAAACACTAGTGAGAAAACCCGCCAATGCAGCCGGAGCCAGAAACCCCGATGGAAACACAATAGACCAACAAAAGCTCGCCCGGGCCGCCTGTCAAGGAGCCTCGGGCAGGGGGCTCGGGGCTGCGGTCTCCCCTTGCCGAACCCTCTTAGATGCCTGGCTGGCGGCCGCCGATTGGCTACCCCGGGCCGGATTCGTGCTGCATTCTGGCGCCCCTTGCCATTCGCCCCCTGTTGCGAGGGGTTTGGTGGCATCCTGCGCCTTCCCCTGCCACCTGTGGCTCTCTAGGCCGGGCTTCGTCGCGTGCCCACTGCCGGCCGCGGGGGCTCTTCGGCCTCACCGGGGCTGCCTGATTTTGCCCCGTGTCCTTTGGGCCGCCGGGCGTGTTTCCGGTTTCTTTACGGCTCGCCCCTTCGGCCTGTTTGGGCGTTTCCCCTTTCGCTTCCGGGGCTTTTTGCTTCTTCCCCGACCCCGGGCTTTGGCCTGCTTACTTTTTTTTGGGGTTGTCTTTTCGTTCATCTTCCTGTGACTCGCCTCCCGGGCCGTCGAAAAGGGTCTTGGCACGCTCTCCGCCGGACCTGTCTGTGGCGGCTCGGACCGGGGCTGCGCTGTGCGCCCCCTACCGCCCCTGGCGCCTCGCGGCCTTCTCTCGACCCACACTTCTTTCGCTCCCGCCGACCGAGGGAGGAAGGCCAGGGGCGCTGCCGTTTCTTTTTTTCGCCTGTCCAGCATGTTTTGAGGCTGTAGCGCTAGCCGCTACCCTGTAGGCCCTTTCTCCCTCGCTCCCCCTTGCACCCCCTTGTCGCCGGGCCGGCGGGCGCGGAGCGCCCGCCCGTTCTAGATATGAACTAGTTGCCAAGCAAAAATGAAAATCACGCCGTGGCAGCGTCCATCCACGTAACCAAGTTTGACAACGCGACGCTCAAGCATGAGAATTTGGAATCGAGCACGAACCGGCACCGTGGGACGAGATCGCGTCAACAACGCTCACATCCTGTTGGATCCGCCCGGGGTGAACCATTCTGCGCCGACGCAGAATGACTTGGAGACGGCTTGGAATGCGCAGATGAGTGCAAGTGCAGGTGCATCATACCACATCCAGCTGCCAGGCGACGTCCCAGTCTGCGACCCCGATGTGGACGAGGATCCTCAGGATGGCAAACCCGACTACAAGAGTATCCTGTGTAAAAACGGCCACACACCATAGAAGCACAGTACAGAATATTAGCAGTGGCCACATAGTAGCATGCTTTTCTATTTCAATTTCTCTTCTCGTCGTAGTTGGTTCTCCTCCTTCCTTTCCTGAAAGTTTGAAGCTTCTCTGTGCTTTATATTGGTCTCTTCCAGTACATAAATACCCCATACTCGTCAGTTGCTTATCGTCTGTGCTTTTTTCATGTGGTCTTTTCTAGTACATAAACACCCCATAGTCAAGATGGGAAATCTGCTACACACCTCAACAAGGTTTAGCTGTTGCGCATGACAAGTTTGGCCTCGTCGTGTAGTTGTGTTTAGCTAGTTCAGTAGCATCACCGATCTAGGAGCTGCACATCATCGCGCCGATTCGATTATCGCAAATTCCAAGCCACGACTAGAAAATGCGTCTCATGGGGCTCCGCATGAGAGACATTTTAAGGAAGACGCAGATTTGCATGACACCCTCCATTGGGCGGGGACGTTTTTACACAGGATACAGGAAGCAATTTGTAGCGATTCCAACGTTGACTGCTCAGCGTCCGAACCAACGTACAAGGGAGATTATCAAATGCAAATATGTCTGGGAGGTCTGGAAACTTGTAATGCTTTTTAGTTGTGAATATTAAACAGTTGTGAATATAATTAAACTCTCTGTAATGCACAGCCGAGCATGAGAAAAAAATATTTGGGCGGCTTAGTGTTGTGCTTTCCGCACGACAAACTGCGTTTTGCATGACAAGCAAACGGCTCGCTTCTTGGACACCCGTCACAATAAACTCTTCAGTCATGCCGGACAAGCATGACAAAGAAACCTTGCATCCTTCCCGACCCAGGTGCCTAGCGCTTTGGCCAGCGTAGCACCTCGGTAGAGCCTGCGGGACCCCGTGGGCAGAAGTTCATTGCACCCAAATTGTATGTTGCGCAAGTGATAGTATAAGTAGTAATAATTAGTACCACCGGTGGACATATTAGCATGTTTAATCTCTCTCTACATACTGCATTCACGTAGTTCTCTTTTATTTTCTTTCTTCAAAAAGTTCAAGTCGTTCTCTTCCCCGTGCTGTACCAAGGTCTTGTTTCCAGACAAAACACCAGACATATTTGCATTGGATAATGAAAACAACTGCCAGGATGGGGAGCGGGTGGACCTAAGTGCTCTAACTGCGTCGAAGTCTTTTCGGTACTTGTACGTGGTGCCTCATTCGCGAGATGTGTTAAACCTGTGTGTATGAGAGTGCACAACAACTGCCCCTCCGCCGCATTTGTGTAGTTGCATGAACAGCAACACAAGCGCTGGCAAAGATGCAGCCTTTAATATTGCGTGAGAAGTCCCTAGAGGGTTGTACTAGTGCTGTTTTGGATATAATTCCGGAGCCTGTCATGCAAACAGTGCTAACAGGCAAAGGGTGGACTTAAAATTTTGCGTGACAAATGTTGTGGCGGAGGGGGAGTTGTGCACTTTCATAGTGCGGCGTGCTCTTCTACATCCCCTCAACTGAAGTGCCCTGGTGGGAGGAAAGTCCGCGACTGCGAGTGAACCCCATTCTGCTGAAAGCCACGCAGAGCTCAGACTACACGACTACTGTTTTGGAAAAACTTGTCGGCCAAGCGGAAGATCCGCTGTACTACGAGAAGGGCAGGGTTACCGAGTGGGGCTGGGAAAAATACCAAGCGTCCACGCGAACTGGCAGGCCGGCGGTCTGTAGCCACACCAGAGACACGGCAGGCTGGTGGCGCGTGGAGTTTGCGGATGGAAAAAGCCACACACTTTCTTACATGGAAATCTGGAATCGGGGGGACTGCTGTCGACAGCGGTTAAATAACGGCTACGTGCTTGTGGATCCTATCCAGGAAAAAACACCCATCCCCATCCATTTTTTGCATGACAAATAGTGGATTTTGTGCATGTTTTGCATGACAAATTGGATGGGGATGGGTGTTTTTTCCTGGATGCATCCCGCAGTCGGACTATGAGACTGCACAACTCCGCCACCTCTTCCCCTCATTTGTACTTATTGCATCAACAACAACAACAACACAAGCAACGGCAGAGAGGTGGCTTCCGCACGACAGACACAGATCTGCACGCGGGATGTAATATATACTGTTTGAGATTCTTAAATCAAAATTTAACATGCAGAGAGTGCCAAAAGAAAGGGAAAAAATGGTATTCTGCATTACTACGTGAGGGGGAGGGGGGAATGTGCACTGTCATACGGATCAAATCCAACTAAGGCAGAGCTGATGAACATTGTTAAAACTACCGAACCCCGCGTCGGTGGTTGGGTCCTATCAAGGGCAAATATGAAGTCGGGGTCTGGAAAGTTATGATGCTGAGCACCGGATGATGAAGACGTTGCCGAATGCAGCCAAGCATGACAACTTTATTGCAGAGCGCTTTCTCATAAGCAATTCGCATGAGAGGCTACGTTTTTGTATGACAAAAGAGGCACGACCTTGGTTGTTGTTGGCCATGCAATACAGATTCAGATTTTTATTAATACACAGGAAATACAAATAATTAAAGACCAGCACTACAAGTTCAACTCTCCAGACCCAGACACATTCGCAATCCATAGGTCCATATCAAATGCAAATATGTCTGGGTCTGGAAGATTGCCAGGGTTGTCATGCATATTTTGCATGACCCATAATGCTTCGAATGCATGACCTAGCATCGCAGATTTTTAGAGGGCTCCCTGATGCCTATTCCGCATGAGAAATGCCCTCCCCGCATGAGAAAATGCCTCCCCATGCCCTCCCCTAAATCTTTTCTAACGCCACGGTATTGGCAGAGGCTAGATCTGTTCTAACGCCGCCCTGACAGGAGTCAAAGGCCAAAGCGATGCGATACATGTCGCACAAACTGGATGCACGCATCGCCATGAGAGATGCCCTCCCCATCTCGCATGTACGCAACCAAGCGGCTGCGCGCAACAAAGACTCGAAGGGTTAAACCGCGCCTAAATCTGTGCCAAGTTTGTAATGCAACAGCTGCAAGATTCTCCCTTTCACTCTCGCTGGTCATGCATCACAAATTCATGCAACACAAACGCTTGAGAATGTAACGTTTGAGAACGCCATACGCATGAGAAATGCCCCACCCATCAGCGCGCAACCAACCACAAAAACCGTTAGCCGTTAAAGTTTGTAAGACTAACCCATCAAGGCTATACCGGAGCTCCACCCTGCCCACGGGCTTGGATGGTAAGCCAGGCCCGCCACCTCTAGCGGCCACTGGCCGTAGACACGCATAAGAAATCGGAGGCGGTTCTGCTGTTGCGGTCGGTTGGTGCCTGTACTAGGAAGTGGAACGGGTGATGATGATGTCCACCTAGGGGTATAATTGGCAGAGGCTAAATCTGTTCTAACGCCACGGAATTGGCAGAGGCTAAGTCTGCTCTAACGCCGCCCGCAAGGAGTCTGTGAAATGGTCACTAAAAAATACTTACTACATGTCGCGGCACAAACCGGACCCCTCTTGCTGGTCATGCAATACTGATTTTTTAGAATGCAGAAATAGCGATCACAAGTTCCACCAACCTTGCAGACCCAGGGATATAATTTGCATTTGATAATCAAACTTTCGGACAATGTTCCCGGCGTTGGCATAGGGGGCGACGCGGGCGACGGAGAATATCATAAAGTTGACGACTTCAACGGCGGGGGAGGGGAATTCGTGGACCTGCTGCAGGACTATGCATTGCAAATATGTCTGGGTCTCTGGAAACTTGTGATGCTAAAGCGTGGACGATGGAAACAATTCCGAACGCAGCCATGCAAGACAAGTGTCCGGAGCGCTTTCTGCTCATAGGCAGCCGGAATAGAAACTGCGTTTTTGCATGAGAAAGATGGCTGCGACTCTTATGCTAGTTCATATGTTTGCTAAGCCTATGCAGTAAGTGCGTCTATTTGCAAATGTTCCACCAGGGGTGCAAAGCTAGCATTACTAGACGACCCGGGCTCATTTTCTGAGCGTAGTTGTTATTTATTTTTACTTTTGAAAATTTAACTCGTTGTCGTTCTCCTCCCTGTGCTGTACCAAGGTCTTGTTTCCAGACAACACGCCAGACATATTTGCATTTGATAAGGACGCGCTTAAAGCAAAGCAGCCGTTTCGCACCTTGTATGTCATAGGGCCTGATGATATTGTTAATGCTGCTGGTAATATGGAGAGAAAAAAGTTTGTCACAGTCACTAAGTTGCAGGTTTTGCATTGCAAATTTTTTTAGCATCACGCCTTCTCCTTGTATTGCAGAAACACTAGGGAAATCCCTTATGAAGTGTGGCTGTGATGCATTTTTACGCATGAGAGACAATTTTGTATTGCAAAAATGCCCATGAGTGATCGTGACGAACTTTTTTCTTTTGATAGGTAATGCTCCTGATGATTACCTCACCATCTGCGGGGTGCACTTTTACGCCAGCGAGCCCTTCTGGCTGAAGCCGCCGGAGATTGGATATAATTCGTACTCTGCTTCCCAGAGTTTGTCTCTTGCGCAGAAGGAGCCCGTCCCCCCTATGAAAATGAAAAATCCGCCCTCCCCATATGGAAAAGCTATGTTTCCGAAAATTTGTGTTGCTGATTTGAGGTCATAAATCACAGGCGTCTTGCAAGACGACAAGGGCAGAAGCTTTCGCCCCATTATCGAAGCGATTTGCCATGGTGCTGGGCTTAAAGGGGAGGCGTTTGCCATGCTGAACACCTAGACCCATATCCTCCCAGCTAGCCTTTGGAGGTGGCCGCAGTGCCTTCCTGCAATACAGAGCTGATTTGTGCACACAAATCCAGCACCAGAGATTTCGTTTTGGTATGAGGAGGGGAGATGTTTCCTCTCGATACCCCCTGAGCAGCATTTATCTCTCGTGGAAGTCCGCCGGGGGTATGGGGCCGAGCCCGATGTTACCCAGCTATCCAAGAAAAAAGCATTGTAGGTGTAACTTTTTTGGAGGAACAGCATTACAAATTTGTCTGGCATGATGACAGCACAATCCTGTCATGCGCAGATACGATAGTACGTGAAAACGCTCCTTGATGGACCCTACGTCGATGCAGGCCAAGCATGACAGACGCCCTCGTCTTGCATGTTGTTGCGCATGACAAATTTACACTAGCAGCGTTTTTTTCTTGGATACCAGCCTCTCTGCAAAGACTGCGGGCCCCGGCAACGGGTATGAAAGCCTCAGGTTGGAAATCCTCAAAGTGAAAGTAATCTGTAATGCAAAAAAAACGACGCCAGTTGAAGCACCATTTATAGTCGGCGCATGACAAATTTCCCGGGCACTCAAAACGCGTCTGTCATGCTAGTTAGGCAAAGGGGTGCGTTTCTGGCATGCTACTCAGCACTCCAATCCTTAACCCGTAGCAGGACAATACATAGTCGGCTTCCATTGCGTTCGCTGCAACACAGTCTTTTTGGTGTCGCATTCCATGCATCACAAATCATTTCCACTTTGAGGATTTCCATTCTGAGGGTGTCATAACGGGAATGCCTTGCCGCGTGCGGCAAAGCCGGGTACTGTGCGAAGTGTAACGGGCTTATGGAACTGTCAGGATTGAAATTGACAAAGTTGAAAATGAAATGATAGATTTGTCATGCATAAAATGGATGCCTGTTAGAACCCAGCTTCCAAGTGGCGCATGACAAATTTTGGTCGTTCCTGAATCCAGTTTGTCATGCTGTTTGGGCAAAGAAGATTGGTTCTCTCATGCTACTTTGGCAGCTCGAGCGCTAACCCCCAACAGGCTTGCAATCGGCCTCACTTGCCTGCTCTGCAACACACGTATTTCGCGTCTATGCATTTTATGCATCACAAGTTTTTTCAACTTTGTCGATTTCAATTCTGACACCTCCATAGGGCTGCCGAACGACGTACACCTCCACCAAGGGGCTTGCTTACCCTGTGCAAAAGTATCGTACTCGTACTAATCGTATTCATGCAATACAAGTTATTTTTTTCTCAAGTTAAACCCGCATTACAAATTTCATTTCTCTTGCTGATGAAATTTGTCATGCGATTTATACTAGTACGATGCTTTTACATTTCATATTGCTGCATGAAAAACAATGCCGCCGACAGCATATGCATTGCAAATATGTCTGGGTCTAGAAGAGTCGGGGTTTGTGGGCATGCACATTTTGCATGATGCAAGTCCTAGCATCACAGATTTTTTGAAGGCTGCTTGATGCTTGTCACGCATGAGAAATCAATGCCCTCTCCGCGTGCCAAGAACTGGACTCCTCTTGCTGCTCATGCAAGAACGCAGATAGTTTTTGTTTTAGAATTTATTATCCGCAGACAGCATTACAAGTTCATCCACCCTTCCAGACATCCAGACATATTTGCACTGGAGGCAGCACCGAGTGCCACTACGCGCCCCTGGAGAAGTTCGCGGGCTTGGGGTATCACGAGTGTGTCATCATTCCGGAGCCGTACGAGTTTGCTGGCTTTGGGGTTTGCACCCCGGAACACGGGGGGTGGGACCCCTATGGATTGTAAAAGTGTCTGGGTCTGGAAGGTTGGGACTTGTAATGCTAGCTTTCCATACCTAGAAAATCTGTATTGCATAACGAACAAAAGTCGCAGCCTCTTTTGTCATGCAAAAACGCAGCTTCTCATTCGGATTGCCTATGAGGAAGCGTTTTGGGAAGTTCTCATGCCCGACTGCATTCGGAAGTGTTTTCATCATGCACATCGTAGCATCACAAGTTTCCAGACCCAGACCTTTTTGCACTTCATAACCCCTGGCCGAACACGATGTTTGTACTCGACTACTCACGCCTCGAGCTCGACGAAACGCCTTTGACACCCTCGAAGAACGACTGCAGCGCTCTGTGTGACGCTTTTGACTCGTGCCTGGGCTTCGAAAAGTTCTACATGGCGGCACAGGGGCCAACCTGCAACATTCTCGGCGTGTACATCGCATATGTGGACGGGTCGACGTATGGAATTCTCAAGCGTTACATTCTCAACTGTTACATCAATTTGTCATGCAAAACTACCTTAAGCCGCGCACCAGATGCTCAAGCTGCTTCGCATGACAAATCTGCGAGGGGCGAGACAGCACCTAAATCTGTGCGGAACTTGTAACGCAAAAGGCGCAAACTTAGCCCTTTCACTTTTGCCGTTCTTGCATATACAAGTTCATGCAACAGTTGCGCCATCGACCCCCGTGCGCCAAATGCGCCATCGACCCCCGGCAAGGCGTTCGAGACGGTGCAGAAGCAGCTCGCTGAAATCCGGTCGTCATTCATGGTGAGCTTGAAAGGATTCGATAATTTGAAGCCTTTCTCTATCTGGGCCGAGGAGGCTAAAGCGGAACATGGGGAATTAGGAACAGGTGGGAACAATGACGTCGAGGAAGCCGGCAGTGAGGCTGGCAAGGAAAATAACAACCGGTCGGTGAGCTTCGTAGACGAGGATGAAGATGCGCCTATGGAAGACGCTGCGGAGGAAGAGGACGGCTTGCTACAGAGTTTGACATCGACCACGTCAAACAAACGTCCGAGCGGGATGGCCACCGCGACCAGCCCGATAATGACTGCGTCAGCACTCCGTGAGGAGCGAGAGGAGTTCATCGCGAATTTTGACACCAAGACCCACCAGGAACGGATCCAGTTCTGGAAAATGGAAAGTATGCACCTGATAGCCCAAAAATGCCGTGACCACATCATCAAAGAAGGCGACCAAGGCAAGATGATCGTGAAAGACCCCGAGACGGGGAAACCGACGATAGCCGAGGACCCAGAGCTGACTTACGACAGCCATGCAGCCAAGATATGCGCCGCGCTGTCGGGAAAGATGCAGAGTGCCTTCAAGGCTTTGGATCCGGGATATGTGCGCTTCCTCAACGTGCATCCCACGACGGGATGGGCGGACGTCATACTGAAACCAAATTCCCACTCGATGACCTTGCTCTCCCTCGTCCAGAGCGACACAAAAAACTGGCTGCGGATGTTCGTCCTCCCTATTTTGGTCCGGGAAAATTTTCCGCGTACGCCGCAGCAGGCGCGGAAGGTGGCGAGGAAAATCGAGAACGCAGCGCAAAACGACCAAAAGGAGCAGGCGAAGGAGGAAAAGGGAACGGGCGCCGCGGGCAAAAACGATAAAAATGACGCACAGGCAGCGGAGCCATCCCAGAAAAAGGCGAAACAGGGCGAAAATAAGGGGACACAAGGCCAGCAGCGGCAGGCGGCTGCCAGCAGCAGCAGCAGCAGTAGTCGCGCACCGGCGGCGTCCCAGTCTGAGGCGAAGAAGGGCGGAGTCCCGATCAAACGGTCCGGCGCTAACCTTGCGAAGGTCATGCGGAGTGGAGTGTTGATCGGGGCGAAGAAGTTGAAGTTCTGATGGCGAGATGTTAAGATTGGAATATGGAAAGATAGGTGGTGCGAGATGGTGGTGAGTACTCCAGATTTCTGTTGGCGAATGTAAAATGAATGAAGTTGTTTACTGCAGTTTGAATTTGGAAGATAAACTTTGAACAAGAACGTGAACTACGAAGAGTGAGCTGCAGTACCTCGAGCGCCACGTGTAAGATAGTACTTTTTTGACGGTGACGAGGAGAAACTGGAGCAGGTCGCTCGGAATTCGATCTACTGAGAGACTGGTTTTTTGCGCCACACTAACTGCTGCGGTAGTAACCGAAGGAGGAGGTGGGAAGCAGAACACGTTTGGAAAACCAACAAACGGGGCGAAAGTGGACTCTGTGCAGGGTAATTAGAAAGTCGAGCTTTGGGTCTGATCGACGAGTCTGCTCAGCTGTACTTACACGAACTGCAACGTCCTTGCAGCAGACTGACTGGGTCGGGCTGAAGATTGGAAAGAAGATCTGAGAGATTAGCTGATGGACCTGACCTAGCTCGTGGCCGCCAACCGCGTTGCTGTATTGAAGGCATTAGTATTGTTATCGAAGAGAAGAAGAGAAGAGCTGGACTTTTGTGCACCTGCTACCTTGCGCTCAGTGAAAAGAAATAATCCCGGGGCTCTATCCTTCGTGGAAGAAACGTGATCGACTTGTGTTCAACGGTACGAAGCGGACTGGAGGTTGTTGGAATCTGGGGAGAGTAGTACGAGCTGATGATGCAAGTGAGATCCCAAATTAACCAAGCCGCAGCTGAAGGCGCCGCGACTTACGACACCACAGCAGGGAGGAGCCCTGCTGTAGGCGGCAGCAGGGCGAAGCCTGCCGGGAGGGAGGATCCCTCTCGAGGCCGACGCGGCGCGCACGCTTCCGCAAAGAAGAAGCTGAGGCTGGGCACATGGAACGTGCTCACCCTCGGCAAGAGGGAGGACAGCGGGATACGGACGGTGGAAATGGAATGCTTGATCAAGGACGCTAGATCCAGGAAACTCGATGTCATGGTGACGCAGGAGAGTAGAGTGACTGAGTGGATTACCGGTGAGCGCGTTGGCGAGTATCTTCTGTATGGGGGCGGGGCGTGGCTAAATAGTTCCGGAACGCCGGTCGGGGGGGTATTGTTTGTCGTCCGCCACAGCATCGAAGTTGTTGACTTTGACAGCGAGCAGTGCGGGCGACATGGCCGAATTTCCCTCCGGACCCCGTATGGGCAAAGAGTCCATCTCCACGGCTGCTACGCTCCAACGAACGCGGCAGACGTCGGGGACAAAGACAGCTTCTGGGAAAAAGCAACGAGAAAAATCGCCAATCACAGTGGCAGGGACATCGTGATTGCGGTAGGAGATTTTAATGCTGAGATGGCGGGAGGCCCGCAGCGGGAACTACAGGAGGCCGGGCTTCCGTTTACAGTAGGTCCCTGCGGCCTCTCCGCTGGTTTCGCGCGCCGGACTGACAACGCTGACAGGCTCCAGGCACTAGCAGCCGCAGCGGAGATGGTCGACGTTTCGTCCTTGTTCAAAAAACCGTGGGTGCGGCGGTACACTTTCGAGGGAGCTTGGAAGGGGGCGAGACCACGGCGAGAGTACGACCACATTTTTGTCTCGTGGAAGCACCGGGGGTACGTGTGTGCGTTTCAGGTGCGGGGTGAGACGTACCACAAGAGTGGCCACAGACTGGTGGAGGCAGAAGTATCCCTTTCTATCACCAAGAAGAAGACTGTGAACAAGGGGGCCGGGGCGTGGATCCGAACCGAGGAAGCCGCAGAAGCTGTAGGCGCATGCCTTGGGGAAGTTTACGACGGCCCGACCCTTGTTAACGAAATAGAAACGGGTGGGCGTAGCGCGGATGAGTGGTGGAAGGAGTTCGAAGAAGCTCTTTCTACCACGATCGAAAAACTCAGCACCGGGGTTACCAGAAGCGGCCCGCGCAAGCCTTGGATCACAGGGACAACTTGGAAAAAGATTGAGGAGCGGAAAAAGCTGATGACCAAGGAAGGAAAAACCGCCAGGGCCAAGCGGAACAAGCTCGGGAGGGATATCCGGGCGAGCATCAAAAGCGACAAAAAAGCTTGGGTGGAAGAGAAGCTGGACAACTTACAGAAGGCGGACAACGCCGGGAACTCGCGAGAGGTTTACGAAGTTGTCCGGCAGCTGGCGGGCAAAGCGCGGAAACCGGCGCAGGAGCTACCGGGCCCTCCGGAAATGTGGGCGCAGTTCTGGGGAAAAATTTTTGGCGAGCCGCGCCCCGAACCAAGTCAGGCCACCAAAAGCACGAACAGCTTCCGCAAATGCGCGGAAAGGCTGGAGCAAGAACCGCGGCAACAGTGGTGCCAGGGGCTTGACGCCGTCCCAAGTGAAGCGGAGATTTGTGATGCGTTGCGGGGTCTTAAGGCCGGCAAGTCCTTCGCTGGGGTAGCACCTGTAGAACTGATCCGCAACTGCGAGCTCGCGCGCGCAGTTGTAGTAGCACTTGTGCGGGGAGAGTGTTTCGGGGAGAGGATGTCCCCGAGGCATGGGGCCGCGCGGTGCTGGCGATGCTCCACAAGAAAGGCGACAAAGCCCAAGCAAAAAACTACCGACCGATAGCCTTGCTCACCTTTGCTGAAAAACTCATTGGCCTCATAATCTTGCGCCGGATTGAAACAGAAGCGATGAGCGCCATCGACAAAAGGCAGAAGGGGTGCACCAGGGGGCTAAGCTGCAGACACGGAGTTTTCCAAATTCTTCGGGATATGGAGCGCTGCAAGCGGGAAGGCCGCCGGGCGTACTACGTTTTTGCTGATTTCCTGAAGGCCTTCGACAGTTTGGCCTGGGATATCATGCGCAAAGTACTGAAGCGCCAGGGAATGCCTGACAACCTTGGGGAAGTAATTCGGGGCATGTACGACAAGGGGGCGCGAGTCAGTATCAGGCTAGCCGCCGACAGTTTTACGGAAGCCATCAAGCAAATGGCCGGCATACGGCAGGGCAGCTCGCTGTCGCCGTTGCTGTTTGCCATCGTGCTTGATTTCGCCATCACTAGTTTCGCGGAAGTGATGAAAGAGGAAAAAAAGTGGACCACAGCACAGGCTCGGGGATTCGCAATGAGCCTGCTCGGGTTCGTGGATGATCTGGCGATCAAAACCGGATCTGAGTCCGAAGCGCAATTTGCAGTCACCGAGCTGGCAGGGGCCTGCAGGTTTGTGGGCTTGGAGCTGAATGCGGACAAGGGAAGAACGGAGATTATGGCTGTCAACCCAGAGCGCAAAGACAGGCGGGATGAGTTTGCCATGACCGAGAGGCGCATGGTGAGCAAAGAAGAAGGCGCAGCTCCGACCTGGGGGCTGATGGTGGAGTGGGCGGGAATCGACCATAAACCAGAGTACAGGGCCGCAGCGCGTGCGGTCTGTACACAGCGCATGGGCGACCTGGTGCCAACTCACCTCGTCATCTGGGACAATGGGCTCCATAACGTGATAAAGCTGAAAGCTTCAGGCTGGGCCACGTTGGACAACGGCCGGGCGATGCGAATTAACAGGATGGGGCGGCGCGAATACATCTTGGACAAGCACAACGTGCACCGGTGCCACCGGTGTGGCGATGTCCTCGAAGATGAAAATGCGCTCAAGTACCACCTGGCGACCGGGTTCTGCAGGGAAGAGAAAACGGTCCACGACCTTCGCACGCTGAGAGTAGCGCGACAGGTAGAGGGAAAAAAGAAGGAGAGCAGGGAGAAAGCGGAAACAGAGCCGGCCAACGTGTGGCACGACGGGAAACAGATCGCAACGGTCGACCGCTTTACTTATCTCGGTACAGAGATGGACAGCGAAGGGTCGACCAAGTCGGAAACGCGCCGGCGCTGCGCCATGGCGATGAGCGTCGTGCGCTCTCTGAGCAAGATCTGGCGCGATAAAGAGGTGCCGCGGCACTTGAAAGCCAATCTTTATCGTTCCCTGAGCCTCAGCGTAGCACTGTATAACGCAGAGACGTGGGCAATTACGGAGAGCGACGAAAAAGCGCTGAGGGCCTTCCAGCTGAATGCCTTGCGGTTCATTTTTGGGATCTGGGAGTGGGAAGGATCTCCATCACGAGCGGAACTTTGCCAAGCCCTCGGGGTGCAGCTGATCGAGACAGAGATCCGGGAGAAGCGGATTTCTTGGATCGGCCACGCAGCGCGGGATCCCCTAGGCGAGGGGTCGTTTGGGAGAATTCGACACGAAATCGAACAAAAGACGCCTTGGGGCAGGTTGGCGGCTGCAGACCTGGAGCACTACAGTGTGGAACTTAAAGACCTGGAACTGCAAAAGCCCGCCGGACCAGTGGTGCGCGAAATGCTGACGCGAAGAAGGCCCTACGCAACCGCAAAAAAGCCACCGGGGAAAAAGGGACCAAAGCCAGGAGCCAAATCCGAGCGCGCGGAAGAAATGCAGGCTGAACGCCGGAAAAGGCTACAGCAGCAGAGGGAAGAGGAAGAAAGGGCGCGGGCAGCACTCGCCGAAAGCCTACACGGCAAAAAGTGGAAGCATAACAGTGACAGGCAGGGTTTTTGGGAAATCGATGGCGACCCGAGCATCGCCTTCCAAGTGGGCGAGATCTTCTTCTGCGAAAACACAGGCAAGGAAGAGGTGCAGGTGGCGGGCGTGTGGTTTCAAAAAGAATCTGATGGAACGCACGCAGTCAGATAGCATGGCCACAGACCCCACCGAAGGAAGAACTTGATAACAATACACGCACGGCTACGATATTTTCGACAAATCTCTGAGCGAGGATTACTAACCAGAGACTAGCCCACAAGAGAGACTAGCCCACATTACACAAGAGAGAAAAAGTTCATTATGAACTGGGGCAAAAAGAAGTTATCTTAAGCAGCAGGAGTTTATATGTGCTGCACCCAGGCCCGCCGAGCTAGTTAAACGCCCCAGTGGGTTAGAGGAGAAGTCTAGCAGGTCCCTAGTGCTGTAGGAAGTTGATAACTTAGATTTTTGTATGTTGGGCAGTTGCTGCTGTCCGGAGGCGTCCACACTGCCTGATAGTAGTCGTCTGCCCGTGGTGCAAAGCATCGCGTTGTTCCCTGCCCCGGCCGTTCGAGCTTGATGGTAAGAGGCCACCGCCGCCGCCCCACTCCACTCCACTCCACTCCCACGCGTTGACTTGACTTGACTTGACTTGACATGCAACAGTTCAGAATGGAACGTTTGAGAACGCCATACGACGGTGATTGGTCCCGGGGATACAAATCCGAACAAAACTATCCACCTTCCGATATCAAATGCAAAAGTGTCTGGGTCTGGAAGAGTGCAAGTCTGTCATGCACGTTTTGCATGAGGCATGATGTCTGTGATGTTTGTCCTAGCGTCACAGATTTTTAGAGGACTTTTTGATGCCTCTACCGCATGAGAAATGCCCTCTCCACGTAGCACAAACTGGAGTCCTTTTGCTGGTCATACAATACAAATTTTGTTAGAATCCAGAGACAGCATTGCAAGTTTAGAATCTTCCAGACCCAGACATTGTTGCATTTGATATCCGACGCCTTATGACGAAGTCAACTACGAAATGGTGTCCCCGTTCACCGCGGCACAAGACGTGGACAGCGGAAAGACACCCCCGCCGGTGCAGATATGACACCCTCAGAATGGAAATCCTCAAAGTGGAAATAATTTGTGATGCAGGAAATACGACACCAAAAAGACTGTATTGCAGAGAACGCAATGGAGGCCGACTATTGTGCTTCTACGGGTTCAGAATTGGGCTGCTTATTAGCATGAGAGAAGGGCACCCCTTTGCCCTAACTAGCATGACAGACATGCCTTGAGTTTTCGGTAAATTTGTCATGCGCCGACTAGAAATGGCGCTTCAACTGGAATCGTTTTTTTGCATCACAAATCATTGTCACTTTGAGGATTTCCACTCTGAGGCTGTCATAGCAGATCGCCACGTTTTTCAGGGGCGGTGTGAACGAGCTCCAGTGTTACAAGCGAGTACACAACGGCAACTATGCCCAGGTTTCGGTCGAGGGCAGAAAACCCGCGAAGCTCCCCGGTATGGCGTCCTCAAATGTTACATTCTCAGCTGATGTTACGACGTGCTTTCTTTTGTCATGCAAAATTCCAATCAGAATGAAGCAACACGAGCAAGCTGCTTCGCATGACAAAGTTCCGAAGGGCCAAACAGGCTCAAAATCTTCTGTCCCAAGTCTGTCATGCAAAAGGCGCAATCTTCCCCCTTTCAGTTTTGCCATTCTCACATCACAAATTCATGTAACAGTTGAGAGTGTAACAGTTGAGAACGCCATACCCGGGGCGGGTGCCTTGCAGCAGGGAAGCGAGGACCAGGGACAAGGAATGGGGGGCGGAGGTGATGGAATATGGAAGCGTCAGGCTTGAAATCGACAAAGTTGAAATAATTTGCGATCTGCCCCCCCATGCCTACTCTGCAAGACAGGCACTTTGTGGGCTGCATTTTATGCATGGCAAATCATTTGAGGCGCTCGTACAAGTTGTGTAGTGGTTTCGGTCAGTTTAGCATGGCAAATCATTTCAACTTTGTCGATTTTGATCCTGACACATCCATATGGAAAGACGGAAACGTATTAGCGATCGCGATCAAAACAGCAATGCTGGGGAGCGGAGGTGACCATGGGAAGACGGAAACGCATATAGCGATCGCGAATTATCTCTATTTGCTTATGCATATGCAAATAGCTCAAAGTCTGGATTAGTGACGCGAGATTTGAAGGATGTCGTGATCTTCTATGCAGCCGACATATTGAATTACAAGTCAGCAGGAGCTGCATCAGGGGCTCTTTTGGCGTGCTGGAAGCTAATAATTTGCCATGCGTGGTGTTACAAATGAGCGGTCGCGCAAGCCTGAAAGACTTCTGAATCTGGTAAATATAATAAGCACTTAATAAAAGTACGTACACCTAGGACAAGGCTGGTTGTATCAACAGCGACACAAGTTTATTCCAGACTGAGACACTTTTGCATATGCATGTGTTTGCTGCTCGGCCACGACGAGCACGACCCGCCACTTCACGCGAGAACAAGAAAACTGCGCATCGTCCCCGTCGCAGCGTTACTAGTTGCCGCGGCTGGCGCCGTGATTGCGTCGATGGTCTGACTTTTTGCATTCTACAAAATAATAAAGACGAAAATTTTTTTATACGCTGTTGTGGTCATAGATGATTTCTAAGTAAGACTTATGCCCGGAGCAACCAGATTATAGTCATTGATAGCTCTTTATATTCGTTGTCGCAATATAAATATTAAACAAAGGCCGCCAAGTATTGATATTAAAAACATAGTACCGAACAAAATCGAAATCGAAAAGGAAAAGCGCGATGCTGAAAGAAAAAAATCTTTGCAGTACAGCGCAGGAGTTTCTGGCATCTGTCAACTATTTACTTACTACTTTCGAAGAAACGTAGCTTTTTTTTACACGTCTAACTATGATCATTTTGCAAGAGTCCTTGATTTTTCTGAGTGTTTTTAATCTCGGCGACTGTGTTTTTTTTTGCAAAATAAAGGTGAGCAGCAGGCTCTTCGAGATCTTCCAGTTGTACTATTTTTTCAGCACAACAAGAAACCAACAAGCAAAATAATAGAATTCTGCTCCAAGATTGAGGAATTTTTATGCACGACGTTGAGCGAGTTGTACAGCATAGTCCTCCTGATTTATCACTTTGCTACACGATCGACTTTTGTTGAAGCACCTCCACCGCAGGAGCTCCGGCTTCATTCAGTAGCTTCGGTACCTACTAGTATCGATTTTCTGTTTTGGTTAGTATAAATTTGGTCGCATGTGGTCGTATGCTGATGATGTGCTGGTGGCGCTACAGCCACGGCGGGACAAAAAAAAAAAAAGCTGGCATCGAGGAACTTTTGGCTTTGGCTTTTCCATGTTGTAATCATAAATGAGGAAGTTCGGATTGCTTAACTTTGCAAATAAACGGCAGGGGCAGCTGCGGACCACATTTATTTCCCTGCAACCTGTGCGCCACCCGGCCGTGGGTTTGCTTGATGTTGCAGAGCATGTATTAAAATTAACGTTGCAGGTTCGTGTCGATATTCTATTTGTTTTGCGTTCGCCACGTAAATCGAACGAGTTCATCGCAGCACTGGTTTCAGGAACGATTTCGGATCATTGCAATAATTCTTGGCGCCTCTGAAGACGAGCTTTCGGTGCAACAGCTGCAACGAAAATGAAAGTAAGTACTCTTTTTCCACTACTTGATATTGGATATATTTATAATAAATACGCTCGTTGAAAGTAGTGGTCTAATTCCTACAGTTGTATCCGGATCCTGGTGCTCTTGGAGTCTTGAGTGTTTTCTTCGGAACGATCCCATTTAGTTTTACAACCCTGCTTCTTGTTCTTTTGCAGTAGTTTTAATCCAGTGGCATTGGCGCAGTCGTCCGATTGATCAGTCGATGACTGCGAAGAACTGCCCGCCTTTTATTTTCTAAATTTGGTATGAAACACACTCGTTGGAGGCGGAGCTCACAAGCACTAATCTTCCGGAGAACTAAAAATGTTGTATGACATACGACAATGAAGTAGCACTAGCAAACTTAGAGAACTCACTGTTGACCAACTCCCTACCGTGACCGTCGCTGGAGACGAATCGGAAGACGAGAGAATTCGAAGAAAAATGAATCGGCTGAGCAGGCCGCGGCTGAAGTATTTCGAGCTGTTGGACTTGCCCGAGGATTGCACCACGGAACAGGTGGTGCGTCAATTCCGCCGCAAGTCACTCCGTGTGCATCCCTATCCAGTGCAAATTATAAATATGTCTGGGAGCAGGTCTGGAAGAATTTATTGCGCCTTTGACATGCATCTCATGGTGTAGGATCACGTAGATGGTCTTCTGGAAAAACTGACACAGAACAAGCATCACAGGTTTTGAAAAACCTTTGCCATACGACGGAAATGTCCACCCGCACGAAACAGAAGCTTGGCGCTTCCACGGCAAAAAGGTGACGATTTTTGGCCTGGTCTATGCAACATAGATATTTTATTTGCGGTCCAGATTTTTTAGCATGACAGACGTCCAGGTTGGATATTTGCAATGCATAATCCCGACAAGCCGACTGGTGACAAAGAGCAGTTTCAGCAGCTAAACCGGGCCTACACCTTATGATCCTGAGTAAGAACGTCGGTCCCCACCCCATTTCTCTGTGCTTTAAATTTTAATTTGGTCTTTTCCAGTACATAAACACCCCAGTCGAAAAACTCGTGCTCTCGAAACTTCTCTGTCGCTGTGCTTTCGCGAAAATTCGAAAATTCGCGGTGCTTTAATTTGGTCTTTTCCAGAACATAAACACCCCAGACCTAGTAGAGTAATGCCGCGCGTTTCTCTTCTCGACATAGTTGCTTATCCTCCCCATCCTTTTGTGAAAGTTTGAAGTTTCTCTGTGCTTCATTTCGGTCTCTGCCAGTACATAAACACCACAGACCTGTTATGCAAATCTGCATCATGTGCAGAGCAGCAGCCATTTCTAAAATAAGTGCTTATGTTTATCATGATGCGCGAGCGCGGCCCCAGGACCACCAGGAGAAGCCTTTGATTTCCTAGTCGTGTTTTGAATTTTGTCATGCGTGAATCAGCGTCAGCATAATTATAATCAACTACTTAGCCGCTCGATCTGTAATATTGCTGCTACACGTGGCTGCACACACGACACGGCTACCTTGCGAGGCCAAACTTGGTTTTATGCACAACAGCCAAACCTTGTTGTTTTTTTTCTCTAGCAGCTTTCCCATCTTGAATGTAGGGATCAGTCGCATATCCCAGAGAAAAACAAAAAAGCACGCAGGGCATAATTATATTTGTATTATGCAATAAATACACAGAAAAATTTGTCATGATAGGCGGCCTCGTAGCATGCTGCTTAGGATATGCAATACAGATTTTTTTGTGTATTTATTTTTGCAACTACGAAAATCATGCGACCTGCCTGCTTTTTTTTGTGTTATATTGGGGTGGACGTTCTTGCTGAGGATACACGTGTCTTCGGGACGAGCGCCGGCGGGCGAAGTATGTTGGCGTTCTCAAAGCAGTTAGACTCTCAACTGTTGCATGAATTTGTGATGCGACGAGAACGAAAAAAACAGCCAAAGGGGCAAGCTTGCTGCTTCACAGATTCGGAACAGATTTAAATGCTATTTAGCCCTGCTGCGGAGATAATTTTTCGTGCGAAGTAGCTTGATCGTCTGGCGGCTTAAGGCACCAGTTCTGCATGGCAAACGAAATCCATCTAACAGCTGAGAGTGTAACGCTACTTGGGAGGTTTTCCATACGAAGTATCTGGAGGACGGGTTCGACGACTATTCCCTGAAAATTTTAAACCATCACCATCCATTTTTGACATGAAAGACACAGAATTTCCTACATGTTTTGCATGACAAATTGGATCGGGGCGGTTAAGTTTCAGGGAATAACGACCAACACGTTTCGACGGAAGAGTCGGACACCTTTGTGGATGCTTTTTTCGGCGTATCAGAGTGCACAGCTTCAGCTACAGCTCCTCATTCACTCCTGTCATGGAAAATGGAAATGGTTGTAAATCCAGCCTCTGCTTCTTGTTCTTCTTGGCACTGTTTGCATGACAGATTCTGGCAGGAGCTGCCCAAGAAACATCAATACAGTCGTCCTGTGCAGTTGTGAATTTGGCATGCAAAACCTGCATTCGTGCCGACGTTTGTATTGCTGTTCTTCATGCCCACGTACTACAAGTGAAAGGGACGAGCTGTGCGCAACTGTCATACGGCGAGGGAGCGCGAGCGAGTACTGGACACTCCGCGGACTTCAAACTTTATTCGGTTTCAAATTATCAAACTGTCAACCTCTCCAAGCTGTTTGGTCGTGGTTCGACGAAAAAGGGAGAAGACGAGCCTGCTGATGATGAACAGGAATCGGGCGAACCTGAGTTGCCGGTTTACATGCGCGACATCATCTATGACAGTGCACAACTCCCCCTTCCCCTCATTTGTATAGCATGAACGGCAATACAAGCGTCAGCAAGATGAGTGCCTGTTTTGCATGTTACAAATTTGCCCAGGAGTGTAGTACTGTTTGGGCTTCCGGAGTTTGTCATGTTGGAAGGCTAAGGGCAGGGCGGCCCCATATAAATTAAGGCGCTTGTCATGCAAGCAGTGGCAAGAGGCACAGCCTGGATTTGCTATTTTGCATGACAAATGAGGGGGAAGGGAGTCGTGCAGTGTGATATCATCAAAGTGGGGCTCAACTACCTCGCCTCCCTGGAAGATCACGAGTTCGCCAACATCTTTTTTCTTCGGCACATGCGCATTGACATCTTGTACCTGATGATTGGTGTTGTGGACGAAAATGTTGAACCAGAAAGCGAGTTGTACAGAGGAGCAGGGTATCCTGTGCAAAAGCATCGTATTCGTATTGCAGTCATGCATTACAAATCTTTTGCTTTTCGTTAAGTCAAATCCGCATTACATATTTTATTTCTCATGCTGGGGAAATTTGTAATACATTTATACGAGTGCGATACCTTTGCAATCCATACAGGGTCAACATCTTCTCCAGTTCAGCATCATGCTTCTGCGCAAGAACAAGCAGGCCGCGACGCCTCGTCTGCATCATCTGCCTGCGACTACCTCACGCAGGAGATGTTCGAAAGAGATTCAAGTTACCCTATCACCTATATCGTAAGGAAAAATCCCCCCTCCCCATATCAAAACGATGTTTCTGATGCTGGATTTGCGTACACAAATCAGATCTGTCTTGCTGGCGAGGACTGCAGGCCCATATCAAGCCTGAGTAGACAGGTTCTGGCCTAGGCGCTTAGCATGACAGACGTCTACGCGGCTGTAGGAGCAACGCCAACAGCTGCATGACAAACCGCCTGTAGAATGTGGCGGAGCCTGTAGATTTGCCTTCATGCAATACAGCGACGATTTGTGGTCTCAAATCAGCGTCACAAATTTTCAGAAGTATCCCGGTTTGATATGGGGAGGGGGGATTTTTCCTCACAATAACCTACTATGACACGCCGCTGCAGCCCGGCATCGCGCCGCGCTGGTCCGACCAAAACATTTTGGCGAGCTGCGAAAAGATCAGAGAAATGAATGAGAAAAAGGCGGCCGGTATCAAATGCAAATAAGCATAAATGTGTAGTCTGGGTCTGGAAGTATAATCCGCGATTTGCCATGCATCTCGCGGACCACGCACATGATCTGGAATGCACTTGCACACAGAAGCATCTTCACAGATTTCATCACGAATAAACCATCGATCCCCAACATGCTTATTCCGCATCAACAGAAGCCCGCCTTTTACCTAGCAAGCAGTGGGGAGCTTTTTGCGGTCATGCGAAGAACGCAATTTTTTTTGTAGTCGAGATTTCGCATCATGACAAATTGTAACATTCCAGACCACCCAGAGGACATATTTGCAATGCATAGGCGGCAAAGTAGAGCGTCGGGAACTGTCCTTCGAGGAATTCGAGAGGAGGTATGGGATTCTCAAGCGTCATATCAACCGTAAAAATGTCTGGGTCTGGAAGATTCTGACACTTGTCTTGCACGTTTTGCATGATCCATGATGTCTGTGATGCGTACCCTAGCAATACAGATTTTCTGAGGGCTTCTTGATGCCTATTCCGCATGACAAATGCCTTCTAAGCGTAAAGTGTCTGAAAGGGGCACGCCGTTGGGTCGTCCGCCATCGTGATAGGATCACCGTGTCTGATCATTAGACCCCCTGTATATTTTTTAGCGCGCAACCGGCCACAAAAGTAAGACTGCGAGCAAGTTTGTAAGACTAACCCTTCAAGGCAATACTGGATCTCCACCTTGCTCGCGGGCTTGGATGGTAAGGCAGGTCAGCCACACATAGCGCCCACTGGTTGTAGCCATGCGTAAGCAATCGATAGCGGTTTTGCAGGTGCAGCCGGGTGGTAGTTAGGAAGTGGACCGCGTCTCCACCTAGGGGTATCGGCAGAGGCTAAATCTGTTCTAACGCCCAGGTATTGGCAGAGGCTAAATCTGTTCTAACGCCCACCCGCCAGGAGTTAAATGGTACTACTACTACTACTAGCGTAGCAAAAATCGCATTCCCGTTGGTACTCATGCAATACAGATTTTTTTGGAATCCAAATGCAGCATCACAAGTTGCATTCTTCCAGACCCAGACACTTTTACACTTGATGCGTCACATTCTTCCCAGCTGTTGCATGATTATTTGTGATCATGCAAATTTGCTACCACCATCCACACGATCAAGCTAATTTTTTGCATGGCAAGCTCTCGTCGCACTCCTTAACAGCATGGAAATCGAAATCCGTACCCGTTCCAGATTATTGTAAATGTAATGCAAAGCGCGCAGTTTACATTGATTCTTTCACCTTTCATCACATTTGCTTACTCTTGCATCATCTTCACAAATTGATGTTCCTGTAGCAGTTGCGAATGTAAGGATAGTTGAGAATCACCCATATGAGACAACGGTACGCGCTGGCTGCGCTGGAGTACCAGGTCGATGAGCTCGGCGTTCTAGAGGATTATGCACTGCAAAAGAAGTTGTACTATCGTACTAGTACAAATCGCGTCATAACAAAAAGTTAAAAAAGTTTGGTCAGCATGAAAAATATACTTCTAAATTTGTAAAAATACTGAGAGAGCATGCAGTGATGTGCAGAGGTACTACTAGATCTTCTTCTGCCATGCACGGTTGCGTTGATTTAAGTATCGAAAGAGCACGATCATTCTTTTGCAATGCATAAGGATGAGTACGAAGCAAAATTGAAAAAGCAACTGCGCGAGGAGCAGCCGGAAACAACTGCGCCAAATCTCCCGGGCCGCCCAGCCACTCCACCTGCTATCCGTATCCCACGAAAAAACTGTTTCACTGTGATGATTTTGCAAGATCTGCATCACAAGTTTGTTACACATGACACAGAAAATTTGCCATGCGCGCTTCCAAAGGGAAAAGAACACCCCTAAAGAGTCAAGGTCTTGCAGGTGTAGCAAGACAAATAGTTCTGTGGTCCATTCTATGCATCACAAGTTCACAGTGAAACAGTTTTTTCTTGCGATGCCTGCAGGTAGTACTAAAATAGAGGGGTCGACTATCAAAGAAAAAAAGTTCGTCACGATCACTCATGCGCATTTTTGCAATACAAAATTGTTTGTCATGCGTCAAAATGCATCTTCACAGCCAAACTTCATTAAGGATTTCCCTAGTGTTTCTGCAATACAAGGAAAGTTTGTGATTCTGAGAAAATTTGTAATGCAAAACCTGCAAGTTCGTGACTGTGAGAAACTTTTTTCTCTCCATATCGACGACGAGAGCTCCTGCGTCCTCTTCCTCGTCTGCCAACCAGGATTATGGTACGGGTGAACTACCGGAAACAACAAGTGCGACTACCGACCACCTGCAAGCCGCTCAGGCAAAGAGAACCGGCGCAGCTGTGGCGAAGCTTGACATGTACCAAGAAGATGTCGAGGCTGATTACCAATGAGAGAGGCACCTAGTACAGCTGCTCGTTGTACAATTTATTACGCGCTTCAATTCTTATCAAAGAAACGTGTTCATTTTCGAAATGGAGTAGTCGAATAATAGAAGATGATTACAGGTGGAGCAGCTCCGGGACCACTGCATAAAAATATGGCGGTCCTCGTGTCAGGAGGGATCCGATCTTGTAACCGATAGCGGTGCTGCCCTTTCTTGTGAGCGATAGCACCATTCACATTCTTGCACTTTTATTACCGAGCAGGACCACCACCTCCTGCTCCTGCACTTCAATACTTCTTTGGAAAGCAATATTTTTTGAAGGCACGACTGTTGTACCGCTACCAGCAGAAGGGAAGCTGTGGATCCGTTTTCTTTCGTCGACGTCGTATCTGATAGCAATAATATCTCGCCGCTGTACTAGAGTTTGGCACTCAACCACCTAACTGTCGTTGTTCTCTTGTTGCTCGCTTATTGCATTTATCAAATCAACACTGCAAATTAAACGTCAGTCTGGGTCTATCTCAAACAGTGCTGCTACTGTACTTTTGACGCAGGTTTTGCACGGCCCAGGAGGTCTGAGGTGCTGGGCCCAGCGTTGCAGAGTCTGGCGCAAGATCTTTGCAAGTTGCAATGCCTATGTATTCTGCATGACACATCAATAATTTCGCCCCAGCAGCTTGTGGCGGTCATGCAAGACGAAGACCGAAGATTCTTGTGCGGGTGTGGCCCCTCCAAGGGCGCGTTACAGACTTGCCCGCTTCCAGACCCAGACATATATTGCAACGCTGTACGTCGCCCAACTTTTACTTTTCTCCTGTTCTTTATCATGATTCCCAGGAGCATCAATGTAGAAGTTATCGCCTGCCACCTCCACTCGTGCCGGGAGCAAAGTGAGCAAGCACTTCTACTTTGTATTTGTTATAGAGCTTTGACCTCAAGACTTCTTGTTGATGATAGATAAAGGACAACAAGGAATACGAAGAAGAAAAAGATCTGTCTCTTGGTGTGCCTGCCGTGTGAAGATTACGGTTACGGAGCCTGTGACTATAGATCATCTTTTCGTCATGATCTCATCTCTTCTTTCGCTTTCTTCTTTGAAAAAGTAAGAGTTTTTCGATAAATTGGTGCTATGCTCGTCACTAATATGTTTAGTGATGCTTTTCTGTTGGAGCTCCGGTACCCGTTGTTTGGCATGCTGGTATTCCATTACTAGAAAGTTTTTCTATGCGACTTGGACTTTCTACTTAGGTAGCGAAATGAAATAAACGACGGTAGTGCAACTGCTCTCGTTTTAACATGTAGTATGTACCTCGTACGTCCCACGGTGAAGCGAGACTTTTCAGCGAGTCCCGCGCGTACTGCCCACACGCGCATTATATAATAGATCCCGATAGATAGTAGAAATCATGACATGCTGTTCCGACCCGCCTAGGCAACATCGAGATCTTCCCGCTTCTCGCTGTAGCAGCACCAGCAACAAGCCAGTATTTTTGATTTCTGGCTCATCTTCTGCTGTTCGTCCGGCCGCGACGTCGTCGTTTTTGATGAGTTGGTACCTTTCCTCGTTTCTGCCCTGCATGAAACTTCTGGCTCTAGCAGCTGCAGGATGTTGTGCCGCAGCCCACCGCTTGTTCTCGTGGTTCTGGCGGCCGCACAGTAGAGGCCGCGGTGCGCAGCTCTACAACTTCTTCTGCTGCAAAAGAAGTAAAAAGCCCTGCAAGAAGAACTGCTGCGTCCTCGACGTCGCGTGGCCTACACTGAGCAACCTGCTGCTCCTCCTGGTGCAGCAGTTGCCCCTGGTCCCCGTGGGAACAGAGGCGGGTAGGCCTGCTGGAACAAACGGGTTGTTTGTGCCGCCGACTCTGTTGCAGACGAGCTCCGCCCCGTACAAGGACCCATGGTCCTGGTCGAAGTGTGGTCAGAACGACGACAGCAAGTGCCACCATTCGCTGCCGCTAACGCGCCCAGAGGGAGACAATACCGCGACGAACATAGTCAAGTACACCGGATGGTGCTACTTGGGGCGCTGATTGGTGGGCGGTCGAATTTCAGGACAAAAAACCCCGGCACATCACGGGGTTTTCACTGTTCAAGCGGGACAACACCGGTGACGGGGATCAGATTCAAAACGCGCTGATCTACCTGAACGACAGTCCTTCGCCAGAGCCAGCGAAGACGCCGAGCAACGTACACAAGTTCGGCACCTTCGTCCAGCTCGAGAAACAGGTCTGGAAAATCAAACTGGAAGCCGAGAATCTGCACTTTTGCGGCTTCTGGCTCTACGAATCAACGCACCACGCAACCCGTAGCGGCACTTTCGTGGAGCCTGCGCGCCTCTCCGTGACCGCGTCCAGTGTGTACAACAACGAGGCAACCTATGCAGCCACGAACCCGCTAAACCGCCCTGTGGGCGACACGAAGAATCGCGGCCTTCCTGACGAGCCGTTCTACTGTTGGAACGGCGATTCCTCCGACGGAGGCTCGATTAGATATTCCGTCGAGTTTGCGGATCAGGTTCCGCGCGAAATTGCGGGTCTGGTCATCTTTGGGGTAGACCGAGCCGGCGCGCACACCGTAAGCTTTGCCGACACATCTATTTATTTGGACGACGCCGGCTCTGCTCATATTGCGGCCCTTCCCGCGGTCTTGGGGGGAGTCTCGGGCTTTTGGGTCTCCGTGGGCGCAAGGGCAACGAAAGTGACGGTGCAGGGCCGGGTGATAATCTGTGGGCTTTGGCTCTTCCAAGCTTCCCCCCTCGCTAAGATCCCGCCGACAGCCTTCCCTCTGCTGGACGCAAATGGAGACCCCGACAATGCAGCGTATGGAACCAACTGTCAGGATCGAAATCGACAAAGTTGAAGTGATTTGTCACGCATAAGGAAAATGGATGCCAGTTGGAGCCCTGTTTCTAAATGGCGCATGACAAATTTTGGCTGTCCCTAAATGTAAATCCAGTTTGTCGCGTTGTTTAGACAAATAAGACTGATTTTTTCATGCTACTACAGCAGCTCAAGCTCTAACCCCGAACAAGCTTAATACAATCGGCCTCACTTGCCTGCTCTGCAACGCACGCGCCTCGCGTCATGCATTTTATGTGTTACCTTTGACCATTTCGATATCGATCCTGCCACCTCCATACGGCGGGGTTGCTCGTTAGTCAGGGGCTATCAAGTGCAAAAGTGTCTGGGTCTGGAAGAATGCATGTTTGTCATGCTTGTCTGGCATGACACTTAAATCTGTCATGCACGCTACCCAAGAGGTCCATTTTTCTGTGATGCAGAAACACAGTTTGTCATACAGAATAGGCAACACCTAGAAGCTCAAAAACTTGTCATGCTGAGACAGCACTTGTGGCCTCATCATGAGACGCCACCCAGCAGCACAACTTTCCAGACCCAGACACTTTTACAATCCATAGGGGCCGGAAAACTACCATAGCTCGACCGCGAGCGATGGTCTATCTGTCAACCCTATCAACTGCAAAAATGTCTGGGTCTGGAAGAGCCAAACTTGTGATGCTGCATTTGGATGCTACAGAAATCTGTATTGCATGAGCAGCAAGAGGACCAAACTTGGCTACGCGGAGAGGGCATTTGTCATGCTGGATGCGCATCGACAGGCGCTCAAAAAATCTGTGATGCTATGGCACACATCACAGACGATCATGGATCATGGAAAATGTGCATGACAAACTTCTCCTCTTCCAGACCCAGACATTTTTACATTTGATAAACCCGTACGGCGACTATCTCGCCGGGTCGGAGGGAGCGGCACCCATCGGATATTACGGGGTGGGGACCATGACCGACGTGCCCTTCTACACCTTGCTCATTCGGAAGACCCGGTACGTACCCCCGCTAACGCAATCGGCCTGGTGGGAGGTGCGGTTCGCGGACGGTGTTCCGCGCCCCGTGGAGGGGTTTTTTCTGCAGCAGGCGGGCGGTTCAAGCCTCCCGGGAGCGCTTCTGGTGTACAACGATGACAAGTCCTACTTTCGGAGCAACGTGTACGACTGGGACAGTTACGTCCCCAGCCCTTTCATAAGTCCGGACATTTCACTCCTTGTCACACACCCAGCGCTGGAGATGAAAAAAAAACCTTAAATAAGTCGGAACGTGTTCAGGAGCTGCGTGTGCTACGCGTTCTTGTGCAGCAGGCGCGCTCCCTTTAGAAGCAAGAGGCTTGCTTACAAGGAGCCTACGCTTTATCAGTGGCATAGGCTTCTAAAGTAGCTTGCACAGTGAAAGTGACGCGATATTAGAAGAAGTAGAAGCAGCGAGCCAAAGAAAGCACTCGACAGGTCGGAAACTTCAGTCCCCGTCGGCTGCCACCCAGTGCAGTGCGCCGGGCCGCTCTGGTGATTGTGTTTTCGTATGATAAACCACGCAACTGCGACGTTGCGCATTTGCGACGCCTGTTCCTTTGTTTATCGGCAGCGCATCTGCAACACCTTGCACAGTGTAGACATCAGGAATACACAAACACGCCAGAAGAAAACTCATAGTCCGCACATTTCTACAGGTTTTGACTGTGTAGGGACCTGGAAGATGCGCCACGCTGCGCTGTAGTAACTCAGTACTCAGGTGAGCGCTTCGGAGTGCTACATGGAGACGGCTGCTCTGCGGGGGGACTGCTGGATGGAGGCTTCGCAGAAAAATTTGCGCGGGGAGTATTGGGGCATGAATTTCGAGTAAGCAGCCATCTGACACGCACCAGAGCAGTGTGCGCGTAGACGTAGAAAATAGGTGGGCAAGTAGTAGGGAAATAGCTTGCAATGCTCTAGGACTCGCGGGATTCGTGATCATGGGTAAACAAACTAAAAAAAAAACCGGGTAGGAAAAATGTATTTTCTGCTTTTTGCTACCCGAGGTAGTTTTTTTTTTGGCAAAACCTCGGGTAGGAAATATTTATCCGCTGTTCTGCACGTCTGTAAGGGTGAAAGCAGCTGATAAATATTTCCTACTGGAGGTTTTGAAAAAAAAACCTTACTTCGCCCCTTGGAAGTTTGGCCGGTGCGGCTCCGCCACGAGCGAGCCTTTTTCTGTTTCGCGAAAAGCTATGCGACGGTCTGAAGGCCGAAACCTCCCTTAGCCCCCCAAAAATTTTCGCGGGTAGAGGAGGGCAGCGGGCTACTAGGCGGGGTCTTCGGGGTGAAGACCCCGACTCCCCAACCGACGGCGGACCGGGCGGGAAGTTCTTCACTTCGCTCGCTTGGAGTGAGATCTCGCGGCCTCGAGGTGTCTCATCGGGGAAGCCGCGCTCACGCGCGGGCTGCGTCTAGTTGCTACCGTCAGTGGCGGGGGCCAGAATGTGAAACGTCGCTTGAGCTATGACCCTTATGAAAGGGCCGCTAATTACGTCATGCAGAGTACGACTGGGACAGTTCTTACGTCCCCAGCCCTTTGTCGGGGGGCAGTGAGAGTGCCCGCACCTCCTGGGTCAATGTGCACCGGTGGGTGTTCAGCATTCGCCTGGTGTCCGCGAACGGCCCCAACTATGACGGAAACCGAGACAGTTACCTCCGCGTGGCGGGCTTCCACCTGTTCGTTACCCGCGGCGTCCCCCAATTTGCCTCCCTGGCGGCCTACCAGGCGGCCGCCAACCGCACCACCGCTTTGCTGTCCCGAGCGAACATCTTCGAGGTTCCAGTCCCGGCCTACGGCGCTCCTTCCGCGGAGGGGGACGCAAAGTATTACTGCAAACGGCTCAAGTTCCTGGACTACCCGCTTCCGCTCGGGGGGAACGCGCTCGGCGGGTCCGCCCAAGCGGCGGACTTCGTGACCGACGCGGTGCATTTTGAAGGCTGCGTCCGCATCTGTGCCAAACTCGAAGGCTGTGCCGGGATCACGTTCCGGCTGGGGGTATGAAGTGGAAATATGTCTGGGTGGTCTGGAAGAATGCAACCTGTGATGCTGCTTTTGGATTATTTGGAAAAAGTTTTGTATTACATGAGCAGCAAAGGGAATGTAATACTAATCTTGTTACTCGGAGAGGAGGAGGGCATTTGTCATGCGGAATTGGCATCATCAAGAACCTGTCAAAAAATCTGGAATGCTACGGCATGCATCACAGACATCATGGCTCACGCAAAACGTGCGTGACAAGTCTCAGAATCTTCCTCCAGACCAGGAGACATATTTGCGATTGATAGGGGGCCGGGGTGAACGAAAAAAACTGCCGCCTCAAACAGGACATGCCCGCGAGCGCGGCCGTGACGGACCTGACCACCGATTCGCTGGTGATGACCCCGAAGTGCCGCCGCCGGATGGTGCCGCGAAAGTTCCACGCGCCGCCGGCGGATTGCGCACGGTACCTAAACCGGTTTTATAATGACGCCGGCTTCGAGACGGTGCCGCAGGCGCGCACCTACCAGGACTGTCTCCTGAGCTGTGCAGCGGTGGAAGAGTGCACGGGCTTCAATTTTCACAAGCGCGGTTTTCCACCTCAAAGCAGTAACTGCCTCCTAGAGAAGAATAGCTTTGAAACTGGTGACATGACCCATGTGAAGTGGCAGACGAACTACGACTACGACGTGACAGTGGTGTCTTCTGGTTGCCGTAGCCAGCTCCTGAAGTTTCTGGACCCGTGGAAAGCGAGCTTCCGCTTGGCGCACGTGATGACCCAGATCCCCATCCCAACGACGTGCGTTCGGGACGAAGGCACGACACTCGTCGGGGGCACTGATCTGGACGGCTCCTTTTCCTATGGCAGTCGTGGCGCGTCGAAATTTTCCAGCTTCGAGGAGTGCATGCTTACCTGCGCGCATTACCCCACCTGCAACGGTTTCGTGCGGGACCCAACCAATGGCTGCCTGTTGTTGGGATGGGCCGCGGATGCCTCCATAACAAAGTCGGCACAGAGCTACGTCGACGCGATGGAGATGACGGCGGAGTGCCGAAAGAGTGTCCTGCGCGAGAGCGAGTTCCGGACCAGTGGCGTCATGCTTTCTGCCGAGGACGAGCTCGCGACTAGTACCGGGGCTAGCGAGAAACTTTCCCTGGCGGAGGTGGAGGAACGCCAGCTCAGCATTCCCCTGCCCCAGCACTGGTGGCGGTATGAAAGCATCAGGTTGGAAATCCTCAAGGTGAAAATATAGTAAATTTGCAATTGCAAAAAAAACGATCATTCCAGTTGAAGTGCCATTTCTAGTCGGCGCATGACAAATTTCCCCGGGGGCACTCAAAACGCGTCTGTCATGCTAGTTAGGCAAAGGGGACGTGACCCTCTATCGTGCTAATAAGTCAGCAGCCCAATAATTCTGAATCCGTAGAAGCACTACAATATTAGTCGGACTCCATTGCCTTCTCTTGAATGCAGTCTTTTTGGTGCCGCATTTCATCATGCATTACATCAAATTATATTCCACTTTGAGAATTTCCATTCTGAGGCTTTCATAGGCGGATTCCCTGGGACCGCGTCATGGTCCTGAAGCCCAACGCGGCGCTTCCGGGGCTGCTCTTTGACGGCGGGAAGCGGCCAAACGAGTCGCCCCGAGTCTCCTCGTATGACACCGGCACTTTGAAGGCGAGCCACGCCCCCGGCACCGGTGCCGCGGACACGTCGCTGGTGGCGCGCGCCTACTACGACTCCTCTGCCTTCGCGTCCCTCGCGTCCCAGTATGACAGTGCACAACTCCCCCTCCCCCCCATTCGTATGGCATGAGCAGTAATACAGACACCAGCACACATGGAGCCTATGCATGTTGACAATTTGAAATTTATGCGCCTCATGTAGTACTGTTTGGGCTTCCAGAGTTTGTCAGCATGGTGCAAACAGTGCTACAAGGCAGCAGCTGGATTTGGGATCTTGCATGACAAACGAGGGGGAGGGGTAGTTGTGCACTTTCATAGGCAGTGCAGCCAAACGGACGTGCCGGCCGTTCGCGGTACCGCGTTCTGGCAGGCGGAATTCCAGGAGCCCTATTAAAAGGAAAAACTCCCCCTCCCCATAGTGAAAAGGTATGCTTCCGAAAATTTGTGTTGCTGATTTGAGTTCACAAATCACATTTGTCTTGCAAGAAGACCAGGGCAGAAGCTTCCGCCCCATTGTGGAAGCGATTTGTCATGCTGTTGGGCCTAAAGGGGAGCGGTTTGCCATGGTGAACAACTAGACCAATACGCCCCTACCTAGCGCGGGGATCTGGCCGCAATGCCTTCCTGCAATACAAAGCTGCTCTGTGTACACAAATAATCCAGCCTCAGAAATTGCGTTTTATTTGATATGGGGAGGGGAGATTTTTCCTTTCGATAAGCCCGGGGTCAGCATCAATGCGGACATGGGGCGGTCCACCCACTCCACTGCGCGGCCGGTGGACGGCTTTGTCATCTACAGTCGCGAGGGCATATAGGGTCAGTCCCTCGCCCAGGCTGCTGTCTTTTTCGACGACGAGGTGACGGCGGCCTTCCGGCTCCCGCTGTACGTATCCCCGTTCGGGACCTACGTCCCCGTGCGCCGCTTATCCTGTGCAAAAGTATCGTACTGCTCGTAGTAATTGCAACTATGCGTCGTGACAAATGTTCTTCCTAAACGTAAAACAGCATTGCAAATTCCATTTCTATTAATGCTGAGGCAATTTGTATTGCGATTTATACTAGTACGATAATTTTCTTGCAATGCATACCGCTGGTTCCGCCGCATCAAAATCGTCAACGACGGCGCCAGTGGATTCGGCGACCAGGCCCTGACGGTGTGCGGGTTCCACCTCTTTCTGGCGCGCGCCGAGCCCCTGTCGCCCCATCCCGGGGAGATGTTGGACCCGTGGCAAAGCAAGATGCTGACGGCGAGCGGGCGGGGCGCGGACGTCTACCCAGGGGGTACCGGAGCGCTTGACCCTTACCACGAGGTCGCTTTTGAGGGGCCCCTGAACCGCCAGTACGGGGACTACAGCCCGCGGCGACACGACTACCACTTGACGAAGACTAATGCATACGGATTGGGCATGCAGTGGATCCGGTACCAACACATTCCGGTCCACACGGTTACGGCAGCGAGTGAAATGGGCTGGTGGAAAGTGGTGTTTCCCGACAACATTCCGCGTTACGTTGCAGCCATTGTTTTGTTCAACCGCGCCGAGGACGCAGGGTCGTACTGGAGTCGGCAAAATCATCTCAGCATCGCGCTCTTCACATTATTGCACCGCGACCGCGTGCCTTTCACGAGAGGCGACCACTTTCTTGCCGCGTGGCCGTACGGCGACGAGTATGGCGGGAATACGGGCGAAATTCCGGCTTCCGGACGGTGGCACAATGTGGAGCAGTGGATTGTCGGCTTCAGCGTGGGCCATCGCGGACACGCGAAAAATATCTTGCTCGCGGGCGCGTGGATCTACGTACGGACCCAGATGACGTTCGAAGACCAGGACGCCACACGGGACCGCGCCAGTCTGATGCGGAGCCCCTACACAGGCCGCGAACGCGTCAAGCCATTGCTGAACTACGCCACCCACTACGTGGCGCCCTCCTGGCTCGTGCAGTCCCGGAACTACACGACGACCGCGACCAGTGCGTCTTCTACTTCAAGCGGCGGGGCAGGAACTACGACGGCAACAGCCAGCGACGTGCTTGTCCCGGGCGCCTCCTCGTACCTGCTCCCGCCGAGAGCTGCGCGGACCACCGGTGCGGACACCCTGTATGCGCGCGAAATCGGCATTCGCACGGTGGCCGCGGCCAAGACGGTGTCTTCGCCCCGCTGGTTTCGCAAGTACCCCATCGGAAGCGGGAAGCAGAATTACGCCTGCGGTGGCACGGTCGGGACCGTGGTTAAGGCGCTCGCTGCGACTGCCAACACGGCAGAAAGCTGCCGGGCAGTGGTGGACGTGGATCGCGAATGCGGGGCGGTGCTGACGTACGGCATTCTGCCCGTCACCGACGGGTCCGGACTCAGCTTCTACTGCCACTGCGTCAAGCGAGGCCAGATTTGCGAAGAGGAGGAACGGGGCACCACGCCTGGTGCGCGCGTGCAGCATTCCCTGGAGATCCACGCGGACCTGGCGCGCTCCTTCTTTTTTCCCCATTTTCCGAGCCTGGGCGGCACGGTAGCCACCGACTTCCGTGCGTCCCACGAGCACGCCTTTGACTTCGTCACGGGCGCCAACCTGTTCTCTCCGGACGCCGATGTGTTCCTGCAGATGAAAGTGAACGATAAAACGATCCGGTCCGGCGACTTTGCCCGGGGTGGCGTGGACGCGGACGCCCGCCCCTGCGAGGGGCTCACGCCCGCTTTCGGGGGGCAATACTGGGTTTGCCACGGCTGTGCCTCGGACAACCGCTACGAGTTCAACCACTGGGTGTGCCATCTCGGTTGCGGCGGGGAAACGGAGCCGGGCACCACGCCGACCAGCTCTCTGGCGGACCAGCGGAAGTGCAACGCGACGTCGCTCTTTGTGGGAGTGGAAGTCAGTCCGGAGGAAGTGCTGGAGTCTTTCGAGATGACGTTCGTGGCTGAGAAGTGGGGGTCGGAGGAATCTTGCGGTATCAGCTACCTGAACGCCGACATGTGCGATGCCAAGACTTCGTTCGAGTTGGTGCTACAGTGCGAGGAGGAAGGCAAGGAGTACATTGTCGAGTTGGATTATTTCACGCTGCGAGGCGGGGCCGGCTGGAAGCCGGGAGATGCGTGGCACGACATCCCGGGACAGGTTTTTAACCAAACGCTGCAAATCTGGGATCCTGCGCTGCTCCCTGGGGCCACTATCACCGCTGGTGAGCTCCACACGGTCTCGATCCGGCTAATGCCCGATCCGCGCCAGCTGACCGCCCTCCCGGGGCACGGAATGCCTTTCCACGATACCGACCGAGCAGGTCGTCCGAAGATCCTCCACGCTTCGCACACCAGCAGCAGCACTGCAACCGCCGAGCCGTCTGCCAGCTCGGCCGGTCCGGTCGAGAAGCCTTTGTGCACGGGCTGTGGTCCCCGGCCGCAGGAGAGTCACTTCCCCTGCAGTGGTGCAGTAAGTGAAACAGTCCCTGGGTGGTGCACTAAGTGCAACAGTGAAAACGGGCGACTGGGCGCGTCCTGCCGGTTGGAAAAAAGCACCAACGAGATAAATCAGTACGACCCGCCCGAGTGCCAAAGGCTGAACCATGTGGCCCAGATCCGCGACTGGTTTCGGCCAAGCTACCTCAGCCACGCGGACGACTACCACACTTATCTTGAGCAAAAGCCTTCCCATGACCCCTTGGTCAAGTCGGTAAATCTGCAACACAAATCTCCGCGAGGGCGTGTTGGGAGTTGTGCATGACAAGATTCCATCTGCAGTGTAGTGGTAGTTACAGTTAGCAAGGGAAGCCGCACGAGAAAGCCAGTTGCTCATCCTGTTTACAGAATTACAAAGGCCAAAACTCGATTGAAAATGCCCCTCATGGAGATGAAATGTTCCTGTCATTGCGCAACATTTGCATGACAGGAGACGTTTTTACACAGGATAACATTTGCGTGCTGATTCCCTTCTTGGACCAGCTTCCGCAGCCGGCGAATGAGGCGGGGGCTGAGCAGCCAGAGCGGCGAGACCGTGTTCCGCGCGACCTTACCGACCCGGTGTGCGCGGCGGCTTGGCGCGGCGGCTGCGGGGCGTATTTTGTTTCGGATCAGGCGGCGGCGGCCGCGGTTTACTACCGCGCCGCCGCGCTGTCCCACCCGCTACAGATTTCCGAGTCGGCCAATGCGGGCCAGTCCGTGCAGTCGTGCGATGCGGAGTGCCGCTCCATCGCCGACTGCGTGGGATTTACCTTGGTGGGTGCGCCAACACGGGTGGCACAGGCAGACCTGACGGCGGAGCAGGTGAGCATTGATGGCAGCCACAGCAGCTATACGGACAAAGTGGCGACGAACCCGCTCGGGTACGAACGTGGCAGCTCCCCCTGGGGTGACACGTGCGCTTTCACGGCGGGGACCGGCGCTACCGACAGCACTCCGGAGACGGGTCTCAACTGGTGGCGGGTCGGGTTCAAGAATTCCATTCGGCGGCACATGTCCCACTTGCACCTGTTCAACCGGGATGTGTCGGACCCCTCGCTGAAGGAACGCCTGGACTACGCGACCGTGTGGCTGGATCCGCCGATCACAGTGGACGAAGATCAATCGAGCAACTACGCCGCCATCGCGGGGGAGCTGTACGGCCTGCTCACCGGCGGCACCATGGTGGCGGGCACGGACTACATTCAGCTCGGGCGCGTGCTTCCGGGCAGCGAAGGCGGCACGGTGGTCAGCCTGGACGCGGGCAGCGCCACCCTCTTGGCGAAGCAGCCGGTGCAGCGGGTGTACGTGCTAGCCCAATTGGACCGCACCTCCAAAGGGACGTCTTACACCTTTGGGGACGACCCCCTTACAATCTGCGGCGCCCACGTGTACGTCTACGAAGGTGCGACCAGTGAGGGCAAAGGGGCCAAGTGTTCCTTCTTCCGCAAAACCGAGCGGGCGTGCGCGAGGACCGGACCGACCAGCGGGCCGACCAGCGGGGCCGGGAGCTTGGCGTACTACACCTTGGCAAGGAACCAGGAAACCTGCCTGGAGCGGACGGAGGTGCCGAAGGTGGACTCGGTTTCCTGCGCTCCCGCGTTTTACGGTTCCTGTGTACCCCCGTCTGGCGTATCGTACGAGGCCGACCTGTTGCTGCTGCGGTATTCCGGCGAACAGCGCCCCTACACGCCGAGCGAGTGCCGCTACCTGTGTTCGCAGGAAAAGGAATGCTCCGCGTTTTTCCTCACAACCGCGTTCCCGCGTACGTGTGACCTGGTTCGAGAGGGGTGCTCCACCAACGCACAGGACGCAGACGCCGTGACAGGGTACGAGATGCGCAGTTGCCGCCTGGCATCCCGTTCGGTCGCGCCGGGCGTGCACGCGCATCCGGGGGCCAGCGCCGTCGGGTACGACGTGTGTCCCGCGGAGTTCAGTGGAATCCCGCTGAACTTCGATGAGAAAACAAGCTTGGCGCTACCCACGGCGAACGGGAACTTGAAGGTCTGCGACGCGCGCTGTCGCGAGGACCCGGAATGCGCTGGCTTCGAAATGTGCAACCCGTCCGCGTTAGCTACCGGCTTTTGCGCGAGCGATGGAGGCTGTAAATTTACAAAGGCTGGCTTTTCTCGGGGCGAGGACATCACACCTGGCCCGGACCAGCAAAAGACGAAGAAGCTCCGTACAACGAAATATTACTCCCTCGAGAAGAACAGCGCCTATTGCCGCGACAGCTCCGCGGTCCCGCCGATTGACACGGATTCCTGTCCGAAGAATGGCGGCGTGGGAATAATTCTCACGACGCACGGCAGTTGCCCTGCGGACGGGTCCGCTTCGAGGTTCTACGAAGACAACCGGCGAGCCTACACGGTGGCCGAATGTCGGTACCTGTGCGCTGTCACGAAAGGTTGCGACTCGTTTATGCTAAGGCTGTACGACACAACCACCACAGACCGAAAACACTGCGCGCTGTTGTACAATGCTGCGAAATGTGGGAGGCAAGGTACCGCCACAGAGTGGCAGTCGTGGAAGCTCGAGACCTGTCGCACGGCGACCTCCACGACGACGACTACGACGCGTCCCATGGAAGACGTGCACGCGACCCCGATCTGCGCCATGGAGTGGATCGGCGGGTGCAATGAAGACAGCAGCCTGCTTATCTCGAACGAGGGAAATGACATTCCGTGGCAGGCTTGTGCCGCGCGGTGTCGCGCCAATGCGAACTGTGCGGCCTTCGTTGTCGAGAGCCCCGGCGGAGCAATCACCTGCAAGCTTTACAGAGCCGGATGCACCCAAGATCGGGTTTCGGACGTGCACGCAGCTCACTTCTACACCTTGGCCAAACTGAGCGCCACGTGTGTGGACGCCACGGCAGTGCCGCAGGTTGACGCTACCACGTGCCCGGTGGCGTATGCTGGGCACTGCACGCCCCCGGACGGCGTCTCGTTCAATCACGCTATCCCGCGCCAAGTGCAGACCAAGTACGTGGACCGCGACTACACCATCAGCGAGTGCCGATACCTTTGTGCCTTGACTCCCGAGTGCAGCGCGTTCTTTATGCCGATCGTCGGCCAAACTGCATCAGGGTGCGAGCTGATGGCCGCTGGCTGCACGACGAACGCCGCGGAGGTTGCCACCTGGCAGGGCAGAAACATCGCCGAGTGCGATATGGCGCTTTCAAACGTTACATTCTCAACTGTTACAACCATGATTTGCCATGCAAAAGCAGCATCACTCATCTTCACACGATCTTGTGTGATGAGGTCGCCGAAAGTGCTTCCTCGCCCACCCCCCGGCGAGGGCGTCCCTGACCTTTGGCGCTGGGAGCGGGTGTCCACTAAATGATGATTCTTCGCATGACAACAACTTCTCGACGCGCTAAATTAATAGCACTAGAATCCGTGGCAAACCTGTAATGCAAAAGGCGTGATCTTCCTCCACTCCTTTCACTTTTGCCATTCTTGCATTACTAATTTTATTGCCATTCTTGCATTACTAATTCATGTATACAGCTGACTGAGGATGTAAACGTTTGGGAATCCCATAGACGACGTTTTGGCCGGCACGGCGTCTGGGTCGTCCGTCTGTAGACCTTTGTTGAATACCGACTACGGTGGATATTCCGTGAAAATTAACCATCCCCATCCACTTTGTGCATGACAAACAGAAGACTTTATGTCTGTTTTGCATGACAAACTGGATGGGGATGGTTAATTTGCAGGGGATAGTGGAGGCGCGACGACTACGACATCCGGACAAACGTGGCAGGAATGCGTCCGTATCAAATGTAAAAATGTCTGGGTCTGGAAATTTGTGATGCTGTGTGGCATATCATGAGGAGGCCACAGTTGCTGGCTCAGCATGACAAGTTTCTGAGCTTCTAGGTGTTGCCTATTCTGCATGACAAACTACGTTTCTGCATGACAGGAGAGTGGGGGTGTTTGGTGATGTGCATGACAGTTTTAAGAGTCATGCCAGACAAGCATGACAAACTTGCATTTTTCCAGACCCAGACATTTTTACATTTGATAGTCCGTCTCTGTGCGCAAAACCCCAGCTGCAAGCACTTGGTCCACCGTCCCGACGGTGGTGTTGCTGGGACCGCTAAGCTGACGGATGGCACCACGGGGGACTGCAACATCAAAACCGAGGATATGCCGGATTCTTCGCAAGCGCAAAACACGGGATTGAACAGCCTGGACATGACAGCGCTGTGTCGGGAGGACGTGATGAGCACTTACGACAGCAGCGATCCGGCCGCGCTCCTGCCCTTGAACGGGCTCCCGGTTGGTACGACCGGAAGTTTCGTGCCGCCCGAACTATTGCGGACGAGTATGTCGCCCTACTACCGAGGCAGCGACTGGGTGGACCCAGCGGCGACGAGTAACCCCGCAACCTGTGCGGTGGACAATCCGTGCGATTCCACCCCCGCATCGTGTTATGCGAGAAAAAGACTGTCGTGTATGTGTAAGTGTAACTTTCTTGGAGGAACAGCATCACAAGTTTGCTCCGCATAACAGACAAAACCTGTCACTCGTAGCGAGTTGTACGTGACACCACGTTCGAAAAGAGCCACTGACGCATGTGTGTCCAGCATGACAGTTGTAAATGTCTGGCATCGTCTGGAACACAAAGCTACACTGACACAGTTTTTTGCTTGGATACCTATCCGGTGGACTTCCCTGCTAAGTGCGGCGCCGAGCGTATGCAAAGAAAAAAGCGTTACAGTTGCACATCGTGTTGCGGAACGCGCAAGACAGACAACCTCTCTCACGCCGGACGAAAGGCATGCGAGCCCGAGAGTCGTTTCGTACGTGTTTTCCCCTAGGGTCTCTGTATTGCAAGTTTTCTCTGCAAAACCAAAAGTGCAGAGCAAGTTTGTGTTGCTCAAGTTGCAGCAGATGTGTATACCATAGCACTTTTTTTCTTTGGATAGATTGGGTGCTGACCCGTCCCGAGGGCATCACCACCGCTATGAGAGTGCACCCCCCCCCCTCCGCCTCATTGTTCGTATTGCATGAGGAGCAGCAATAGAAACACCAGCGCACATGGAGCCTGCGCATGACAAGTTCACGCGCGTCATGCAGTACTGTTTAGGCTTCCACAATCTGTCATGCAAACACTGCCACATGGCAGCGCAGCCCAGCGCGTGGATTTGGGCTTTTGGCTTTTGTATGACAAATGAGGGCGAGGGGGGGTTGTGCACTGTCATAACCGCGGTCGGGGAACAGGCGGACGGGTACTGCTTTCACAACGTACGCATTGCAAATATGCAGCCTGGGTCTGGGAGAATGCGAACATTTGTCATGCAGTTTGTGCCTGACCCAGATCGTCTGGCGTGCAAGCCCTAGCGCCACAGGTTTCGGGCAGGTAGCCTAATGCTTAAGCCGCATGACTACAAATCCACTTTTTCTGTGACAAGAAGCCGAAGCGCGGCCTTTTTCTGGCCACGCATGACAGATGTTGGCATGTTGTGGAACTCGCATCACAAATTTGAATCCTTCCAGACCCTGACATATTTGCAATGCATACAACGGGGGCACGAACAACTGGTGGGCGGTCGAATTCCGGGACCGCGTGCCGCGGGACATTGCAGGGTTCACCCTGTTTCAACTGGACGACGGCTCGCGGGGCCAGACCATCCAGAACGCTAAAATTTACCTGAACGACAGCGGCATCCCGGAGGCTGCCCTCCGGACGCCGGGCCTGGTGAAGACGACCGGCACCTGGGTTCCGATCAACAAAAGGGTCTGGAAAATCCGCATCGGAGACAGCTCGGGGAACACCGCCAACAACGCGCTGATGTTCTGTGGCTTCTGGCTGTACCAGCGGGGGGACGCGCCAACCTTAACGAGGATCAGCAGCAGTGGGGGCATATGCATTGCAAATATGTCTGGCTCTGGAAGATTGCGAGATTTGTCATGCTACTCTTGCATGACTCTAAACTCTGTACTGCGTGGCCGCGAAACGCTCCTCTTGCCTGTCATGCAAAAACGCAGCCTCTCACGCGGAGTACGCAACTCCGAACCACGAAAAAACTTGTCATGCTTGCCAGCGCATTGAGAGTGTGCTAACTATCATCCCGCTCTTGCATCACAAATTTCCAGACCCAGACACATATGCAGTTGATAGGGCACTAGCGCGGCCGCGGGGGCGGGGCAGGAGGACCACGGGGGCGGGACCACCTCGAGTGTTGGTGATGAAGAAAAGCTGCGTACTAGCCACGGCACGCCGTCGACGCCGAGGCCGACCGTCAAACGGCGCAAGGTAGCCACCACCGCCACGCCGGAGAAGAAAACCAAGCTGCGACTGCTGGTGGACGGGAAGCCCACTCGTATGCATTGCAAAAGTATCGTATTCGTATAAATGCATATACAAATTTCCTCAGCGTGACTGAGAGATGTAGTTCGGATTCGCCTAAAGAAAAAGATTTGCATATGCATGATTGCAATACGAATACGTTACTTTTGCACAGGATAACGCGGCTCGGACAGCAGCTCGCGCTCGACATTTCGCCGCAGGACCTATCAAATGCAAAAATGTCTGGGTCTGGAAGAATGCAAGATTTGTCATGCAGATTTCTCATGATAGATCCATGATGCCTATGATGCATGCAGTAATCTGAATTGCTTCGTGCTGAGTTGCTTTTTTGACTTTTTTTTGTGCAGTTTCTGGCGCGATCTGAATTGTCACAATATAGCTCATACCTTCGGACTTCGTCTTTGCTCAGTTTTCTTCGTTAATCCTTTCTGTCTTGCCGCTGTTGGTTTCACGTATGACGGGCGGCGCGTCATATCCCGCAATATTAGCCGCCGCCTTTTCGGGGTCGTCATCACGTGATAATCATGTGATCATCACGTGATGAAGACAACTCAGATTGGCTTATGAGCAACAAAAGTCATGTGATTATCACGTGACTACTCATGTGATTATCACGTGATCCGAGCAGGCCTGTTTGAGGCCCAAGGCTTTCGCGCGCACTTGTTCATGGCCAAACACGTAGCGCAAAGAGGAAGAAGCTGCAAGCGCTGCGCTCTAGCGCGGCCAGTTTGCGAGGGCCCAGCCATGGAATGCTCTTCCGAGGGCTGGACATCGTTGCGTGTGTGGCGGGCGGCGCAGTGTTACGAGAAAACTGCCGCAAGCCGCCCGCTCTATTTCGGAACGCCTCGGGCCCGGCATAACGCTTGCGGGCGGCCTTCCCCCCCCCGCCCCCCCCGGGCCCTCTTTCGCATTCTGGCGCGCATGCGAAATTAGGGTGCGCGCGCTGTTTATTTTCGTCTTTGCTTTAGAGCAACGCTCTGCGGAAAACGTCGACACGCACACAGCCCGTCGCGCAATAGGCCGAGCGCCCGCGCAAGCCTCCCGCGCTACCGGCCTTAGCCCCTACTTACTATGCGAGGCGCCTTTAAGGGTGCTGGGCATTTCCGTGGACTACTATTTTCTTGCTCCAAATAAAGCTGTCAGGCACTGTGGTCGCAAAATATATTGTCGAGCCACCGCGCTGGGCTGCTTTGTCTTTGTGCGCTGAGTTGCTCCATTCTGTGACAATTCAGCTGCTGCGCTATTCTTTCCGCTTGGGGGCAAATACGACACAAGGCGCGCCATTTCCGCTTTTGAGGAAATTGGCTCCTGAAGTGCTTCGCTCGCTGTTTTCAGGCTTTCGCCATACGATACGACGCAAGCTTTGCTCGGAACTTAATTCGTATTCGGGTACAATTCAGACTATACGACAACTCAGCGTAGTGCATGCATGACTAAGCATCACAGATTTTTAGAGGGCTTACTGATGCACCTTCCGCATGAAAAATGCCCTGTCCGTGTAGCACAAACCGGACCCCTCTTGCTGCTGGTCATGCAATTTTAGAGTCCAAAAACATCATGACAAGTTGCATTCTTCCAGACCCAGACATTTTTGCATTTGATAGGACCTGCCGGGCCGCAAAATTCGCCGGGTGGGCTTTCGCCCCCGGGGAAACCGGATCCGGATCCCCATCAATCTGAACGGCCCCAGCTCCGGCATCGTGGAGGACCCGGTGAATGTGTATCACACCACCACCACTACCACCACTACCACCACCACCGCCTCCTGTGTGGAAAACGACGTCCTGACATACGGGGCGGACGCCGCAAACTACCGTGGCTGCCAGACGCGCACCATAGAAGGCCATCTCTGCCAGAAGTGGTCGACGCAGTCACCGCACACGCACAACTACGGTGGAACCACGGACCACGGGTTGGGAGATCACAACTACTGCCGCAGTCCCCCGGCCGCGAACGTGCCAACCATCTTCTGCTACACTGCAGATCCCAATCACAGGTTCGGTACTTGTACTACCCTGACCACGACCACAACGGCGTCCTGTGACGAAAATTTGTACGACGAAAAAGGACAGAACTACCGCGGCTGCCAGACCGTCACCATCTCGGGATACCCGTGCCAAAAGTGGACGGATCAGTCGCCCCAAACGCACACCAACACCCTTGCGCTCCGGCCTGGCACAGGGGTGGGAGACCACAACTACTGTCGGAACCCGCCGGCCACCCCTCATTACTTGCCGTTTTGCTACACACTGTACAGTGGCAAAAGGTTCGAGGCGTGTAAGCCCTTGCGCAAGCCGGATGACATCACTCCCTATGAGGGAGGGTTCGGAACGGTGACGACAGCCGGCGACCATCCTTTCGTAACAGGTGAGGGCACTACCGCGATAGCGCAAAACATACTCGACGAGAATCATAATACAAATTTCCACTCGACCACTCTGCGCTGTCCCTGGTTGCAAGTGGATCTCGGAGGGCTGTTCACGGTTACGAGGGTCGAGATCAGCACGCTCAAAAGTACCAATGGGGTTCTGCGACGGCTGTTCTTCAACACGGAGTTATGGGGGCCCGATGTGCTGGGGACAAACTCCGGTGTCGACACCGATGCCAACGACAAGGGAATGACGATCTCCGTCTCTCCTGTCCGCCGGTCGCACAGCGCCAGCTGCAAGATCCTGCAGGGGACCGCCGCCACGGATGCGGGCTACGTGGACGGCGCCTGCGTGCAGATTGGAAATCCGGCCTGCCCTGCCCAAAACGAGGATGAGATCTGCGATACGTTAAAGTACGACAGCGGGAAAGGGTGGGATCGCTTCGCCGTGTATAATGCTGACTTCCTGGATGCTGCCCGGAGCTCCACAATTGGGACCGCTTCCGTGGAGTGCGCAGGGGGTAAGCCGGGCCGGTACGTGGTACTGGAATTGCCCGGCGCTGCCGCGGGGGAGTTCCGCATACTGCAAATTACACAGGTGCGGGTGTTTGGCAAGAGGCTCGCGACCAGTGTAGAAGTTGCTACCGCCCCTCCTCCCAGTACCAGTGTGGCGCACGTGGTCACCTCCGCGACGACCTCCGCGACCATCGCCCCGGCGCGGAAGTGCCTGTGCCCCAACGGGATCCCTTCGGAAGGATTTGCTTGCGCAGTGCATGGAACGCCCGACTGCGTGGCCTGTCGTCCCGGATTCCACCTGTACGCAAACCGGCAGTACTGCGGGAAAAACGGGTGGAACCGCTACGACGGCCCCGCCTTTATGTATTCGGATCGCTTCCGGCACGTAAGCATTGCAAATATGTCTGGGTCTGGACGAAAGTTAAGTACGAACGTGTATTAGTGCTGGTCTTACATTTTAATTTTTACTGTGCTAATATCTGGCGTGTCGTAAAAATCTAAATATATGCAAAAGCGCAGTTCCTCATGCGGTGGACTGCGTATGGAAATTTGTCATTCTTGACTGCATGACTCGGAAGTCGTGTGTTTGTCGTTCACAGTTCAGCACATCACAAGTTGAAGTTTCCAGACCCAGACGTATTTGCATTTGATACCAGACTCTGTCCTACGACGCGCGGGCGTCTACCGTGCGCCTGCACAGGCCGCTCCGGCTTCCCAGCGGCGACTTGGCATACCCCATCCCCGGTTTGGTGGGAGTGCGCAACACCCGCGACCCCGCGGCAGATCCGACCGAAACGCAGATCGTGTCGCCCATCTGGGACTACTTTCTTCCCCGCGCATCTATCTCACAGAAATGCCTAAAACACCCGAGTCGGGTACAAGTAGTTGTACTAGGCACAAGGATTAGGTGCTACACTACTCGCCACGCACGCCCATACCATACCATACACATGCAGGGTGTATACGTTTATTTGTAACGCAAAATTAAAAATACCAGTAGAAAAATCTGCCATGGGCGTCGACTCCATAGCATAGACACTGTGTAGGACATGATGCAGTGCCGATTTTTTTGGTCGATTTGTCTCCGCATATACAGACATGCCGTGCCTGTCACTGTCTTTTTCTGTTGGATAAAGTCGGGTAGTGGGCAGTTCGAACAGGTCGCGCTCACGATCAAGTGGAACGACCAAGGCTGGGGGAGGCAAAAAGTATTTCTCATTGTGCGCCTGCACACCTCGCTGCACAACGTGATTGCGGAAGACCTCGTGGGTCCGGTATGGAAGCGTCAGGATCGAAATGAACAAAGTTGCGATAATTTGCCATGCATAACCAAATGCAAGGCTGCATGAAGTGCCTGAGAAGCAGAGATGGCCGCAAGCGAGGTCAATTGTAAGCCTCTAATAGAGGGGCTGCGGAGATACTGTTGCTAAAGCAGCCTGTGAAAGAAGCAGTCTGCTGTAGCCAAAACGCATGACAAACAGGATTTCTGTCATGGCTCCAAAATTTATTGTCATGCGCCGCTTAGAAATTGGGATGAAAATAAGCAATATAGGTTTATTTTATGCATAAAAACAAAGAAAACTCAACCTTTTTCAATTTCGATCCTGGCGCTTCCATACCCGGCGCCGCACGAGTACTCCAAGGACGGGCAGCGCCGCGGACCCTGCACGACCTGCACCACCGACTACGATTACGGGGGCGACACCTATCTGCTCACCTACCACGGTTTTAGCACCGTCTCCAGTGCCACCGGCGGGATGTTTTACCGGCTCTACGCCCTGATCCCGCAGGGCACGGAGAACAAGTTCCGCATGCAGATTCACGGCATTCACATGCACGCCAAGCCGTGGGCGACCGGGATTCCCGACACGGCCGCCCGCTACATGTTCGCAAAAAGCGTCGTGAGCGGGCCCCTGCCTGCCACCACGCGACAGTACAACCAGACGACGCCAGGTTTCGTGCCCAAGGAAGATGCGATCTATCCAAGCGTTCTGGATCCCTTTGTCCAAGACCAGCACAGAGGAGGGCTCAATCTCGCAACGGACGTCACGACCTCTATGCATTGCAAAAGTATCTTACTCGTGTAAATGCATGAGGACAAATTGCCTCAGCATTACAAATTATTTTTGTAAATGCGGATCTGCCTTAACAGCCTAGATTTGTAATGCATAAGTGCAATTTATTATTACGAGTGCGATTATACTCTTGCACTGCATAACCTCGTCCCGGCAGCAACAGCGTTTTCGCCTGGGAGACGACGCGGAGTTCTCTTATCAGGTGGACATATGAACAAGAACAAGGCATGGTACGGAATAGGTGCAGTTCCATCGTGTTTCGTGTTTTTGCTCTAAAAGGAATTGAAAAAGTAACAACAGAAGATCCTAAAGGAAGCTCTTTTAAAGTAACGCACTACATAAAATGGTAGACACTTGACACACCGAAAGGGGAGGTTGTTGGTCTCCGGTCCTCGGTCCTCAGTCCATCGCGAGGTAATATATGAGGAGAGAAGAAGGGAGAAGCGCCAGACACATAAGAAGGAGGTTGTTGGTCTCCGGTCCTCGGTCCTCACTCCATCACGAGGTAGTATATGAGGAGATAAGAAGGGAGAAGCACCAGACACATAAGAAGGAGGCTGTTGGTCTCCGGTCCTCGGTCCTCACTCCATTACGAGGTAGGATAGGAGGAGATAAGAAGGGAGAAGCACCAGACACATAAGAAGGAGGTCGTTGGTCTCCGGTCCTCGGTCCTCACTCCATCGCGAGGTAATACATGAGGAGAGAAAAAGGTAGAAGCACCAGACACATAAGAAGGAGGCGGTTGGTCTCCGGTCCTCGGTCCTCCGTTCATCGTGAGGCAATACCTGACGAGATAAGAAGGTAGAAACACCAGACACATAAGAAGGAGGCTGTTGGTCCCCGGTCCTCGGTCCTCAGTTCCTCGCGAGGTAATACGTGACGAGACAAGGAGGTAGAAGCACCAGGCACATACGCAGGAGGGTGCTGCCCTTCGGTCCTCGGGCCTCAGTTCATCTCGAGGCTAGCAATATATGGTGGGGCAAGATAGAAGGTAGAGGCACCAGGCACATACCACCTTGCTGGGCGTTTCGCAGTGCGGGTGGAAAAATGAGGGCAGGCATTTGCTTGTCGTTTCGCGGAAGATGGTGCTCGTTGCTCTCGAGCATGCGCATCATCTCCCGCAGGCCGCGGGCAGATATCTACAGCTGCCGGGTCCTACGTGGTCCCGTGAAGCCGAAGCAAGCGGAGGAATCTCCCGGCTCACCGGAAGAGCCTTCCGGTTCCGTTTCCGGTTTTGCCGTCCGAAGTGCTTCTCTTTCATCTTCTAAAGTCGCGAAGCTGCGACTTTGTGTGTGATTTCGCCTACCCGGCAGCTTTAGCGGATTTTTAGAAGCCTCGAAGCTGCCGCGTGGGCGAAGGAATAAATTAGAAGAATTTCAGAGGCGGAACTAGAGGGCAGAACCAAAGGCATTGCTACAGGATTGCTCAGAGGCCTACTCAGAGGCCATACCAGAAATGGACCACCAGGAGGCAGCTACTTGTAGCGCAGCACTGCGCAGCCGCCCTCGGGTTGTTGAAGCGACCACCTCAGCACCGCCCGCATTTGCAAAAGCTGAGGCGGCCACTTCGACCATTGGGACGGCACGTGCTCCGCTGCATGTTCTCCGCTGCGCGCGCGCACCAGCGCGCGCCGCGAGCTTTTTTTCAGTTTGCGCGCGCGCGTCGCGCGCTTGAAGCGTTTTCTGTTGTTGCATCCGTATGCCGATCCACGCGCGCCGCGCGCGCCCAAGAAATATCTGTCGCTCTGCTTCATTCTGTTCCAGCTACACCGCAGAAACCACGCAGAAACCCAGCTGAGAAACCGCAGCAAGCAAAACAGATTTTTTTTCGCCAGGGCGGGGAAGTTGTGGCCTTAGATTTTTGAAGTCCGAAAAGGGAACACTGGTCGGGTCCGGATGGGCCCGGCCATCTGTGGATACGGCCCGCCAGACGAACGGCCGCACCTACCCCCCTCCTTTTCGGTATCGAAAAGAAGGCCCATTAATCGCGCGGCCTCTAAAGCAAAAAAATAAAACTGAAAACAAAGGAGGACACAAAAAGAAGCCAAAAAAGTAGGGCGAAAAAGTAAGACGAAAAAATAACAGCAAAAAATAAAAACAAAAAATGGGAACAAAAAGTAAGACACAAACTGAAGGCCAAAATGCAAGAGCGTGAAAGCGCCCCCGAATTAGAGCGCGGCAAAGGTCTCGCACACAAGGGCGACGCCCCGACGGCTTTCCCCCAATTCCGGAAATGCCATGGGTGGGCGGCCGCAACACAACAGAGGGCAGCGAAGAGGAAAAGGGGGCGCAGCCAGAAGCGAGAGCCTGCCTGCGCCGGAAATGGCGAAGACCGTAAATTTTTTAGGCTTTGGGTAGGGCCGTCTCCGCAAGGCGCGGCCCAGCAAAAAAAACAAAGCACATGGGCCGGCGCGATTCTGATTAGTGCGATCAGCTTCATGCCCGTAATGGATCAAGATGGTCCCGCCACTTTGAAATGGGCCACCCAAGTCCCGACCCGCGTGCCCTTCCTGATCTTTCAAACCAGGTCGCGGCCGACAAGCAACTGAAAGGCGAGCCGCGGAAAAAAAAAACGAAGGCCGCGCGGGTCGTTTTCATTTGATTGGGGCGGATACCTGCTGGGCGGTGCAGAAATGTATGCTGAAGGCTGACAAACCGGCTGGATTTTGTTCATTTCGCCCGTAACTAATCGGACAGCCCGAAGCCAACCGGTCGGGGGTGGAAGCCGAAGGGGCCGGCGCAGATACTGCCTCGGACCCTTCTCCCAGCGACAACGACGGACAGCAGCCCCCGGAGCCCCGGCCCGTCGCCTCGAAGTTCCGGCGATGACGAAGGCGGCGCAGGCGGCTAGTGATTTCGGTGGGCGGCCACCAATCTGCCAGGTGGCGCGTTTCGTGTTGAAATGCAGGGGGGCGCAAAGAACAACAGCGCGCGCGCGTGGTTCACAGCCTGGCAGATCGCAAGCGAGGCCGGGCGCGCGCTGTGCGTCGCTATCTTTGTTCCCGCGCAGTGAACCTCTTCGCCTTCAGAGCCAGGCGAATCAATGAAAGCCGTAAGACCCTGGCGCCGTATGTGAGCGCGCGCGGGCTCACGTCCGTCGTGTCGCTCGGTTGCCGGTTGTGTGATCAAAAGCAACGGGGGCCGGGGCGCCGCGGCGCTTCAGTTCGAAAGCATGCACGGGCGCGCCCGCCAGCCAGGCGAGGAAAAATGGCGGCGCTCGGTCGCCTCCTGTTGCGCCCGGGCTCCCTCCGCGACGTCATCCACGTGCGTCACGGCCGCGGCCGCTGGAGCATACAAACAAAGTCCGGGGGCGGGGCCTGTGCGGGGGGAGCGGCGGCCGGCCCGATTGCTTTCGTTCGGCCTCCCTGCTGCCTAGCGCGACGCGTATTGTTTGCGCCAACTCAGATATTACCAACCTCGGGAGGCACGGAGGGCCGAGGACCAGAGACCCGCACGCCTCCGCCGATGTCCGTAGGCCTTCGGCCTTTTTCTGTAAGTGGTGTGCCGCCCCATGAGGGACGGAGGACCGAGAGCCGGAGACGAACAGGCTCCGTCGTAAATGCCTGGCCTTTGTACCATGCCAGCAATCACGCTCGCCGGGTCTGATCGCTCTACAGACTCACTCAGGGCCGAGGACCGGAAAGCAGCAGGCCCCTGCTTGGGGGCTTTCTGCCTTCTTATCTGTCTCGCCAGGCGCCGCCCCGCGATGAACTGCAGACCGAGTGCCGGAGACCAACAGCCCGCGCGCATTTGTGTGGGCTTTCTGCCCTCTTTCTTATCTCGCCAGCTGCTGCCCCGCGATGGACTGAGGGGGGGCCGTGGAACAATTGGCCCCCTTTTTTTTGTGTGGGGGCTTTCTACCTTCTTTCCCCGTCGGATCTTGCCCGGTGATGGAGGGACCGAGGGCCGGAGGCCAACAAAGAAACTCCCTTTGATGTGTGTTGGCCTTCTGCCTTCTTGCCTCGCCATCTACTGCCTTGCGGTGGACTGGGGACCGAGGACCGGAGACCAGCAGGCCCCCTGTGATGTGTGTGGGCTTTCTACCTTCTTATCTCGCCAACTACTACCCTGCGAAGGACTGAGGACCGAGGACCGGGGACCAACAAACCCCCTCTGGTGTGTGTGAGCTTTCTCCCTTCTTCTCTCGTCGTCTTTCTATTGCCTTGGGATGGACTGAGGACCGAGGACCGGAGACCAACAAGCCCCCTCTTATGTGTAAGCTTTCTCCCTTCTTCTCTCGCTGTCTTCTATTACATCGGGATGGACTGAGGACCGAGGACCGGAGACCAACAAACCCCCTCTCTTGGTGTGCGCGCGCTTTCTTCTTTCTTCTCTCGTTGTCTTCTATTGCCTTGGGATGGACTGAGGACCGAGGACCGGAGACCAACAAACCCCCTGTGATGTGTGTGAGCTTTCCCCCTTCTTCTCTCGTTGTCTTCTATTACCTTGGGATGGACTGAGGACCGAGGACCGGAGACCAACAAACCCCCTTTGATGTGTGTGAGGTGTCTCCTTTTGTGGAAGTTGAGTAGTTGAGTGGTGTCTGTTGTTGCTGCAGTTCTTGCTCAAGTAGAGAAAAAACACAAATCACGATGGTGCTGCACCTATTCCGTACCATGCCAAGAACAAGTAGGCGCGAGCACTGCTAATAATATCCAAAACCAAAAATAAAGCGATAGACTGTAACCAACTAGTAGACCAAAATATGTTGTTGTAGATGATTCAATTTCGTGTCATTATTACTGTTCCTAGTATCAAAATTACAAACCGCACGTAGCTACCGAAAAAATAAAATGTAGAAATCGCGTCAACATCGTCAGCCCAAAAAATCCTGCTGTTATTTTTCTTTTATTAATTTGTGCAGTTTCACATCAACGGCGCAGTATTGGCCGTTCTTTGCTTTTTTCACCATCAGAAGTGCGAGTTGCGAGGAGCGGGGCGGCCCCCCTAACTAACTAACTAACTTGAGTCTTGTGCTGTATCTATGTATCATCTGGCCAAGAATGACCTGCGAGCAATGAAGAACGCAGTATATTAATTGCACTTGTTTGCGAAATAAAATGAAGCACGAAGATCTTAATTTTGACTCACCTCCTTGTAATGGATCGCCACGGCAAAATGCTGACGAGGTGAAAGATAAATGTGCCTGATTTAAGTATACTTTTTACGCATGTTCAGACAGCTTTCAGTGCTCGTTCAAAGAAAAAGTGAGTACTTTGATATAGCAAAAACCTCGAGCAGGAGCCGTCGAGCTCGATGAGGGGCTGAAGGTGAAGCCGGTCTTACAGCACAGCGCACGAAAAAAAGTGTTTCGGTGGGTGTTCATCTTGAACGACTTCGAAAAAACACAGCAATCACAGGCAATAGAGTGGAAACCAACGCTACCAGTCCCGCAAGAAGTTGTAGATATTTCTTTGTTGTTGATCATTCTTCAGGAAGCGGAAGCGCTGAATATTAAGGCCCAGCCGCCCACGGATGAAAAAATAAATGATATTTATTATAAGTAACACTCGCCAGTCCTCGTCAGCACAATGATCTTCAGAGTCAGAAGATGGCAAGTTATCTGCAAGGCGATCCTCAGCCACAGCCGTGGTCGGTGCTCTGTTCTGACTGTGTTGAGAACTACTTCTTACAATTTCACACAATGAACTGGCTCACTTTGTTGAAAGTTCATTTTTTGAACCAACATATTAGATAGTATAGAAGAAGAGAAATACGTAGACTGTAGCCAGTGTAGCGACGGGTGTCCATAGAAACCGTCTGTACACCATTCTCACCGTGTTGGGCATTTTGCTAGAGTTTAGGCACCTTTCCTGGCTCAAGCGTTCAAGAAGTGTCCACCGTCTTTCTTTGCTTGTAGTCGCTTCCCGCAGCGCACTACGCTCGACGGTATCGGTTAGGTTCAAGCGCATAAAGTGTTTGGCACGCTCGTTTTGTTGCGAG